AGAAATTTCATGACTAGCTAAAGCTTTCATTACAGAAACCAACTGTCCATAATGTACTAACACTCTAACTAATGGTTGTGCAGCTTCCATTTTACTTGCTACAATTTCTCCCAAAATATACACAGCAGAAGAAGTTATTGGATGAACATTAACACTTTGTAATAACAAATTTCTAAGTTTATCATACATTGCTGATGGAAAAACATGATCAGCAGTATAATGAATTTTTAATCGCAATGATCCTAAATCTGGTAATACACCAGCTGGAGTAGAACTGTTGGAAATTTTACTTGGACGATGTTTTGTTGCTCTAGGCTGAAGAAAGTACCTGTTAATAATGGAAATAAATATTAGTAACTAAAAAATGTTCTTATAAACAGATATTATATTATAAATACCATGCAGTTGTTGCATTGGTTGGTTGTTTTTGTAGGCCTCTTAAAGTAATCCTAACTTCACCAAGAAAAGCTGGTTGTTCTCCCATACCAGGGGATGCATGCCATAAACCTACAACTACTTCACCCACTTCTCCATGTTCTAGGGGGCATTGAGAAATATCCTTCTCTTTGGATTCTGTTATTTCTGGCTTTAAAAGTATATATAAGGTTATGCATCATGTAATAAAGCATTTATAAAATATCTTACCATGAAATATTGCATTATATTAAATGTAACATAAATAATTTATTTCATTTTTACCTCAAAGGTGAATGTTTCATTAAAATATGGAGATACTGTTTTTTTTTTTATTTTTGTGCGCTTTAATATTTGTTTACCATTACTATAAATGACTGTCACAGTTGCGAATGGATCACAGCCACCATTTTTAAGAGTTAAGTCATTACATTCTATAACCCTATAAACATAATTTATTATATTTTATCCAACAGAGGTATTATAAATTTAACAAATGTTTGACAAAATGATTTACCTTACTGTAAGTTTAGACTGAACATGTCCACTTTGAGGTTGTAGAGCAAGTTCCAGGTGTGCTTTACCTTGTACTTCGGAATCAGCATCAACCGGTCCCAAAGGAAACCAATGCTCCTTATTATGATATTTTGCTAAATCTTCCCTCTTTATTGCCACTTTGCCCAAAATTTTATCTTGCTTTAAATGCCTATCCCGATCATAAACATAAATGCCAAGATAACGAAATTTCCTAGGTACTTCAAATTGAAATTCTTCTCCAAAAAATGGGCTGTATTAAATAAATATTTATAAATACTATTTAAAACAAACAAAAAGTTGAACAAAGTATACCAAATTTTATGTCAATGACGTTTACCTGAGAGTTCTTTCCATTGTTGCTGTTCTAAATATTTCTTCTTGATCGAGAGACAATGTACAATACACATCTCTTGCACCGGGAGATCCATGACTTCTACCTTGTAGATTTTTTACTTCACCTAAATATAATTAATCATTCTTATATTTTCAATAAAATATATAACATAAAACTGAATGGTAACAACATATAACTAACATGTAAGAATACATATTAATTTAATATCTTAATATCAAAAATCATTAAAATTAACTATTGAAAAAGTATTAACAATACTTTACTAATACTTTTGATATTTTAATCTGCTAAAATGAATGCCATTTATGTGTAGCAAAATTTTTATGTATCAATGAATAAAAGTTGCAAAGAACAATGTTTAATTAGTTCATGGTTACTCAATTTCTACTGTCATAATATTAATATTGATATAGTATGAGTAAAACAATTCTTAACAATATATTTGCTCTTAAAATAATAAACACAAAGAAAATTATAATTACTAATCGTGAATATCCATATCATTATTTTTTATCAAATAATAATTATATATTGATATTTTAATGAATACAGTTAATTCCATTTAATGTTGAGTATATATTTCGTGTGGGGACAACGATGCGTGGGAGTCGAGAATGTACGCGTACGCGTTAAAAATTACTCGAATTCAGAAGAATTACTATAATATAATCACAGGAGAGAACTATCAATTGATTAGACGAGATTACGAAGTAAATTATAAACGAATGTCTTCACATTTAGGTAATAAACTTAATAATAATCGTGTGAGTCGAATTAGATGACATCCCAAACGGATAGTAGCACGCGTGTACGACTTCTTGAAATTACAATGTTCTTATGATTCTGGCACATCATGCAATATGTCCAAGTTTTACGGTGCCCTTGAATGATGTTTCTAACGATTATTCGTACCGATTTTAATCTTTAATCTTTCTTCAACGCGAACTAGGCGCGTCTCTTCGGCCATGTTACCTCCATGACACTACTGAGTGACTACATGAACAGAACGAAGAGGCGGTTCATTCATTCTGTGAATGGATTCTAAGCAGGGCCGTATTTCGTCACATATGCGCCCATTTTTGAACAATTTGCAAAAGATAAATCTGCAAAAAAACATTCTATTTTTAATTAGTCTCTATAAAACGGAAGTAAGGTTAGACAATGTTCAATAATTCCTTTTTATATTTATTAATGTATATATTAACAAAAATTACTTGCTATTAAAGCAGTAAAAGACTACAAAATAGATAACGGTCACGTACTATATGTCTATTGAAAAACAAATGCGATATAATATGTGTATTTACTACATCAATTAAAACGTAACTAATACATGTTTGTTTTTTGATAAGAAACGAGCATAACCGGTACCCATTCAGAATATTACTGGATAGGTAGAGTAGATTATCATTTAAATCTCAACTAAATTTATGTCGGGCTTTTAGTACTGAGAGTAATATCGTAAATTGTAGGATAATGAAATACTAATATAGTAGTAAAATAATAATATAGTTGCATAGTAAAATAGTACAATGAAAATATGGAATAGTAAAACACTTAAAGTAGCAAAATGATAAAATAGTAAAATCATAAGATAATAAAATAATAACATAACAGAACAGTAGACTATCAAAATAGCACAATAGTAAAGTAGTACAAAAGAAATAAATAATAAAATAGCAAAATGGTGAAAATGAACAGTAGAATAGTAAAATAGTCGTTTGTTTTACTATTTTGATAACATAAGTATTGACTTAAAATGAGTCTGTGTGAGTATGCATACAATGCTTGAAGGTGTAAACAACTTTTTGCAATGCCATCTGTAAATTATTGATAATGATTATATTAATATTTTGTAATACATGTAATATAAAAAAAAGTTTAACTCAAGAAAAAGTTAAGTATTTCAAAAACAGTTAGTTCGCGGATTTATAATTATTGAAATATTTTGTTTCTGCTTAATAGTTCTATTATACACCCTGTATATATATTCTGCCTTTATCTCAATGCGTTAAATTTGCTTGTCGCGGAATGAGAACAAACCTCTATGTCGGTACTCGGTTAACTACACTCGTGTAAGTAGTGAGCCACTTCCTGATGGCGCAATGGCTCGCTTCCTCTCCTCTGCTTTCCTCTTTACTCCTCTCTTTGTAGAGCTCGACTAACCACGTTACTTTCCCCCCTTTTATCTTCCTTCCTTTATTTTTACTCTTTTCTTCTATCTTTACTTTTTCTTTCATGAAAAATTTGAAACTTTTTATCAGACGTAGAAACGTTTTCATATAAAGTTATTTACATTTTTCTAATTATTTCAATTCGATGTAACATTGTATTTAACATATTAAACAAAAATTTAACCGCATATAATAATTTCAAAAAAGTTCGCGACAATCGAGAAACTTACGTTTATAATAGCGATTTTACCGTCAGATAATCAGACAAGACAATCTATTTTCTACTGAATGTCATGTGATCTAAATTCCCTGTGAGATGTTCTACTTAAACCGCTCACTCGACATTATGCACTTGATCGTCATGGGCAAATGTCTGTCCACGCGGTATCGCGTGTGAAATCCTCAACGTTTTAATGTTGTGGCACACAGCAACCAACCTACTTCTGAACTTGTCGTGGACGTGTTACCTGAAGATGTATAATATATTTAATAAGCTTTAGTATTGGACATAATTAATTTCTATTGTGTATAATTGCACAATAGAATTACTTTGTTGACTGGTTTCGTTTGAAAAGTTGAGGAGGGATGATTATAGAGAACTTTTAGCGAACGTTTTAAACAGTGCTGTCTATGGAGAGGGTCCTTTACGCTAAGTGCCCAGTTTATCTTCATTTCCATGGTGTTGGTATGCTGATTAACGTCGTCTTAAATGTGACTAAATGTTAACATGTCTTTTTTGGTGTTAAAGCAACGTACCACATTTTACTTAAATTGGAATGTTTCCCGCGAAGATTTGTTTGCTCTCCTGGCGCGAATTGAGAGCATGTGGTGGGGACGTAAATACGTTAAGGTACGTTTAGACCGAGCAAGCGAATGCTTGTTCTTTCTCCCACTTTAGTTATCAGTCTAAACGAACATTCTTTCGTCGCTTGTTTGATGAAACAATTTGACGCGATTCAATTTTGACGCATTTTACTTCATCCTAACTAAATTCAGTGTATTTTAACTTGACACGATTCAGTTTGATTCATTTTAATTTGACGCTATGTAGTTTAATAAGATTCAACACGATTCGATGTGACATTAAATTCCATACGACTAAATTCAATACAATTTGATTCAACATTATTCAATTCCTTGCGATTCAATTCGACGAAATTCAGTTTACATTATGGTCGATTTTATTTCAAAGTAAACGAGCACGAACGAATGCTCTTGCTCTTGCTCGTTCTGTTAAAACACTCCAGAAGGGGGCCCCACCCACAGAAAGGGTAAGTGTACCCCACCGCTGGCCTTCGGTCTTAGGAGAAACTAGGGAGAGCCTAACCTAGAATCTCCTGCCTTCGCATTCGCACATAAAGAATATGGGCAAACGAGGCAGGTGGTGGGACACTTCTTCCTCTACACTTCCTTTTAACTAACGGAAGTGCACGCGACTGTACACTCATTTTAAAAAATTGTTCAACAGGGTCGCCTTTGTACAGATGGCACTGTCAGCGGTTTCATCAAGCCAGACGACACAAGATTTATTTTGGTTTGAGAATTAGTCAGCAATCGTATAGAGAGGAGGCACGTGAACACGATTCTTCATACCATTTCTTTGGGGTTAAATTCTTAAGTACTTGCTTATCGGAGATCAAGAACTGAAAGAATGACCCGTAAGTTATTTAATAATATATTCTTTGATTGTGTGATATTTAGAGGAGTTACAAAAAGGTGAAGAAAACACGGAACAATGTATATTTCATGTCTGCCATTTGTCAGTAACTAAGGTCGAAAATACAGCGTCTGATTATTTACTCTTGTTTATGATAAAATCATATTTCCATTAATTTTAGAAGAGTAATTGCATACTTATATTTCTGCATTCAGAACGTTTGCTTCTTTAGGTTTATTTACTTTATTTAGTCTATTAGGACTTAACTATATTACCTTATATTTTGTTTGGTATTTTTGTCATTTTTTGTGGAGGTATCATGCTTTATAAGTCTTATTGAAATTGTATTACATTATTTAGAATTAGTGGACAGGAAGTATCCTACTTCTGAAAAATTTACAAAATGATTTTATTTTCTTGTATAATTTACTTATACAAATAGTTCTTATTTATGTTATGTAGGAGGAAACCAACGTGAATTAGCACGAGCCAAAAATATGAAAAAAACTATAAAAAAAGCAGCGGCCGAACAAGAAAGCAATAGAGGTCTGTCTTTGGAACAGCGAAAAGCACGGTAATAGTTAATAATGCCATATAGTGAATTTGAAGTTTAGAGATATTCTTCTAATGTCTTATAGTGAAACGATTTAATAAAAATTTAATGTAGACTTTAGAACTTTTATTATTTCAGAGACGCAGAACGCATGAGGGAAAAACAACTTAAGAAACAACAAGAACAGCAAGGAAAAGTAAAATAAGGTACAAGATAATTCCTTCCATAAGACAAATGTTTTGACTGAATTTATGAATAAAGTTTTAAATATGTTTTTGAAATTCCTGGTTACAAAACATCAAAGTTATGCTTACTGGGAATGCATAAAAAATTCATAGTGCACTTGATCCTAGAAAATATCTGCAGACTGTGCTACAGTATATATTACAACCTTATTTATGATAATCGTGTTATTTACATGCTACTCGTAAAAAAGTATATAGTCAGTGTATAAAAATATTGTTACCTAATATCCTAATGATTAAAGAATATATACACTTGACTGGTTTACCTAGATATAAGGATATTAATAAATTAAATACAAAAGTATCTGTAGTAATAATTTTTAATTTGTAAATTCAAGTTTTCAGTTATTTAATATGTTGTGTAAGTAACTCTAATAAAGCATAATATGTCAAGAAGATACATATTTTTGTCATTCTTATAATAAATTATTTTAGATAACTTATTTATATTTTATGTTTCTTAAACTTTGAATATCAGTATGGAGGTATTTATTAAAATCAAGAAGGTTATAATTATTTTTCATACTTTATTGCACTTTCCCAAAGAGTACAATTTTATTATATGACTTTGTTATGAAATGTGAACATTGGAGTAAGTTGTAAACAATTATATCAAGTTTAAGATAAAAGTATACAATTCTGTGATGTATATATCATTTATGGGAAAACAATGCCGTAATATCAACATAGGAAAAAAGAGTGATGCATTGTGTAATGTATAAGCATGGTACGTATCCTTGAAAAAAAAATAAAGTAGGTTCTTTATTATTAAGAGTAATTTGACTTGTTTTATATTGCACAAAACAATCTTTCATGAATTATAAATTACAGGGATTTATTAAAGTTGGTAAAAAATCAAATTTGGATTTGAACTTACTTCCAAGTGGTGTTTGAGTACTATGAAATATGTTTACATGTATACACCTACAGAAAAAGGAAAAGTATAAATAATCAAACACAACAGGAATGTGTATTATTCAGATATACAAAAAGATACATTCATATCCAATTTTTTATCTAAGATGCTTCATTGAACAATTTCTTGTTTTATATTGTACTAAATAATGAGTAATTGTTTGCTCATATAAACCTTGATTAAAAAACCTATCATATTGATTATACCTATACAAGAATATCTCAGCAATACGATACAGAGATTACTATTAGAATTACAATTTTTAATCGAGTTTCCTAAACATGTTATTGATTTATGATAAATGTTGGATAGTTTAACGAGTAGAGCATAATAATTTAATTAATGTGTAGGAATTTCTAACAGTTGATGTAGACCTCGTTAAGTTCGAGAAATGTAATATAAATATAAAAATCTCATTCGTTTACAGAATCGTATGTAAATGCACGTATGTATTTAATCTGTATATATGAAAATATTAAAACAGTTTATTTTATTGCTTAAAATAAAAGTGCAGTAAATAGTAGGTAAATCACACGTATCATAAATTATTTTGTTTTTAATTTATGTATACAAGTGACGTGCATAAAAAAATGTGTAGTGTGTTTCAAACTATCAAGATATTCTTTTTATACTATAATATAATTTTTATACTTCGATCTTTTTATACTATTGTAACATGTACAATAATTTGAATGTCAACGACTGGACAGAAAAATGTGAATATTTTCTACAGTCGATTTTGTTACTATAAAGTCAATGAATACAGCACTAACACAGTATCTTTACAAATGTTTAGTATACACATTTTTATACTAATACTTTGTATTGTATGGTATAAATATTTGTTGCACCTGTTTCAATGATATACTGTTGTAAGACTGTATGTACTTCACATATTTAAGAATTTGCAGAAATTTCTTTCTACTAAAATTGATAAGACAATAATAAGGAAAGCTAATTAAACTTAACTATTAAAATTACTATATATCATTATGGCTTTCTACTTGTAACATTAGCACCATAACCATACTGTTTTAAGTGCTTAATGTAATTCAATAACATTTATTATTTATATTTTGGAAATACTTATAGAAGTATTTCTGTAATTGCACGCTATATGAGACAATAAAATTTAAAATTATTAATAACACAGTATAATGCAAGACAATTAAAATTACCTCTTTGTGCAATAACAAAGAAAAGAAATTGCAGCTTATTTAAAGAAACGGTAATTATTGTATCTTTCAAATTTTGTAAATTTATAAAATGCTTTAAAATTGACAAAACTGTAATATCAAAATATAAATTGTCTAAAATGCATATGCATATAATAATTTATTTAGAGCTCTAAGATGTAAAGGATATTATTTCATCGAAAATTTGAATCTTTACCTTTAAAATATTAAATATTAAAACTTGATTACACTGCAATTAAAGAAATCTAATAAATGTTTAGATACTTCAAAGGAAATTGAAGAAATTTCAAAAACTAATTTATAAATAAATAAAAATTATGCTTATCTTAAATCAAAATCAATAAACTTATTTCTCAAGTAATATTATGTATTACTAATTTAAAAACAATGTTCAAGTTCTCCAATCCAATCAAAACTGTTTTAGTTCATGATTTGTTATATCTTGATATACTATAAGATGCAGTTTCTTTACATTTAATTTTGTTGCACAATAATATAATGAAATAATGAGAACAACAATATCAAATTCATTTAACATTCGTTCTAGTTAATATAATACTTGCATTTTCATCAATTTTCTGTTTTTGTTCAACCTTATTTGTTCACATGTGATCACTATAAACAATCAACCACTATTCGTGCAATTAGTAGCAATATTACTAATATCAAAATAATCAAAATAATGGAAACGATCAAGTACTGAATAAGCGTCTCCTTTCCATTCGATTTTCAAGATACCGTTTTAAAGATTAAGAGAACATATAGTGCAAGTTTGAGCGATACAGTGCGCGTGCAAATGCGACGGATATGTTGAAGATGGTGGTGGTAGTGATAGTGGCAGTGATAGCGATAGTGATGGTGGTGGTGGAGGTGGTGGTGGCGGTGGTGATGATTATTATTTATATTTTGGAAATACTTATAGAAGTATTTCTGTAATTGCACGCTATATGAGACAATAAAATTTAAAATTATTAATAACACAGTATAATGCAAGACAATTAAAATTACCTCTTTGTGCAATAACAAAGAAAAGAAATTGCAGCTTATTTAAAGAAACGGTAATTATTGTATCTTTCAAATTTTGTAAATTTATAAAATGCTTTAAAATTGACAAAACTGTAATATCAAAATATAAATTGTCTAAAATGCATATGCATATAATAATTTATTTAGAGCTCTAAGATGTAAAGGATATTATTTCATCGAAAATTTGAATCTTTACCTTTAAAATATTAAATATTAAAACTTGATTACACTGCAATTAAAGAAATCTAATAAATGTTTAGATACTTCAAAGGAAATTGAAGAAATTTCAAAAACTAATTTATAAATAAATAAAAATTATGCTTATCTTAAATCAAAATCAATAAACTTATTTCTCAAGTAATATTATGTATTACTAATTTAAAAACAATGTTCAAGTTCTCCAATCCAATCAAAACTGTTTTAGTTCATGATTTGTTATATCTTGATATACTATAAGATGCAGTTTCTTTACATTTAATTTTGTTGCACAATAATATAATGAAATAATGAGAACAACAATATCAAATTCATTTAACATTCGTTCTAGTTAATATAATACTTGCATTTTCATCAATTTTCTGTTTTTGTTCAACCTTATTTGTTCACATGTGATCACTATAAACAATCAACCACTATTCGTGCAATTAGTAGCAATATTACTAATATCAAAATAATCAAAATAATGGAAACGATCAAGTACTGAATAAGCGTCTCCTTTCCATTCGATTTTCAAGATACCGTTTTAAAGATTAAGAGAACATATAGTGCAAGTTTGAGCGATACAGTGCGCGTGCAAATGCGACGGATATGTTGAAGATGGTGGTGGTAGTGATAGTGGCAGTGATAGCGATAGTGATGGTGGTGGTGGAGGTGGTGGTGGCGGTGGTGATGATGAAGGTGCCGGTGTCGGTGACGGTGGTGGTGGCGGTGGTGGCGGCGGTAGCGGTGACGATGGTGGTTGTGGTGGAGGTGGTGGCATATACAGCCACCCGGCGTTAGTTGGCCAGACAGTACCTGACGTGGAGGAGATTGGAAGCAGCGAATTTCCATTATTTACGGCTGTTGTATGTGACGTTGATCCACCCTCTACTCACATTACCTAAAACAAATGAACATTACTTTGTAAACTGTAATGATCAATCAGCTTTGTAAGATATTCTTCTCAATCCTGTTTAACATATTTTATTTATTTTGTAAATTGTAATATGATCACAATTTAACGTTTCTTTGGTTAAGAGGAAGTGTAGTGTAGGAAAGGTGTTTCACTATTTTATAGTGTTCATTGGGTAGAAGATTTACCACTCCATTTAGGATCTCCTGTAGGTTTCTTCCATGTTCACTAAAAAGACTTCATTACTCTGGTTAAAATATTCTTATGTTCTTCGTAGGTTTTCTCAGGTTTCTCTTTACACTTACTCTTAACCAAGAAAAGTTTATATTATAATTACAGCTTTTAATACATTAGGTTATGTTTCTACCCCAAAAGAAAATTTTAAACGGTTCCAATAGTTCCATAATGAAAAAGTAACTACCTGTAAGATTTGACTGGCCTCAAAGGCTGTCCCTGGTAGTAATATGACTGGACTACTAACGTGTCCGCTTTCCACACAAATCATGTTTGGAAACTCGTCATCACCGAAATCAGGTATATCACGAGCCTTTTCTTGCCAGGGGTTCCATACCACCGTGTCAGGAAAATTATATTTTTGTACTCGCATTTTCCTACCGGACACAACGTTAGTAATTATGTGTTCCGGTTGTGTATTTTGATAAATTCTATCTGTCCATTCGCACACGGTCACCACGTCGCGACCCTCTTGAAAGATTTGATTGTCCCTTGTCTACAGACAAAGAAGACCTCATTTACTGAATTTCATTTATAAAACGAAACATACATATGACGATTAAAAGCCATTCGAACAAATTAAAATACATTAAATAGCAGAACGTAGGCGACAACAAATTGTACCTTGTCGATAAACGTGCATCCGTGAAGGCCTGTAATCTGGCATCGTCTAACGTCCGGTACCTTGAAGTAGGTGTGCAGCAACAAATTGAAACTAAATGTATGGTCTTTACTGGGATTGTATATACCGATGTTGAAATGTAATTCCTTTTCCCGAAGAATTAGCCTGTATGTCAATTTGAAAGGATAATTCCACATCGATCGAGTGAATTCACTGTCCATGATGGAAAATATTGCTTCAACGTCGCCACTTGGCAACCGCTCAGGTGACTTCTCCACATTCCAGCGTACAATTCTGGCGAACCCGTGAGGCGGTCCAAACGTCCATGCTCCAAATTGCGCTGAAATGATGGATTTCATGATTGACAATTATTTAAAACTTAATATCATGATTTTTATATACTTACGGAAAACAAATGGAATGCCTCCTCTGATAGCTTTTTTCCCATCAAAGACAGCCTGTTTACTGAAACAGAAAAACATGAATGAATCAGAGAAGGAATATTATGTAATGTTTCAAAGCAAAGAAAAACAAGAAAATGGCGACTGGACTCAAGAGTCTATGACCTCTAGTACTAAGGTCGAGTATAAATAACCTCATCCACCTGCCAATGTAATCTGCTTTCTTAACAGTGCATTGGTACAGCCAGTCAACTGTGACCTAAGCTATTTCAAGTTAAAACGTGTAATACTTCAGTAATAATTTTACTAAACTGTTAGACAGGGTGATGCCCCCCTTAATACTGTATAGTTTAATTATTACTATATTTTTATATTCGTACTTTAAATTATTGTAATATTTAATATTTGAGAAAATTGAAAAATAAGGATTATGGCATTTGAAACCGACTCAGGTACTGCCTCATGGAGAGATGCAGTTTTTAATATGGAATATTGTAATTAATATTAGATTTGTAATAGTCATTAGCACCCTAATGGATTATTTTGCATATTTATAGAAACTAACGAGAAATAAAGATTGCGAAACCGGAAATCGAGCCTAGGACCTTCACCCTAAAAACCCACAAACGCATTTTACCGTACACCAATGTATTTTCCAACTGAACAATGTAATCTATTTTCCTGGATGCATAAATCGTAGAAGGTGGTGGTAATCCCATCCGTTTGCACGGTCTCTTCAAGCAAATGGAATACAGTAAGAGAAAGACAAAGAAGGAAGGGTTCGGGTGATACAGAGAGAGAACGGAGGTAAAGGGAGAAGTGAACGGAAGGTCGAGTTAGGCAACAGAGGGTGAGGAAGGGTGGAAACGAAAGAGAGAGAAGGCGAAGGGAGGTGGTACAGGAGGAGGTGGAGGATATACCAGCACGAAGTACGACGCGGCGGTAGGAACGCGGCTGACGCCAAGCAAAAACGATCGGCGTTGTCTGCCATGCTTTTTGCAGGCATCATAGTTTCCAACCTCTCTCCTCGTCATTTCTGGCTGCTGTTATCCCCCGTTGCTACTGCTGTGTTGCTCGTAAACCGATTCTCAACCCGGTTCAACGGCTGCTGTTCTCTCCACAAAATAACTTCTTCGTTTTGAGGCAGTTGCCATTGTGCATCAAGGTAATAAACAATAACATATGCGAGTCCTTAAAAACAATTCAAAATTAAGCAAAGACATTACAGTCAAACGTATTTTGTTTCAGGAATATCTTTACACTCTGTTTTGCAACCCTTCTTATCGGATAAGATTAATCAAACAGATATTTCACTCTTTCGCACATTTTTCATCGGAATTGCAGTTGGTACTCTTTTCTTCTTTACTGGACGTGAGGATCTTTGTGACACAAACGACAAGCAATTTCGGTTTTACATACTGAAGGATATAAAAGGGAAGCACCCGGTGTACGTACTGAAGTTCACCGCTTCAAACTTCGGTGCAACCGAGAGTTTTTGCTTTATACTGAAGTTAGAAAATGTGGATATACGTGGTGGTATTTGCAGTTAAATTTGATGAGTTCGTTTGAATTTAAGAAACAGACGTTCAAGGATCTCTTGTGATTGCAACGAGGACACCCGTTAGAAGGTACTTGCTCGTAGTTCTGACGAAGCTAATAGTTTTTGTGTTTACCCGGTTTCAATGGTGGAGAACTGGCAACAACAGCAACAGCAGAGCACTAGCGGCAGGAGAGACTGTAAGGATTGACAATGCTCCCTCCCTGCTGGACCACTTGCCATCCCTGCGCTTGTTTCCTGGCTCGGAGAAACTTTGTTTAAATAAGGCTAGCAAGAAACAAACCTATTTATACTAGGTTAGACGCGTTTACACTCAGGATACCAGTAGCCATTCCCACTTTTGCACTTTAGAAGTGCTTCGGTATGGTCGTGCGGTAACTCTGGGTCCTGACAACAGCTGCTGACGAAGGAAGATATTTCTTGCAAGAAAATTGTATTGAATCTTCTGATTATTTTGAGTAGGCAGGTTTAGAGAGACACGGAGAGGTAGGGAGAGATACGGAGAAGTAGGGAGAGACGAGTAGAGGTAGGGAGAGACTGAGAGAGACCGGGAGAACCTAAGCAGAACCTAGCAAGAGTCACGAGAGAACCCACAGAGGTCCTAAGAAGAGAATTTCTTTGATTTAAAACTGTAATTTTCGTCGTTGTTCGATATGAATCTAACATTTGTAAAGTGATTTTGAAATTGAGATCATTTGCTGGAGTTAAATTCCACCCGGTATAATACCACGATGGGTTATAAGCTCGACCGTAGACTAATGATCCCAGAGTCTGCGGTTTTTGCCGACATTCTACAAGATTCCCATTCAACTGGATTCTGTTCTGAAGGTTCCCTGGCATCCTTTTCTGTCTACATAACACCATGAAGCACGTATCATTGCAGTTTTAATATTCATATGTCCCCTGCGTAGCCATAAGATGGGACGAGTAAAAAAACTTTAATCAAACATATTTTCAGTACGTCATATAATATTATGGAACCTTGAAGATGTCGTAAATTTCCATTTATATTCGTAGAGATGTAATAAATTTCTTGGACGCGTCGAAATATAGAGTAGGGTATTTAGTTTAAGCCCCTTTAAATCTTGGGCCTGAGGCTTAGGATGCCATAACTGGATGATCAGCTGATCGAGTAACCCTAGATAGCTGCACCCAAAAGAACAACTTCCGGAATTCCATTATGTTTCTAAATGGTAGCACACTTCATTGCGACAATCACATTATTATGTAATTTTTATATAAACTCATGCTCATACGAAATTTCTGCGAACGATAAAGAATCCAAGGGTTATTCGCAATGGTTAACGACGGTGCTCTTACTATCTTATTCGAAACATCAAACTGGGAATATAATTATTTTCAGATAATTATAAGCATAAAAAGTACAGTTTATTCTTGAATATTTCAACTGTATAACTGCAGAAAAAAGAACATGAACTTCAGGACAGAATTGAATTAATTCATAAATCAGCGCTTAAACGGTCAAGTGTGTATAAAGAGATCCATATCAAAGCGGACATACCGACAAGTCTTTTCCACGGAAATTGAAGTAAATTACAAGCAATGCTTGCCACTATTCGTCATACCTAACACAGACCGTCATTGTCACAGATATTTTCATTATGGTTTCACTTTCTTCCATGTATACTCATTTTTCAGATTTCTCTTGTTCTTTGGAACGTTTATTACCACGGCGCTCGTTTATAATCAATGCACTATTGTAACTCAAACTTAACATAGTAAAATAATTTTAATTACAAATTTTTATTAAAATAATATTATTATACTATTAATACCGAGAAGGTTAAAAACTTAAATTTGGAAATTAACTGTATGTATCTTTAATTCGTGCCACAAAGTTACTTACAACATATATAATTTACTGTAACAATTAACAAAAAAAATAGTTAGTATTGCTTTTATAGCAATAATATGAGGCAGAAAACTACAAACTCAAATTTGAAAATTAGGTACTTGTATTCTGAATAATTAAAGCTTCAAAATATTTTATGGTGCATTGTAGCAGTCAATCAAAAATAAGTCAGATAATATTGTTATTATACTACTAACGTGAGGCAATAAATTGAGAGTTTAAATTTGAAAATTAAGTATATGTATTTTACATAATGGAAGCCTCAAAGTGTCTTATTACAACTGGACATTATTTCCATTAGGCTACTAATGTGAGGCAATAAATTAAGATCTTAAATTTGAAAATTAAGTATATGAATTTTGCATAACGAAAGCCTCAAAGTGTATTATTAAAACTAGGTATTATTACTGCTAGTGTGAGGCAGGCAGTTGGGAGCTTAACTTGAAAAATGAAGTATTTATACGTTGAATGATTCAGGCCTCAAAGTATCACATGACACATGTTGATTTTCTTGCGGCGTTAAATGTGTTAATTTTGAGAAGAAGGCAATATATTTGAAATGAAGAATCGAAGAAAGAGAAACAGGTGGTCCCGACAGCGGCTTTACAGTCGAAAGAACGGATGACTGGCAACTGGCGAGGGACCCTGAACCTCGTGTAAAAGGTATGTACTGGTCCAGAGCGCCCTTGCCTTCGCTTCGTCAGTTTTTTCATCGTCTGCTCTCGGACTACCGCTTTTAAAACGAACGTCACAGGCACCGCGTGCTTTTACGCGGTTCTTTTACAGCAGGTGTACGTTTATGCCTTATATTCTTACGTCTTACTGTTAATCTATATTTCATTCGTATAAATACTAAGATTCATTAATTAAAACAATGCAGTCGCGTATGCTGGTCATTTCGTTACGTAGAAAAGTACGATGAGGTCACAGACTATAAAATATTTATAGATAAATTAGAAAAATAATGAGAAGTGTAATTGTTAAAAAAATTACTGGTTTCTGATGGACCTTACTTTATAATTTAAGGATTATGAAGGAAAGGATCCTAATTGTTCGGATTTCATTTCAACGAATTGTTTTAACGCACCTTCGGCCTCACGCTTCTTATGACTGTAGCAATTATATACTGCTCGTTATTTTTAACAGGAAATTGAATTGTTTGCGAGTTTCATTTAACATACACTGTAAATTTATTGTTTTTTAAATTGTAGTTCATGAAAAATTCACTGCAAGCGACTTCATTTGAGGCACAGCTTTCGATGAAAAATATGACAAATTTTTGATTCTTCAAATTAATCATTACTTTATATATGTTCTAACACTTATTTCGGAGAGATAGAAACGAGAAGGAGAAAAAAACTTTCCATCAAAAATTATATTTTCTGCGGCCTCACGATCATTTCGTAAATGATATTCTGTAATTGACATGGAGATAAATATGAACGACGAATGTAGACAAATTAAATTTACTGTAAAATATAGTAAGAAAATATCGTTGATGCCATAGTTCAATAAACTTATGAAACTTCTGTTATGGGACCACTAGATAACCCACGTTGACATCGAGATAAATTAGATCACCAAAGAACAGAATGTGTTAGTAATTCGAATACTGTTAGAATTAACAATTATTCGTTCTTGATGCATCAATTACGAATAAAATAGTTTGAATATAATTTTGCAATCAATTTTTGTCAACTGCCTTAACTTCATACGATTCACCGGATACCGTAATATTATCGAAATTAAACTAAATTTGTAGTCGATTCGTTAGAATATATGGATGTCATGCATTGTTTACTGTTTGTAAAAAGAATGTATATTTTTGAAAGCCGGTAACAATAATTAATAATAAAATAACGTACGAATACTCCAATGGCTTTGGGAAAACATATATTATTTAAATTAAGATAAACAATAAACGATATTTGTAAAAAATGTGAACTTACCTAACAAATAGTTGTTCCTGATTATTTACTCGCCAGGATACCACGGTGGCTCCTGGAAAATGGAAAATTTTTAATCAAAATCTGAGTTCACACCAAATTTGTGCCGCCGCGCACGCATGACATTCGCACTCGAAAAAAAAACAACTTCCGGCGTGTTTACAACGACGCTGCCGCGAGTACGTAAACAAATAAACAACGTAATATTCGATCAAAATATTATATAATACTGATGAACGTAACATACAATGCACACGAGAAAATATATCGCAGATAACACATTGCGACGTCCTCGAACTGAAAACGTAAGGACGAGTTACAATCCTTTGATTTACGTATGAGAACCGCACAAAAAACTGGAGGTTAGGCTTTAGTTAAGGCGCGCACGCACTTCGGTCTTCTCGAAACAAAATAAAGAAACGTCGCCCAGATCTGGGAGCGGTTGCACGTTACGTTTTTTATAATTAGTTCAATTCCTTTTACCACTCTCTGTTGACTAGTTGTTTTTTTTTAACCGTAACCGATGATGTGGAACATAACGTGTCGAGATAAAAATCTGTTTCGTGCAAAAAGATCACATCAGTGTATAAGTGTATTCGCAGATTGTTCCAAGGAGATTTTGAAAAGAACTTAAGCCGCCAACTCGCAGATCTGGTTCGTTCGTAGAAATCTGCACGCGCGCACACACATACCGTGTAAATTAATCGTGCAGGTGGTATTGTTGCCCCTGTCGAGCACGACAACGCTGGTAGCCGCTGCCATGTTTGAATCGTGAATGCGGCGCCGGCTCCTCGACCGACGCAGTCAACCTTTGTTCAATGCCCCTGGTTCTTCCCCCACCATAAGATTTGTTACTCTTTACACAAGTCATTCAACACCATACGCCATCTATAGGCTACGTGTGAAACTTTGTAAAAAAATGAATTATCCATCGATAAATTTTAACCACTTAAACACTGGATTTCCAAGTGGCGGGAGATTTCAACATAAGATACATGTTGCAACAACTATGACACTTAATCTGTGGTAAATAATACAATATGTATTCGTTCTCTGTCAAGAGATAAGATTTAAATAGCACTAACAATTGCAGTAGTATCATATAAATGTTTTTTATTCGAAAACGTGCAGGTATTTTAGAGCAAAGTAATTTAATCTAATTTCAATTTGACATAATTCTTAGGCGACTTTATTTCGACCTAACTAAATTTCGAATGAACTTTATACCATGTGAACCTAATTCTGATATAACTATGTACCGACCTAACTTATCTTCAATCGAATCCTACATTAATCTAATATAATCTAACCTAATTCAACTCCAAAGTCTTGATACATTGTATACATTCTACCCTACATCACATCCCTTAGAATCATTTCATCACCTTATCACAATCAATTAAATCACCTTAGAATCTTCTTGAATTCTGTCTAGAATTTCTCCAATACTTTAATATGCTAAAAATTGTCTAGAATTCTCTTAGAGTTCCCGTGAAATCTCCATAGGTTTTTCCTAGACATTTCTAAAATTCGTTTAGAGTAAGCGTAACATTTTCGTAGGATTTCCTTAGAGCGCTACTACAATTTCTGAATTTCAGAGTTTTTGTAGTGTTCCAATTTCAAAATCTTTGGCGGTAACGAAATGAACCAATCATTCTTTGTAGATGCGGTGTTCTTAAATGGCAACACAGGTTTTGGTACTTTAAGTCGAAAACGTGGCATCATTGTAACAGTGAGCCAGTAGATGGAACCGGTTGACAGAATTGTTTGGTGTTCCGTTCACGGTGATGTCCGAGTGTTCATTGTACCGTGTTGTTCTGTGCTGTATCAATTCGTTGAAAAATCTGCAAGGAAGTCGCCTATCGGCGGCGCTTATCACGACCTCCGGCAACGACAACGTGGATTGAGTGTAATTAGCTGGCAGTGTGTGGTGCTGTGGGGCAGGAGACGATGAGGGCCAGGGGGATAATTCGGGTGGCGACTTGAGGGTAGAAATGTTGAAATTTGGCAGCAAGAGTGACGTTACAGTGGTGCATCGCGCCACTATTCGACTCCTGGACGACGCTGAAATTATCCACTGCGACTTTCAGGTGAGACACTAGTCACACCGCTATCTTACACGCGGCTAACTATATCGATGACGCTTTGCACGCGTTTCTATCTCTTTTTCCGTCTGCTGCCGGTAACGATCGCTGAGCTCGAAACTTGCCACTGGTCCAGCAGTTTTTGGGAATCCCCTAAACATGATCTGCTCGAAAAAGTTTCATACATCTCTTTGACTATATCTATGTTATTCGATCAATTTCGAAAACTGTCCACTTCAGATGTAACAAATTCCTTATATCCTAAATGTCATTTTATAAACGTATTTTATGTATGTATATGTTGACATTGTGATAAATGTTTTGGAAACCCCCTTCTCACATCATCTCTCAAAAAATTGTTATAGGTTTCTGTGATGATATTCGTATCATTCAATTTTAAAATCTGTTCATTTTAAATATAACAAATTGTTTTGGTTTTAATTGTCATTTTATAAATGCAATTCGTATATGTTGACGTGATGAATGAGTATAGAAGATATTTTTATGTGTATCGAAATATTTTTCCGATGACATTGTTGACTAAGCAGTTTTAATCTTACGTTTCCGTCATTATGTAAATTAAAAAATGTAAGAATGACGATAAGTTTTACTTTTGGTGTAAGAATAGCGTTGACTCGAAACTATAAAATGTATGTTCTATTTTAATATTCATGCGTGAGTGTGGGTGAACATTTGTGCTGGGTGCGCGCGTGCGCGTGTGCGTGCATGCACATATAGGACTAGGTCGAAGATTTCTTCACGTAACACGACCACGTGCACTTATTGACAAAGATAGTTACTTTCTGAAATTAATCAGATATACAGGGTGTCTTCAAACAATTGTGCCATTCACTTTTGGAATTATAATTATGTTCTCTTCTCCTAATTTTCAAGGGATTGTGCACATATATTGGCGGATTTAGTTTTCAAAAGATCCGAAGCATTACAAATTTTCCTGCACATACAAAAGCGAAATATATATTATATGGAAACATTCATAAATCTTTAGATATTTATATTTTTGCAGTCCAACATTCAATATTCATATATCCTAATATTCATGAATATCCATATTTCCAGACACCAGAATCCCTAGATTCCTGTATTCCATGACCCTTGTACCCTTTGACCCTATATTTCTATTTATTTAATTCCTAGATATTTGGATTAGTGTATGCCTATATAAAAAAAAATCAGGAAGATGAAACTATTCATAAAGAGAAACAATTCATATTCTGTTTTCATTATATAAAATAAATCAAATGATATATTAAATTCATATTGTTCCATAAAAGTTGTATATGACCTAACGTAATCATTTCCATTGCCTCTGCGTAAATTCAGAACTGCATAAATATGAGGCATTTACTTTAAATTATAATTTATGTCAAATTTGACAGCATTTGCATGTAAATGTAATAAATCTTCAGAGTCATTCTCCTCTACCTATAATCTTGTTCCTTATATAAGACATTGCTAATTAATGATGTATGCAATGACATTGCCATTTTTATTTGGAGTAAGTAGATTGTAAAGGACAAATTCAGAATGTTTAATTGTTATTTTTAAATACAGCTATGCTTTTGATTCATTTTTTTTTTATTTTTGTAATGTAGAAAATACTGGTATTATCTAATAGTAATAATGTGTATATGATTAAATTGTTGTTCCAGGTAAGTGTAATGCTTGCGTTTTAATAGATGGTGACCTTATGGAAGGCAGTGACAAGGTCCATTCTGACTTGTACGTATCTTTTGTTCGAGGCAAATGCATCACGAATATTATACAAACAGAAGCAAAGTTAATGCAAGAATTTACAAAGTAAAGTAAGGATAAATCCTATATTTTCCTTTAGTTAACAGTCTATATTTTGAACAAGCAGCAGCAATGGTATCATGCAGACATTTACTAACGTGTTACTGTTCTAACTAAAATTAATGTACTAAATGTACATTCACATGTAGCAATGACTTCCACTCAATTCAAAGGGAGAAACCTCCAACCATTTGCCTAACTTCTACACAATTTAGTTTATGACTACAGTTTGGATATATCCTGTATCTAAATAAACTGATTGGTAGGAAGTAGCAATGTGGCATGCAATTATACTTTCTAAATGAATAAAATATTTTATATTAAGATAAATATTTTTGTGCCAGAATAAAACATAAATCTTTGTGTTTTGATTATTTGCAGTATTTTCTTTGTTACAGCCACAACATAAGGGAAGGTTTATCCTCGAATATGTATGCAAACAACTCAATATTTTGGAAACGGATTATTTTGGACTTCGTTACGTGGATCACTGTAGGCAGAGGGTAAGCTTATTTATTTACCACAATTTATTATTCAGAAACTTTACCTGTCTCATCTTTGTAATGGAATTGAGCATTTAGATTGACTCTCTTCCTGCCTCGTTAATTGGATTTAAAGTTTCTTTTGTAAACTTTAGCATTTGTATGTTTTCCTTTAATAGACCATCCAAATAAGCTGTTGATGTATCTTCATTTTGTATTTCATAACCAGGGTCATGATGGTGTGTATGGATGTGAAGACATCACTGGTGAATCTGAACCATTCTTCATATTCTTCTGGTTGTATCATTATCTGCAGTTGGATTCCAACACCATTACTTCATATAGCTAGTTGGCATCACAGCTGTGAACTGTTCTTACATTGATGAAATTTGTAATGTGCTGCTATTTGCAGGGTTTCTCTCAATCCACCCAGTATATCTTGAGTAGTGTAATTATACACACTTCCTGTTGCTACATTTAACTCATTAACACAATTATAGTGTAACTTCGGGTATATATGACCCTGATCTCACGTGATACGGCGCGACGTCGTCGCGTGACACACTATGAAACTAAGGCAGTTGTGATAGACAAATAGAATATAGGTAGCCAAGTATAACACTTGTTTAAGTACAAAATTTTATAATCTCCTTGCATTATAATAGTAAATATTCCAAAAGGATACACTGTATACTTCTATATCTTAAAAAGCACTAAAGGACATATTTAGTATTGATGCATTACATTCAGAGAAAGTAGGTGTGACAATACTTGGAAGTGTTCATTACACAAGCAATTACTCATGCAATTCATTATTCTTGCATATATATTTTGATTTTTAATGGATGATGATTGATCTTCTGTATGATAGAAATTTTGCATCATATTAGGGATATCCCTATATGGATCTCTCTTATATTAAGGATTCTCCTATGAATTCCCACTATTTTTGCCCTATCAAACATGTAGTTTACCATTATTTAATTAGGATTGTATTTAAAGTACATATATTCTAGTATTTTTTCTTAATAATTGCATTTCATTTATTATTGAATTGCTGTTCTGTCTCGTATTTTAATTACATATTATTCTATTTCAGCATTGGTTAGACTTGGCAAAAACAGCAATTAAACAAGTTAAAGGTCAGTATTCATATCTATCACGATTAATAAGCAATAAGTTAATTGGACATATGTAGTGACATAAATGAAATGTACAAGAAGGCATATCACTGGATTGGTATGTAGATACATAGCAATGAAACAGCTGTGACCAAGGTTCGATTGCTATGTATTTTCCTTTCTATAGTCGATCGCCGTGGATCGATGTTACATAAAACTTTCAAACTCACGACCCACTGTACTATTTTTCCATAGATCTGAATAAAAAGTACATATCAATTTCAGCAGAAGAAAAGAAGGCGGTACATAATAATAATAGGGGAGATATAAACAATCGTTATCATCTTTGAATGATAATTTCGTCGGATACAGCTTTTACGAATTCAATGCATATAAATAACACGAAGCTTCAAATATTAATTATAATAAATTATTTTTGCATTCCTGTCGCGCATGTACAGTGAGGAACAAACTGAACCAATAATATCATTTTTCAACAAAATATATTATTCATATGCATATTAATAGCTGTTACACAGAAAACAATTAATGTCTTAATTTAATTAATTTCAGTTTGTTAATTGTAATATACCATGACTCAGTAAAAATATTGACAAAATCATGAAACAATTAATAATAAAATATTATTACTGAGTATTATTACTTAAGTTTAAATTAAAATGTTTAATAGTCTTTTAAAGTGAATTTATTGCATAATTATATAATGTTGAAAAAATGGTTTTATTGGATCAGTGTTATTTCTCACAGTAAGTAAAAACATACATGTACATGCGTTCCTCCTCACCATAACTGTGTTCCAGACATGGACCCGATTCTGTTTAGCTTTCGCGTGAAATTCTATCCACCGGATCCTCTGAGGCTAAAGGAAGAAATAACTAGGTATCAAATTTACCAGCAGCTGAAAAGGGACCTCCTTCATGGACGACTTTATTGCAGTCCGGGTGAAGCTGCGCTGCTGGCAGCGTGCATCGTGCAAAGTGAGTTAATTTTATTAAAATTAATATTATTAATAATATTTTTCCATATATTCCATATATATTTTTTCTTTCTTTACTACATTCCTAATAAATTAAACTATTAATAACTTAACAATTTTTTATTTTAGGTGAATTAGGGGACTATGATCCTGAAATTCATGAAGGGAACTATATTTCCGAGCACAAATTATTACTTAAGCAAACAGAGGCTATTGAAGAAAAGGCTATGGAACTGCATCAAACGCAATTAAAGGGGTTCACATCAGAACAAGCAGAAACTCATTTTCTTAGATTAGCTTCACAATTGGATACATATGCTGTTGATCCACATCCAGTTAAGGTAGAAATAATGATCTTTTCTATTATTATTCTTACCTTTCCCATATAGATATTTAAAGAAGTATGTTTTGGTATATTTTCAGGACCAGAAAGGTGCACAACTATATCTTGGCATAAACCATTGTGGGATTTTAACGTTTCAAGGATCCCGAAAAACACATCATTTCCGCTGGCCGGATGTGCAGAAAATCAACTACGAAGGAAAAATGTTTATTGTACATTTAACGATAAGCGAGGTAAAAAAATTCTGCATTCTGCTTTAATTATTTTCTTAATTTATATTTCTAACCAAAACCATTATACGTCGTTAGAAATGTGAAAATCTTATCGTGTTATGAATATTCTACTTTAAAAATCATAGAAAATGCGATGAAACTATTTTTATTTACTTTCTTTTCATAGATACCGTAAGTATAATGATAATAATTGGTCGAATCATTTCTTGGACGTGGTCGATATATCAGCCTTGACCCAGTGACTGCACGTAGCTTATAGGATTACTAACTCCATGAGTCTTCCAATCGTCTAAAGCACAATCACATTTTCATAACTACATACTTACAGAACAAACAAACATAGCTATTGATCTCTCCGAATTAAATTTAGTTTAAACAGTAGATGTAAAATGTATGAAAACAATTCATGAAACAGATATTTTAGAGATGTTGTATTAGTAAAGTAGGTTGTATATTATTTTATATTATATTTTTTATAAATAACGCTTTGATAAATTCGTGTTTTCAATTCTGCTTAATTTCATTTTTTTTTTTTTTTTTAATATTTAATACGGTAATGTCTACACTAGTATACTAGTATTACCCTCCTTTATGTATATAATTATAATATTGTCAAATATTTATTGTAAGTAAGCATATGCTGTCCAGCATTGTATAAAACATTTTCAGGTTGAAGCTTTGTGTATAAAGCATATATGTATTGTAAACATATATTGTACGTTCAATATTGTTACGAGTTCGACTAATCTTATTATTTTCCACTGCTGGGCCTAATTCAGGACGTGAGAACGAAGGTGAGTCGTTTCGTAGCAGTTACATGGGTTGTTCATATGTTTCTTAGCTTTAAATTACACGGTTAAATCGAGTGTTTTGTTGTGTACCAAAATAGAATTATCCTTAATCATTAATTTAATTATTGTTGTGCAAATGGACAAAATTACTGTGCAAAGTATAATTGGTTTTGATCAGCAGTTTCAATGAGACGACGGTGCCGTTTGAAGTCTCTTAAATTGGTAATCATACATGTTCAAGGATATATTAAAAAATAATCATTTTAAATAAAAAAAATTAATTGGAATATATAGAGGAAGGTGTATTTTATTCTCCAGTTATTCCCATGTTAACTAATTTTAAAGTGACAGAAGAGTTATTTTTTAGTCTATCCTTGTGCCCTTAATTTCACATTATATAATTAAAATAAATTATGTATACTATTACACAAAGGCCAATGTCATTTGCATTCAATAATTAATTCATAGTCGATTATAAGGGCCTTTAAATGATAAATAATTGAATCCATCTTCGTAATAGAAGATGTGCTTACAAAATTGTTCTGTAAAGGAATTGATTAAATGCTCTATAACCACCCGAAGTAGCTGTCGATAAATACGTACATAGAGTAGAGGTTTCAGTGCAATGTTTTCCCCGCAATTTTCAGAAAAAGCACACTGTTGGGTTTAAGTGTCCCACGGGATCGAACTGTCGCCACGTATGGAGATGCGCCATCGAGCAAATGTTATTTTTCACGTATGTATGCTATTATTAAGCTGAAATGCTTTTAACCCTTTCAGATCCAAATATTTTCATCACACTTTCAACATAAATCAGGAGTTGAATCTGGTCAATACTGAAAGGGTTGATGCACTACCATAAATAATTGCACCTTCATTTTGCTTAAGTTAAATATATCATAAATTTATTCAAGGAACCTTTAATTTGAAACTAAGAAGCAGTAATTTTGTCTATTATTAAGATATAGAGAAAACATGCTATTAATAGAAGTTGTAATTGGATAATTGGTATCGAAGAATTTATAACGAGATTTCAGTCAAGCTTTATTAATCCTTCACATTTCCAAATTTAGTTTCATAGATCAACATGCTTGTTTAGAGGTTTAATATCAGTTAGTCAATTAATTACTTAAATTTGTGTAATTCTTAATTCTTTTTATTCAATCCTACAAGTCTTATCACATTTTCAAACTTAATTGTATAACATTACATATTTCTGAAGTAACATTTTAAGGCATAAGAATTTGAAATTAAATTTTCAAGATCTTTCAAGTCTTGAATTTCTTTCCAAGTTGATGATGCATGAATAATTACACAAATTTAAGTAGTGCTCTTCAAATTGATTTGAAAGTCGTCAACAGTTTTTGTTTGTTTAAATGGCACCATATATTTTTAAGTTTATAGCATAGTAGCTGATGTCAAGGCGAGTTCAATGACATAGAATCTTTTATGACCTTGAAATGGTATCACACACCATAATCACACACCACATTCGAATTTTGGCGGGCACTGAGGTAATCATGCCCATAAATCGCATTTTCTAACAAATTTTTATTCGATAAAGATATAAATTGTAACTTTAAATTTGATAATAAAGTGAGTTAACTAATAAGCGCTTAATATTCTCTGATGATCAGATTACCCAGAGCGTCAGACGCACCGGTTGTAAGCGGTGGATCTATATTCTCATGGGGTACAAAGTTCAAATATACCGGAAGAACTGAAAAGGAAGTGTTGGAAGAAACGGGTCCACTACGAAAAGAAGAACCACCTATACAACGTTGTCAAACTACGTGTCTTAGAAGAAAAGCTAGCAGTGTACCAGCCACTCCAAGTACACCTAGCCAAGATCTCGTTGAAATAAGTTAGTACCTTTCATTTTTAATTTTGCACACTGTATATGCATTCTATACATTCAACAGTATAGTTCTTTTAACATAAAGCTTAAAAAATTTATGCATAGAAACATGGAATGCCAGTAACATATTCTAGGTGCTATTTATAGTGAATGTAAGATAAAACATTCTGAAACTTGATTTACAGGATACTCCAGTTTACCACGTAGCTGTCATAGTGCAGGTTTAGATGGAGCTGGAATGTCAGAAAGCAGCACCGGTATTCCATTTAGTTCACCTTATTGTCCAGATAATACTTTACCACCTCTGGAAACAGTATCAGAGGACCAAGAAATTCATGCTAGGAGAAACAATGGTTAGTTTTACCATGTTTCATCGGTGTCATTTTTAATATATTGAACTTTTACTTTACTACTTTTCTATGCTGACTCGAGACGCATGGCTTGTAAAAATACTAATTTTTAATAAACTTATAGATAAAAATATAGTTAATCACAAATTAGAAATTTATTTCTTATCAAAGTTGTAGTTTTAAAAAAGATTAGTTCAACATTGCCCGTTAACGATAATTTTGAAAAGAATTAAAATTACTAATTAATTGATTTCAAACCATGCGTTACGACACTATGTTATATACTTCTTACGCGCATGTGTAAATAACTAATATGTTTCAGGCTTGAAAATTACTTTCTTATTTAAAATATTACCGTATCTTGCAGCCAGTAGATTACCAGATTACAGAGTAATCGATATTCAAAATATAATGGTAATCTAATGACTAATTTGTAGTTTCAGGCTTATATACTTGCATGTATACGTTTTTTGTTTTAATGATCCTGTAAACTATGAACTCTGCATGAAGGTTCTTTTATCTGGATGGAAGGCTCAAACAATTTATAGTAATCACTTCTGAAAAAACTTTTTGTTTAGTTTTTATTTTATTCATTTTATTTTTATGTCATCACATATATATTGTAGGCATTTGCAAAAAATAACTACATTTATTATTTTGTTCAAAAGACTATTATTTTTATATAAAATATTATTTTATTATTTTATATTTAAAGAGAGCCTTACATCTGGAAAAGCAAATAATACTTAATGGTCTGTGCAACTGGTTGTAATGTAAAATACCCTTCATCAAATGTACATAAAAAAACATACAGAAAAACATTCAAAGACATGTAAAAATACTTAACAGTATAGTCTTGTACATAAAATATTTTGCTTCACGAACATAACTTTATTATTGTATTGAAGTTATGCCGTCCTAATTTAACAGCAAAAGCTTACATTCCTGTTTGCTGCACTTTATTTATAATTTTTATTTTATTAAGTAATCGCAAAAGGCTAGTATGTTTTCATGATAAAAATAAATACTGCAGGATACCACTTATGGTATATCAATTTGAAGTTTAAAGAAAATGACTACATAAAAATTTCATTGATAAGTTAAAGATAAGATATAGAATTATTATTAAAATTAATGAAATTAACTGAAATGAGAATAGCCATTTAGAATCTCCGCTTTTTTGGCTTATTAGACTGTTGATTTGTCTTTTTCCTTTTCTTTCTGTTCGTTTAGCTGTAGACGAAAACGATACGCATGCGAGTGCCACCCACAACACCACAACCACCACCATTACCACTACTACCACCACCACCACCTCGAACACCATCACAAATCGTGCGAAAGTTAGATTGAAATATCCAAAGAGCACGTTGAATCGACCTCAACCGTTGTACAGTCAAAAAATAGTGATAAGCTCGGAGGAGTTAGTTGGCCGTAACATCGATAACATCGTCAGACAGCGAATAAATGCTCTTGAAAAGAGCCCCAAGGTGGTCAGATCGACCGCATTGATTATAAAGAGCTCAAAAGTGTCGGCAAACTCGTTGAAAGCTGGTAAAGAAACCGCGAATGAGACGTATATATTCCCGGCAACCGATCCAGGAACGTTCGTCACGACGGTAATAGAAAGTCCTTCCGACTTTAGCAACGGTAAGATGATATTGCACAGGTCTAACGAGCAGGTAAGCATACTCGCTCGTCGGGAGCATGAGGTATCGTGGCACAGCACGACTGCGATGACCAGAACGGCAAATGGTTGCGTTTCCATGCTGAGAAATGATCGAGGAGACATTAGAAATGGAGTCAGAACCACGAAATCTCAGGAAATAACAGGTAAATTAGGTAATGGGTTCTCCTTACATTCACCAAGGCATTATCCAAATTACTCTATCCTCTATCTTAGTCAGGCCTGCTCAACTTCATGCTCTTTGATCACTGCCATACCTCTTAGATCTACGATCACCTGGTGGTGGAAACTCCACTGATTGTGAGAGAATTCACTATGACTTTTATTATTGCCCAAAGATGTACAGGGTTTCCCCGTATTTATGTTCATTCCTCGCTTACATGTCAGAAATGACCAAATTTGTTCAGGATTTTTTCTTACTATACTAATATGTTAGTATTTGAAATATTTCATCGTACCTAAATTACAACTTATATGGAAGTAAGAATGTGGAGAAGTCTCGATAAACTTTGGTCATAACTGCCCAAAACTGTACACAATATTGTAGTATGTACCCATTACCCTGGCAGCACCAGTTGAGCAGACCTGCTCTAACTCTAACGCTAACATGACATCTTTACTATTTAACCATTTATGTACACAATATTATTTATATGAGTATGTTAATAGTTACTGCGAGTGGTATTATTATATTCCAATCGAATTTTTTGCATACTGTTTTCTTCTTTTGCATTGAATCAGCATGAGCCTGTGCATATTCGAAATAAGAAAGATAGTTTTTCTTTGTCAAACAAAGGTTTAATATTGCACGCATAGAGTTAGTCAGAGATTTTCTTCTAGAGGTGGGTAAGCTTTGCATTATTAAATAATACATTGGAAATATTGATCTAAACTTTGTTATGCAACATTCCCTAAAGAATTATTAAATATTCAATAATCAAAATGCTCTAATGTACATATATATACAGAATAATTTTTATAGATTAATTTGATGAACTTGATGTATAAAATTAGCAACGAAAATTGCATATTGTCAAACATTACATATTGCACAATATTTAGGTTTTGCAATTTTACTAAAATATGTATATCGTCTTCAGTTTTGTTTTAAATGCAAAAAATAAATGCAAGTTTAATATTAAATTTCGATTATCATTAATAAACTGCAATTGCATTTAAAACAGAGAAAGGCTTATTGTGGTATACTAATTAAAGATTAGAATTCAATGTCAGGACGAAGGAAAAAATTAATTTGTTACTTTGCTTTTGAGATACAAGCAATCAGAAATTGGTATATGCTTTTAGGGTGACAATGTTAAAAACACAAAACAACTGCATGGATATGTCAGTACTTAAAATGAAAATAAAATAAAAAACTAATTTTCCTTCATTCTAATATCTAATTCTACATAGTAGATTCATTTTTCCATCAAGTTCATAACGTAGACAAGTGTAATTTAAAGCGTTGAAAAATATTTGTTTCAGTCGGTCAACACGAGGGCGATACAAACGATTACTACTTTAGGGATTCTTTTGATCATTCTTCGTCCGAAAGTCAACTACTGGACACATCCGGCAAACCTCACAGTCGTTCGGTAACGCCAGTACCAAAAATGCAGAAACTTCAAAATTCGAAACTGTGTCTTCAACAACAACAGCAGCAGCAACAGCGGCATCAACAACAACAGCCTCAACAACATCAACATCAACGGCAATCACCTAGTCAACGTTATGATAGCAGATTGAAGTACAAAAGTTTTCGAGTAGCGAGGCTTTTCATTCCAGCTTTTATGCTTACGATCACGGTTCTGTTCATTGTGATCGTCCTGGTGTTCGAAACAGACACGACGCTTTTCAATAGCCTGCGCAAGACGCCAGAAATGGTGGCCTTAAAGAACCAATATTATGTCCCCATCAAGGAGTTTCTGAGGACAAAGCTCGGCCTATTTTGATGCGACCTGATGATGACCGAGCTAAGGTCGTCCTTTGTCGCTAATTAGCTCCCTTCAGTGCCAAGTCGAGAAGATGCTCTTGCCGAAATCAAGAAACGAGCGAGTTTCTAATGCCGCGTTCTTATTTCTTCTATAAATTTATCGGAGAATTTGTTTTTCCTTGCGTTTATACTGGAAAAGTACATAGGAGTACTTATAACAAAGAAAGTACCTTTGATTAATTCATTCTTTATTTTGAGTTATTTAATCTTTTCAGGGATGAATTTATTAACCTTCAGAGTATCAAAGGGGTTACTTTATACCCATCATGTTACTACTGTGAGGGTTAGTCATAAAAAAAGGTTGTCATTATCTGTCATAAATATGTCTGTATTTATAGTAATATTTACAACTTTGCCAAACACAAAGAATTTGTACTTATGCATGTGTCAGTGTCCCTGAAGAGGTTATAGACAGAACACTCTAGCAGGTAGAAAATTGTTTAAACTCTGTAATTTTTAATTCACCAATTTTGGTTGTTGTAAATTAAGAAACTTTAAGATTTAAGTGGAGGGAGATAGACCACTTTTATATCTATTATAAATCAAACTCGGAGTAATTTTTAATTTCCTGAGACTTTAATTCTGTGGCCATTTTAAAATAGAAAATACTTGTTTATTGGTACTGTTTAATGCAGGATTATTTTCAGTATTGAGTATTTTTTAAGATTTTAATGAGTCTAATAATTCAAATGAAGGTTTTCTAACCTGATAAAGTGTTCAGTCATATAAAGTGTAAAATATTTGATACATTTGCTATCAAATAATCAAGTCATTTATGTTACAGCATTTGTAGGTTGCGTGCAATTTTGTAAATTGTAGTATCTCAATCGAGTTTGTTTAATAACCTGGAATGAAAGTCAGTTTTTAAATGTTAGATAGCAAATGTTGCAAATCAGGAAGATTACATAAAGTAGGTCATTTGCAAGTACATTTTGAATTAAGTAATAGAACATGAGAAGAAATATTAGCTAGCTTATTGCACAAGACACCTTCACATTCCATTCAACATAAAATGTATTATTTGAACTCCAAGTTTTTAATTATTAAGCCGTCTTGTCATCGGGATCACTGTATTTTCTATTGTATAAAAGTTTCATATTTTTTAAGAAGCTTGAAATTGTTGAATAAACGCTTAAGATGTCATTTAATTCGCTTCAATGACTGTTCTTTATTCACCATGTATTCATAAAATCAATTTAATCAACATCCATGCTTATCCAGGGAATCTTTTATTTTATTAAACATATCACTTATTAAGTTGAACACTTTATTTAATTACACGTTTGTAAAATATTAGAAAATACAGTGATTAGTTTGAACGCGTATATCAAATTCAGCATGTGCAATTTTTAATAATCCATGGTTTATAAGTCATTTATTTTCTGGCAATACTAAGTAACAAATATTTCTGGCAATACTTCAATATATCTTAGGTACAATTGTATCTGACAAGTGATATTTAATCAACGTCTATAGATCAATTTGTTATATTTTTATTCTAACATTACTGTGATGAATATTTTCTATGAAGTACGAATTAAGAGAAAAACAATATACTTCCTGACATTTTGTGTTTGGCATGCGACAAACACATACCACAAACCAATACTCATTACAATATCAGATCTATTATCATTTTTCGTTTCATTTCTATAAGGATGATTCGCCTAACATTAAAATATAAAAGTTTTTTTTAGTGAAGTCTGAAAATATTCAAGAAAAGCAATATTGGTTCATTTGAAGTAATAAAAAATAGTTTTTCTCAAACTCTACTTAAGGAGAGTTCAAAATTATTAATATTTTTATTTTAAATAAAATAATGTACTTCTATCGTTAGAATAGAAAGATAAATGCAGCGAACGAATATCGTTAAATGATTTTTTAGTGAAAAATTATGTCCATCGCTTAGAATGTGTACATAAATCAATTTATTTGTATTGTACAAATTTAGGTTAATATACAAGAAAACAGGATAATTAAAATCTAAAATTTTGTTTTGTTTATAAGTATTTATACACCGCCAAAAGGAAATACATTGTTTATTTTAAGTTTTAATGTTAAGTGACTCTTCCTGTATATAGCCATAAAGATGGATGCATCTTGTAAGATTGATCTGAAAACCATTGGGTCGCTTCCACAAATTATACAGTTAAATTTTAGAAAGATTATCGAACAGAGTAATCTGTTATAGATTTAAGTATGCCTAAAATAAAATCAATCTGTTTTTTATATTGAATATGTAAGGACATCCATCAATGTGATGGAGCTTTTTGCATAAAAGTATAACTTTTGGTTATTGTTAGCATATTATTGTTGATAATTCACCATTTATTAATATCTATAATACATTAGAGTACAGCGTAGGTTTTTTTTTATTACTGATAAGTATAAAAGGAGGAACCATTTACCTTCAGTTATAAAAGACCCAGGAAGAATTCTTCCATAATTGAAGGCAAGTAGTACGAGGCTTCCCTTTTTACGCTTATCCTCAATTATATCTTTTCTATTAAATTTTATAATTTTTTATCAAATTTAGAAGATTGAAATTTCTTTAATCAATACAGTATTTGTTTAAAAATTAATGGTTCTCTGCAGTTGCTTTTAAATTAAATTTGTATACGCGTTTCATGTAAGATATGTCGTTTTTTGGATAATACAGTTAACAAATGTCAAAAACCATTGAAAAATTAAGTGATCTGTTTAATTACATGATAGATATTACTCTGAATGTAATTAATAACAACAAAAAGTGTTGCATGGCCTATAACATTGCTGCAAGAACAAAAGAATATTCTCTTGACAAATTTGTTTTTAAACAAAACATGTGGGTATAGATTCATGATACACAAAAATGAAAGAAATAAGTATTTTACCACTGAAAATACAAAGAATTCAAAAAACCAAACGTGTAAAATATATTTTACATATAAATAGGCCGATCAATCGATAATGATATTATTATCAATACTATTATTATTCTTATTGTTACTATGACCATCATTATCGCTATTATCATTAGAAATCTTAATAAATCAACGAAAAGCAATTATTTGATAGTTGAGCGTACATCGTAGGCAATTTTAACGCATAATAAAGTAGAAAATTGTGTTGCAAAAAACAATCATAGGAGATGCACTTTTTTCAATTTAGAAAAATTTGAAGTCATTTTCGTATTTAAAAATGTAACAATTATAATATCATACTGTGACCTTGAAATAACCTTCGACCTCAGAACATGAAATACATACGTCTCAAAATTAACTCTTCGTTGGAAACAAATTAAAGTGTAAGAATTATGCGATTATTTATAATTGTAACTAATCAAATTTCTTACACTTTGCAATAAAAAGCGAGAAAGGGTCAATTCAAAAATTAATATTAACAACGCCAATGTTGGTTGTTCTTGCGTTTCCATTTCTCGCCCATTTTTCTGAAAGTGCCTATGCTATTCTAAAACTCTTTTCAAACGCCATATTTCGCTAAGTTTTCGGCACAAGTTTGTATCGTCTCTGTAAATTCGTCAAGCCTAGTGCACACATGCATAATTTTGCCCGCAAATATACTATGTTTACTTTATTCAGAGTCTAACTACCGATGGCAATTTATTTTATATAAATTATTATCAGTACTTACGAATGCTTGTGAAGTAATTTATATGAGGTAAATTAAAATGAATTATTAGATAAATTGCTATCATTATTTAAATCCTGTTAACATAGCTGCAATGCTTGTAATTCATCTTAATTTATTTTATATAAATGCTTTACAGGTTTGTAGAAAAACTGTTCATTCTTTCAAAATTATTTAAATAAATGTTCTCTAACAGATGTGTAGCGTATTGTGTTGTTTTTGTGTGCGGGTAAATATTAATGTACAGGTGTGAACTAGGCTTTATATATCTGCCCTAAAAACGAATTTAGAACTAATTGAAAATACACACACAGAAACACACACGTCACACATATGTACATCAAACAGACAGATAATCATGTGCACATAATGAATAACTGTAATACATCAAACCATGTGTGTGTATGTTTGATACGTGCGTGTGCCCTCATATTATGTATGTATGCGTACGCGTGTGTGTTGTGTGATGCCCTTTTGAAGCAAGAGCGTTTTACTTGTCTATGAAGGTGGATATCGTAATGATTAAAACGCGAATTTGTTTCTTAAGGAGCGTATATCTGTTCGAATGCAGGAACGGTTCTAAGAGATTAGAATGGTATCCTCGCGTATCGCTGAACCGACTAGAAACTCGATTTACATAAATAAGCGAATGTCAATTGCGATTATATACCATAACTTTAGGTTAAAAATTAAGGGGTGTCGAGACCATTCGATACGACATTTCTAGGTGGTAAAAAAAACAAGCAAAAACTTTTGGAACTGTCTCGTAATACAGACATAAGAATATAACAATAGGATGTGTGAACGAACTACAGAAATGATGCAGCAATAGAAAGAGAATGCCGAAATAAAATTCTCAAATGTTCAGATTCCCTCAATTTACAAATTTCCAAATTTCTACCCATAATAAGTACAAAAATTTCACTTCCAACGCGCGTGGTAATCATGTACAATTTTTTATTCCTATTATAGAGGTTTTCAAAATTATCGCGCGAAATTTAAAGAGCGAGTGCGTGTGGGTGATTAAACAAGTGTACTTGGAGCCTTTATGCTGCATTCTCTTCCTATTTCTGTATCACATTCACTTACACTCTCTTGTTATATTTCTATGAATTCAGAGGTGATTAAATTCAAGAACCAGTTAAGATTGGCTTTCAGGGCAAGCAAGCTGAACCTCTTTAATATGCATGACGAGTTTAAATGACCTGCTTGGCGTTTCTACGATCGTTTTGTATTCTTACCGAATTTTTAAACACTTTCAAATAACGACAAATTAAATGGTAATTCAATCTTCTATGCTGTACAAAGAAATTGATACAATCAATGGTGATGAATGATGTTCAGATGGATGGGTATGTTGAAGGCGGAACAACGATGAAACGACATTGACAAAAATTGTATTTCACGTCGATGCTATGGAAACACACGAAAAATGTATAAATAATAAATGTCTGAATTTCCCATTCCATACATTTTTTATATGCAATCATAATTTGTTAGAACATTTTGTACATTCGTGTTATACGTAAATAGATTGTAAAGTTATTAAGTAGACAACTGATAAAAGGTTGTACTGTAACTTTAATGATTCATCGAATATTGTTATCAATTTTACTATACACAAACAAACGTCAATTCCAAATATATCCTTGATTCATGATTCATCATTGAATAAGTTTGTTTGGGGAAACTGCAACCAGTGTTTAAATAGTATCAAGTTTTGTAATATGAGTAAGCTAGCGATAAAATGTTCTTTATGTCTATTTTTTTTGATTTTATAATTTTGCGCGTTTTTGTAGCTCCACCTAGCGTGGCATTGCAAAACTAACAAAGCCGAAAATTCCGCGGTATTTTTTTGCACCTTTTTAAGATATTGTCGAGATTGGTCGGAACTTATAGAGATTTCTACAATTATAACAAATCCAAGTTATGTTGTTACTTCTAAAGCATTTTATAAGTTTTGCATAGTTGGTACAGAACGAATAAAAAAATATTTTACCATGTAATACTGATTTGGCAGGTTGTCATTATAGTTCGCACTTCACTGGCAGATAGCACCATGACTCTCAGCTTGCGACGAGTTATAAAAAAAACAGTTTAACATTCCGGGTATTCCATTATTTCAACTGCATTATGCGACAAAGCGTTCTATATTTACCCTATGAATACAAAAATCACTAATTTTACTCCAAAAAAAGTAATTTTCCCTGTTATTAGTATTGCTATTAAATGTGAGATGGCGTTAATGTGATTGTTTTGGAAGCGCGCGCAGATATGGAATCAAAAATATGTATAGAATAAAGTGTACGCCCCACTTTGAACTTACAAAATTAACTAATTAATAACAATATAACTTTATCTTATTATTACAAAAATTAAATCATTTTATGTTAATCAAGATGTAAACTTTCAAAATGGAAGTTCATATATTGACAGGAACGAATACAGTCAAATATTTTATTATGAATTCCTTTGCAAACATAAAATGTGCAATCTCCAGAATAATATTAATATTAAAATGAAGCGTGCTAAGAATGTATAAAGCTTAAAATTCAATACGTTTTGCAGTATTTCAAGGATGACATTGGCAACTGCAGGGAATAAAACGTGCAACACTTAATTAGGAGTGAATATAAGCTGCGTTCATGTTACTAGTGTGACGTAAATGATAAACGTTTATACGAGAACAACATTCTTAAACAATTACAAACGATGAGCTCGTTTCTCAGATTGATGTTTCACGGTAGGATGATGGTTTTCTGCGACCGGCGCACTGACTCATCAGACCAGTGCCCGTCATACCGTCGCACGGTTAGGTTCGCTCTGTTAATCCTCAAATGTTCAAATCAGTACTATCTGTTCCAACAATTCGCAGTGACACACTTGTGTGAATTTATACAGCACGGACGATGTTATCAGTAATTTAAAACTGTTGACTGTTTGTCTTTTGAGTTTTTATTCGTCACAAAGGATCTTAACCGAAACACGGTTACTATTTGCTTCTCTAACATGGTAAGCGTTGAAAAAAGATGTATGTTGCATGGTTTCACGTGTACGGTTGACCGAACACACAAAAGATGCATGTATTTAGATTTCTTCGAGCGAAAGCAAAAGAAATTTCTTAACTTATTAGTACGGAACAATTGATTTCAACAAAATTTCTTTTAAATAATAAAAATACAGGGTATCATCACTGTTTAAATAATTTCGTACTTTAAATTGGATATTAAGCAATCAAGTCTGGTGAAATAAAGTGACAGTTTCACATTTTTTAAATGTAAACTATACGAAGTATTTATTCATATAATCTCTCAGATAAGATAATTTCGTTCTAATCAGATAAGATATGATTCATGGCATATTTTGACATAAAGAATTTTGTAAATTTCAATTCCGTACAAGGAGGGAATTTTAAAGTTTAAATAACATTAATAAGAATATGTACGTAATATGTACCATTATGTGTTTGTGACTACGCATCGCATAGTCACACATGATATTGTTACATGTTATATAGCCGCGCAATATATTACCAAGCGTTTTATAGTTATACGTTATGTCACCATGCATTATGTAGCTACGCGTTATACCACGCGGTATATTGCCCATTCGCGGCAATAAGGCGAAAGATAAAAAATTGATTGTCACGTTAAGTACCGTAATTCGTATCCTTGTTTTATTTTGTCATTGAACCAAGAGAAAATGAATCACTTCCCGTCCACGGGGAAACAAAGGAATGCGCAACGGTAGTCTAAGTACGGTCGTTACGTGAAAAAAATTGACGATCACGAAAATTGTGTCAGATGAAACGTTTTCATAATTAAACGTTTCGACACAATGTCGGCCGGCGTGGGCCATGAAAACTATATGTCACATGTAATCAACGACACTATGTTGTATTTAAAAACGTTAGTTTAGAATATTGATTTAATTTAACAAAATGTATAATTATAGATGTACGAACAATGGAAGCAAATCCATATAAGGTAAGGGACATTTTTCCTGTGTCCCAATTTGGCGCGAAATTTGAATGAGAACTATCTCCTACAAGGGCACAAATTATTATTGGCCTTGTTTCGTTCTTCCTCCCTTTAATTATTTGTATATAAAGCAGAAATTGTAGTAATGTATTTGCAGTAAATGAACTACTGATTTAAAATATATTGGGAAGAATAAGTAGTTATAAGCCTCACAGCACAGAAGCCATAATAGGATTTATATGTATGACTTCCCTTACTTCAATATAATTGCTATTAGATTTAAGGTTCATAACTCATTGATTTCAAGAAATCAATATACTATGTTCTACTATAAATAGAGTTATCATATTAGTATCTTTTAATTCTATTTACTAATTACTATTAGATGTGAAAAAATATTTTTCAGTTTTTGAAAGTAAAGTTTACTTCCATACTAATTTATATTTTATTGTTTTAGGTGTACCACTGGCAGAGTCAAAATGTTAAGGTTTCTGGAGTGGATGATATGGTTTTGCTCCCGAAAATTAATGAAGATGCTATAGTTGAAAATCTTCGAAAGAGATACATGGATGATTATATATTTGTATCCTTCTGTATCTAACTATTATTTATTTATAATTTAGTAAAATGTGAATTTAGTACTTAGAGATATGCTATCCTTATTAATTTATCTGTTATTTTACATAATAATTGTGTTACTTTAAACGATTTCTCACGTTAATGGCATTGTAAGAAATTTCAAACGATATTTTGCCTCTTATCGGTACAAATAGCTAAAATGTTTTAGATAAAAGTGATCAGTATTTTACTCTATATATTCCTTGTATTTTCACTCTATATTGATAAGCATGAAAATGTAATTATGATATCTCACATGCTAGCACAAAAGTTATAGTTAAAAATCAAAATAATTTCCTTAATAATTGTCAGACGTGTATAGGATGTGTTCTGGTATCGGTGAATCCCTTTAAACAGATGCCGTATTTTGGAGAAAAAGAGATAGAGATATATCAAGGAGCTGTAAGTAGTAAATAAATAAATAAATTTTTGTATAATCTGCTATGTAAAATTAGTTTTTAATTTGTAATATTTACTTTCTTAGGCACCATATGAAAATCCCCCACACATTTATGGATTAGCAGACGACATGTACAGAAATATGTTAATTGATAAAGAAAATCAATGTGTTATCATAAGGTAATACACTTTAATATTTTTCTCAAATCAGTTTTATAAATTTCATTTAAAACTAGTGATACTCACAGAAAATATTTATGTATTTTGCAGTGGAGAATCTGGGGCTGGAAAAACTGTTGCAGCTAAATATATCATGTCCTATATAGCAAAAGTCAGTGGTGGTGGTGCAAGAGTTCAAAAAGTAAAAGATGTAATTCTAGAATCCAATCCTCTTCTAGAAGCTTTTGGCAATGCAAAAACTACACGGAATAATAACAGTAGCAGATTTGTATGTATGTTTTAAGATTTCTTGATTTTATCACAGATTTAAATAAATTTAGAAATAAATACCCTTAACAACTAAACGTCTATTTCTCAAAATATACTTTATTTTTTACAGGGAAAATATGTGAAGATGCAGTTTGATTCTGGCGGTCAATCAATTGGTGGAAAGATTTTAAATTTTCTATTAGAGAAATCAAGAGTCACTTGTCACAACTATGGTGAAAGGAATTTTCACATATTTTATCAACTTGTAACTGGGACAAATCAGCAAATGAAATGTAAATATTCAATGATTATCAATACAGTATATTTAAATGTGTGCATGATATGAATATTACATTTTGCAGCTGAATTTGGATTAACCAATTTGGATTATTATCAATATCTCAGTTATGGTGGAAATTACAAGGTTGATGGAATGAATGACGCCCACGATTTTCAAGAAACATTAAAAGGTATTACTTTTAAAATTAAAGCTAAACTTTTAAAACTATTTATAATAACTGCATTTATCTTCTATAGGGCTTAGTGTAATGGGGATAAAGGATTCAGAGGTAATTGACATCTTGAGGCTTGTTGCTGGAATACTTCATTTAGGAAACATTCAATTTGTGGAGAACGGAAATCATTCAGAAATTGCTGATAAACAATGTATGTATTTTTTAATAGAATAAATAATTATTACACAAATAATATTGGTGATTTAAAATATTCAAAGTTAGTAATGGCGTGTATTTTTTATTACAGGTCTTGATTTCCCAGCTTATTTGCTTCAAGTATCAGCAGAACAATTAGCTTGTAAATTAACATCTCGAAAATTTGAATCAAAATGGGGAGCACAGTCTGAGAGCGTCGATGTTATTTTGAATGTAGAACAAGCTCTTTATACCAGAGATGCCTTGGCTAAGGACATTTATGCTAGACTTTTTGATTACTTGGTTAAAGTAAGTATATTTCAAATAATAACTATTTGTCTACGTTATAATGTGTATTACATCCTTCAATTTTCATTTACAGAAAGTAAATTCTGCGATGGAAACGAATACTGGTGGTCTTGAAATTGGGATTCTGGACATTTACGGTTTTGAAATCTTTGAGAGGAACGGTTTCGAACAGTTTTGTATCAACTTTGTCAACGAAAAGCTGCAGCAGATTTTCATTGAATTAACTTTAAAAGCTGAACAGGTAAGTACTTTAAATATTTATACCTGGAACTAACATCACGGTACAATAAAAGAATAATTGTTTTATAGAAGTAGTAAGGATAAGTTTACTAAATAATAATTTATTAAACATCATATTTACGTTTTACAATCACCTTATTTATAAGCGAAATCTACAGTATGTTTATTTTCAATAAGGTTTTTTTAAAATGTTAAATTTCAATCTTTGAGAACGTATTATTCATTCTTTGTCATTTCTTTCGAGCCTCATATTCATTTTTTGAAAACTTCTTAGGTGGATTCACCTTCAGAGTGGATGCTCCTTCAACTATTGAAGTTTATTCCTTAAATGTTTTGCGTCTGTAAAACCAGGAGTACCCTGGTAATATCTCAAGTTCAAGCATTACCAGACAAACAATGTTCATCAATCGTATGCATTATCGATTATCAAGAGAAGCTGTATCCTGGCAATACATCTTCTCTTCTTAAAGCATAATTCTGAACGGGTGTTGTTTGTGCCATCAGTGTCCTACTATGGAATTTCGATGGTGGTGCAGGTATTTGCTTTGGTAATTCACTGGAAGTCACCATAGAACCTTCAGTAGTAGCAAGAGCGTCTAAGCTGTAAATTGAAGCTAATCTATTTAACCTTTTAGCGTCTGACCATGAATGATTCCTTTGATGCCCATGATTTCTATCAAATTTCTTTGGTGAACGATTCTTCTTAAAATATTGAGATTTTGAATTCGTTTGCCTTTGAAACGGTGGCGTCACTCTGAGGAATCCTATGGGATCATTAGTGGAGGTGATTTTTGGAGCCAAATTCTTTCTAAACGTGCCACTATGTCCTCTTACGTTTACATAAACTTTTGGTCTACTGTTTTTTAAATAATACAATTTCTCATCGTAATTCTGAATCTTTGGTGACTCTATTAGGACATGTCTGTCCTCATTGAACGAATTTAGCTTGAAGGTTGAAGTTAATCCAACGTCTCTCACGCCAAAAATGGAATGTGGTATCACTTCTGGATTTGGATAGCTATTGTTGTGCACTTTCTGTGATTGCTTCAACATTGCGTGTACTATATTTTGTAGGTTGGTAGTGTCCATATCGTCCGGGCTTTGAAGTTCAATTTCTACAAGACTAAACAAGAAGAAAATAACGTTACTGTGGCATTTCAGTTAGAGGATAAACAATCATTTACCTGAGTTATTTTACAAATATATAAGTTATCAAAATTTTATTAAATTGTCCATATTAATGTCAGGTTGTTTTTGACGTTGGCTACAAAATTGATAGATTTTGAAAGATATTTGATCAGTGACACGTTAACTGATTATAATTACCTCGAAGTTTTTTTCTTATTTCCTGTGTTTCTATTGTGACTTAGTTTTTCACTTAATTAATTAGGTCGATTCCCATGAAAAATTTCATAATCTTGAAACAATGGAGTTACAACTCGTCATTTTCTTGAGGAAGAACATTTATGGAACACCGTTTAAGCAATATTATGTTTAAGCGGGGTATTTTTACATGTTTAATGGAATATAATGAAGCATAATTAACAGAAGAATCAAAATTTTGCATAACTAATTCGTATAGAAGTTGTGTTTCTTAGAAATCGTTGTTTTTACCGAAGGTAATATGTCGTAATTAAATATTTGTTACCTGTAATCGTTGGTATTTGTTCTTTCTATATTGGGATTTTGTGAGAAGTCCTGTACAGATTTCCCATCGTATAGATCTCGATCATTCGTTCTTCGTTCATAGTGTTGAATGTGATTCGGTGAGGAAGGCGGCCTCGGCAAAACCATTGCTGAGAATGATCGTTGAATAAGTACAAAAAGTACTGTCGTTCTGTAATATTTCACTGCTGCTAACATCCTAAAAAGCAATTTAATTCCATACATGTTATCCGTATAAAAAAATAATTGATACACCATTCTATGAAATAGAAACCGAGGGAAACCTCCGCTCATTATTTTCATGTAAAGAAAAATAGTGTTAAATGCTTGTATCATTACATGCTTCAGATATAATTAAAAACGAGGTTTTCTTTTTTGCAACGAATAGTATTGTCCGTTTTCACCCAGAAAGAAGGGGAAAACATTAACGTTCCTGGTCAGTAACATAGTATAGCATACGCGGAACGCGTTATTATAACTGCAGTGAAAGTTTTACTTGTTCTCAAGACCAGACTCGAAAAAAAAGAATCAAATAATACAGTTTTGCTTATTGTCGCTTCTAAATACGTTAAATTAGCGTGGCATTTTAGTAAGAGCTTGTTTAATGTCGTTTCTAAAATTGCTTCCTTGTAGGAACAAACGATGCGTCCGGAGAGTCGACGACGGTACTTAGATTTTAGAATTTTGGGACTTTGAAACTTTTGAATTTGGAATTTTGGAAATTTAGGGACTTTCAATTTTAAGATTTTAAGATCTTAAAAGTTTGGAAATTTAGGGTTTTGAATCTTAGTGGTTTGAGTAATTGGAATTTTCTAATTTTGAGATTGAGTTTTCGGGGTTTTTGAAATTTGCGAAGTTCAGAGTGTAGGAATTTTCAGATTTTGGGATTTTGGGATTGTGAAACTTTCGAACTTTGAAATTTTAGAATTTTAAGATTTTGAGATTTTTGGACATTGAAAGTTTGGAATTTTCGAGATTATGGAATTTTGAGATTTTGATCTTTAGAATTTCGAAATTTTAGAATTTTAAGGTTTTGGAACTTTGAGACCTCGGAATTTTTGTAAGTGAGAATTTTGAATTTTAAAGGTTTTGAGAATTTGAAAGTAGCGTTCCAATATTTTAATTTTCCATTTATCAAAATGTTCTAATTTCCAGCTATTTCGATTTTGAAATATTATAATGTTCTACAATTTCTAATATATTATCCTAATATTTCAGTATGAAATCTTCAGGAGTTGCAATAGTTAAGTACTTGAATTTAAAGTTCTCAATTTGTCCTCACACTCAAGATACCTACATCTACCACATATCTGTGCGCAGAGTCGGCGGCGCAAAGTCCTTAAATCCCTACACTTCCAGACTTTAGATCTCCAACAGTTGAATCAAACTGGCGAATTATAACTTCATTCTTTACTATAATAATATTTTGCAATTCTCAATATTCTTTTAATTTAATTACTTTACATAAAAAATCAATTAATCTCAATTTATCCACAAATCTATACCTGAGTACCAGACTAACTCAAAGCTATTCCTTCATTCTTAAAAAAAAGTATGAAAACAGTGTTTGTATAAAAATGAATTAAACAGTAAAAGGAAATTAAAATTAATAATATAGGAAAAAAAATAAAATTAACTAAATAGAAAATGAAAATAAAAATTAATCAAATAAAGAAAGAAAATCAAAGTAAAAATTAATGAAGCAGTAAAAGAAAATTAAAATTAGAATAAATCAAATGAAGAAAGAAAATTAAAATAAAAATTAAAGAGAAAGTAAGAGAACATTAAAATTAAAATTAATTAAATAAAGAACGAAAATTAAAATAAAAATTATTCAAACAGAAAAAGAAAATTAAATTTGAAATTAACGGAAGAATAGAAGTAAATAAAAATGATAATTTTAAGTATGAAAAGGAATATAAAGTGGATTTGGTCCGATTTTCAGGTACAGAAATATTGATATGCACTAGATTTAGCAACGAACGAAGTTGTGATATTCTTCGCTGTTCCTACATTGTGTTCTCTTTCTTTTTTTTGTAAAGTGTGACACTCTAGGAGCGAGGATATCGTTGCGTGTCCAAGAAAGTATCTCACAGCAATCTTTGTAATCATAGCTTACTGTTCGCCCTAGCAAAGTAACGGAAAAGTCCTCCTTTCCAAAGAGATCTATGGTCCGAGTACCCCGGTGGGTGTGGTTCTTTCAATGTAAGTTCGTGTTGCAGCGGAAACAGGTTCTCTTAAAAAGTGCAAGTGCATTCGTTGGCCTGGTGAACGTACTCGATTTATACTTGGTGAACGTAAGAGTCCACGTGGACTTGGTCTGTCAAATGGCTTTAGTTTCTACCGGTTGTGTTATGCTCGCGCTTGTCTCCTTACAGAGTTCCATTCTTTCCTGTTTAGTTTCGATACTTTGTTATATCATTTAAACACGGATCCAGATTATTCCTTTCAAATAATTATATCCGCCACTTCAAATAAGAATAATGGTCATTTAATTTCCGTAGCGTTTCGTAACGTTCTGGGTTGTTCACGGCCCAGACTTAATTTACTATCCTTTTTACTTTTACGTCTCAGAATATTCGCATAAAATATCAGAACTAATTTAAAAGTGAATGTTTCGAACGCGTTCACTGCACTTATGTAATATATGATAATACTATTCATTTTTCTTTTTTTTCATCAAGGTAGCTCATGAATATACATCACGAATCGTGTGTAAAGTTCTTATTATATGTTTGTATCGTACCTGAAGTATAAGATGAAATTGGGTTAAATTTGATCTTCCTATATCAATCTTGCGGGTGTACTTGCGGTAAGTGGCTATCTAAAAAATGTATGCACGTCACTCGAACGCAAGATATCCAATTAAATATGGATCATTGACTATACTCGGCAGAAAATATTCAAATTAATAATACGAAAAATTCATTTATGTGTTAATCACTCACAATGAAGAGTTACTCGATTTCGCGTATCTTATAATTAACGTCTCGTATCCATTATAAAATCTATCGATCATGTTTCGCGCGCAAATACCGCGCTTCACCGATTCCACGAAAATCCTGCAGAATTAGATGAATGAAATTTAATGAACAAGTTGCACAGACGATGGTTCTGTTTGCACTGCCGCCAAGGATCGAGTGAAGGTAATGAAATAGCTAAGTGAAACGTACGTTCTCTATCCTTTGCTTTCTCTTGTTAGTCTTTCTCTTTGTTTATGTACACTGTACTGCAACGTTGGCTTCCTTTAGTTAAGGAGGAAGTGGAGGAAAAGGTTAAACTATAACTAAGTTCCCCCTAGGCTCTCCCTAGCCTCGCTTAGACCCTCGCGGGACTCTTTTTGTGACTTTCCAGATTTTCTGATCTTGGCGTTTTAGGACTTTTGAAAATTTTGGTGTTGCAATTTGGGGGTTTATAATTGTTGAATGGTGGGACTTTGGTAATTTGGGATTTTAGAATTTTTGGATATTGGAGGTTTCAGAGTCTGAGACTTTGGGACTCTTGAGAATTTTTGAATATTGGAATATTGCAATTTTGAGATTTTGGAGCTTCGATAATTTAGGATTTTAGAATTTTGGAATATTGGAACTTTCAGATTCTGAGACTTTGGGACTATTGAAAATTTTGGAATATCGGAATATTGCAAGTTTGAGATTTTGGAACTTTGTTAATTTAAGATTTAAACATTTTTTAATATTGGGAGTTTGGAATATTATAATTTAGAATATTGGAATTTTGTAATATTGCAATCTTGGAATTTTTGGATTTTGAGACTTTGAAACTTTGTAATATTCAAATATTGCAATTTTGAGAGTTGGCAATTTGGTTATATTGTGTCTTTGGAATTTTTGTGCTTTGAAAATTCTGAAACCTAAGAATTTTTCAGTTTTGAGATTTTGAATCTACGAAATTAAGATTTTAGAATTTCGGAATACTGAAACCTGGGAATTTTGAGAATTAGAAAAATGCTTTAAGGATATTGGAATTTTAAAATTGAAAAATTTCAGGATAAAAAATTTACCAATATATAAACTTGTAACTTTAGTAATTTAGAATACAAGAAATTTTGTAATTTAACAACTTTAGTAATTTAAAAATCTGTGAATTTGAAGATCAGTATACTTGAAAGCTCCATAATTAAAAAATTTGCGTTTCAAAAAATCTTTTCCAGAAATCTAGGTTCTTCATGAACTCTCCCTAACTTGCTATTGCCTAGGCTACCTAGGCTCCTTTCCTCAAAATGTGTTATGCACTTATTCCTCTCTATATTATATCGTAGTAGATGTATCTATAAGTAGCCAGATGTATCTATTCCTTTTATTAAAGCAGTGATTATAAAGATCAATAGCTAAAGAATTTTCAAGACGGGCTCTATAATTTCGTGTGAAATGGATAGAATAACTGCCTTAAGATGTATACCAGCATCTTGTTCCAAATATCCCTGTATCGCCTGATCTATTAAGAACGGATATCCTTTACTTGAAATTATGTTTGTAGGAGTCATAATGTTTCTCTCTGTTCACCATTAATAATGAATGTACCTTTTAAACGTTATGAGACAACATTACCACACAAATACGCGTGTACTTAATTCGTTTGAAACATATTTATAATTATGTAATGCATATTACATTTTCTTTAAAAACTGCGAGAATTTCGTTGATCGAAAAAATATAACACTTTCATCGTTTTATTAATTATTTTATACTTGTGTAATATAAAAATGTGATACGTGTGTCACCGTATAGTAAACCGTTAGTAAAAAAGAGAAAAGAGACTTTTAACGCGTGTAAGGTAATTGGTTCAAAAGACACAAACGTGTATGAGAAACTGTTCTCCATTGTTACGGAATGAGAAAATTAAAGAAGCCAGATAATGTGCGAGATATACACGCATTCTGGGTTAATTGCGGTGAAAATTTTCAGTGGATCTTCGTTAATTCTTGTCAATAAGTAATCATTTTTCGTGTTACGATTTGTACACGCGTGGCTAATAATATAAACAAACACGTTACGTAAACGTGAATTATCGTAACAATAGTTTTACAATGCTTTATATTATTTAAACATAATTTTACAATAATTTATACTACTATTTTTTCTTTCCCTCTGGTTTATTGAATTTCATATACTTTTTTAGCATTTCCAAAAAGTACTGTATAAAAAAGTTTCAATCTGTTTGCCGGAAATAAAGCGAAAGTTCTACTAACAGGAGAATTCGGGTTTTTTCACGAATCACTTAAAAACTGAATGGGTCAAGTTGTTTAACTGTTCATCTGTATCCTCAAAGCACTTTGTGTCACAGGTTAACGATATGAGATTTTTAAGATAAGAAAAAAGAAGATCATGGATCTCCATAAACGGAAAAGTTGTTCTCATTTTTTCCCATAAGACATTTATGTTTAGAAATATAATTGTTAATGAAGAAACCAATATTAAACTAAAAGAGATTAAACAGTATAAACATTTGCAATGATATTCGTTAATGAAACAGTGGAACTTTCCTTTTAATAACGATTTTAATATTCTGTACAATTAGGAAGAGCTTTCTCTGTGGTCAAGCACTGAATAATAAGTACTTACAAATACCTAATGTACAGTTATTGGTACATTTATTTTCTCCAGGGAACATAAATACATATTTCACTCAATTTTGAAATTGAAAATTATTTTTACTTTCAGTAATATTCATTTTTTCACTGATTTTAATTATAATCTTTTTTTAGAGAAGAGAGTGTAGGAAGAGCCTTGAAAATCCCTAGGAAAACCCTGGTAGAAAATCTTGTAAGAATTCTGGGATGACTTAAAGAGATTTCTGAGAGAACATACAGATATTTTTAGAACTCTGAAAAAACGGGACTCTGGGAGAAGCTGGAAGATCTCTGGAAATAGGGACATCCTAGGAGGATCCCTGGAAGAACTCTTATGGAGACCTCACACGTTCAACAGATAGTTCACTGTTTGACAGTACTGAAATATTGATAACATATATTAATTGTAAACTTACAAATTTGTAAAGGGTATTTAAGATTTTGAGAACTTGGGAACTTATGTATTAGAAATTTGTATTTAGATAGAATACATAATACATAGAAATATATTTAGAAATTTGAGAATCCAAGAGTTTGAAAATTTAGGGATTTAAGAATTTGGTATTTGAGGATTTGAAAGCTAAAATGTTGAATAACTTGGAAATTCAAAAGCATAAAGATTTGGTTACTTGAAAATTTGTAAATTAGGAAATTTAAAAATGTATAAAGTGAAAAATCAACTTAGAAACTGGGGAAATTAGTTATTTGACCATTTATAAATTTGTAGATTTTTAAATGTGAGCTCAATATTTATTAACAGTACTGAAATAGTGACAATGTATCCAAATCTGGAAATATTTATAGACAATATAAATCATCCATAAGAGAGTCTACAGAGATTTCTGAAAAGTCCTAACAAAACTTAAGAAAAACCTAAAAAGAACCTAGAGGTAGTTTAGGACAATCTAAGGAGGACTTCTCTTATAGTTTCTGTTAACTAAGGAATTTTAAACTGCACATTTAAACGAACCACATTTCTTGATTTATTATAATTGATTATTTTGCTAGTGTCATGTATAAAACATTACTTCAGCTTCAGGGTGTGTTCTCGATTTGATAGGAATCGCAAATAAGAGGTCAGTAATGGCAGTCATTGTCGGACGACCGATAAATAAACCCGGTAAACGAGATTGTTGTCCACATGGAAATAGAGTACTCCGCCTCGGGTTAAAGCGAAAAGGATCGTACCACTTTTGCCGTCACCTCTCGATGCTCACCGCAACTAGACCGAATAAAAAACACTCGAGGAAACATCGAGACGACTAAATTGCTTGCTACTGAAAAAGCCATCTGTTGTCACGAAATGTTTCGGAATGAGATTCGGAGCGGAACCATGTGTTTTATTGATGCAGACCGTGGGACATTCGATTGTCTACAAATAACACGGATATTCAAATAATCTACAACTTTGTAAAACTACGCGGCTTTCGAATTTCATGTTTCCTATACTTTGAGGCATTTCGTGTCTAGATTTCTAAAAATGAATTTTAATGAAAATTTCATTGAAAGTCGTAGAAAGTTGCAATAATTAAGAAATAAACAGAATTTGGAGAAATTAATTGAAATAGAATATGTTAGTTGATTTTTCATTATTTTTTAGTACTTTTTTTTATTGTAACGAATTCAATAATGAAACGTTGTAAGTTAAATCGTAAAGAATACTGAAGCATTAAAAATAACAGTGGGCTCCTTTCTCTGTTTCTTTTTTATTGTTATGTAATTATGGTCGTCTGAACTGATTGTATAAAATATGGTGCAGGTGATTGAAATGAAAAGTGATTTTTAATAGGGCCGCGATCACGTCATTAATACTTTCCTTTCTATCGTGGCGAAATGTAATACTGTTTTTACGTGAGCGATGCACACTTGGGTGGCGCACAATTAATTATACAGGACGATTCAAATGAAGTGTTATTTTCACCATTATTCTAATATTTATACAAATATTTCTGGGTTTCAGGAGGAATATGTAGCGGAAAATATAAAGTGGACACCGATAGAATACTTCAACAATGCAGTGGTAGTTGATCTTCTGGAGGGAAAACGTTTACCAGGGCTTTTCTTGGTGCTGGATGATGTGTGTGCTACTCTTCATGGAGGAAGCACTGGAGCTGATGCAGATTTGCAGAAAGTAATGCTCTTTAATTGCATGTATATTTATAGTGATGTTAAATATAAGCTAATGTGAGTTAGTTGTAAGTTTCATTTATTGGTTGTCATCAACTTGTACATGATCAATTCCTTTGTTCGAAATCATTATCTATCTGAATAATATATATAATATACATTAATACTAATTTATTAGTACCCGTCTCTAAGATATAGTTTCAGAATAATATTAACTTATTTAGCTAGCACTATTTACAATTGTGCAGATTTACATTAAATTAATATCTTTTAATATCAATTACAGAAATTGTCAGGAGTAGCCAACAAACATGAGCATTACCAAAGCACAAGTGAGGGGTTCGCTATTTATCACTATGCAGGAGTAGTCTCCTACTCAGTTGATGGTTTCTGTGATAAAAATCGCGACGTACTATTTTTGGATCTCGTGGAATTAATGCAATCCAGCACGAAGTAAGTATTTTTATGGAACACCCTGTACATCTCTACATCTTCATAAGAGATACGTGGTTACTACATGAATTTATATAGAAACCCATCACCCATATTATTAATTAAGAATATTAGAATTAAGTACTTGATGTAGATAATAAAAGTAAAAGTACACATGAGTTATTAAAAATGAAAATACTGTGAATCAGAATGTTAATACTATCAACCCAACAATTTAATTTTAAAATTGATATATTTTCAATTTACAGTTCTTTGATTCGCACGTTATATTTGCACGGTACTCAAACAAATAAAACAAAAACGCTGAAGTCGAGGCCTACCACTGCTGGTAACAAAATACGAGAACAAGCTAGTCAGTTGGTCAATCAGTTGATGAAATGTACTCCGCATTACATCAGGTGTATCAAACCAAATGAAACGAAAAGACCTCGAGACTGGGATCCAGTTAGAGTGAAACATCAGGTATTATTTCTTCATTAACTTTACAGCTATATTCTTTTTAAATAACATCTAAACTTACCACGTTACCGACAGCGCAAATTACTCCTGATTCTATGTTACGTGTCAAACATTTCTAATTTGAAACTTTGATGAATTTATGCAAGCATGAAGTACAAATAGCTTTAAACAGTAAACAGTGAATGTATACTTTATATATGTTATAAAATGCATGAAAGTAAAAATATGTATATATAATTTTAAAAAACGTTGTTGAGCAAAGTTGGAGATTTGCCTACTCAGTCGATAATGTGTTAAGAGCATTCTCTCAGATTCTCATTTACTTCTGTTTGTTCAAAAAGCAACTTGTATAACGTTGTACAATTTTTCCAAAGTAATACTAGTGTTAAGAGTAATGTTATATACTAAATGTTGAGTAAAGTAATTGTAATTATTCAGTCAACAAGGAAATATTTCATTGATCTTTTTACACTAATTGTTTATTTTACTGAAATTATAATTTTAATTTTGCACGATTATTACTCTTATCGGCACTCTGCTCTTATCATAGAAATTAAAATTCACGTGACGCATGTATCTCCATAACAATATTTTCTGTCTCTTATGCCATGTAGGTAGAATATTTGGGTTTAAAAGAAAATATAAGAGTACGTAGAGCTGGTTTCGCATACAGAAAATCGTTCTCTAAATTTTTATATAGATATGGAATCCTCACGAAACAAACTTGGCCACATTGGTCCGGGGATGAAAAACAAGGAGTAGAATGGATATTACAGAGTCTTCATATAGATAGATCTCAGTATCAGCTTGGTAGAACGAAATTGTTCATAAAGGCTCCTGAAAGCGTAAGTTTCATTCATTCCACAAATTTACAATTTCTTTTTTTTATAAATGTTTTATCATTTTTCCAATTAGCTGTTTATGTTGGAAGAAGCAAGAGATAGAAAGTACAATTCATATGCAAGAGTTATTCAAAGAGCATTTAAAAAGTATTTTGCTCGAAAGAGACAAAATCAAGAGAAGCAACAAGCAGCTGATTTATTGTTTGGTCGAAAAGAACGGAGACGAGCAAGTTTGAATCGAAATTTTGTAGGCGACTACATAGGATTAGAAGGAAAACCGCAGCTAATGAATCTAATTGGAAGAAGAGAAAAAGTTTTCTTCGCTGAAATAGTAAAGAAGTATGATAGAAGATTTAAGGTATGTATACATTTTCATACGAAAATTATCATTGAAAATATTTGATGTGGGATAAATTGATGATAAATTGCAGATAAGTAGAAGAGATCTTATTTTAACTAATAAATATTTATATCTAATTGGTCGAGAACAAATTAAAAAAGGTGTGGAAAAGAAAAAATTAGTAGAAGTTATAAAAAGGAAACTCGCATTCAATCAAATTAGTCACGTATCATTGAGTACGCTTCAAGTAAGTTAAACATGCTCTTTGTTGTAAGAAAAATAATCTGACTCTTTGAATAATTGCAGGATGATTTTCTTATTATACATACAAAAGATGATTATTGCAGTTTATTGGAATCAGTGTTTAAAACAGAATTCTTAATTAATCTTAACAAAAGATATCTTGAAGAAACTGGACACATCTTAAACATCAAATTTAGTAATAAGTAAGAATTATAGAAGAATCTTCAAATCAAGATTTATAATAAAATGGAGGTAATGTATGTATTTTTACAGTTTAGAATTTAAGCTGAAGAAAGAAGGTTGGGGAGGTGGAGGTACAAGACAGCTAAAATTCACTCAAATTGATTATGGTGATAAAGAAATTCTAAAACCAAATGGGAAGACTCTCAATGTCTGGATTGGACCAGGATTACCAAATACCACTAGTAAGTAATTAATTTGTATTTTTTAATATCCAAAAATCAATTATGTTCCTATTTCAGAACCAAATACAAACGTATCAACAACGACGTCAAAAAACAAACCTCACAAAGTGAAACATAATAATTCTTTTTCATCAACTGCTCCATACTCAGTTGCAAACAAACCTGCTCGAGCTGTAATCATAGAAAGAAATCAAAGTATGCGTCAACAGCATAAACCTGATTATATAGTTGCTTCAAAACCAGCTGTACCATCGAATAGACCTACTTTACGTATGCCGGTGGCAAAATTACCGACACAAGAGAAGAAACAAACAACAAAACAACCGGGAAAACTAGCGAATAATTCTGTACCTTTGATGGGCATGTTCGCCAATCCTAAATCTGTACCGCGGGGTAAATTAATTTAACTTGGACATCGATTGAAACATTAAGTGATATAAAATTAATGAGTGTATTAATGTATAAAAATCAACAGGCTTGCTGAGATTTCCACCTCCACCCTCTGAACCACCTCCGCCTCAGACACCAGGAACTATGCCTGCAGGATTTAGGCTTCCAGCACTTAATAATAACCAAAGTACAACGTGTAATAAAGAAATGCAAACAGTTAAAGAATGGAATACTAAACAAACAGTAAATAATAATAACAACGAAGCTAGTGCGTCTCGGGCTCCAAATGTTAAGCCAAGGTTACCAAAAGTAAAAGCTTTATACGACTACAATCCGCAAGATCTCGATGAATTAGAACTTAAGGAAGGTGATATCCTTGAAGTACTCAAAGAACGTAAGTTTATAGTCGTTAGTTCTATCATTAGTTGTTAACAATTAATTGTACATTAAATTACACTTTTTCGTTTAGATGAAGGTGGTTGGTGGCACGGAATGTTAAATGGAAAAACAGGGCTTTTTCCATCTAATTACGTTGCTAAATTATAAAATTTTGCGGTCAAAACTCCAGTATTATCTCTTAAAATATGTTTCTCAGGGAACAAATGAATAAATCGAAACTTTCAAAAACAATATATATTTTGGCCTTAAACTGTGCTAAAATTCTATAAACTACTCATAAGATATTTGTAATCAGAATAAGTAAATTACAATTTAGATCAATTTTTCAAATACTGGATTAGCAGTGGAAAATGTTTACATAAAAGTGAAATCAATTACATATTGTATTATACTGCATTTGTAAGAATAAGTTTCTGTTAAGAAATTGTATTAAAGTGTATAATTATTTAACGTTATTAAAATTACAAATATCATATTTTTAATAAAACATAAAGTTCATGCTATTACATATTTAAATATTATAATGTACATACATATAATTTCATTATGTAGAAAGGTAAGGAAAAGTATTGCAAAAAATATTGATATTGTTTGTATGGTGCTTTATTTGCTTTAATTTATCAATAGCTATTGCGTGATACTTTTTGACACATTATACGCTTGTTCTTTTTTCACATGAAGTACTTTATATTACCTTTCTAATCAAGAAGATCGCGATTCTTCTTAATATTAAATATTGGCAAGAATCATTGCTTGTACAATTATTATAAATAAAATAAGTTATATATGTTAGCACAATAATGTATGAGAATAAAAGTAAAGCCCGTTTTATACAGAAATATACATACAGAGTATCTCAACTTAAATATTTGATTCAATTAAAGGTCATCTATTGTATTTTCATTACAAAATATACAAGTATTGAGAAAACGTTTGTACTTCAATGTTTATATCTTAATGATTGAATCGTTTTCCGTTGTTCATCGTTGGAATAAACATACAATAAAATATGTTGTTAATAAGTAAATTACATGAAGCATCAATGAATTTCTTTTATTGAGTCATATCAATTATTTGAATAGTTATGAGATACACTGTATGATTACAAATATGGAAATATGCACATGTATTACCTCACCTGTTATCTTATACATAACTTTGCACTCTCGCATACAGATATAAATAGTCATAGGCACTAAAATGATAAATTATTGCTAAATTAGTCATAAAATTGAATATTTTCCATCAGAATATTCAATTATAGTTACACTTTAATATTGCAACATGAGATTTCTAAGAACATTCCACATTTTAATTACTCATTAATAGATTTCAATAGCTTAATAATGTCATTATATACAGTAATGTCTGCTGTGTAAATATGAAAGAAATATGTTTCATTCAGAATTTTAAAGAAAGATTAAAAGTTTCTTTAATTCTTGATACCGTTATCTTTACATGCTAACAGAAATGTTATACAACACAATAGTACATTTAAATCGAATCTGCAAAGTAAGAAAGCAATAGCTTTCCATTTAATACATGCATGCTTGGCAAAAGTATTCCTTTCATATTTATTTAACGATTGATTATGGCAGTTACATTCAATATGATATGCCAGCACCAATTCTATTACATTACATCAATTGAAATTTTAATTTTTACGAAATGAATGCCTTCGAGAGAGCGTTTCTTAATATTTACTAACAATAAGTATTGCATTAATTTTATACGCACAAAGATAAAAGGAACATTTTATTTTTGACAAACAAATGTAAACATCGTATACTAATTTTTGAATTAGCATATCATTGCACGATTACGTTTCAATGACAAAAAAATATATTAAAATAATCCGTTGTCCAGTTACTTTTGAAAATTAAATACTTCATAAGTTTATTTCGTGCTACATTAATGAAATGCTATATTGTGTTCCAAAGCGTGTACAATTATACAAATTATTATATAATTGAAAATGTTATATAATTTAAAACATGAATATTTGCCATACATATGGCAATATTTCACGTTGCTTCCTCTAAGTAAGTTACTGTTATTTATCATTCATTTATATTCACGATATTTGTACAATTTTTGCCAGAAATAAAATAACTTAAAATGCATTAAATATTCAAGATTCTACATTTTATTAATCTATAAAAACAAGTATGCAATAATTTTCATTTACAAATTCAAGAATGTATGAAATTGATTAGGCCTCCATACATTACTAATAACAAATTTAGTAATAAATAATTAATAGTATATCTTATATAAAACTGCATATTACATACATCTTAAAATGGCAAATATTTTATAAACGCATAGTAACACCTATAAATAAAAATTAAGCTATCTATATATGGCACAGATAAAATAAATATGATCTAAAAAGAATATCATAAATTATAAAATTAATCAAAATTCATTGCTAAATTTTTTAATATTAATATAATGTTTGGATTACTTTATCATAATTAGTAACTTTTCATTTATGTTAAAATGATCAATGTAATTTATATTAAGTTGTGGAAGCGATATACTACACATCGCAACATTTCTTTCCTTTCATATTTCCTTCTGATTTATGTCAGGAAATTCCAGCACCTTATTTAAATCAGAACATATGCACAGTAACTACTTCTTTCCTATTGCCTTTTTATGAGAAATTCCAGTCATTCTTGGAATATAATCAAAATTGATTTTTGTTCTATAATAACATATTTCTTTACAACTATAGTAACATGATAACAAATTTTATTCAATTTGTATTTTCTTTTTCGACGGAACATGTTTTAATTTGAACTTCGATCCACTGCAAAAAGTGGCATCGTATTAATGCAATACTTAACAATGCATGTATAAAGATGGAACGCTGATTGTACAATTTGCATGTACCCTGAAGTACAAAATAAGTTCCTAAATATTATTGTTTCATCGATTGTAAAATTGTCAACTGTATCTCAAAGAAAAATTTTATGTCCTCTTTGGCAACCCCACAGCAAAATGAATCGTACCTATAATTATTTTGAGTTTAATATAAATTTAATTTAAAACTGATATGGAAGCGTACCTGTCACTTATTGTTCTAATAACGTGAACAGAATTAAGTTTTCATTGTATCACACAATTTTTGTTTCGTTGAGCTAAACCAGCTCTAGATAGGTCACGTTCTATTTCGTCATCATCCTCAATACTACAACGTAATCAGATATAAAAAATAGATTTGTATCATAACAGTATTTGAATATACATAAACATTATACATACGCTCTTTCTTGCGTATCAAGATGATGAACTAACTCGTCTCTCTTGTTTACGATAGAAACTAGTTCTTCTAAAAGTAAATTTTCCCGCATTTTTTGTTCAGGAGTTTTTCTCCAATCTTCTACGGCTAATATACTCCTCAATTCACGATTTAATAACTCAAACCGTCGTTCTAAATCATCTTCTTTTTCTCTAAAATATTATGCATTTAATTAATTAGAAAATAATCATAGATAATAAAAAATATCGTTGCTTACAATATATTTAGTTGCATTTGCCGTCTTAAAAGTGCATTCTTTTTGTTAACAAGAGTGAACCATAGAGACATTAGTCTTTCAGTTTCATCTTCATTATCACTTTCCATAGCATCTCTGAGTTGTTTTTCAAGTTTTCCAGCTTGAATATCTATTTGAGTTTGTTCTCTCTCTAATGCTTCTAATTCATTTTGAATGTATGATGTCATATCCTTCCCCAACTAGATCAAAAATAAATATCATACATTGAATTGTATTTTGATTTGAAGAAATTAATCGAAAACGTACCCCTCTAAGTGTATATGAAGTACCATCAGGACTAGTTTTATCTGGTGAAATTCTTTCTATTATTTTAGAGAATGAGTATAGGGGAGAAGTAATCTTCTTCTCACCATCTATGACGCTTGAAGTTCCTAATATATTTCCGTTGTATTCAGACTAAAATATAATGTATAATTACTACATATGATACATCTGCAGAAAAGGTCAATAACAAAATGCTAACCTTTGTATTAAATTTATCACCAGGAGTAGAAGGTGTGATGCTTCGTCTTGGACTATTATTCTGATCATCCATTGATCGTCTGTCGCTACTATTGTCATCGTTAACTTGATTCGAAGTAATGTTAACCCCCATTTTTACTTCAGCAATTAAACGCCTTGCTCTTTCACGTAATTGTTGTTGTCTTTCGTCATCATTTTGACCCTATAAATAATGAAATATAATTTTTTTTAATTACCATAATTGCATAGAAAAGAACGGTGCGACATAGCAAACATATGTATATCTACAATTACGAAAACCATAAGATTGAAAATAAAATAAAACCTCGATAGGACTAGCAGCAGAAGATACATAGCCAGCAGACTTTGTATTCCTAGCCTGTTCTAATAGTTGCTTGGCACGTTCTCTTAATTCATCATGCCGACTGACTAATGGCTGATATACAAAAAAAAAGGGCGACAAATTAGTTGTAGTACTACAATGAATTTAAAAAAAGAAGGGAAAGTAATTACATGTTGAGAACGCTGTTCTGCTTGGGGTGACGATATACTCTGACATTCAATATGACTTCCCCTTTCATTTGCAATGATTGACTCCTATAAAACATGGGTTCCATTTAATGTAATATGTAAAATTATAAATATTTGAAAAAAGATACTAACATCACGGACTGGTGTTTCTGTTTTGTTCATTGTGACTGATTGAGGCCATTTTTCGTCAATTATTTGAATGTTTTCCTCTTCTTCATCTGATCCGAAAGGATCTGTTAATTGTCTACGAGTCATTAATATAGGGCGTTGCGGAACTTGCAATATTCTTGGCGGTGATTTACTCTACAATGAATTCAAATAAGCTTAAAAATAGTTTATAATAATCGATATACGTAGTAACTATCTATGCACCGTTACATACTTTTTCTCTGGATAAACTTTTTTCTTTAGTTGGTGACAACACCTTTTCTAGAATACTTTTTGAACTGGCTAGTATGATATCCTTAACTTCTTTAACGCTTGACGGAGATTTATCTTTGTTGCATTGATCATGATCTTGATTTTCTATATTCAAACTTAAATGTAATTGATTCTTCAGAGAATCAATATTAACATCCTCTTTCTTACTATCAAACGGATTTGATCTGAAAAAAAATAATTATTTTTCTACTATTTTTAATTTCATTGAATGGCTAACAATGATTATTATAATGGATATACCGTCTATTAGTGTCTGCTTTATTATTTTTATGATCCAGTTGATCTTTCTTTCGTAAATTAATTATTTCTTGACCAAATAATTGCACACTCACATCTGAATTATTGTCTGTATTAAATCTACCAATCATATATGAAGATTCATCTGCAGTTTTACCTATCTGATGTACCTGAACATGTAAAACAACAGCTTTTACTCTAGCAAAAGTCACAATAATACAGAACAATAAAAGAATAGAATGTACCTCTAATTCATGACCAGTGAAATGTGCTCTCAACTGATATAAATATGTCATCACAGCTAATTTATCAGGTACAGTTAGTATATCCATATCTGATGGTTCTATTACTCTGGGTATACCAAGAGCTTGTCCAGCATCAAATGCTTTTTTACAGTTACCCTTGACATCATGTGGCAACAATGAATCTATATCTCTGAAAATTTGTGTACAAATATATGTTGTTTAATTTTTATCACTTCTGATAAAGTTAAAAATATGTAACAAAAAACAGATCATGTGCCAGACGTTTATAAATAGGGCAAATAAATAAAATTTTTGGCATATATCCAAAGCTATGATTAATATATCTTTGTTTACGATAGAAGTATAAATATCTGCTTGTTAAACTACTACATGAAGTGATAAAATTTTGAAATATATTCTAATTTACTGTACATACATAAGATCTGGTCTGAAATGATGTATGATTGCACAAAATGCCATTCCATTTCTCCAAGATGTTGTAAGATTAGTAACTTTCACACCAGGATAGTCTTTTGTTACCTCTTTACACCACTCTAATAGATCCTGTCCTGGTGTAATTTCTTTTAATTTAGGAATATTACCATCGTTCTTTGTAAGCTCTAATGGTTGCAAAGGTAATCTCGATAAGGTACTATGTTCAATGTTTCTACTGCAATAATAATAAAACATTTGTTGAAGATTGAACGAACAAAAAGTTTTATATGATTAGTTTCAACATACTTGTTTTCAACTGCAACATTATCTTTTAAAGGAGATTTTCCTTTGAAGGAATCACCAATACCTGTTAGACTAATATCACGTATGAAGTGATCACTATCATTTACAGGCGTAGTATCATCCTTTGATAAACTTGCCACTGTTGAATACACATTATAATAATAACATACATTAAGCATCAGTGTATCTACAATTAAATCTATGTTTTATGAAACTTACCACTTATTGGAGTACTAGGTAATTCACTTTCAGTAAGACTACTTGTCATTAGATCAAGTTGAGCAGATATATCTAAAATTTCATCGAGATTTTTTACACAGACTTCTTCAACATCTTCAGGTATATCTTCATTATCAAAATCATCTAAAGGTGCAATATCACTGTTATTGTTAACTGACATTAAACTAGCCATACTTTGCATATCCTCATCCCTAACAAAAGAAAGTGGCAAGTATTAGATTTTATTGACTGGTTATAAATTAAAACATCAGAAATAATATAGCCTTACGTTGCTTTGCCTTCTCGCAAGAAAACACATGATAAAGTACATTCTAATGTAGCGCTAACAATTTTCTTCGAAGTAGGTTTTAGATCTAATTTAAGTTGTTGCTGACTAGATTCTAAAGTTGCATATTTTTTCATATTAATATTTGTTGCAGCCACATGCCTTCTTTTACCAGTAGGAGAAACCTGTTTATATATAAAACTACTATGAACATCTTATTTAATAGTTTCTATATTAAAAATTGATATAATCATCCTTTCTCACATCTTCAATCACAAATGTCCAATCTTTATCCTCTAATTCATGGGTTCTTGGATCTTTAAATAGAGTTACAGAAACTGTGTGATTGTCAGGAACTGCCCAACTAATGACCCCTTTTAACGGGTCACTCAAATTCGGTTCCCAATCTAATGGTTCCGAACTAACTCTTCTACTACGTCTTGTCCAGACAACGCTTAACTTGTTCGGTTTCCTACATAATGTTGCAGAATAGTGATGACATTAAAGTCATATGACAAGATTAACAAATATTACACTTGTTTCATCTAATCAAATTAACGAAATATTTTGCACTTACCATTTTGTTGTTGTTTCTAAAGTAACTTCATGATATGACACAGTGAATTGAAATTTCGCAGCTCTCTTGTTTACCCGTTGTAGTCTTTTCCAAACAGAACTCATGTTCTTATTTATAATTGTTTCACCTGATGATTGTCACTATATATTGTTCAACTTGTAATTACTTACTAACGCGTTGAATGTGGCACACCATTTTCGAAATTATGAAAATCAAGAGACTCACTGTTGACAAGGAATATTATTGAAGTGTTAAAATCGTTCATGCGTCTAATACTTCTACTCGCAAAGATACACTATTAACGAGATCATTTATTTCTTAAAAATTTTGTTCCGTTATCATGTTTTCAATACGGATGTTATGCACACTGAACGCGTTACACTATGATATCACGCTAAACGAAGAAACAGCTACAAGATCAAAAAGTTTCACAATCTATTCGATCTTGTGCTGTGACGAAACCATTCTAATTTATTGATCTTGTACTATACAATTCTATGGTGGGAAACCTGCTTACTACCACAAATTAGAAAATTATATTTATCCACACGAAGAATAAGAAATGTACACGTTTATGTAATTGTGGATACCTTATGCAAATAATTATGCAATAAGTAAATAATTTAATTCTACAATTAAGATTTTACGTTGTTCGAACAGATATTGTAGAGGGTGCTATTTAGGTGTGGAATATTATTGAGATAGTTCATCTATATAAGTACGTATCTTTTAAATTATATACTTTTTAAAATTTTTGGTTCAATTTAAATTTGATATGATAAATATAAAAGAATTTAAATTATGAAGGAAAAGAGATTAGAGTAAAATGGTGATACCGACAAAATTAAGACTGATATTATTACCGACAACAGATAAGCAGTTGTATATTTAAATGCAGTTTGGTACCAAGGAAACTATTATTATCGTGTTAGGCATATAAAGTTTGAAATTTATGGCTTTTAGGAAATCGGTCATGCTTCAATATCGATTAAATTTTGCAAATAATCTCTTTTTTGCAAAAGAAGATATTTCAGAATAGTCTTTGGCGATTTGAAAGAAAACTTTTTACCATTCTTATATCATTCCCTATATTATCTACGAGTGTGCGAATTGTTCTGAACATATAATCCGTATTTTTCGGACCCACGGAATATATTACAAACAGTATACAATCAATATTAATAAATATGTACCGTATTAATCAATGAAATCATATTAATTGAACTAGGGGAATTAAGGAGTTAACCTTGACCTCCTGCACAGTTCTAAACCGTAAAAGATAGACATGTGCAGTTAATTTTTTATAAAGAGGCTTCTCCCGGAATAGTCAAATGGACCATTCTTAATGATGACGTAATTAGTTTTTAAATTGGAGCAATTTCGATTATTCGAAAAGGGTATAGCCGGGTAAGATAGTCAAATGTGCCCTTGAGTCGAATTAGAAACCCAATTCGTCAGTCGGTAGCACATCAAAAAAAACATCTCACACCAAGTTTCAACCCCCTATCTCATCTGTGGGGGTAGTAAAAGGGGGATCAAAGATAATCACGGAACCTGGGCAACAAAGGGTATAGCCGGATAAGGTAGTCAAATGTGCCCTTGAGTCGAATTAGAAACCCAATTCGTTAATCGGTAGCATATCAAAAAAAAACATTTCACACCAAGTTTCAACCCCCTATCTCATCCGTGGGGGTAATAAAAGGGGAAAAACGAAATTCCGGTTTTTGGCTTTTTTTGCCTATTTAATTTCGTACAAAAAATCTGAAAAAATTCTACAATATGCGCTATCTGGACCTCAATGTTTTAGAATTTTTTCAGATTTTTTGTACGAAATTAAATAGGCAAAAAAAGCCAAAAACCGGAATTTCGTTTTTCCCCTTTTATTACCCCCACGGATGAGATAGGGGGTTGAAACTTGGTGTGAAATGTTTTTTTTTGATATGCTACCGATTAACGAATTGGGTTTCTAATTCGACTCAAGGGCACATTTGACTACCTTATCCGGCTATACCCTTTGTTGCCCAGGTTCCGTGATTATCTTTGATTTGAATCTGTAGTTTCATTAATTCCCGCGCGCTACCGCTAGATGACGCCTCGTCTATTTTTCTTTGCCTGTATTTAAATGAATAATTTTACTTTTACAATTTAATCTCCTTTTAATTATTTACAATGCTTTAATTAACTTTTTTACACACAAACTTTCAACGTTAAGTTCCAATTACTATCTACACGGAAATACTGTCTGAGTAGGTTTGGTGAAGTTTTTGATGAAGGCAGCTCTACTGCACGTCAACTTGAAAATGATGTTTGCAATGATTCCGTGGTTCCGTAGATGCGGAATATGTGTTCAGAAAAGTTCGCAGGCTTTACTGTATCTTGTCGATAATATAGACAGTAACATTAGAATGATAGTCAATAATTTTATTTCGATAATTCCGCATCTAACCGCTAAATGACGCAATTGATATTTTCTTTTCCAGACCGCACTTGGAAACTTGAATCGTGTGACTTTTAGTAAGCTCAATATTTTATTAAAAAAAACTAACTTTTTACAAAATTATGAAAGAAATAAACTTCATACAAAAAGAAAAAGATTTGTAACTTATACTGGACAAGATATTTGGAAGGATAAGTATGATTTAGCATGACATAGAGCACACTTTATTTCTTAATTAGTGATAATAATTATTTAGCATTGACCGAAATCGAGTACATGTTTGTATAATCTTCTTCGATCGGAGTTCAATAATCATAATAGATTAATTTATTTAATATAAGTGTAATTAATTGTAATGTATTGTCTGAAAGTATCACTGCATTGCATCCGCTGGTCGTCTCTTTTGCACTTCGTCGACAACGTAAAAATAAAGCAACGAAACGAGAGATCAGAGACAACGAGAACGACAACCGAACAAACTTCTACTTACGTATAAAAAAAATATGTTTACTGACTTTCGTGTTCCCCGTGAAATCCGGCCATTCTGATGCTTACAAAATATAAGTAGACCGGAATCACGGAGACCACGAAGGATATGCCAGTGAGTATAAACATAAAAAGGGAAGCGCCCTTAACTATTCGATTTCTTCCAGACCAAGGATGTTCCAGTGACTTTGCGGGGAACGATGTCTGCTCGAGCCCCAAATAGTTAGATTACAATTAAAATGCGGAGAGCCTGTCGTTTCGAACGGATCTCCCAGTGTACCGTCTCTCTCCTTCCTATACGTCGCAAAATACATTATCTAAAAAGTAAACCTACCTATGACGGAACGCCTAGCAGAGACATTACAATATAGAAATAATTAATCGCTGCTAACTTAATAATAATATGGATATTAGCGTAACTAAGGTAGGATCTGGGTGGATATTAAGCTAAGGATTTTGAGTTTTAGGACTTTGGGACCTTCAATTCTAACCTAAGAAAGAACCCGGATCTCGGAACTTTAGAACCTTTGGACTGCAGGATCATAAAATTATAGAATTTTGGAAATTTACAACTTCAAAATTTTGGGATAATAACTTAATTTCATATTAATAATTTTATAATTTATAATTAGTAATTTCATGTCAAAGGAACTTAAATTTCATAATTCTTACTTATGTAGAATCTAGGACCTGTAAGATTTTAGGACTTGGGACTCTGACTCTGGAACATTGAGACGGTAGAAAGTAATACATTACAAGCAAGTGAATTGCGAAAAAACTATCTTCAATACACGTAAGAATCTTCGATGTAAGATATTAAGAGATAAAGCTTACATGATGTAAAATAACTTAGTACAGTTGGGGAAACCACCTCAGAAATCCTAGTTACGCCAATTAAAAAAGATCGAAGCAAGTAAGAAAAAGTAAGAAAGAAGGATCGTCGATTCGAAGCGGTTATGCTTCATCGTTCGAAAGGAGGCAAGCCCTCCGCAGAACAATATTCAACATTTAACAATAGCCAACATTTATAGAGTAAGATACCGATTTAGTAATTTTATAAGATCGTTTCATTTCATTCTTCTTTTGCCCCTCCACGATCGTCGATCGCTTTTCTTGTGTTTACGACGAAAAAAAATGTGAGGTTAGTCGCAGGTCCCTGAGCAGCGGAAGTGGCTGCGAACTTGCGCAAATAAATACGCGACCAATCATGTATACGATTTTTTTTTTGCTTTTTCCTTTTTTGTTACGTGGTTCTTGTAAGTACCAGCACAGTGTTTCTCAAATAATATCCAACAGTTTGTTTGATATGTCTCTCGTTCCAAGAATATATGCTTATATTGCTATCGTTTATGTGTGGACATAAGTTACAAGATTTACAAAAATCCCTTGAAAACGCTTGGAACTAATGCCCCACCGATTTTCATACTTTTATTAATTGACAAAATTCCTGGCAGTTGCTCGCGCTTGAAAGAACAAGTTATCACAATTTGTGACATGTAGCTATAATATCAGCCAGTGGTATTACAACACTCACTTGTATAACTATCTAATTACCTTTGGGCAATGTAGGATAGTGCTAAAACTTAAAGTACATCATAGGAGCATGTGTTAGAGTTATACCAATACTGATACATTGGGGTGGTAGAGTTACACTACCATGGTGCTACTCTATTCTACTAGTGATATTGACTAGCTTTATTAATCTATCCTCTTCTCTAACCATATACTACTAATACTAGTACACTCTATCACTTGCTCTAATAATGTGACCTACACTTAATTAAAAATATACAACAAATACTCAAAATATGTACAATATAATTGAATGCAAATGTTTCTTGATGCTTGATTCATTCAATCTCACTCTACCTTAGTGTATTTTAATACAAAAGAAATTGATTTAGTAAAGTATGATTTGATAATCAAGTATGTATTACAATATTTTTAGCGCATTATATTACACATTCTATTTGTTAAGATTTTGAGTAAAGTGCAGTAAGTGTTCTAATATGTCTGGGCTGTAGTATACATTAGGTTGGTTGTTACATGTATTAATTTGAAACAATAACTATAAAAACATTATGTTTTGTATGGCACCTAGTCGCTACAATTATATTCTTTTGCAAACGCGTGTCTCTGCCGAAGACGTAATCACAAGAACGAGAGCTTCCTTCCCGAAGAGAATTTAAAATGGTTGACTTCTCCAACGATTTTTGAGAAACACTGATCCAGCGATAACCGAACAAACACCATGATGTTAAACTTTTAATATTGCACAACATCGATAACACTTCGAGTTTTTCGAAAGAAGTTTTCATGCTTCACGATAATTACAATAGACAAAATTATATATCAACGTCTTCTTTTCATATTCGCAATTAACTGAACGCTGATGACGATAGCAGCAGTTATGGTGTTCGAATACGTCAGCCAATGATTAAATCAATCCATTAGTTCCATTCTTGACAATTTGTATTGACACCAGAACAACGTTTCAATCCAACAGATTTTATTATTTGCTTCAGAAAATATATTATGATCAATTGATATTATAAGATATAACTAATTAACAGGTATTAATCAAAGACTAGTTTAATGTCCGTCAATTTTCATGCTGTACCGTTGTTTTAACACTTTCAAACCCAACTATGTAATAATACACATTTTAGAACGACAGAAGTCGAATCATCTGTTATTCTGGAATCGAACGTGTTAATGGATAACGTTATATTACGAATGACGTCATATCGTTGTCCTTAACGCTTTCAAATGTAACTATGTCATATTACACATTTTACAACAGTAGTTATATATACAGTTGTTATCCTGGGATTGAAAGTGCTAATTGGTACTATATATGTATTGTAACGTTGTTCTAGAAGTGCCACCATAATTTACAGATACCAACTACATATATATATATATATGAAACTGCCTTTGGAACGGTTCAAAATGTAAGGTAAGGCCAAGAATGTTTCACGATATAAACATTTCACCGTAACAGTAATGGAAAAATATGCCAGTATCAACGATAATAATAATGCCATCGTCATAGTCATCACCGTTGTCGGCCTCATCGACAACATACGTATAATTAAGTAAAGTTAATATACTCTAACGTTATATAATATATATATATATATTATGCTTAGCAAGTATTTGTTGAAGATTACCTAAAATCCACGTGGCAACAAATAACCAAGTTTCTTTAATTACTTTCATTGTTCTGGCGGTAGAACTCTTGTACAAAGTCAAGGAAAAAAATCTAGGTAATTGTCTACTTATTGTATAATCTACGCCAGGATATAACAAGATTGTAAAGCTCTTCAAAAATCATAGTACACAAAATTTAACTTCATTGGGCTCCGCTTGACAGAATTTTGATTTACGACCTTAGTATATCGTGGCGAGAACTACATCAGCAATTTCAACAGATTCTACAGTTCATTTTAAAACGTAATCACGATCGAAAATATACTAGTTCGTTTGTTAATCGACGACTTCGTGGAAGAGGTTCGCCGCCATTTTGAAAAATCGCCTAAATTAAATCGCCTAATAGCTATTTGGTATCGTCTAAATAATTAAAAGGAAAATAATACGAACGCAATGGGGAGTTACCGACCGAGTTAAACGACAGAGGAATGGAAACGAATCACTATACAACGTACGAATATTGTATATTAATAATACGAGTTATACGGTTTTCACTGTGCCGTACGGACCAACGCAAAATATATGTACGTCATGATTCGATGAACGTTTCGTACCAGGAACCGTGCGCTTCAATATGCGACAGAAAAATAAACCACCACTCAAAAAGTGTTAGACACTTGCCAAGTCTCAATAAAATATAATCTCCAATACAACAAAAATTCAGGAGATATTGTATAAGTATACAGTGCCTTACCACTCCATTATGGACATCCATAATTTTAAGCATTTGCTGCTTTCTCATCGAACTATTAAATAAAGCAAGTTTTAGAGTACAAGTTTAATGCAGTTAGATTGTTTAGAATATTGTTTATAACATGAAATAAGTTCTATATACTTTATATACAGAATAGTTCAATAATTTCCCTGATTTAAACCTGATCAAGGATGTTTAGTTTACTAAAAAACAACTTTACTTAAAGATTATGTGGAACGCTTAATTTACTAAAAGTCTAATCATACTAAAAATATCCTTATCTACAATGATCACTACAAAGATCACGAATAGATCAGTGTATTATAAGTGTGCCCTCAAAAATTGTGGCTACTGTTAATAGCCAAAGAGATTTCTCAAAATATTAAAAATTCTGTTGATTTAATAAAATTGGAAAATAGACATCTGAAGTTTTTCACTCATTCCTACATTCTTACCTATTTTAAAATTGAAAATTGTACAAAATATTGGATGTCCATGATAGAGTAGCAGGGTATTATACATAGGTAGGACCTTAAAGTGGGGTCCACTTGCTACGGAACACCCTATATATTAGAAATACTGTCATGTGAAATTTAGTAAGTGTCCTAATACTTTTTTAAGCGACAGTGTACAGAAATAAGTATACAACATGATATGAACAATGAATGTATCGCGCGCTTCGAAAATCCGACGGACCACATGAAATTCTAAAACTGAAATTCGATTGCGACTGGTGTCTAAAAGTACGACCAATTTTTGAGATTAGCTTGAGACACTTGATGCGAGAGAAAATGTTTTTTAATGTACAGTCGGGTGCAACGTACGCACCTCTTGGTTTCTTAATTAAGAGGAAGAGTGGGTAAATAGCTTTCAATATTTGTTTTCAGTTTTTGAACGAAATATCCAAGGAGATCTTAAAGAGATCAGAGAGATTACAGAATTCGGTAAGCTCCTAAAAATAAATAAAAGGTTCCCAGGAACATGTTAAAAAGGTGAAAAATCTTAAGATGAGCTAAAATGAAGATCTTAGAAGTTAGGAAAGTCTTATTAAAAAGTAAGAGATTGCAGAGAAATCCTAGAAAAAGCTAGGAAATCCTAAATGTCATGAAGATTCTGAAACTTAAGATACTTGGATTTAAAAAAATTAGAAAATCAAGAGAATTGAAAGAGCCACAAGAGTAATGAGAATCTAACCTAAAACTGAAGTTTTAAAACTAGGTTAGAAAGACGTAGTAAAATATGGGTAAGTAAGGAGAATGTAGAACGTGTCTTCCTCTCCATTTCTTCTATGAGAAGCCTAAGCCACACGCGACAGTACTGCGCTAATCCGAATTTCAATGCAGTCTTGCCATTCCGACATCTTTGTGCAATTAAACTTTGGTGAAAAACTAACGAACAATGTTACGCAGATGATACATGAGGCAATGTAGAAAATGAGAAAAGAGCCGCCCTTGACAGTGTGCTGTCGTCGTAGGTACATTGTTGTATGTGACTTGTGTATGTACGCGTGTGTGTATACATTTCGTGTACTTGTGTGATAGATTCACTCTTCATCGTATAGTTGCATGTACATTTGTATTTTTATATATACATATATATGTATATATATATAATATGTCAGCGCTCGCGAAGGTCCTTACGTCAATAAAAGACATTATAACATTATATATGTACATTAACATGCGTATTGAGCCTATCTTGGGGTAATAAGAAAAAGAGGGAACGGAATAGAGTCAATTCTGGAATCCATCATTAGAATAAGCTTGAGGATTATAACGCAAATGATCGAAGTAGAGAAGTCTCAAGGGAAAGATTTCGACTAATCGGAGCGTAATATAATTTCCATGATAAACGCTGGTGAACGAATGCAGGGTCTTTGGTTTCGGGCGCACCGCGTCCTCTTAAGGTAATGGCACTACGACTTGCACGTAAGTTACTGGGAAATAACCCGTGCGACCGTTCAAGCTACCCTCGAACCAATTCTCGTCGATCTTCTGAATCAAAGTGATCGTATCATTCTCCTACAACAGTTTCAATCATTGTTATTCTCTATTTTACAACTTCACTATGCTACATTAATATAAAACTAAATCAAGGCAACCTGTTTGAAACAATAATGTCTTGTACTTACTTTGAATCCAAGTTCTCCAGGGTTCTCTGGCTCAAAATCATACAAAGCTGTGCAGCAAGGTTGTCTTGTCATAGGAGTTCTTGCTGGAGACTTACTTGGAGATGGCAAGGGTGAAGCTGAAAATCATTAAAGTTTTTGTATTACCCTATAAAGAAAGTAACTCTTACTATAATGGTCCTAGACATATAATTAGAACATTATGGTATCTAAACATCTGCTTGATAATTCAAATTTTAATAGTCACAAACAATACACAGGGAAAAATTGAACATAAGGGATGGTAATTAAAATAAATGTTTATTTTTATTAAAAACTAGATAAATTTATAACGTATAGCAGATTCACATCAATATTTAAACTATGTACGATAATTCATTGTTAAGCTATATCATTCACTGTTTCTTTTAAGCTAAAGTAATTATTGTACTACACATAAAAATAAACGAAAGTTAAATTTCACAAACACTGTAAAGCAAAACAGAAATAAATCTAATGTACTCAGATAGCGATTCAACTCTTTCCATACTGAACATTTAAAGTAAGTAGAATAAGCCTTTGAACATTTATGTAAACCACATGTCTGCAATGTTAAGAGAAGTCAAATTTTGCTAACAGAAGATACATAAAGAAGATAGAATCATTGGTAAACATGCATGTTCATGTATAAAGTTAGGTAGCTAACAATAAGTAAAAGTACATTGATACAGCAAAAAATTAATTACTTTCTTGGCCGGCTTGTAGTGCACGAAAAGCAAGAGAATTGAAATTGAATAATTAATAGATTGATCGAATCCTACAATAGGGAGAACCAAACCCATGCAAAATTTACCATTGGCAGATTGTGGCGGGTTTCCGGCTGGAAATAGCTCGAGCTGCGAGCGCTTCCCATCCACATGTATCGGAGAGCCAGCTCGACTTGCCCCTGCATCGTGTCAGAAGGGCAGACATTCAAGTATGCGAGAGTACACACAAAACAATCGGATGTGTGATGAAAAAGTGTTAGGGGTTGTATAGGAGGTTCCACAATCAGTGTACACTCGGGTGCAACATAGGTTTCTGTTGATTAAGTATAATTGTAGAGGGAGAAGCCTTTTATTGCTGGTCCTTAATTTTGGGTGAATACAGGGAGAACCCAGGAAGAACTAAGAAAATTAAAAAGTTTCTCAAAATATTTTCAAAGAGCTTGAAAAGTTAAGATCTCAGGAAGACTTTAAAAAGATTTGAACGAACCAAGGAGATCTTAGGAAATATTGGGGAAGTTGAAATAAAAAAAGGCAGGGAAGATTATTAAGGAAACCTTTGCAGCACCTAGAGAAAGCTGTAGGAGTTTAACTTAGGACCTTCCTCTATATTATCGCTTAATTAAAAGAAACCTAAATTGCATTTATGCTACATAACAATCCATTATACAAGGTATGTCCTGAAAGTAATGTCAGTAAGTCGATTAAAAATCATTTATTGAACTACTCGTTACAAATGATTAAAAATCTTCAAAATAGGCTCCTTCTGCGTCAATACATCGGCTCCAGCGAGTCTTCCAGCTTTCGAATGCATTACAGTAGGCCCCCTCCGGAATTTCCTTCAATGCCGCTGTACAAGCTCTTTTGATTCCGTCTACTGTCCCGAAAATCTTGCATTTCATGAGTGTTTTGAGTCGTGGAAACAAAAAAAGTCGAGGGGAGCTACAACCGGGCTATACGGGGGCTGGAAAATCGTTGGCACCCCTGTTTTAACCAAGTAATATTATGTTATAAGTCTCTGAATTATAACAAGGGCTGAATTCAATACTAAACATATACATGGTATGTCCTGAAAGTAATGTCAGTAAGTCGATTAAAAATCATTTATTGAACTGCTCGTTACAAATGAACATTAAACGAACACTTAACCGTCGGTCTGAGTTCAACAATTCCCTCACTCGTGTCACATTGTCGGCTGTGGTGGTCGTGGATGGCCGTCCGGCACGGTCCTCGTCATCGATCTCTTCCCGACATTTCAAAAAGGCCTTGTGCCACCGAAACACTTGCTGATCTGACAGGGCGTCTTCTTTATAAGCTGACTTGATCACAGCAACCGTTTCCGTCGCAGTCTTTCCAAGTTTCACGCAAAACTTGATCGCAACTCTTTGTTCTAACGAGCGCTGCATTTTGACTTGTACAGTGACACAAAACAATTCTCACGGATAGGCTCGTCCTCACTCTCCGGATGCTCGGAGCACCTTCAGCAGCGGAGATCTGTTTAGCTGACGTCCCATATTACCAATTTTAACCGAAAAAATCGCAGTCCGACGTGAAGTCGCGTCACAATAAAGTCACTGACATTACTTTCAGGACATACCTTGTATATTCAAGAGAGTATGCAATTGACATTACAGTCTTTACTGGTAATTTACTGGCAATACCAAGATTGAAATCTAACTTCATATTTCCCTCTTAAAATGGAGAAAAATGTTTCATATTAACAGCATTACGTTATTTTAACCAGTGTGAGTGTATCGACTTCCTCTGTGTGCAAGAAAGTGAAAGAATTTTAATGTCCATTTGACAGCCAAAGAATAGGAAAATTTAGTCAGGAAAAGATACAATCAGGGTATACAGTTGCAGATTACGTAGAGAAACATGACAGAAGTTACAAGAAACAGACAGCCAATCCACCCGCCAAGTATCATCATCTTGTATGTGTATGTGTAAAATGTGTTTTACCGTGAAAGGTTAAGTTCCCACCATTCATAGCATCCGATGTAGGCAATGCATCGACGTGTAAGTCGGCCAATGTTTTCGGCACGAATTCCATTTTTGGCTTATTCGCCGCCTCATCTTTCCTGCAATCAACAATAAAAACGTGATTACAATGTGAATATTTAAATATGAGATCTTCTCTATCAGATATTCCAAAGTTTTGGGAATTTCGAACTTTGAGACTCTGGAACTTTATAACTTTAAAATATTTGAACTTCAGAACTTTAGAGAATAATGGGGCCCACAAAGTTTGAGAAGTCCTACTCCGCATAAATACATACTTCTCCAAAAGTGTTTCTGTTAATGTTCTTAAAATCTCAATGCATTGTTGATGATACTCCAGAAGTCCTTCACTGAATGTCGCCAGTTGTGCTACTTGTTCTACCTGAATACAACATTAAATATCTGTAGATAATGTACAATATGGAACATTGAAGTTTTGATAAATCCTCATACATTTGTTAAGAAAGAAAAAATAAGTTACATGATTTTTTGCATTGAGTAAGATGCAACTTTGGAAGATAAAACCACTTTTCAAAGCTTCTGCATAGAAGTACTAATAAAATATAATTTATTTATGACTAAAAGATCTTTATAATTTCATTTTACAACTTATTCAAATTTATATGACAATACAAAGTATTTCATAATAAAAAATTATAAGCAGTTCATTTTAAATCAATTGATATATATGTTTATGAAATTATAATATAAATTAGTGTTATATAAGTTATTCATGTTATATGTGTTAGTGAAATTATCTCTTATTTTTGTCTGCTTAACAAACACACAGTTTTATCAAAATTAGAGGAAGACACTTCTATGCCTTTTCTTGCAAAGAACACTTACATCATTTTCTAACAGATTAAACATGCCCAATTGTGCCAGATGAAGACTTTCCGCAAACTTTTCCTCGGCCTGACGAATCTCCTCGTCTGAAACGTGAGAACCTGCTCGCAAAATTCGCACCAGCGAGAATATTAAAAATTGCACTACTTGGGTTGCTCCAATGCCTAAATTCGGTACGTAAACGATACAAAGAAAAAGCTGGCAAAATTAAGCGGTGTATTACACCTAAGTGTCTCAACCATACGTTCTTTCTTCTAAAACGAGCATATTTGCTTTCAAGTATACAAAATATAACGCATTCAACATTCGCAATATCTTTGGTGCACGTGTATTTACATCTGGTGTATTTTGTATATTTTACACAGCTATCCAAAAAATATTCATGATTTACTGTGCCATAAACTTATTTACACTTCTCAAAATACAAAGGGTCGGGTCATTTTGACGACTGTGAACCGGAGGAAGGCAACTTTTACAAATTCCCAACATACGAGGGGTAAAAGTGTCCTAGAAAATTATGAGTACAGTGATAAATCATTTAACTGTTGCACGTCTAGTGTACAAGTCACGTACCAGTATAAGGTGACGAGGACTTTGCTGGACTTCCAAAATGTGGACTGGCTGATCTTTTTCCAGCAGCTAACAATTAAGAAAGCAAACACACAAACCAAAAGCAAAACCATTCTTCCTTTCAAAAAAGATGAAGATCACTTGCAAATAAATATTTAACTGCATTAAGACATAATATGTGAAATAATGAAACGATTTGATCTGCATGATTAACATATTTCAGTAATTAAAATCAATTTGATGTGAACTACATCCCATACTATATAGGTTATTTTGTGAGTCATGGCACTGAATAACTAATTTGTTTATGACTATAACAAATGTGTACATGCAGCAAAACGTGCGAATGGAATGTGTGTAATGTAAACGATGAAGAGATGAAGGCACGTCTAAGTCGTGCAACAGTGTCGTTTTTACATATTCCTTCCAGACGTTGAACGGGTTTGAGCGAAAAGTTAACAAAATTATAATTGCAAATGGAACGTATGGAGTTTTCGTGTTGCAAGGACGCGCGTGTACCTTCGAAGTTGTACTTAAATAAATCAATAACGCCGCGGAGAGAGAAACAGAGATAAAGTCGACGCGCGACCAAGTATACCTTTCGCTTGACGTCTTCGCTTGCAATCGAAGTCCAGCCTTCGTCCCTGAAGTTTTTTCCGATGATGCTGAAACAAAAGCGATTTATCAGGTTTTCGTTCATTACGATGTATTGACATACAATGTGTGGAGATCAAATGGTGACCTCGGACGATCAATATATGTGTATTGTTAACATTTCAGGGTTATCATAATCAATATATATATATTGTCAATATTGCAGTACTGTCAATAAGTACTTAGAACTTTGAAATATTGACAGTATATTGTACTGTCAATACAATATTATCAATACTTCAGTATCGTCAATATAATGCTATCAATGTTTCAATATTTTCAATAAACACTGACCATAAGTTTTCATATTCATAAGTTCTCAAATTCTAAAATTTTTAAATATCCTACTTTTCAAACCCCAAATTTTCAAAGTCCTAAATCCCTAAATTCACAAATTATCAAATGCCCAAATTTCTAAGTCTACAAACCTCAAATTCTTGATCATATATTATCAATACAACACTGTCGAGTATTCATGTGTATAAACATAGTATACATATATGTTTATGGACATTGTAGAGAAAGTGGAAAAGAAGTTTTTCAATAATTGCTACCACCCACCATCACTTCCTTCAGATCCTTAGTCTGCAAATGGTGCAGAGGCTCCAGGAAGTTTTGCTTAATATTGTCGTCCAACGAATATTTCACGTCCGCCATCTGCTTCATTGCTTCGCCCATTTCAATAAGAGCCTGAGCTACAAACAGAAATTAGAAAAGATAAATGACAGAAATTAGCAACTACTTGAATCCATATTTATGTGTACTTATTCTTAGTGTAAGGTACTTAAAGAAAGTTACTTTTGCCATTTAAATATTCACAGAGATTTCTATGCTTTTATTCTAAAGACCTTTTTCAAATATTCCATGTAAACTATGTCAACGTTACACACATTATATTAATGTGCAGATAATATGGTCTTTATAAAAAATTTTATTTTATTGCTTTTATATATTAGGTGATTCCAAAAGTTCGTGCCATACTTTAAATCAATGATTAAATCAAAATATTGAACATACCTTCAAATATCATGAGGAAAACATAATCTTTCTACAGCTTCTTCTCATTTGTTTGTTAGAGACACAATGATACTGGTTTTTATTAAACCATTCTTCATAAGTCATCTATGTTTCCCCATACTTTTTGCCACTTAAAAAATATCACAGTGGGAGAAATAAATTAATAAACTGCATACATGTTTATAGTTATTACTGCATTATTGCAACAGTATTAATATTTAACCTGCTATTTCTCTCAATTGCGTCTTAAAAATCATTCATCAGATCCTATATGCAGCCAAACATTTTAAATGTAAATACAAAGCGGCATGAACTTTTTGAATGACCTAACATGACGAATGAAAGTTATTAACTGTTAATATTCAATACATTCTAATTAGAAAAAGCAATACACTTCTTGTTCCATACATCAAAAGAACCAGTAAGATTAGACATGATCAACAAAAATCCTACTTTCTCCTGATTCATCTTCTTTCGCAGGAACATACCAAAAATGCTGTCCTCTCCTAGCTTCTTGCCATACATCAGCATGCAATCCCCAAGGATACCTTCAGGCTGAGGATAAGTGGACGCTTTTGCCTGACCACTGAGTTTGCTGATACCCTTAACAGCTATCATCTTTGCCCTAGCATTTGGATTTGGCTGAAGGAACTCTTTCGTTTTCGCTTGTAACTCTTCCACCAACTCATACGTAACATCTGTTTTCTGCAACCAAATATTCAAATTCTTATTAATGTAAGGAACTGTTTATTATAACTAAATATTAATTAGTGACTTATGGACGCCTATAGCACAAGGCTAGGGAATTTCTCGAGCGTCTACAGGCGTCAATAACCAAGAAAAGTAGCGAAATTTATCATCAATGTAATCAGAATCGATTCAAGGTTACGCGACGCAACAGAGGCATGTCATGGAAGCCTCAAGAATGTTCTTAGAAATACTCACCCTCTCCATGTCCATAAAGTCAACGTCGAGTTTCGTTCCTTCAGCACCACCCATCTTCTCTGTCATGTACTGCAAAATAGAGATTCATCTCATTAGCACGAGTAGCAGGTGCAGCTCAAAGGTGATGAAACAAAGGCGTAATAAACTTTTAAAGTCAACAGCAGGGACGATTCTATAGATGATGCAACACGTGTATTTACACAGGGTGGCAAGTTTAGATGGTTAGGTTTGAATGAAATTGGTTTAAATTCTATGAAATTCTAGAAATATAAAATTTTAGAAATATAATATATTTCTTCCATATTGGAACTATGTATCAGAATATCATTAATTATATTTTGACAACAAAAGTTGTCAAAATAAATGATGACCTCAGGTAATCAATATTTCAGAAAGCTCAATATTTATTGACAATGAATGTTAATCCTGAATTTGAGAATGAAAATTAGAAAAAACTTAAAATTTTTATATATTTCTTGAAATATTTAGTGTTATAATAAAATGAAATTCTACTTTTAATTGTATGTCTCTCTTTTTATGAAATACGTAGATAATTTATTATTCTTCACAAGCCAATACTATTGTTCCAAATTTATAATCAAACATATCACTGTTTAACATCTCGACTTTTAATGCGATCCTCAGCTATGCAATCTTTGAGCAATCTTAATTTACTATGTTCCTCACCATCACCGTATCTCCTAATTTCAAGTAATTTTTAATTCATAAAATTCTTCAAAAATCATTGTCTCTTAAAGTACGTTTAAAAGTGTTATCTCGATATGAATATACTCATAGTTCATTGAACGCGAAGAGGAAACGTTAAAATCATGAAGTGTCTCAAAGTCCTTGAAGTGACCTTACAGTCCAGTGCTCGTAACGGAAGATTTAGCGAAAATGAAAGTGGGAAGCGAGATGACAAATATAGAAGGGATCAAAGGAAATGATACAATCATAGAAGTCCGAAAAGGGGGAAAGTGCCAGTGGCAGAAAGGATAGTTCCTCCGGATCAATAACACCCGCAGTCAATTGATCCAAAGCGATGTCTTTGAAATTCTGCCAACCTAGACGAAAAACACGCAAGACTAAGTCGTAGATTTTTCGTCACAATGACAGTCAAATAAAATATCGAGAAAAATCTCGACGGTTTTAATAATCGTAATGTTAAAAGGGCTGTCGATGTCCAAAATGTCCATCGAAGATTCGTTCACCTCGAGCAATTCATGGAAGCAACAATATGGCCGTAATCCTTGGGAGGTTTAAAAGCCAAGCAACGCGATTATTTGACAGAATCTGATATGACCCTGACCTATATTATCGATGACCTAGTTACACGGTACCGCACGCAGGAACATACATAGGTAGCAATGCCGATTAAATGCCGTTCTAGAGTAAATCTAACCCACATCCGGCACTTGCAATATCGCCTACCATCCGATTTAAATTTATGCGGCGATTATGCGCGAAAGAAATGAAACAATTGTTTCGAGACAAAAACGGTAAATCTACGTTTGTACATTCGAACCTACTCAGGCCAAGTAGATTTTAACTTAGATGTTTATTAAGGGTTTTTCAATTTTATTTTAGAATAGACTTTTTCTTATTGTTGTAAATCTACAGTCTTTTTAAGAATTTTTAAATAATTTCGTAACCAAAGCAAGCACAGAGATTCTGTCAGGTTCCACTTTACAAAGGTGAATATTTTACAAAAGCCACGCTCTCAAGAAATACTAGACACGTAAATAAACTCCGGACAATTTGACCGAAAACAATGTTGACTTAATAAAACTGCAACGCTTTACAACCGTATATGCTTGTTTAATCCTCTTAAAAAATGTGTAACCGAGAAAGACAGAGAACAAGCAAGTTGTTGAGTGTGAAGTATCGTGATGAGATCAAATTTAATCCCATTAATTTAAATCTGAACTTTCAATGCACACAATATATTTTTCAGAAAATCATTTATTATTCTTTAATGTAACATTATTAAAAGTTGTACGTGCAAATAAAAATAATAAAACAGTGGTACTTATACACGTATCGGAAACAGATATAAAATACATCAAGCAGATTAAAATTGTTAGTCACGGTAATTAAGGGTTAATTTGAGAGGATAACTACGAGGGTCGTTAGAGATATGTAGTACTATAATTTTAATAAATTACTTTGGGAGTTTGAACAGCCGAAAAATAATTATTGACAAAGTAATGCATGTTTCTCCTCGCTTCTTCCTATCTGTACTTATTTTTGCTCGTTTCTATCTGTACAAATACAAAGTATACGTCCGGAACGTCGGCGATGCACGGATTTAGAGAGAAACGGAGGGGAGACTAGGAGAAATGGAGAGCAGCAGGAAGAGGTAGAGGCGGATGAGTAGAAATGCGGAGAAATGAGTAATTTGAATGAGAAGTTTCGAATTCTTAAGACTTAAAACACTTTGCTTTTATAAATTTTGAGACTTTGGAATTTTTGGGAATTAGAAGTATTGAGACTTTGAGGCTCTGAGTGTTAGAAATATAAAAATTTGAAAGCTTTGAAATTTAGGAATTATGAGACTTTGAGATTTTAGTCAATTTTGAACTTTGTAATATTAGGATTATGAAACTCTGAGACTTTGAGAATTTGGGGGATTTGAACTTTGAAACCTTGAAGCTTTGAAATTTAAGAATTCTAAAACTTTGAGACTTTGAGAATTTGAGATGTAGGAATATTAAGACTTTGACATTTAAGAATTATGGAATTTTCAATTATAGAAATTATGAAACTTTAAGACTTTGAGAATATGGGAGTTTCAAACTTTGCAACCTTCAAGCTTTAAAATTTAGGAATATTAAGACTTTGAGATATTGAGATTTAAGAATTTTAAGACTTGAGGACTTTGAAATTTAAGAATTATGGAACTCTAAGATTTTGAAAATTTGAAAACTTTGAAACTTTGATATTTAATAATTATGAAATTCTGAGACTTTGGGAACATGAGACTTGTAGACTTTAAGGCTTTGAGATTTAGAAAATTTGAAACTTTGAGATTTTGAGATGTAAGAATTTTGAAATTGTGGAATATAGTAATTATGAAACTTTGAAACTTTGAGAATTTGAGAGTTTCAAACTTTGAAACCTTGAAGTTTTGAAATTTAGGAAAATTGAGACTTTGAAATTTTAGAAAGTTTTGAACTTTGATATTTAAGAATTCTTAAAATCGAAAACTTTCAGAATTTGAGGGTTTCATACTTTGAGACCTTGAAGTTTTGAAATTTAGAAAATTTGAAACCTTGAGATTTAAGAATTTTGGGAATTTAAGATTTTGAAAAATCAGGATTTCTACATTTTGAGATTTCGGAAAATTTAAAGTGTTGAATTGCATGACTGTTGCACCTTGAAATGTTGAGACTTTAAGACTCTGAGACTTTGAAATTATGAGATGTTGAGCTGTTTGATCTTTACAATTTTGAGACTTTTGAATCTTTAAGACTATGGAACTTTTGGACTTTGCAATTTTGAAATTTTTAGCTTGTGGACGTTTGAAATTCTAAAACTGTGGAACTTTGAGGCTTTGAAAATTTAGAATTTTTAAACTCTGAACAAGAATTTTTTAAATATTGGACTATGAGAATTTGAAACCGAGATTTCTTAATGCCAAAACTTTAAGATTTCAGAATTTCAATCTAGATTTTTGTGATTTAAAAATTTTGGAGTTTTGTCTTTTCCTACTTCCACTCATCTCTTATCTCACCCGGACAACAAATACTGAAAATAACCAAAGAACTTGTAAAACAAATAAATAAAATACAATTCCATTTCCTTCTAATTTAAACTTCCCTATTTCGCACATTCCTATACTTCCTCACCTGAAATCAAAATACTTTTACTTTCCCCGAGCATAAAGCGTAGAAATCCTTGAATCTGGACAAATAGAATCGCTGAAACTATCCGTCCGTAATAATCCGGAAGATTAAAAATAAACGAACGCTTTCTCACAATATTCTCATTCATTCCATCATGAATTTTCATGAACCCAATATTATCCTTCTATGATTGAAATTTATGCCACTCAAGCATCGTTTCTCAGACTCAGCAAATCGGAATGAATAACTCCGTGATATAACTATAGAAAGTGTATCGATAGCAGAATATCTGCATCGTTAAATTCAATGAACCGATATTTCTGTTTATGGCGCATTTGAACGATTCCCATCGATTCGTAAACAATTAGTGTTCTCTTGAAAGCACGACTAACGCCGACAATGCACGTTTTCCATCTCGAATTTAATAAGTGTCAGCCTAAATAAGAATTAATTGTTCCACTCAAGATACATTAAGGCGGACAAGACCTTTGTCCTCGGGTCAGAACGCTGTACGAATGGATCGATCGATACGAAAATAGTCGTTAAAAAAAAGAACTGGTCCATGAAACAACAAATAGGAGGATTTAGATGTTAAAAAAAGAGAAACGATAATAATCAATTTTGTTGAAGTATAATCAAACGCGAAGAGCATTCCAGTGGAACGTAATGGAGCAACAATCTTTAGCGAGGTATTCGAACATAGTAATCAATATTGCAAGGTAAATTGGGTTAAGCATTCGTGCATTTTCATTCTTGACGATGCGAAATTACCATATACCTATGGATTAATTATATTATAATTGTATATTTTATTTCTGCTTGATAACGTTATTGTAAATATTGTAAAAATGATCTACGGTTTTATTCAAAATCTTCATTCTTATTTACCATGCGCATCAAATAATTCTACATTTTATTTAAGCTTGAAATTCGTGATCAAATTATTGTGATCAATCAAATTATTGTTTAATTACCATATGCTACTTTGCAAATAAATGATACGGGCTGATAAATGATATAATTGTATGATTTATTGTAATTGATAATTCGTAATAAAATTATTATAACCATCAGCTATACTGCGACAATAGTTTTTCAATAAAAATATTTATTCATTTCCTTTTATAATTTTTCCAAAATTACCATATGCATCTTTACAAATTGTACTTTAATTGTACATTTTACTTAAACTTGAAATTTGTAATAAAATTAACTGTCCCGCAAAAACAGTTGTTCACTTGTAGATAAATTACAATTATACTTAATTAAGTATAATTATTCATCTTCCTCGAAACTGATAATAAAATTATTTAACTGCCAGTTATTTCGTAAAAACATGTGCACTTATCTTAGTCGTGTTCAATTATCTTACAGTTAAGTAATGTGTATTATAACTGCACATGTTCGTGAAGTTTACAAGTTATTTAATCATTTCTTGTTCTGCACGTGTATAACCCTTAATTGGCAGAACTAGAAAATGATGACAATTTGAAAAAGAAAGTAAGATTTGAAACCGTAGTCGAAACCTCAATAGTGCCTTTAAAAATCTACTTGTGTCACTCGTTACCGCATTACGATCAATTTGTTCCACGTTCAATAATTACATAAGATATCACCTTGTTGCATTATTTTGCACAAACAATAAATTTTCAATGAAATTTTAAAAAATTCTATCGAACCACATTTTCAAGTCCATAATAATTTTCACTGTAAAAGGAATTTTATTTTAACCTTAAATCATTGTAAATATGAAACCAATGTTTATTAGGATAATTAAATTTGAAGAAATAAATAAATGAATTTTGCGAATTTTACAAAGTAAACCAATCTATAAGAAACTAATAGAAGAAACAATTATCATATATGTTCAATAAGTGTTGTTAAGTTATTCTACTGTTCAAATTTTCCGAAAAATGAACAAATGAAATGAAAACTTCTATTAATAAGATTGTTAATCTCTTAGAAACTCAATCTAGTTACTATTCGATTACAGTATAATCATATTACAAAAGATGTAACACAAGTCTTAATTAACACGTTCAGTCCCAACAGCAAAGTTCCAGATTTCAGACAGGGAACTTTAAAACCGGGTCAAAAAGTTGCAGCGAGCCACATTGAATTGTAGGAAAGCATTGTGCCACATTTCTTGCAGTTTCATCTTTCTCGGTCCCTAATTTCTCAATAATCAATGAAATATCTTTGATGGGAACTGATAACCTACGACCTTTGTCACAAGCACAACTACTAAAACAATATCTTTTTATGGAAGACTTCGTTCCATTTTTCCAATTAAATATTTACGCTTGACAGAGATACAGTTGACTCCCGCTGTATTGCCACTTTCAAACCTTCACGCGTACTAGTTTCCAATTACAGTAGAATCTCGTTATATTTTTAATTGAACGAGATTTTTATGCGTTTTGAAACATTCGTTATATCGCCACGTATGGTCTGGTTATATCATTTCACGTTATATTATGTTTTACTATATATTACATTTACTGCACGTTATATCACCTCGCGTTAGATTTACTATGCATTAAATCGCCATGCGTTAGATCACCGCGTATTACATTTATGACACGTAATATCACCGTGCATTAAATTTACTGTACCTAAAATTTACTTCGCGTTAAATCACCACGCGTTAAATCGCCATGCGCTAAATATTTCGCAAAGATACACTATACGTTATATCGCCACGAGTTAAATTTATTGCGTGTAATATTTCTATGAGTTATATTTACCACCCATCAAATTTACTTCGCGTTATATCGCCGCGCATTAAATCGCCATGTACCAAATATCCATGAGTGGATATACTACACGTTATATCGCCACGCGTTGAATTTGTTACGCGTAACATCACTAGGAGTTACATTTACCACTCATTAAATTTACGTCGCGTTATATCGTCACGCATTAAATGGCTATGTGCCAAATATCCATGAGTAGATATACTGCATGTTATATTGCCACGCATTAATTTTGTTACGCGTAATATCACCATGAGTTAAATACCACCTATTAAATTTACTTCGCGTTATATCGCCACGCATTAGATTTGCCAAACATTAAATACACTGTGGATTGTATTTATCGAACATTAAATTGATTTACTTCGCATTTGATTTTCCACGCGTTATATCGCCGCGCATTAAATTTATTACGTATTGAGATTTATGAAACATTAAATTGACTGCGAATTGTATTTATCAAGCAATAAATTTATCACATATTTGATTTACTTCGCGTTAGATTTTCCACGCGTTATATTGTCGCGCATTAAATTTACTACGCATTGAGGTATATCAAACATTAAATTGACTGCTCATTATATTTATAGAAGCAATAAATTTATCATATGTTTGATTTACTTTGCATTAGATTTTCCACGCGTTGTATTGCCACACGTTAAGCCTATACTCATTATATCGCCACACGCTAGACCCATACGCATTATATCGTAATAACTCTCCCTCAATGAACGCAGAAAAATCCACGAAAGCGATCAAAGAAGCTTTCTATATTGCCACCTCCAAGAATTCGCCGCTCCTACAACTCCACCCAAAGCAATGTAACGAGAGTCTACCGCATTTCGATAAATAAATCCAGAAAAGCCCACAGAAGCACTCACCTGATTAGCCTTGTTAATCTGTTTCTTTAACCCCGCGAACGCCATGGTGGTGGATGTTCAGCCGCTCTCCAAGGAAAACAAAGTCTGCAACAGAAATTTCCATGTATGCGGTTAACCAATCGAAACTTTCAATGAAAAAAAGGAAAGAAGGGGTTAGGATTGATGACTGTGCCGGTTGGCCGTATGCCAGATCCAGTTCCACGGACGGATAATTTTCAATGTTATCGATCGACCACGTTTTCCAGCATCACGATTTACTTCTGATGTAATAATTGCCGACACACATACACGCCGCACGGTAAAGTGATTCTTTTCAGTATCCCATGACCCCATGACGCGTACGTTGTACATGTGCACCCATATACTAACAAGACTGCCCTCAGAATTGCAGCCTCCTATACTGTGCCTCGTGTCTACTTGCTTCGAAATTATCATACTCGTTATATTTTTTCCCTTCCTCAAACATTACTTGACGAAGACATTTTTTTTTAATATTTCAAAACCCCATGTGGATATATGCACATCTCGTATACTAACAGGACTACCACAGAGGCTACAGTTATGTATTCCATGTCTAGCTGTTCTTTCTTAAACAATTGCATTATGCACGAGCCATTTTTGTTCTTTCTTTACACATTACTTGACAAAATGATCTTTCTTAATATTCCATATCCTGCATGCACAGAGACACATGCACTCCATGTATTAATAAAATAACTATAAAGACTGCAACCTACTGATGATCCACTTGTACTGTTCATAAAAATTAGATCATGTAGGTTGTACTTCTACTTTTCATTGATAACTTGCACGACAGGGTTCTTTTTAATATTCCATGCCCACAATATGTAGACACACATGTGCATTTCGTATATTAGTAGGGCAGCTCCTGAAAATTGCAACCTCATACCTGATAATTTAATCGTTTTTTTCGTAAAAATTACGTCATCTACGTTCTATTTCAATTCTTTTACATATTACACGACAAAGTGATTTCTTTAAATGTCCCGCATACACAAACATGTGCATCCCATATACTTGCAGGACACCCTAAAAGCTACAGCGTTCTACCTAATAGTCTACACATTTTGTTCGTAAAAATTGCGTCATATACTATTTTTTACACATTGCACCATAAAGTGATTCTTTTTGGTATGTCATACTCCCCTAAAGAATTTGTACATGTGCATCCCCAGTGCATGTACTCGTAAGGCAACCCTGAAGGCCGTAGCCTACCTGATCGTAAAAATTAGATCGCGTACTATTGCTTCACACATTGCACCATAAAGTGATTCTTTTTGGTATGTCATACTACCCTAACAAATTTGTACATGTGCATCCTCAGTGCATGTACTCGCAGGGCAACCCCGAAGGTCGTAGCCTACCTGATCGTAAAAATTAGATCGCGTACTATTGCTTCACACATTGCACTATAAAGTGATTCTTTTTGGTATGTCATACTACCCTAACAAATTTGTACATGTGCATCCTCAGTGCATGTACTCGCAGGGCAACCCCGAAGGTCGTAGCCTACCTGATCGTAAAAATTAGATCGCGTACTATTGCTTCACACATTGCACTATAAAGTGATTCTTTTTGGTATGTCATACTCCCCTAAAGAATTTGTACATGTGCATCCCCAGTGCATGTACTCGTAAGGCAACCCTGAAGGCCGTAGCCTACCTGATCGTAAAAATTAGATCGCGTACTATTGCTTCACACATTGCACCATAAAGTGATTCTTTTTGGTATGTCATACTACCCTAACAAATTTGTACATGTGCATCCTCAGTGCATGTACTCGCAGGGCAACCCCGAAGGTCGTAGCCTACCTGATCGTAAAAATTAGATCGCGTACTATTGTTTTACACATTGCATCATAAAGTGATCCTTTTTAATATATCATAGTTCCCTAAAGAACATGTGCACCCCGTATACTACCAGGATAGCCCTAAAGACCTTTTAGTCACTATCTAATCGTTTCGTGAAAGTTACATCTCATTTATGTCCTTACAAGTTAACAAAATGATTTTCATTAATAGCCCCAATGCGCAAAAACACATGTGCACCCCATAAACTACCAAGGTAGACCCGGAGTCTGCAGCTTCCTACACATTACCTAGCTCGTAAAATTACATCATTTCTGTCCTTCCTTTACACATTGCACGACAAAGTGACAATTTTCAATATTCCGTGTCTCTCTACTGCGCATGTTTCACATGTGCACCCCGTACACCATCAGAGTAGCCCCGAGGCTAAATCTTAATCTTGTGAATCAGAAGTAGCCGAGGTCTGGTAGTTTCTCCCGTCGAAATTACATCACGCACGTTTCGTACCAGTTCTTCTAACAAGCCTGTCGGAGGATGAAGATCCAAAAATAGACTGTGTAGCTCTCATAAAGAGGAATTAACGACAGTCTCCCAAGACAGACGCCAGAGGTTCTTCGCGGCCCTTCGTACGAGAAAGAAATTCACCTACATGCCTAACTTTGTTCACAATGTTAGACGAAACGTACGTGCCAGCGATCGGAAAGCGATAAAGAGGTTGACGTAGGGGGAGAGGGAGAGCCCCTGATGAACCACAGCAGTGGGAACGAAATATCGCTAAAATGTTCTGTTCTGTTGAATCGTGTCGGATGATGAAACGAAGAATGTTCCTAAAGGATGCTGATGAGGACAGATGAATCTCTCACCTAGTTAGGTCCAAACAGCACGTCCAAACGACGACTGAAAATGCGAGGCACAAAGTAAAACTCCAGAGATCCGCGTGGACCGCGAACACCACAGGCACCACCGACCCGCACGTAGTCGGTTTTGCACACTGCGCCTCTTCCTCGAAGGGTAGTTTTCTAGCTGACGATCGATACCCGGCCACGAGTCTCTCCCTCCCTCTCCTTGGTTCTCCTCGTCCATCCCTAGATCTCCTTCTCTCTCCCCGACTTTGCCGTCCCACCCGTCTCTCCCTGCCAGTGCTTCCTCTCCCTGTCTCTCCCTTGAATCTCCTCGTCTTTCCCTGACTTTCCCCTTCTCTTTCACCCTACTCCCTTTCGGTGTTGAGCAAAAATTAATTAGAATAATGAACAAAAAGATCACGAGTGAATTCGATTTATTCGTTAGTCGGAAATAACAGACAGTAATTTCGTGAGTGAATAATGAATAACGCGAAATTGTTCTTTAATTTGAAATTTCCATATAAACGAGGTAAATGAATGTCGTTTGTTTATGTATGAGATAGTTCAAATATTAAATATAGATGTACTCAAAAATTGTAGCTTAATCTTCTTGTGCGATTTTTTGAATTTAAAAAAGGGAACATTTTTGAACTCTCACAAATAAGTAACTAACAATAAATATGTTTATTTAAAAAAAAAAGTGATATAATATGCATTTTTTAATTTTGAGAAAACACGATAAGAAATTGTAGTTACAACAGATGATAAGTTTTTTCAATAATTTCGTTAATTATGAAATTTTAAAACAGTACATTTGAAAACCTAGGCTATCATAATCGCCTCCTAATAAAAAAAAGAAGAGAGTCAAGAGAATAACCAGCAATATTTAAGTTTTATAAATTTCATGGCGGATTTATCTAACAAACAATAATATATAACTTATATTTTATGAATGATAATAATAACAACAATATTTACTAATTTCTGTGAACAAAATGTATTTTTATATAAAATGATTTTATTACAACGTGTAATAAAAAATAAATATACATTTAATATATTAAAAGAAAAATTAAACTGAACAAAATTATTTGCTTCAAAACAGAATTATGTATTTTAAAAAACCGCCACCACTACAAAACGACCGCCTCAGGCTATAGCCTACTTAGCCTATATTTCGATCCCTGATTTTACTTAGGTTATACTTCAGGTTTTCATCTGTATCGACAATCAACTAATTATTCGTTTGTTATTGTTAGTCAAATAATTATTTTGCAGCTGCTTTCACGTTTCTGTCCGCGGCTTTTCTCGTCTCCCTGGCCTTCCCGTCTCTCCCTGGGATTCACCGTCTCTCCCCCTCGCTAACTCGCCCCCACCCTCTTGTCATCACGCCCCCAACATCCCCCCCCATCATTTCAGCCGTTTCACTCTCGCGTGCCATACTCTTTCATCCTAACCTCTCCGTTCTCTCATTCTCTCCACTTTCCCTTCTTCCCTTTTTCTCTCTGTTTTCTTTGTCATTGACTTAAAATTGACTTTTCAGTCAATTTTATTTAGCTTTCTCTGCGCTAATTGCGTGTTGTGTTAACCCAACCCCCGTTATTCACGCGTTTCTGTTCCACGAATGCTCACGGAACCCGAATGCCTGTTCGACGATTACTCCCGGGGCAAAAGGCGAAAGGGCAATACGCGGAATTAACGCGCACCCATTCAGTCTGACGATCTATCAATGAAAGGCAATGACACGTCGATAACGTGATTTCCCTCGATATGGGAGGGCTCTTTACTCGAGTATAAATAAATGAATCGGTATGCTGTTCTTTTAGTTATGGTTGACATCCTTCGTGGAGCATGATCTTTGTTATGACTTCGAGTGTGCGAGGAATGTTAATTTTTCTGAAGTTTTAGACATTTTCATTATTCTAGAGGTGTCCGATACGTGTAATGTGTACTCTGGCGAACGTCGCAAAATTTCCTAGGAAAATGATCACACAAAGGACACCATCGCTTAGTGATCATTGATCGATCGATTATCAAATCACAAATTTATAAATTTCATAATTTAGAGATTTGGAAATTTGAGAATTTGAGAATTTAAGAACTTCAAGATTTGACACTTGAGAATTTGAGAATTGTTACATTCAGAAATGTTTAAATTAGGTAGTTTTAAGAATTTATTCACAATATAGACCGCAACGATCCTGAAATATTGATATTATACATGTATTGATCATTTGAAGTTTCCGTTAGGTATAAAATGCTCGCGCCTATATATTTGTCGCCAAAATATAACGTGCCGGTAGGTCAAAAGTCCATAAACGTTGAAACATGTATTTTACCAACTGACCAGATTTACGATTACGTTATATTTCTGCGAAAATCATACAGGTATTCGCATCGCACTGAAAAAAATGAACTAAACGTATATAGTTACTTCAATGGAGGTACTCCACGCTATATTTTACGACCTTACTATATTTCCAACCCAACTATACTCTAGAAATTGTGCATTAAAGGTCACAGTATTAAATGCAACAAAGAGAGCACGGAAAGGTGTAGAAAACTTGCATGAAACTGGGAAAAGGGCACAATATGCTGAAAATATTTATATCGTCGGTATCACGCGTACAACCGTATTTATGAATTTAATTCTTCAAATTTTATCGTCGTCATAACAATAATAGTTCACTGCCGGCTACCGGCTACGCAATGTAATAGAAAAATTCCAGCGAAATTAAAATAAAAGAAAAAATGACGGGTCATTTTGATTCATATATAAATGCAAAAGTAATTTTATCCCATCAAGAATTCATAACTTTAGAATGTTTAGTCAGAAAGGAATCATCGCAAAACGACTGGGCCATGGTGCTGCTATCATTCGATAACGTTTTGTCGCTTTGCACGCCCCCCGTGTGTCTGAGTGTACATCCTTTCTGTGCAAACCACCCCCACACGGTTCGTAAAAAATACTTCTAAAAATACACGTCAGTCCGGCAGGAGACATTAATCTGCCGAAGGCCCCCAACTTTTACTTTCAATTTCTACCAGCTTTACATTAAGTCCGTGAGTACTCATATAAAAAACAAAAATGTTTCATTGAGACGCGAGATATCGAAATTAAAAAGAAACATCGAATGATATATTATATCGACTTCAACGTTAATTTCGAGAAACAACCCGCAGTTTGAAAAAAATGCAATTTTGATTCACATCTCGGGTAATGTCACAACTTTCACTTTTGTTATGTAGTTTACTTTATAAGGAAATATACATTTCAAGAATTCTACGTTTAGTTGGAAACAAGTGTAATATATAAATAAGTAACAAGAAAACGGGAAAACCGATGAACAAGAATATCGATACACCCAGACCTGTGAGTCGCCGACTCTCCGGACGAATATAGGAAAACAGTTCGATAAAAGTTGACAGATAAAAATATACATTTATATGTTCGTTTTCCCCCATTTCGACGAAATTAGTACTGACAAACCCAAAATCATAAAATTCCACAGTTCCAAAATCCCAACCTCCTGAAATTCTAAAGTTCTAAAGTTTAAAGATTCTGAAATTGTAGAGTCTAAAAATCCAAACCCAGCATTAAAGTCCTAAAATTGTAGTGTCAAAGTTCCAACATATCAAAATTAAAAAGTTAACAAATCTCAAAATTCAAAAATTTCTAAATTTTTAAGTTTCAAAATTCTAAATTTGAAATCTTAGAAGATAGGATATAACTTTCGTGCATCGCCGACATTTTGGCTGGTTTTTTGACATTTGTAGGAAAACAGCACAAGAAACAAATGTACAAAAGAAAAAAATTTCAAAGTTCCTGTTTTCCTAATTTGATTTCCAAATTCTAAAAATCTAAAATCTTAAGTACTCTCTGCTTTATCGATCACAACATTCGATCGATACGTACTAATTTTAACGTATTCAATAGCTGGAAAAATCGTAAGACTGGTATACATAAATCTCAAATATTTTAACTTCCATTGAATTCTTCAAAGCAATGAAGTTTTACAGGTTACATTTCAAACCGAGAACAGTGAAATTATAAAAATTGCATGGAAAATAACTTCATACAGTTTCGATCTATAACCAACCGGTATACACGTTGTATATAAATTTAAACTTGCAATAATAATAATCATACAACCAATCATAGACGCTGTTATAAGCAATTAATAGTAAATATGGCGTCCTCCTAATGTTCATTCTTGTTCTCAAATTTTCCTTACATTTCATAAATACGTAAAACTAAAATACAAATTTAATTTATTCTTTGTACGTAATGAATGAAAAAGCCAAACAATTATAAAAATTTCAACTGAACAAATAAATCTGCATTGCATCAACTGACTGAATCAACTTGTTAATTCAAACGTTTCCCATGTATGTATCATGAAATGTAGAAATTCAAAATAATATACAAAATAATGCAAATAATGTTTTGATACACTTACCGAAGCAAGACTTAGTGAGAACAATGCACTATTTAAAACTGGAATCCAGTTAACCCTTTACTACTGTTTGACACAGACGACAGCTGTTTATCGTTACCAATTATGACACCAGATTGCTCTCTCAACCATGAGCTAAAAAAGGTGGGAAAAATTATAGATTTCAAACACATTTTCATTAGAACTACTGTTTCTTAAATCTACGCATACATACCTGTTATATTCGTATGAAATCAAATATATAAAAAATACTATATAGTAATATTCTATATAGTTATCACCAATTTTTCCCTTTTTCCGTATATTACAAAAATAGAGGTAAAAAATGAATGAATTTGAAATGACATGAGACTTTTTTATTATCAACATTATTAGTACAGTGAAACAGCTAGTATTATACAATAAAATAGTGCCGTTTTACAATAGAGCGTCGTAAAGCTTTTTTTACATGTAATACCGCGCTTGACTTAATGTTTTATTATTTCTTTTTTCCTTTTTCAACTTGACTTACTCTGGTCTCACAGAGATACGAAACGTTTAAGTTCTTCATTAATTTCAGGATTAATAGTTGACATTAATTGCTCGAACTGATTAACCCCAACTAAGCTGCGTAGTGTAAGTAACTGAAACAGCAATTATGAAAAACTATGAAATCACTTGTCCTTATTGTTATACATATGTAACTATCGATAAACAGTTGCTACTGTACCTGATTTTCCAACGTAGCTCTTAAAGATGCACGGGTTAAAGGGTCGCTAAAATCAAGTCTTCTTTGACGCTGCTCGTGTTTATTCCCATGGTCTTCGTCCTCGTATGAAGATGACGGGCTACGTTTTCCGGCAATCGATAAACAACTGAATTAAAAAAATTATAATACGCGTTATTTCCGCGTTATTTCTCAACGTTATATATACTACTTTTATATAATTCTTACGTACTCAATGGCATTTTGGATATTGTAAACATCATTATCAATTTCAGTCATGTCATTAAGAGTTTCAACAATATTAGATATTATTAGCGGAAAATTCTGGAGAACGCTAGGTGGACTATTAGCTCCAAGAAGCGAACAAAGTGCAAGAGCTAACAATTTACGTCTTTCCGGAAGAAAAACACATGGCATATTCGTAACCCACACACGTATTATTTGTCCGAGTACAACTGTTTCTGTCGTTTCATTTCCACCCATTTTTTTGGTCAATTCATTTATTACCTGTATTTATAAATTAAAGATTAAAAATATAAGGAAAATATTATAAATGTAGACATAAAACCTGATACCTGTATAAAAATATCTTTATAAAGCCATAAAATTCTTGCCATAATAGATAGATACATTATTATCGATTTTAAACTTTTATCAGGGTCTTCACCGTTATACACGTTCCTAAAATAATTGAAGTAAATGTTATTACATACAGATTTGGTATGATAATTATTTGTATGTTTATACTTACTCGAATACATGTATTAAAACGGGCTTTATTAGTTCTGCACCTTGGCGATGTAAAGCACACAAACATGTTTCAAATACAGTCATAGTCGTGAATATTTCATCGGTTCCCATATCTCCTAAAAGTGATCTAAACGTTTCAATTATAATTGCTCCCCTTTGTCTTAAAAATTCTTGAGGATCTAATATTACATATGCTTGGACTATGTGCGAACATAAATCAAAATTTTCAAATGATTGTTCTGAAACATGTTACAATTTTTTTAATCTTTTGAACATTTATAGAAGATATACATTAAAAATATGAAAGATTATTTACTAACCTAATAAAGCAGGCAAATTTTTACTCAAATCCATTATAGCTGGTGTTGAGACAGGTGTATTTTCCAATAGAGCTAACCATAACCGTAACCCATCTTCTAGCAAATAAACATGGCTCTCCTGAGTAACATCACAACTTAACGCAACAACATCAACTACTAGAGGTTGTAGACTTTCAGGACCTAACGCCTATTTAATAAAAATATTATTTATTAGAAAGTGTTATTAAATTCAATAAACCATGAATCACTAATAAAGTAAGTACCTTCTCTAAATATATAAGCGTTGAAATTATAGCACATCTTAACATATTATGTTCTTCGGATTGCTGCCAAAGAGTTGGTAGATATGAACTAAGAGCTCCAATATGGGGATTTAATTCATTACCAGCATGTTCAATCATGAAAGATAACACATATAAAACGTGCATCTGAAAATAATTTTAATAATATTTTCTAAGAATAAAATGTCATTTCAAAAATAATATTTAAGTACATACTTTATTTTCACATTCTTTCACTTCCTTCAAAAGAGAGAATAATAAAGAAAATGCTGTCCCGAAATAAGGTGAGAATTCTTCTGGATTGAATTGAAAATCGTCTATTACAAGTTTTAATGTTTCACTTGCTACTAAACGGACACCTAAATCTTCCTTAGGGCTTAAAACTTCTAACATAAGTTTATATACCTCTGGTCTAAGTTCTGCGCTTAATTTTACGTCTGTAATTATAATGCAACATTTAAGTTAACTACAATTAAAATAAATTCTTATATTTTTATGAAAACTTACTTGTCCACCGACCAATAAGCCAACATATACGTCTTCTAATAATTCTGTAATTGTTACTTTGAATTTTCAATTCTTCTTTTAAAGTTGTTGAAAACCACTGATCAAAATTTACCTAATACACACAAGTATGATAACTGGTTGATTGACCGCTTACAGTGATTTTTTTGTAAAACTTTGCCCCTACCTCGTCATATAAATCAAAAGCAGCCAAACCAACTGCATTATATACTGCATCTTTTAAAAGAATGGCGTGCAAATCATTTGGATCTACAGGTTGGTGATGTCTTTGCATCAACTCGACTAAAACTGACACAAGAACATCTCTAAAGCCATGGAAAATTGTTACAAACAAGGACTCCGTGCAAGACTAAAAATAAAATTTCAGTTGTAAAACGAACGAAGATTTAATATTTTTACAAGATAATAACTAATGGAATTTAAAATATTTACCCTTAAATTGTACTTCCATGATTCACCACCATCGTCAACAACTAAAATTAATCATTCACAGTTACTGATTAAAACAAAGTGCGTATACATGCATATACACGAGCTAACAATTACCAAAATTCTCTGGATCTGTATCCCACAATTCCAAATTAGCAGGAGTTAAAAGAAAATAATGCGTTACAAGTCTTGAACAAATTTCAGTTAATGTTTCAGGCGTAAAAAATTCTTCTCTCAACTGCTTTACCGGCCTTCTCAGTGTTTCTACATTGATAAATTGTCATATATTGAGAGTTATATTTATGTCAAATTATGCAGTAAATATATAAATACTCGTACCTTCCATAATTTTAAGTGGCTTGTTGCATGTTGATGATAGAATGCCTTTCATTAGATTCAAACATTGTATAAGGAATCTTTCAAATGTTAAAGCTTGACCAGCTTCAGTAAAACAATAAAAAACAGAAAATTCTAAAGATTTTGGTATCAACTCGATATAGGAATATGGATGTATCTCTAATACTCCTAACAATACTTTGGTTAAATGAATTATAAATTTATCGCATACTTCCATTTGTATACCTCTTGAAATTAATGTTTTCCCTGAAAAATACATAAATTATTAAACAATATAAATATATGATTATTCTCATGATATTAGTTGGGAATCGAAAGTACTAACTACATTCAATGCAGGTCCTTGCACGGTCAAAAACAATTCCTAGGAACAACATAGCATCTTGAGATTCTGCAGGTGAACTGAATCCATTTATAACAAGTTTCCTAAGTATTTTTAATAATAGTAATGCCTTTTCTAAAGCTTCTTGTATCTGCCTTGTATCTGCTTCATTCGATGCCAATATAAGAAAAGATTCAGTATATGTATTCCATAAATTCAAAATAAAATTGAACATATTAACAGTTAATTCTTGGAAGAGTTTCTTGTCTCCGAGTAAACATTTAGAGGCTAATGACTTAATAACGTGATGTAATGTTAATAATGCTCGATGTTGTGCTAAGGGATTTTGTTCCCTTATGACATCTAATAATCTTGGAATTAATGTACCCCATTCTCTAGGGCAGTCATATCTGTATAATATTACCTCATTAATTATTAAACATGTTGAAAACAAAATAAATACAGATCATTTCATGCGTGTTGATTACCTTGCAATTTTAGCGATAAGAGCTGCCAATTGCACAGCTAATTGATTTACAGGTTCTTCAAAATTTTCTATTAAACGTTGTCTAAGAAATTCTTTTTCATCTTCCGCAATTGCACTATGATAATAATTTATGTTATGTAACTTTCTTCTTGTACCAGATTATTCGTAAAATTTAATATCATATTGTAATTGCTAAAGTACTTACTTTGGTGCATTTTTCCTCCAATACCTATCGACACCATTTTTAAAACATAAAATTGCCATCCATCTGATATTAACATTCAAGGAATGATTAGAAAATACATTCTGAAACAATTATTATGCAATAATTATTTATATAAACTAACATTGGTATTCAGTACATTATAAAATAATCTTAAATAAATGACTATTACCATACAGTTACTTATAATTCTATTAAAACTTCAGCATATTTATACCACTTACATATAATGTAGTATAAAATCCTCTTTCGGTTTCCCATTGTTTTAACGTTTGTTCAGCTGGTTTAAAAATATTGGGATCTTGATTACCAGCTTGTTCAAGGACCTGTATCACTACTACATCCATATCTTCCTACAAAATATAATTACACTTCATTCCTATGTTTAATTTAACCAATTAGTTAGTGTTTACTTTCTTCTAAAGAAACAATTAAAAACGTTAACAATGAACATGTGCTAATGATAATTTATCCCTTAAATGTTTAGTTTCAACATAAAGATAAGAAGGAATGGCTATCATTTATCGTCACGCTAATAAGAATACCATTTACATGAAATTAAATACCTTCTGTCATTATATTATTTTGGTTAAACAAATTATCATTTTTTTTCTGATTCCGGTTGAACAGTTCCTAACCTATAAGAAAATATCAATCACATATATTCAAATATTACCTATCTTATACAGAGTTTGTAGAACTATTTTTAGTAAATCCCATTTATCAGAAATATCTACGTATTCAATCGATACATAACGAAAATCATAAAAGACACTTTACATCAAAATGTCACACACGCCCGCAAGTCGGGATTTCAGAACGCTACCCCCTACTCTTTTCTTTTTCTTTAAAATATGACGGTGACAGTTATTATCATAACATAAACCACCTTACTGCTATTTTGTCTTTTTTACGAATACTGCTTTTTGTTATACATTATTATATATTAATTAACGATGTAATTTACGTTTTCACTTAAGTGAAATTTCTTATTCTTTCTTAAAATTTTTAACGAAAATAATTCTACGTTAATGTAATCAATAATTTTAATATAACATTGCGTTGCTATTTGCTTATGTTTTCTATTAAAATAAATCTTACGTATTTATTTATTCTTTGTGTAATGAGATATATTTCAAAATTTCCATTAAATTAATGCAGAATCTATTACCTTTTTTTTATGAGATACATTTAGTTTATTAATACGTTAATTTTATAACAGTTTACGATATAAACTTAATTTGTAAATAGATATTTATGTACTAACATTCAAAAATTTTATTTATTATTATTTGTAGTTTAAAGATTCATTACGCGTAAAACGGATATCCGTTATGCGCGCTCTAACGTCAATTTGTAGCGGTACAGGTTCTTTTCGTTCTTGGCTCGTGGCAGTGTAGAGTACTTGTCACGATGAAGGTTTGTATCCATAAATATTTCGAGAATCTTAAGAATATCATAAGCTACTAATAATTAAGTTTATTTAGCGATCTGTATTAAACAGTTTTACACGTACATAATATGTCAAATATTTCTTTTCATAACACAGTATTGGTTATAAATCTGACATTATTATCTATTTAATTTTGACTAAAATTGACTAGAATAAAATAGTAAGATTTAAAATTACTAAGTCTTTTTCATGTTAAATATAAAATATAATATTACTATATTACAAGTAGCATAAACAATGTTATAACAACTAACCTTTAAAAGTTGGCTGTAATGTAATATACATTCTTCTTTCAGCTGAACGTATCGTATCCCGCTACGGGCTGTCAAAAGCTCTTTGAAATTTCAGATGAACATAAACTCAGAATTTTTTATGAAAAGCGCATGGGTGCTGAAGTAGAAGCTGATGCATTAGGTAATGAATGGAAGGGATACGTTGTTCGCATCTCTGGGGGAAATGATAAACAAGGGTTTCCTATGAAACAAGGTGTTCTAACAAATGGTAAAACAACAATTCTAGTGCTATTTTCTAACATTTATAGTTAATCTTGATTAATCTTGATGTATTATTACCAATAGGTCGTGTACGTTTGTTACTCTCGAAGGGACACTCATGCTATAGACCTAGACGTGACGGTGAACGTAAACGTAAATCCGTTCGTGGATGCATTGTTGACTCCAATCTCTCTGTACTTGCTCTTGTCATAGTCAAAAAAGGAGAGAAGGTATTAATTTACGACTATTATTGTTGTTATAGGTTTATCCACCATGTTATTCAGGGTGTATGAGAACTTGCATTGTGTCTTATAATACCATCGTAAACATGGAAGATCAAATTTCGTTTTTTGATTTGAGAAGTTGTGTTATAAACTTACACATTTTCTCAGTGTACGAACGATACATTAATATATGTAAACATATTTATTACATAGTTCAAATAAATCTTTTCTCATAGGAAATTCCAGGTTTAACCGATACGAATGTGCCGCGACGTTTGGGACCTAAAAGAGCAAGTAGAATTCGTAAGCTCTTCAATTTATCTAAAGAAGACGATGTCCGTCAGTTCGTTGTAAAACGACCAGTTCAAAAAGAAGGCAAGAAGGAACGTTTTAAGGCTCCGAAAATTCAGCGCCTTATTACTCCACTTACTCTGCAGGTATGTACATATGCATATATTTTGTTCTTGCTTTGAGTAATAAAAGTAACTAAAAATATATTATTTTTACAGAGGAAACGTCACAGAGTGGCTTTGAAGAGAAGACGCAGTTTGGCTCGTAAGCAACAAGCAGCAGATTACGCGAAACTGTTAGCACAAAGGCAGAAAGAAGCAAAGAATAGACGTCAAGAAGAATTGAAGCGAAGACGTAGTGCTTCTATGAGAGATTCAAAATCATCCAGTCAGTCTGCACCTACTACACAAAAGTAAAATCATTGCAATGATGTATTTACCTTAATAAAAAAAAAATAAATCTATTTATGTTGTTTTTCATCCCCTTATCCAAAATATACAAAACAACTTTGAAAGTGTAAAATAATATATTTTACTGAATTATGGTATCTATTTTTTGTTTAAATAAAACTATGTTTGAATTCAACACATTTAAAATTTTAAAGAGTAATTTTGTATGATTTAGAAATAAATTGTTTTGGTTTCATTCTGTGTGGAAAAATTGGATAGAAACAAATTTAATTTAGAAATGACTGTTGCGCATGCGCGTTATACATTTAGGGAATAATGTTGGTAAGAAGTATAGGTTCTTACTTATTTTTCTAGTAACAACTTTGTAACATGGCTGAATATTTGTATACAAACGCACGTTTCAGTTAAGGTTATGCACGTGCAGATGTCTAATAATTTTGTAATTTAAATCATACATCTAATTTATATGATATATAATATATATTTGTAACATTTTTCATACGCATGACAATAATTTAAAAATTTTAACAACGTAGAATTACATAAACACAAAGGTAAATATAATTTTAATTAAGTAATTTATTTTATGTCAACTGTAACCGATTAGAAAGTATAATTAACCGTGCGTTTTATAGACAAAATGGCAAAGTCAAGAGCTACAACTAAAGCTCCTCGTAAAGAGGGATTTAATCGTTCTGGGCATAGCATGAATCCTGAGCGCCCTACAGAAGGATTAAAAGGTGTAGCTAAAGTTCGGAGCAAAGCAACAATCAAGAGATTACAAATGTATCGTAATCAAAAACCAAAACGTGATCGTACGGGTAAAATAATTAGCCCAGCACCATTCCAAGGTTGGCAACCATCTGGTACTATGTCTCGTATAGAACCTTCGCATAGATGGTTTGGTAATTCCAGAGTCATTTCCCAGAATGCTTTGCAAAAATTTCAAGATGAATTAGGGAAAGCCATGAAAGATCCATATAATGTTATTATGAAACCTACACAAATGCCAGTAACTTTACTTCAGCAAAAAGCTATGAATGCAAGAGTACACTTACTGGATACAGAAAGTTTTGAAAGTGTATTTGGTCCAAAAAAGTTACGTAAAAAACCAAACTTAACGATAGCTTCATATAATGAATTACAAAAATTAGCAGAAGAAAAGGAAGAAACATATAACATGGAAAAAGATACAAAAGACATTGATCTTGTTCGACCAGATACAGGTATAAAAGATATGCAGAGAGAATGGATCATGTCAGCAGGACAAAGTAAAAGAATTTGGAATGAATTATATAAAGTTATAGATTCTTCTGATGTTATTTTACAAGTATTGGATGCCAGAGATCCTTTGGGCACAAGATCTCCACCAGTAGAGAAATATTTAAAGACAGAAAAACCTCATAAACATTTAATGTTTATTTTAAATAAGGTGGATCTTGTTCCAAATTGGGTCACGCAAAGATGGGTTGCAATTTTAAGTGCAGAATATCCAACAGTAGCATTTCATGCTTCAATGACGCATCCATTTGGAAAAGGTTCCTTAATAAATTTATTACGTCAATTTGCGAAATTACATATGGATAAAAAACAAATCAGTGTAGGTTTTATAGGATATCCTAATACAGGGAAAAGTTCTGTTATAAATACTTTGAGATCGAAAAAAGTATGCAAAGTTGCGCCGATTGCCGGTGAAACAAAAGTATGGCAATATATTACTTTAATGCGCCGTATTTACTTAATAGACTGTCCAGGAGTAGTTTATCCATCAGCGGAAACTGATGCAGAAAAAGTTTTGAAAGGTGTAGTTAGGGTAGAACTTGTAAAAAACCCTGAGGATTATATTGAAGAAGTATTGTCACGAGTAAAACCAGATTATATTCGCAAAACTTATAAAATCATGGAATGGAATGATCACATTGATTTTTTGGAGAAGTTGGCACGTAGAACTGGAAAATTATTGAAGAAAGGAGAACCAGATATCACCATTGTGTCACGAATGGTATTGAATGATTGGCAACGTGGTAAGCTACCATTTTATGTCTCTCCGCCTGGTTTTGAAGTACCACTAACAAAAACAACAGTGAATGAATCATCCACTGAAAATAATAATATTGAACAAGAAAATGAAACTGAAACAAACGAAAATGAAACTGTACTAAATAAAGAAGTACCAAAACCTGAATTATCTGTAATACAAGATTTTCGAAAAATAAGAGTTGGTTTACCATATTCTGGTGATGATATTCAAAATGAATTACAGATTGAAGACAATAAATCTATGAGTAACTCAATTGAAATTAATTCTATTTCATCAGACTTGGATGATAATGATATTAGTGAAATTCAAGATGAAGCAAATGTAAATTTTAAAGAAACATTGTCAACAGAAAATAATGAATGCAATAAAAATGATAAGGAAAATGACGAATATTCTAATGATAAAACTCATCTTCCACAAGAAAAAGATACTTTAATGCAAAATGCATATGATGTAATAGAAGAAGAATATGATTCTAGTGATAGTGAAATGTTGGATAAAAATGCTGTATCTAGTAGTGGTAAATTCAAAATTTCTTCTACATCTAATGAAGTGGAACATATGACAGAAAAAGTTGGAAAAAAATTAACAAGTAAACAAAGGCGAGCTCTAGAAAGAGCTAGTAAAAGGAAGAAAATTGGTAGCAATTTTTATGAAATTACTAATGTGAAGAATAGGAACAGGAACAGAAGAGTTCCTAAAATTAAACGAAAATAGTAAAAATGTAGATGAATAGAAACAAAAACTATTAATCTATAAATAAATTCAAAATAAACTTATTAATCTGTTATATTAAATAAATTAATTAAAAACGAAATTAGAGTATATAAAACTATTAAATATTACATATTTATATTAAATATGTTTATTCAAAAGAAATAAATTATTTAAAAACTATATCATTCGTACATTTGTATTCTTAGAATTTTATTATAGAATTATATAAGGTTACTATTTTTGTGTACAAAAATTATACGTAAATTATATACATTAATATTGTATGATATTACAGTATATGTAATTGTATTATAAAAAGAAAATGTTACATTTAATACATATAACAATTGAATATAAGAAGTCTCTAATCTTCCAACAATAGAAGCATTACATTTAATTTTCTTGTAGTTGTATAGAGGGCTATTGCGTTTGACATTCGTTTCACATTGTACAAAAATGTTTATGTGCAGTATATATTTTCAAAGTTTTACAAATCATGTATAACATGTGAATAAAATGAATTTTTATGTTCTTAATATGATAGTTTGTTTATATAGGTGAACTTCTTAATAGTTACCTATAAATTCAGTAAAGTATTTTCAAAAGTATTGTGAAGTAGTAAACTTAACCTCGAAATTTAATAAGAGACAAAAAACATTAATCAAAAATTATAAAAACTTAATGTATTCTTTATAAAATAAAACTAGAATCATTTATAGAGTTGATGTACAAATCTTCAAAATGAGAAGCCGTAGTAATTCTGGTGTTCGTTTAGATTATTATCAGCGGATTGTTCATAAAATTATTATGAAACATCAAAATGCAGTAACAGGACTCTTTCCTGCTAGTCCTGATAATGATCATGCATGGGTCCGTGACAATATATATTGCATACTTGCAGTATGGGGCCTTTCAATGGCATATAAAAAAATAGCTGATGCAGATGAAGATAGAGCCAAAACATATGAACTTGAACAGAGTTGTGTAAAGTTAATGAGAGGTCTATTGATGGCAATGATGCAACAGAAAGAAAAAGTTGAACAATTTAAATCTACTCAAAATCCACATGATTCTTTACATGCCAAATATAGTTCGGTTAGTGGACAAACTGTTGTAGGTGACGCGGAATGGGGTCATCTTCAAATAGATGCAATTTCTCTGTATTTGTTGATTTTAGCACAAATGACAGCATCAGGTTTACAAATTGTTTTCAATTTAGACGAGGTAAATGTATATGATGTACTAAATATAAATTTTCAAAGCCATGATTGCTAATTTATATGATTTAATTACAGGTTGCATTCATTCAAAATTTAGTATTTTATATCGAATCAGCCTATTGTACTCCTGATTATGGTATTTGGGAGAGAGGCGATAAAACTAATCATGGATTACCAGAATTAAATGCTAGCAGTATTGGAATGGCGAAAGCTGCAATGGAGGCAATGAATGAACTGGATTTATTTGGTGCAAGAGGTGGACCTACCTCTGTAATTCATATATTGGCAGATGAGGCACAGAAGTGCCAGGCAGTTTTACAATCCATGTTGCCTCGTGAATCTAATTCTAAAGAATTAGATAGTGGATTATTATCCGTTATAAGCTTCCCAGCATTTGCTGTAGATGAGCCTAGTTTAATTCAGTTAACAAGAGATGCTATTACTAAGAAACTACAAGGACGTTATGGATGTAAGAGGTTTTTGAGAGATGGATATAAAACTCCAAAAGAAGATCCCAATAGGTAAAAGAAATGAAACAAAAATTGTTTTAGAATATACTAGCATTTACTAATAAATTTTTTATATTTTCAAGACTTTATTATGAACCATGGGAATTACGTATGTTTGAAAACATAGAATGCGAATGGCCTTTGTTTTTTTGTTATTTGATCGTGGATTACTGTTTCCAAGGCAATAAGGAAGTGGTAGCAGAGTATTCAAAGCAATTAGATGAAATAATGATCAAAACAGATGATGGGATGAAGTTAGTACCTGAATTATATTCTGTAGAACCTGCAAATGTATCAGCAGAATATGCTGACCCAGGCAGCCAAAAACGAATTGCGTTAGGTCGATGTCCATTTATGTGGGCTCAATCCCTTTATATATTAGGAAAATTACTACAAGAAGTATGTATATGAGTATAAGAAAATTACATAAGTAGAAATTAAAATTATTTACATTATCTTTAAAAACAGGGTTTTCTTGCTGTGGGAGAATTAGATCCACTAAATAGACGTTTATGTAGTGAAAAAAAGCCAGATGTTGTAGTACAAGTTGTTATATTAGCAGAAGACTCTGAAATCAGAGAAAAAATAGCTCAGCATGATATTCATGTTCAAACAATTGCAGAAGTTTCTCCCATAGAAGTGCAACCAGCAAAAGTACTTAGTCATTTATATACTTATTTGGGTATGTTTAAACTTTCAAATTCTATACTAATTTATCACCTGTTCTTTATTTAAAGATATTTGTCTTTAGGTCGAAATAAAAAGTTGGGATTGTCAGGACGTAAATCAAGAGATGTAGGAATCTTAAGCACCAGTAAATTATATTCCCTACATGATAAAATATTTGCATTCACACCACAGGTAAGTATTATGATATGTCTCTTTACTGTCTGCTCTCTGTACTTTTGTTTCTTTTCTTATGTTGCCTCTTCTTGCATAAAACATTAGTTGACAGACATGACCCGCTTCTACATCGCATCGGACTATGAGCTCATGATTGACATATTCAAAGGCGAAATTAATTTCTTGAAGTCTAGCTGGCAGAACATGTTAGGCCGGCCTCTTGTGGTCATGCCCCTCAAGAACATTCATCTAGGTACAGTAATTTAACGTTTAAAAATCATAATTTTCATCTGTGTTACTTCCCTTTTAATGCATGAAAAAATATAAAAATAAAATTGCTTAATTATATTCTTCAGAGTAACAGAGATAAAATATATGGTTTTTAAACAATGAAGTTTTCTGTTTGAGTTCTGTTCCTTACTGAAATTGTATAAGTATTATCCAAAAAACCATCTAACATGTCTGCCTGCATGCGTGCATTTGTTTTTATTATAAATTTTATTCAGTGGCTTTGGAAGGTCTTAATTAACTAAAGTCTTCATTTCGCTAGTTCTTAATTTTTATAAAAAGTTACTATATTCATCATGAGCAAAATCAATTAATGTTGAGAAAACAATAAACATAATAAAGAAATTGAAGAGAGAATGTAATGTTGTCAAGAAACGGCTTATGTGTGTGGTGGTATGCACGTTTGTTGCATGTCTTAGAACTTTGATGCGGAGGAGTACTACACGACAAACGATGCAGCCCTCCTTGCCAACACTTTTACAACCAACTTGGCCTTCCTCACCATCAACTGGAAGCAAATGCTCGGCAGGCCAACTATAACACTAGTTGCCACTCATAATCATCTAGGTATGGCCACAGGCAGCTTTAGATCATCATTCAGCATAAAGACATAATTTAAAAATAGGCTTAAATGTATCAAGTTTTCTCATGAGTAGAATAGAAGAACAATACAGAAAACAATGATTTAATTACTTTTATAAAAATATAACAATTTTACATACGCAATTATCATTTTAGATCAAGGAAAGATACCATTGGCAATGATAACTACCATGAAAAAATTAAAGAGTGGTTATATCAATGGTACACGAGTTTCATTGGGAAATTTAAGTGACTTTTTAAGCACTTCTTGCATTACAAATTTAAGTTTCTTAGGAAGTTCTGAAGATGGTAAACCAGATAAACTAAATCCTCAGGTACATAAAATTCATGTCATTGACTGGTGTACATAATTACACTATATTTTATATATTTTTATATGTTTGATAAGGTTCAACAATATTTAGAAGAACATTTGATGCGTGCATTTCCTCATCGCACTGGTCTTCTCAATAGACCAGTCATTCGAACAGGAAAGAATTTGAAGCGCAGAATGTCTGTGAAAGGTGCCATAAAGAAAACAAGATCAATTGCTGTGGAACGTAAGTTTCAAGTATTTCATGTATTAATATCATAAACGATTTAAATGTCTAACATTCTGATTGCATGCCACCTAAGCGGACCCTTAGAGGTTTTAAAATATATTCCTACAACTATGGTTCCTCCTGTCCTACAAGAATGTAAGTGTACTAACAAATAATGACTAATTTCTTAATTGCAATAATGCATACAAGGATTAACATGCCCATTTTGTTAATATGTTTTAAACACTTGATTGGACTCAATACAAGTAAATTGATTTGCCTTGATCATGTAAATTTGTAGCTGAAATTCTTGGAATGGCAGGAGAAGATAGAAGACCTTCCACTATTTTAAATACAAATCCATTTATTGAAGTGACAGATACAACGTTAACTCCAAATACTGCACCACTAGCTACCGTGGATCGCACCCCATCTCCTACGGATGACATATTATCTTGGACCAATTCACCAAAACTACATAGACACAGAGGCATAGGTGAAACTCAATATGCAGATACTGAAGTTGAAGAATTATTATCTATGCTTCGAGAAACTGAAAGTTTGGAAGAGCAAGGAGATATCTTACAGTATCTTGTAAGTTGTTAAAATATATTACAATAATGTTAATAAATTAATAATATAATTTCTAAATTAGGTTGATTCGCAAGGTCTGTACTTCAACACTGGCATGGTAGAAGAGGGTCATCCTGTACTGATAAAAGATTTATTGAAAGACCTTTATGAAAAAGCCTGTCAACAAAAAATGTGGGGAATTGTACGTCATACTGCTGGTATGCTAGGAAAACGGGTTGAAGATCTAGCCAAAGCAGTCACTGATTTGTTAGTACGTCAAAAGCAAGTCACAGTTGGAATGCCACCAACCAACGAACACACTATTGTTGCTCCATTACCAGAAAATGAACTACGGGCATTAATTCACCAAGCATACGGGGATGATGAATCTACTGCTATGTTAACACAAGAATTGCTTGTTTATTTAGCAATGTTCATCCGAACGGAACCACAATTATTTCATGAGATGCTTAGACTTAGAATAGGTTTAATTATACAAGTTATGGCTACGGAATTATCAAGAACTTTGATATGTACTGGAGAAGAAGCATCTGAACATTTACTGAATTTATCACCGTTTGAGATGAAGAATCTTTTACACCATATTATGAGCGGAAAAGAATTTGCAATCAGTAGTGGTATGTTTATTATTTTGGAAATAAATTACTTTAAACGGAGAAAAAGAATAATTTATATTTATTTTTAGTTGGTCGAGGTAATTTCTCTGTAATCAGTTGTAAATCTAGCAGAGTTAGCAAGGTAATACACACTCGTCTATATAATAATTACTTTTTTTTTAACAACTTTATTATAAATTTAACATTTTTCTTTAGAAATCACAAATTGGAGGTTTCTTAACTGCTGATCAAGTTGATGGCGGAGAAGCAGAACCTGATCGACAAGGTCAGTGGTTACGTCGACGAAGATTGGATGGTGCATTAAATCGAGTACCGCGAGATTTTTATCCCCGAGTATGGCAAGTTCTGGAACGGGTATGTATATAAGCACGCATATATTTTTCATTCAATTAAAATCATTGTTTCTACAGTGCCAAGGTTTAGCAATCGAAGGTAGAGTTCTGCCTCAAAATCTAACACAGGAGATGACACCTGGAGAATTAAAATTTGCATTAGCAGTAGAAACTGTTCTAAATACTATACCGCAACCAGAGTATCGTCAGTTGATAGTTGAAGCTTTGATGGTGTTAACCTTGGTAACTGAATATAATGTAGTAGCTTCCTTAGGTGGACTCATCGCTGTTGAACAATTAGTTCACAAAGCTAATGCTATCTTCTTAGATGATCAGGTATATTCCTATTATGTAATTTATAATAAATAAAATACATTTGCTAAACGTATTTGAAATATCTAGATGAAAATTGATGGCGACGCGACCCTTTGTTGTGCTAAACCAAAAGAGCAACGAGAAACCACTGCGATGGGAACCCTTCTTTGTGGTGGAGCAGCATATGTTTGTCAACACTTCTATGACAGTGCTCCGAGCGGTAGTTTTGGAACAATGACATACATTACAAGAGCCATCGCTTCTTTATTAAACTGTTTACCAAAGGATGGTGATATAGAATGTTCAATATCATAATTATTTATTTTTCTAGACATCAATTTTAATTATACTTAGAAGTGTTCTCGTAAATCATACCATTATTAACAATTGATTGGTATATCGATCATTAAAAATCATGTGACAAGTATGTAACAAAATTTGGATTTTCTATGTTGAAGTTACCAGTGTTTAAAATGTGTATTTAATATAGAAGAAATCAGTTTGATTTATATACGATTAATTTTCTTTATTTTCATTATTTATTAGATGCAACAATATATATGTATTACTCGGGTTTTGAACTACTAAAAGGATTCCACTTTAAGCTCCAAGTCGTTGATCTGCAAAAATAAGTTGCCATGAAATTATACAATTTTGTGTAATTTATTAATTATATAGATAAATAAATAAATACATACTCAGCTAACTTTTCAGCAGCTTCCTTAGCTTCCTCTTCTTTAAGTTTTGCAATTAATTCAGCTCTAAATTTTACTTTTAAAGGCTGTATTTGTTGCAATTGTTGTTTCTGTTTCTGTTTTATCCACTTGTGACAAGCTTCCTTGTATGTTAAACCATACCATTCAATTTCCTCTCGTGTATACTAGAGACAGAAATATAATCTTTTAAAATTAAAATTAATTTTAATTTGATAAAGAAAATAAACATTAAAATTATACTATACTGCTGTTAAATAATCTTTATATTTATCATAAATTTCTTCTCTTTTAGCAGAATCATTTGGATACAATGTTTTATCAGCCAATGCTACAAGTATTTTACGTTTTATTTTTAATGCAAGCTCAGATTTTAAATCACAAGCAGGAGTCTAGAAACAGTAGATTAAGTTAAATATTAGAAAATATATGTAAAAATATTTTTATCAGTGACATACCTTTAATAAATAGTGATCAAAACCATAATGTTCATTAATTAAATGGATAGTTCTATAGGTAACAACAGTACTCATGTATTCATCTAAAACTTCACTATAAACAACTGACTTTTTAAGCAGAGGGAACCAAAAACGAGGGTGTCTACGAGCATATCTGTGTTTCTTTGTGAAACCTTGAATTACAGCTTCTCCGCCCCATAAACCTTCATGAAATTCTTTAGGATATCGTAATGGTAGTGGTACATTTTGAACTGGTCGTCTAGAAGTAAATCCATTTAATATTAACATGTTCACAATTCAAGTTGAAAATGTATCTCTCTTTCAATCGAAACATTCCATGATGCACATATGAATCATGTTACATGACATTAATGTATATTATATTCCACATATATGGATCATAGAATTGTGAACATATTAACAAACAGTTTATGAATAAAATAATTATTGACTCCTTACACTACTTCCGTCGTTTCATCCCTTATGTAAGAACCTTCTTGTTTAATGTAATGAACAGGACTTGGTTGTTGCAATTTCCATTCTTTCCAAAACTTTTTATATTCTTCCGGTAATTCAGCACCAAGTCCTTTTGTCCAACGTGATGGTTTTGGAATATAATATAAACGCTACAATATTTATTTTTTTGGTTTGTTATTCGATATTTTAACATACGCTATTATTAATATAGAAATGTTATTTATTTAGGTTAGGTTTGACAAAGTTTTACTTTTTAATACAACATAAATATTACCTGAGAAAATTGTTTAACTGACATATTTGTCTAAGCTTTTAGAATTATTAATAAGTTTATATACACTGTTCCCTTTTTTATTCAGTTTAAAAACTAGTTATATTTACAACGAAACAACCATTCTATCAACGAAGTATATCGAAGCGATCGAAGCGAGTTTAGTAATGACTATTTTCAAGTACACAATTTCTTTACCTCATTGAAGAAATGACAAATTTAATATAAATATTCATGGAATTCTGTATATATTTGCATTTGTAATATATAATTTTTATATTAAACAATGAAAATAAACAGTCGAAATATTTGTCAAATATGGCATTTTCAAAAAAATTTTAAGTTTTTACAATCAATCGAAAGGTTAGTATTAGATGTTTATTCAAATTATATAAAGTTGTTTTCGAATTTAAATATTTAAAATTAGTCATTATTAAGCGAAACAAATTTCTTAAATGACATATTTTATTTCAGACATTATCTGTTTGCTAATAATAAATACTACACTACAAAAGTTGACAAAGAAGAAGAAATTCCAGTAGAAAATATTCGTAACTTTAGTATTATAGCCCACGTTGATCATGGCAAAAGTACTCTTGCAGATAGACTTTTGGAATTAACAGGTGCAATTAAAACAAATTCTGGAAAACAAATTTTAGATAAATTACAAGTTGAAAAGGAGCGTGGAATTACAGTTAAAGCTCAAACAGCTTCTCTTAATTATACTTATAATGGAATCAAATATCTCCTTAATTTAATAGATACACCTGGCCATGTAGACTTTTCTGCTGAGGTACATCGTTCATTAGCTCCTTGTCAAGGAGTAATTTTAGTAATAGATGCAAATGATGGTGTACAAGCACAGACTGTTGCTAATTTTCATTTAGCTGTTAAACAAAATCTAGTTATGATACCAGTAATTAATAAAATAGACTTAAAAAATGCTAATCCTGAAAAGGTAATGGATCAATTAAAGATGTTATTTAATATAGAAAAATCAGAAGTTATGAAAATATCTGCCAAATTTGGTACTGGTGTTCCTCAAATCTTGGATGCTATTGTTGAAAGAATTCCACCACCTGAAGTATGTAGAGATAAACCATTCAGAGGTTTGGTATTTGATAGCTGGTATGATAAATATAAAGGAACAATTTTATTAGTATATATTAAAGAAGGATCTATATCAATTAAACAGCAAATTACTTCAATATATAATAAAAAATCTTATGAAATTAAAAATATTTCATTATTAAGACCTTCTGAAGAATATGTAAATAAATTGTAAATATTACATTTTAGTTTTTTATAATTTTTTATAAATCTATAATAATAATAACATATACTCAGAGTTGCAGGTCAAATAGGATGTATTTCTTGTAATATGAAAAGTTCTAACGAAGCATTTATTGGTGACACATTACATATAAAAAATGAGATTGTTCAACCACTAATGGGATTTCAATCACCAAAACCTATGGTTTTTTCTGGCATTTATCCAATTGAGCAATCACAATTCGATGCTATGCGAACTGCTATTGAAAAATTAACATTAAATGATAGCAGTGTTACCATCACACTGGAGTCTAGGTGTGTCTTATTATATTTTGACATAAAACAGAACATAAATTTTTGTAATCGTTTATTTTAGTGTAGCCCTTGGACAAGGCTGGAGAATTGGATTTTTAGGTTTATTGCACATGGAAGTTTTCATGCAACGTCTTGAACAGGAATATGGTGCATTATCAATTGTTACATCACCTAGTGTTACATATAAAGCAAAAATTGTTGGCAAGAAAAATATTAAGAAATACAATAGTGAGATAATCACATTTAATAATCCTGCACAGTTTCCGGATCCAAAGATTGTAACAGAATTCTATGAACCCTTCATACTAGGAACTATCATAGCACCAAGTACATTTAAAAATTTAATATTAAGTAACATAAGCATACTTAATATAATAAGCTAATAAACAATTTTTAATTATGTTTATTAGCTGAATATATGGGTACAATAATGTCTTTATGTCTTGAGAAACGTGGAGTACAACAATTGACAAAAGATGTTGGTCATAACAGAACATTGTATCAATTTCTGTTACCATTAAATGAAGTTATTGTTGATCTTCATGATACATTAAAACGTTTAACTTCTGGATATGCTAGCTTTGATTATGAAGAATCTGATTATGAGATTTCAAACATAGTAAAGGTAATTTTCTAAATTTATGAAAGTAATACATAATTTATCTGTTTAATATATTAATATTTGTATGATACAGTTATGTATTGCTTTAAATGGAAATACAGTAGAAGAACTTAGCACTATTGTACATGTTAGTAAAGCTCGTACAAAAGGTAAAGAGTTGTGTGCAAAATTAGTGGAACTTCTCCCACGTCAATTATTTGAAATAGTAATTCAAGCTATTGTTAATGGAAAAGTTATTGCACGAGAAACATTAAAACCTTATAGAAAAAATGTAACAGCAAAATTGGTAAGTTCTTGTATCACATGATGTTTGTATATTTTTTTAATATCGCTTTTATTTTTTCAGTATGGCGGTGATGTTACTAGAAAAATGAAACTATTAGCAAAACAAGCAGAAGGAAAAAAACACATGAAAATGATTGGAAAAATTTCTATACCTCGAGACACATTCATAAATCTTTATAAAAGATAGTACCAAAATTTTGTAAAAACTCAGTAAATTATTAAATAAAACATTTTTCATATAATTAATTTTCCACTGTATATTACTTATTTTACAAATACAAAAAACAAGGTTTATTCAATATTTAAACTAGAACAAGAATGTATCACTGATTAACTGAACTGGGTGAAGGATCTGATAATTGATGCGTATTATTTGAAGCTACAGTATTTACAGAATTCATGTTGTCTTGTTTAAAAGTTGAATTAGTATTGAGATTAATGTTGATTACAGATGATGAAGCTGGATCTTGCATATCTAACTGACTTTGAGCAATATCTTGCAAAGCAGCCTGAATCCTTTGCAACAGTGCTTCTCCTTGTTTTACAACTTCTTCCAGCTGCTCACCAGCTTCCTGATTTTCTTGTTCAAGACGACTTAGACTTGCAACTTGTAATTCTTGTGATGATTCTTCACTTGGCAAACTTTCTATCAAAGTATCAATATCTTTGGCACACCTTGCTATTAGAGTTGCAAACAAGGCTGCATAATCTAAAATATAGATATTGTTATAAAAAATAATAGAAAGAATTATAAAATAAATAAAAATACCTTCTTGAGGTTGATGTGGTTGTGGTGTTCCAACTCGATCAAAACCAGGAAACTTACTAGGTGTTGAGTATTGTTGTAAAATACCTACGCTATTACAGAAATGTTCAGCTTGCTATAAGAGTGAATGCAATTATGACATTTAAATAAAAATTTTATTCAAAGAAAAGTAACTTCACATTACCTGATTTATAGTATCTTGTAATTGTGTTAAACGATCTGCCATATTCTTTAAATATAACCTATATAATTTCTCAATAACATGAACAATACTATGCCGAATATTCTATACGTAATTTTACTGTAATTAAATTTTATTATGATGTTTATTTTCAATGAAAATACTTGAATAAATTAAATTTAAAAACTTGTTATTTGTATAACTGAAGATCATACATATCATACACAATACTTGACGAGTTATTTATTCTGCGCCAAAGTTCGAACACACTTTGTAACCAAAAAAATGTACATGCGCATTTACGACTTTATTATATTTTGAATGTTGGCCAACACGTTGATACAGGGGGATCATATGAATTTAAATTTTGAAATAAAAAGACTAAAAAATGACTTTATTTTTCCTTATTTTTCACTCATTCATTTACATGTTTTTCTTTCCTTATGGTATATATTTCTTTATTTACATTAGATGCAGCATGAATCAAACTTGAACTAAATTTCTAGTTTTATAAAAATAGAAATGTTAACCATAAAAAAATAAAACTTGTCTTAAAAAATTTGGAATAAATTTACAGTAATAAATAAATATTAATAATTTATTAAAAAGTATTTATGTTTCAATTCAAACAACCGTTATGAAGTGGAAATTTTCTTGGAAATTCTCTTTATATCAACATAAGTGTTGTCTTTTAACAAATGATCATTTTATTTTTAACAGAAACATAATAGGAATAAAATTTTAAATTACGTATATGTACAAAAACAATCGTAAAATATAAATATTGTATAACGGCATTCGAAGTTCACTTGGCTTTTTAACGGGAAGGATATTAGAAAAAGAAAAGGAGCACATATTAACATAATTTAGCATTTTTCCATTGCATTTTATAAAATGTTTACATGGGGAAATATTTACAAAAATATGAGTGGAGTGTGATGAAATGTAGAAGACAGGAAAAAGGGATGAACAATATAGTTTTATGAACGATTCAATTTAGAGTACCCCGACACTGAGGAGCGCCACATAAGCATGGGATTTTATCATCTTCCAATGGAAATTTATAATCGTATGTAATTTCTTCATTAACTCCTATTGGTTGTTTACTATAGATTACAATTTTCTTTTGACTTTCGATCGTAATTACTTTTGCATAACAATTCGGCTGAAAAAACAATACAAAATATATAACCTTCTTACAGTAGCGATGGATAGATCAAGTGTCTAATAGAAAGCTCATAAACATTAACATGCACGTTCAAGATGATCTTAGATAAAATTTAAGGAGTTCGATCCTGGAACTTTAAGATTCCCATTCTTAATCTTAAGAGAATTTAGTAAAAACCTAAGAAGAGCCTAGGAATTCTAGGACTTACGATTTTAGCTTTAAAATTTCGAGACATAAAAATTTAAAAACTCTAGTTATTTTAAGGCCATACATTTTGAAGTTTTATGACTTTCAATTCTTTGAAACTCCCAGTTCTAGTCTAAGAAGAACTTAAGGAAGACGTAGCAGATACAGTTGCCCATCCCTGCCTTTTAACATTGAAAATGTGAATATTTGTTACAATACTTACATTGCAGCTATGATTAATGAACCGTGCTAAATTTCCACACTTCGTTGCATCAATAATTGTATCTAAATCGATGCGGAAAAGATAAGAACTTCCAATACCGGTAGCTTCATACTGAGACTCTCTTAAGTCAGCAACAACTGGCCTAACCATTTGGCCAACGTACTCAATAACCATTTCATCGGCTGCAATTGGTTCCATAGCAAATAAGCCCCAATCGTGTATCCCAGATTTAGCGAATTTCAATTGTTTTTTCCTAAACTGTAAATATAAAATAAATACAATATTTAAAAAATTAAGCGCAAAAATTTATAAGTAAATAATTAAAAGCTTACTTTCAGTTGATTGAACTTAAGAAGATCACTATCGGTGTCAATACCGAAGGCCGTTAATAATCGACGTTGATTACTTCGAGCTTCTCGAGATAAAGCTTGCATTTTACCGGTTAAGGTTTTAGTATTATTCTTTGGACCATTCATTGTTCCATCACCTCCAGCATAAGGACCATTACTATCTTCCACATCATTACTGCGCTGTATGCTTTGTGCATAGTGATGCTATAAAAATATATTTTTAATAATTTTAAGCAAATAGTTAATCATCTTATGTAAAATCAATTTATGGAATCATACCTTATGTTTAGCTTTCTCTCGTACATCAACTTTATAATATCCCTCCGTTCTCGCGCTTCCACTAGTATGTAATCTGAGTTCATCCCGTTTTCTTCGTTTTGCAGGACTTGGAAGATCTGTTGGTGGATGATCGACCCAATGCGTATCATTCAACCAATAACCTTGACTATCATCGGCTAACAAAGCTTCATAACTTCGTCTTAAATATTCCACATCCTCCGCATCTATTCCTCTAGTTAGAAATTCATATAAAATAGCCATTTCGGACATTAAATCACGTTCTTTATATGTTACTGTTGGTTCATCCACTTTTTTCGGATATTTTTGATAAACAAATTCATTTTCAATATTTTCTTTTTCTCCTTCATGATTCTGATGAGTATGCATCTTGCTATATTTGTTATATTTCCTCTTTTCTACTTTATGAGTTTTGTCTTTGCCCTTTACCAACTTCATCATTTTTGGAGGTTTCATTTTTACAGGTTTTATTGGCGCCGGAGGTGCACGAAGCACAGCCTTTGCAATTTCTGATTGTGTCGGTGGTAACGAATACGAATGTTCCATGAATACCTGAGAAGCTTGCAAGTTTGGACTCTGTTGACCATTCAGTCGTAGCTCAGTTTCAGCTTGATACCTAATCAATGCAAAACAGTGTGACTTGTTACATTACTTCAGTTATGAAAATATATGATAACCATATTCACGCGTATATTACATGAGTTTACAAACCTTAGCCTTCTAATTTCTAAGCTCTCCTCCTCTGAATCAGTGGTTGGTATTTCACTAAACATCTCAATTTTTTCTGATTCTTTTAATATGGGTTCATCGTTAATGTATTTTGCAGACATAGTTTGAAGAGCTCTAATAATATTTGGTTGTACAGGTCCCGGACTTCTATGTCTTATAATATTATCTTGACCAGCTAACGTTATTAAAGCTTCCGCCGCAGAATTTTCCATTTTTTGCATATCACATGATTCTTGTTTTCCTGGTATCATTAAAATATGTGTACTCTGTACTCTCTTTTGTGTTTCATCTTCAATGTCCTTTGTTACAGTATCTTCTTTTACGATCACAGGTTTTTCAAGATTTTCTTCATTGACAGATTTTTCATTTGCATTTTCACTTTCTTCCTTATCACTTTCATATCTCAGTGGAGATGGTATAGGGCTAGCTTCATTATCACACTGCGGAAACTCATTTGAAATTCCATCTTTTATCTTAATATCAGGAATTGGTGTTTCTCTGCCAGTTGGAGTTGGACAATCTAATGAACGTTGAATAGCAAGCTCTGTTAAAATATCAGGATCTTCACTATTGCAAGCAAGGGGTCGATGATCTGACATACGACTGTCTGTATCTTGCTGAAAGTAAAGATTATTTTCATACATAATTATATGAAATAAATATTTATTAAGATAATTATAATTATATACCTCATCTTCATAGTTCGCAGAACATACTTCTTCGTCAGAACTATCACTGGAACTGCTAGAAGATTCACTACAACTGATTTCTTCACTGCTACTTTCACTAGATGCTGATGACGATGAAGATGAAGAAATACTTGGAAGAGAAGTAATTGGCCTTTCAATTTTTTGTACAGATGCTAAATCAAGATCACTATCGCTTTCTATAATTTCAGTATCTCCATGGTCAGATTGACGGCTATCTTCATCTTGTGGTAATGGGCTTGGAGCTTTAATTTTACGCTAAAAGATAAACATTAATTACAATAATTTTATAATATAAAAGATCATACATGATGAAAATTAGAATTTTACCCTGAAAGAAGGCATCTTTGGCATGCTAGCTCTAATGCCCAAACCAAATCCATCATAATTAAATCCAAGTGGAGTTGCCTGTTCTAATAATAGTGATAATCCCTGAGGTTTTGAGCCTTCTTCCTTATTACTATTATTAATAGTAACATTATCACCTCCCTGATTTTGACTTTTTTCAGATTTCTTTTCATCCCACCATACTTCAAACAATTTAAACGCAGTATTCTCGATCATTTTTTTATTAAAATCCTTTTTTAAAATTTGCTTTAGTTCATTTACAACTCTGTTTAATACTCCATTAATAGTAGGAGCCTAAAATGTTCAATAATTAAATTTGTATTGATTGAGTAATAAACCCATAAACATTTGTATGTATTATTACACATACCTGTGGATTATCTTTTGTAATATTATGATTTGCCATCGCGTGCAATCTTGATTGAAAAGATGGATAATAATTTGTTCCTTGATGATTTCCTACTGTTCCAGAAAATGATGTAGTGTTTGGTTGGTAATGACTTTGTAAATATGTTGCCCCATAGGGGTATGGATATTGTGCTGGTCGTGGCCAATGATACATATCATTGGCAGGATAGTGAGTTATATGTCCAGGATAACCAGTTCCAGGGTACAACTGGCTTGTAGGTTCTGTTTGAGCTATAACCTAAGTATTTAAATCATAAAATATGTAAATGAATAATTATATTTGACATGTGCTTTACAATATGTGTTTTACCTCTTCAATCTTTTCATCCCCTGAACTTAACGGACTTAATGACATTCTATCATCATCAGGTGGAGGTGGAGGCGGTGGTTCTTTTGGTGGTTCAGGTTCAATTTCATCTGGTGCAGGGCTGTAACTTCCCAACAAAGCTTCATCTTCACTTGAACTTATCACACTACCTAGTTCTTCATCAATAGAAAACTGATTAATGCTATTTTCATGCACTTTCCATTGTTCTTTATTTCTTTCTCTCACTTTTTCAAAACACGATTTGTACGTTTCATGAGATAGAAAGGGACTTGGTGGTTCTGAGAGCATTTCATTATCTGCATTGACAGATTTCTTTTCGTCTTCTGAATCACTACCAAATTGTAGAAACGGAGGTGCCATTCCCCCTGCCTTGTCTTTTAGTAACATAGCAATTCTGGTATCCAAGTCTAACGTTTTACGTGTCTCCACTGGTGAATCTCTAGATGAATTTTTTGTAATATTTTGATTTTCCTTTTCTTTTTTTGGAGTGTGATGTATTTTTATATTAGAAGCCTTGGAAATTGGAGCTACATTAGAATTAGAATTATCTAAATTTGTTCCATGTTGAACGGGCCACATAGAAGATGATGCATAATTTGCTGTTCCTGTATTATTTCCCCACCACATACCAGAATTTTGTTGTATCGAAAGATTTTGAGACACACTTTGAGGCATACTTGGCAAATAATTATTTGGAGGTTGATGGTGATAACCACTATAGTAAAAATCATAATTTGTAGCTGGAGTAGAGTTTTGAGAATAATTGCTAGAATAATTTAGTTCACTAGGTGCAGTACCGTAGCCTAAATCACTTCCAGTACTACCACTAGGAGTGGGATAATCTCGATACTTGCTATATCTTGAGTTTTCTGTATATGTATCTCTTGATTTTTCTATACTTGGTACCATTTTTTTGCTACTTTTAAAATCATCCCTTTCTTCTGTAATAATTTTTTCTATCGGTGTTTGTTTCTCTTGTTCACTCTCAGATTTTATTTCTTTTTCTATTTTCTTTTCTGGTTTCTTTTCTGCAGTTAATTCATCATAAATTTTTTTACATTCATCCCCAAATGCATCAAGAAATACTCTTAAAACTTTACCCATCACAGATGTATTATTTAATTTTTCTACACAAGCTTTCGAAGCTTTCGTACTTTCAAACACCACCCTTGCAATTCCAAGATGCTTATTGGTCAACGGATGATAATAAACAATGAGTTCCTCCACAGCTCCAAATTTCTGAACCATATCTGATAAAAAAGTTTTATCAATATTGTCATTTAAATGGCAAAATGTCACTTCAAGTGGAGGAGGTTCACCACAATAATTGGAGTCAATTTTAAACCTAGGTACAGGTAAGTCAAGTTGTTCTAAACGAGTCCAAATTCTTGTCAATTGTGATCTAGGGTCTCGTGGTTGAACTTCAGGGTAAGTTGGATCTCCTGGAACCATGCCATCATATCTGTATAATTTTGTAGCACCTTTGACCAAAAATGGATCAACTAGCAACTTATAATTTCTTGGCTTTTGAGGTGTTTGGACAGCAGACGTATCTTTTTGTGAATGCGGTATATGAGCGTGGCTATGTTTTGATGACTGACTGGAATTTTGTGATGCATTTTGCAAACTTCCATGTGAATGTCGATGACGATGCGAATGTGCATGCGAATGTCCATGTCCATGCCCATGTCTCTCCATTCCGTTCATTGCCTCCAAGCATCATCCACTCACGTAACTTGCTACACATAAAATTTGATAATAAAAGATTAAAATATTAAAAACTGAATAATACATAAGTATATCATGTTACAATGACAATACGAAAAAATAAGATCAACTTATCGCTTATAGAATCATATTTCTGTTTATAATTTTTTAAATTCTACTGTATAATTGTAGTATATAAAATGTTAAAATTATTAAACAGTTAAACAATTAGAATTATGAATAAACAAACTAATGAAAGAAGATTAAAACATATATTCAAAAATATAAATTCATGAAACAGTATATGTAACATAATATATGATAACAAGTTTGTTTAACTTACGACCAGATTGATTTCGTTTCCCCAATGAATCGCTTTGCTTATGAATACAAGAAATTCATGTTTCAATAATACATAACCTCAAACGTTTCAAAAACTTTAGGTTGAACTTTTGTGTGAATAAACGACGTGACAACCATTTCGTGAAAAAAATTTTGTGTATCACGTCTTTAAAATTTATTCTGTTGTACAAATTCCAGCAGAGCAGTGTCTTTTTCTACGGGAAATACAATCCTTAAATTTTATACAAATACGTCCCGGTTTTTTCAAAAATTTGTAATTTCCAACTTGCTTGTATATAATTGTATTTACTACGTGGACGTCGTTTTTGCATTAGCTTCGATATTTCATTCTGTTTTGTTCCTCGTTGATATTGTTCTTCGTAAAAAATATAGAGGTTTATTGATACTACCTTTCCGACACACCAGCGCAAAACTACTTCAATGTTTGACTGCTAGTACAACGCACTGCACCCTGGTTTTTCTTAATTTTTATCGAGTTACAATCGGTATCGCGAACGACGGTGTGGTAACTAACTAATTTAGCGAAACTTATTTCACTTTAATTCAATACAAGAATACGTTTACCGTACGTTAACGAGTTCATTACTTTGATAAAACTACGTGAACAGTTTCGGATGACGCCATCCTTGTTGCAAAGAGCATGACGGTTCTTTTAATCATTTTTACTAAACAAATGATACGAATATTTTCAATGGAACTAAATATTTTTCTTATTCGTAAGACAATATTCGTAGTATATTATGAAAAATGTTATCGTGCTAAAAGTACCCGAAAGAAACATCCAAGCGTGCAACTGAGCCAAATATGTAACATTTTTTTCGTATCCTATTCTGTTTTGATCCACAAATTTTAGTAGCGTTGAAAGAATTATTGAAAATTTCACCTATTACTGGCATTTTGTCTATTTACCAATAATTTACAAAGATAATTAATGCTTAATAACGGTATTGCAAAATAATTGTTGAAAATCTTCTCATACAATGAGTAGCATTAAATGCACGTATTGGTCAGTCTTGATCTAAGAGAATTTTCATACGACCTATTGGCAAATCAACTTTCTGCTTCTAAAGAAAATTGCGCATTATCGTGCGCATACGTCAAGCAAGACCAAGCGTCTCCCCGCAGACACCAACATAATCCCCACCGCTAAAGAATGCATCCCCCTACCATCAGTCGACCTATACCCCTACAATTCAAATTGCAAGCTGTTATCTCTATCCCATTTAATGTACATAGTAAACTTTTGTTGTTGCCTATCAACCCTATATTTAAATTTAAAAATTTCGAAAAACTGACCTTAAAATTTAAAGATTTAAAAATTTACGAATTTGAGCTATGGAAGTATGGGAATGAAAAAATGTAAACTTTTACAAAATTGAAAACTTAGATATTTAGATTCCTGAAAATTTTAGGATTTGGAAATTAAATAATTTGAGAATTTAAAAAGCTTGAAACTTCGAAAATATTTGTATATTATTTACATTAAAATAAAAATGAACATGTTTATAGGTTAGATTTAGTTTTTACTTTCGAGGTTACACATGATTTGTCTTATTCCAGAAATTACAATTTTTGCAATTTAAAGACCTTACTTTCCTTCATAGCTGAAAAAAAATATTTGTCTATCTTCGACGAATACATGTACAGCAATAAATGAATTCAAAAACGAAAATACCTGTCATTTCCATTATTTACATAAATTAACAACAAAGGGTTATATATTAGTAAACCAATAATTCGAAAGAGGGCGCATATTCATGAAGTATAAAAAATAGAGTATGGTTTCTGGAGTAAAATAAGATACATTATGGAAGCGCGATCTTTCGGAGAAATTTATTATACTTATCAGACGACAAGCTTTTACTTATTCTACGCATATTAGCTCTGATTGGCTCGCGTATACTTTGTTACTAGGGGTAACGCGTATCATACGCGTATGGCAGTGCCCAACACTGCGCGTATGCGCCTTTAAAACATTTCTGATGCCAAGCATATACCGAGTAAGCCAAAAGTCTGATAATACTCAAATATCTTGAGAAACATGAACGATACAAAAAAATGTTTCTGACAAAAAATGTATGGATATACTCAGTAGTCTTTTACTTTCTATAATTTCAACGTTTTTTCATAATTACCTATCTCCCTTCGAGCTTTTCTATACTTTTCCTGCTATACATATATTTATCCACTCTGTATATGTATAACTAACAGAGCAAAATGAGTACGACGAGGAGCCTACTGAAGTTAGTCTAGATGCGCGATTGAGGACGATCTATCGTGGAACGAACTATTATCTCGAATGCAAAGATTAAACCTAACCTATAGTATATCTGTGACACAACCAGCTAGTTCGTATTTTGTGACTGTAAAATTTTGCATTTCTACATTAGCAATTCAGTATATGTTTTAAGTTAATTTAAAATATCTACGTTAAACTGAAAGAAAAATTGTTTAAAAGAGATGTCTTTTTTTCAAAGCTTCTTTAAACGTTATATTCCAACTGTAAAGGCTGACGACGACGAAGGAGAATTAGTCGATCATCAAAAACGACTTCGAGTAAGTAAAAATTATTATATAATACTTGTATTTACCGGATAATCCATCCCATTTTTATTCATAATCTATTTTAAAAGAATAATACTAATAAAAATTGGCACATGTTAAAAGTATTTTAATTATTGTGCTTGTAATAAATAACATTTAAAAAAAAATTCAAGTATCTAATAAATTTAAAATTAAAATATGTATTTGTTTTTTAGGAAAAATGTTCACAACAAGCTAAATGTGTCAAAATGCAAGAGAGATTAACTACATGTAATGACCGTGTTAATTCAGCTTCTGAGACAGAAGAAAATTGTCTTGAAGAATTAATTGATTACGTAGAATGCGTAGATCATTGTGTTTCAGAAAAATTGTTCAGTTTACTTAAATAAGGTCATGAATCATTCATAATGTATCATATTTGTTAAAAAAATCCTGTAAATCATTATGTTGTAGACATACAATACTAGGAATAAATGGTAATTTATTAGTAAGTATTAATTTTTGTTTATATTTCCTTTATCTGTATTTAAAATTTAAGAGCTATAAATTTAACAAAATTTCAACAAGAGGAATTATATAATACAATGAATTACAATATGGTTAATATAGAATTATATAAAAGCTTTTGGTTTACTCCTTATAAGAAACATATATGGAATGACATTTATTTTATTTACATATGAATGTTTTCTTTATTCAAGTCTTATCTTATTCAGCACCTACTTGTAATACATCAAAACATACTGCACAAACACGCACTGGTTTATTCAATCCAAATTTTACAATTGGAACATCTTGACCAGAACATTTATTGCATAAAATTCGACCACAGTGACGGCTAAAAAAAGTAAAAAAAAAAGTTAGTTTTATAAACATATAAGTTATATATAATATGTGTCAGTTTCTGTACCAGTGATGTTTTCGCATTGTGAGAGAGAATTTTGTACCACATTCCAAACAGAGATCTTTATCAGCCCAAGGTGCTTCTTGTGTTAATGAGTCTAGTAATCTATACAGTAACTGTTTCGTTGCTACTTGGTAATTAAAAATTGTAATGCCTTCTTTATTCATAGATCCTAAACATGCACCAGCTTTTACTAGTGTACGGCAAAGTTGACCATTACCTTTCATATAAGCTATTAGTAATGGAGTATTGCCATCCAAGTCTTAAACAGAATATTTATTATAATTTAGTTTGAAATAGTTACTGAATATGTTGAAATAAAATATTTTTACCTGCATTATTCACTGGGTATTGTGACATACATTCCAAAAACAATTCACATATAGTTGCTGCATTATCTTTACCGCATCTAGCTAGTTCATGTAAAGGATTTCTACCTTTAAGATTAACTGCTTCTGCGTCTAGTGTACATTCAGTTAAAAGTGTTCTTACTACTGATACATGACCTTCTCTTACTGCAACATGTAATGCATTATCGCCGTCTGCATTTATTGCGTCAAAATTAATATTGTTCTGAAAAAGAGAAAAAACGGTTAAATTAATTATATGAATATACAATTATATTATACAATTGTATATGTATATTAAATTATGTATATGTATAATTGTGTATTACCTGTAATAAGGCAGATGCAACTGCAGCATGTCCTGCTTTTGCAACAGCATGCAATGCAGTATTTCTGTTTGCATCTGTATCATTAACACGTGCACCAGCCAGAATTAAACTTCGCACTAACATTTCATTTCCAGATATTGCAGCAAGATGTAAAGGTGGAGTTTGTGTAACATCATGAACTCTGGAATTTACATCTACCTGCAAGAGCAGTTATTTCGTTTAAAATTAAAAATACATGAATTAAATCAATATGTATAATGGTTATAAAAATTGCGTATTTCGTACTTACCTGAATAGATAATAAAAATAAAATGCTTTCCATGTCATTCTTTTGAATAGCAGTATGTAAAAAATTTCTACCCTTATTGTCGTACTGTTCAGCAGCTTTAGGTAATCGTTCCAATATTGCTTGAGCAGCTTTGTTATTCCTATATGTCAAAGCTGTTGCAAATGGTGTTAAGCCCTTTTTATCTCGTTTATTTAAATCTATGTTTGGATGACAGAGTAACAGAGATATAATTTGTGAATGCTGATTTTGTATGGCTACGTGAACTGGAGTTTTGCCTTCTATGTCTCTAGCATTCACATCTGCACCATGTTCAATAAGTGTTTGCACAACTTGTTCCAAACCCCATTGACAACATAAGTGTAACGGAGTACATTCATCTTTTGCTTCATCACCTCCTGCACCATCTGGACCCAGTCTTCTTGGAGCATTCAAATCGCAACCACTAAAAAATTAATATTACATTATAATAGCATCAACGAGAGGACAACAAGAATTTTCTAAAAAATGATAGCGAGTTTGTGGACCGCAGCTCATTAGCAACAATGCCATATAATCTCACGATAGCGATCGTAAAATTTTGTTCCGTGCTCTTTTGAGAGAGAACGAGGTAAATTACATCGGCTGCCCATTAGAATAAAGGGAATATGAAAACTAGCTTTCGGATATCTTTTACAGCACAGGAGAATATGGGAACTAGTTTCTAGGTCCCTCCTCGAAAGAGACAACAGCCAGATCATCCGTCGACCGTCTTCCAGGGAATGGACGAAAGAATTTCCCAAACATCTCATGTTCGTATTGAAATTATTTTAACTGTACGTCCATAAAGCTATGTTCTCTGTTTCTTGATTTGATATTTGAATTTTGTTATATATTTTGTTTTGTAAAAAAATTAATAAAAAATATACGACGAAATATAATATCTTGTAATTTTGTCCTTAGATTTTAATCCATATATTCCCACATCTTATAATTAAAAAATTACTGTAATTTTATATTCCTATTTGGTGCATACCTTCTTATAAGAAACTGTGCAATATCCTCTTTATTATCATCAATTGCTCTATGTAATAACGTTTGTTGACAACCATCTGGACCAGGACCCCAACAATCTGTATCAGCTCCATACTTAACTAGAATAGATGCTATATCTTCTTGATCTGAATCCAATGCATCCCATAATGGACATCCTATAGAAGTATCCACACCTCTTTTACAAAGAGCTTCTACAACTTCACCTAGTCTACAGTGTACAGAAAGTTGCAACGGAGTCTCTCCATTTGCAGTCCTAAGTTAAAAGATTTAAATACCACACAATGGGTTAAATAGTACTACATTTGTAATTAATTATATACAATTCTTTTTAAAATAATTAATACTGTATGTAATATTAATCACCTTGCATTCATATCCGCACCATTTTCTAATAAAAAGATTGCTGTAGCTGAATCTTCTTTTAATATTGCTTGATGTAATAATGTTAAGCCTTCCTTATTAAATTCGTTGATATTCGCTCCAGCTTTTATTAAAGCTAAAACAATATCTTTACCCTTTTTGAATGGAGCTTTAATAGCTAAACTCAGAGGTGTTTCATTCGCATTATTTTTTAAATTTAACTGAGTATTTGAATTAGGTGCATTTAATAATTCTACTACGATATCAAAGTATAAATTTGTTACAGCAATGTGTATCGGCGCATCACCGGTAGAAAACGTGATTTCGTCTACTGGAAGACCACTTTTCAATAAAGCTTGTGTCAAACTTCTAGAACCAACTTTACAGGTTTCATGTAAAACTGAATATCCCTCATTATTCTTTTTCATCAAATTATGTTTACAATGATCAATCAAAAATAGTGCTGCTTCTTCTTTATATTCTCTTATTAAAACATGTAGCAAAGTGTCTCCAGTATTTTTATATATAGGATTAGAAGTCACACCTTTGGTTAAAAGTTTTTTAGCAAAAAATTGGCTGAATGGATCTATTTTTACTGCAATGCACAATGGAGTATCATCATCATTAGTAGTTTTATCTAAATTTATATCTGTACATTCTATCAAAATATCAAATAATGGTTCGTTTCTTTCTTGTATACAGTTATGTAAGGCAGTCCTACAAGAATAAATACAATAAATTAATTGTACATTACTTTTGATAAGAATTTAGTAATAAAATCTTATTAATTAATAAATTACCATCCTTTATAATTCTGTAAATTGGGATCAATACCAGCTTGAAGCAATCGAGACGCAATCGCCAACATATTCTCTGAACTATGTTTTGTTATCAAATGTAAAACAGTGCATCCATCGAGTTCTTCAGAATGTTTTAGGTCCCGTGTATTTCCAATAAGTTTTACTGGCTCACATAGAGGTTGTATATTACCACTGTTTTGTAGTTGTTCTATTATAAATTCTGCCGAATAAGAATCTCCTTTGATAATAGCAGCTTGGAGCAAAGTAAGACCTTTGGAATCTTTTGCATTTAAATCAGCTCCGTGTTTAACTAAAGTACGCGCTAACGATGGTTGACACGTTTTCAAAGCAACTTCCAATGGCATTTCTCCTTTATGATCAAGTGCATTAACGGCTTTGGATAACTGAAAATCATAAATACAAGATGATTAATAAAGTATACATTATTAAATTTTTTGTGGTTTAATATATTTATTTAACAACATATACTATATGGCAATGGAATGTGTAGCGATATAATGCGGTGCAATACAACACGATGATATAACTTGAAATAATATAATGAACGGTAATATAATGCGCAGCAATATAATGCAACACAATACAATACGGTAATATAATGTGAAGCTATACAATGCGCAATTATATGATTTTTAAATTTTACTGCCACAAAAATAATTTTTATTATACATATAATCAATCAAAATATTATCTCTAACTAGTTATCTTTGTACAGTAAATAATTTATTCACTTATGCGCAACGGCCCCGAACATTTTCATTATTTATTTAATAATAGATAATAGAATATTGCTAAAATTCTGTAAACAATTTTCATAAAATCAAAAAAAGTATTTATGAAAGTAGATTTAAATGAAATTGATTTTGAATTTTTAAATCATATGAAATTTAAATAATTGGTTGAGAATCACTGGATACTTTGTAATTCTGCGTAATAACGCTGCGCACACGTCTAACGGATGCTTGTACGTGCTCGTATTAGTGATACCTACATAGTTAATTAATAAGGACCATATAACACCGTCAAAATCGCAAACGGAAAGGAATATGAAGATTACATTCTGATAAATCAGAAAGAGCAGTTTATAAAGGACAGAAAAATCATGACGTGGCGCATAAAACAGTCAGTTAACCACACTCAGCTTCCGATCAAAATAGTGCATTTTCACGCCGAACAAAGAAAGCAGTTAACCAACATTTTATTACCGCAATGTGACATTTGGTGAATGTTCATAAATTAGTCTTATTAGAGATTAGTGAAAGTGTTTTATTGAATATGTTTTATTCGATAATCGATTGTTGAAAGTAGATTTATAATTTTATATAATTTTCAGAAGTTTAACTATGATTTCAAGTCTGATATTTGTTTACAATTTGAATTAGACCTGTAAGTTTTTTCACCCAAAACGAATATTTCTAATTACATAGTTGTTTAGTTAATATTTTAACTATTTTCTTGTAATATTTATTCTATTAACTATTCTTTATGTTAAAATAATGTTAAAATTTGTAAAATTGACAAATAATCATAAGTAATAATTTAGTGTTTAAAGAATTGTTATTTATTTAATTAATTATATTTAAACAAATATAATAATTAAAATGTATTTGACAATTGGTGCTAGTTTTATATAACTTATTTATAATATTTAATGAACATAATGTTTAATTAATTAAAATGTTTTAGGTTTGTAAAATGACAGTAATAATAAGAATATAAGAAAGAAATATAAACATAAATTGTGATAAAAATTGTAAATAATATTTAAAACACGTAATTTTATTAAAAAAATAAATATAAATATTTTGATAATAATTGATTATTGTTTGGATATAAATGAGATGGCTTTCCAAACAACATCAAATAAGATCATATTAATTACTGCATGTTTTCTATGTATGTACCTATTTAAGTTATTTTAATATTGTCTTTAAAAATTGATATTTATTTATCTTAGTACCTGATACATTAGAATATTTTTAATTTGATTCAAATCTTTTTAAATGCTTGATAGTGTTAAATATGATAATAAAACCTGCAACTGCAAATATTACGTGCTTCAAATGTTTTGCATCACAACCAGGAATTGATGAAACTAATCTATTATGTTCACAATTTGATGGAAGTTCTAGATTTCAAGTTTATTGTCCCTCATCAACGCTTTGCAGGAAAAAAACTATTTATTATAAGTTTAAAAGTATGTATTTATAATTTTTTAAAATATATCTGATATATTTTTGTACTCATTACTTTATCATTTTTCACAGCATCTGTAATAACAACTGTAGAAAGAGATTGTGCACTTCAAAAGAGCATGATTCCCATTTACAATGATGTAAATAATGAATGGAAAGATGACGAAGAAATTGTGAAATCAGCTTATGAAGAAGGTTGTTTTATTGGTGAAGATAGAGGAGCCCCGGCAGGTCCACCGGAATATTGTTTTTGCAGTTTCCATTTATGCAATTCATCACAGTCAATGAAAACTATGAACGTTTATCATATATTTTTACTAACAGTGATATTACTATTTACAGAAATACTATAAACCTTCAATTTTTGTACTTAATAAGATTAAAAAAACATTAGAATATATTAAGATGTTTTAAAAGTGATATGAAAAATATTAATGACTTTAATGGAATACTCTTTTTTTCTGATAATGTTACTGATCATTCAATTATTATATTTAAAAATATAGTGAACATGTGATAAATATACATAAGTAATAAAAGAAAATGAAGTTTTTAACTTACCCCTGCATCATTTTCCACTAAATACAAAAACACCACATCTTCTCTCATCAATCTAATAGCAGCGTGTAATGGATATTTACTTTTTGTTTGCAGCAATTTGTATAGTAAAGATCCAGGCATTTCTTTAAAATCTTCTCCACTCAAATCTTCCTATATACATAAATTTTGAATGAACTAATACATATAGTAATAAATATCTTATAATATGATAAGTATTGCTAAATATTTATCTTACCCAATGTGCTGAAATTAAAGAACTACAGTGTTCTTTTAATCTTTGAGTACCTAATTCTTCAGCAATAGCATACAATTGTACGCAATCTTTAAGTCCTACAGTTCCAATTAAATATTTCTCACAATGTTCAACTAATTCTGTTAATTGAAAACTAGAGGCTGCTTTCATCAGATCCACTGTTAAATTTTCTTGAGAAACTTTTCCCATATATATCCATTTTAATAACACTGAGCCAACATGAGTATCTAAATGAGTCCAATCTACCAACATGTATTTCGTATTATATTTAATATATAAGCTTAATTATGTCCTCCTGTTATTTATTTAACTATTTACCTAATGTAGTTACATCAGTCAGCATTGAATTACTGAAAAAATCTGTTCTAGCAGATAATATAAATTTATGTGCTGGTATTTCTTGATCCTTTAATTTAATAATTACATCACTATAAAATAATAATGTCTATTAATGGAAATGTTAACAATATAAAGTTAGAAACTAAAAAGATTTCAAACCTGTATCGATGTTGACCATATAGTGATGCTATAATTGTCAAGAGTCTTCCAATAAATCCAGAATCTTGTTTGTTTGCAGTAGCGATAGCATATTCACGTTGAAGTTCAGTGTTCGTGTTATATAAATTAACATATTGCTCTCGCAATAAAGATAAATGCTGTTGCCACTTTTGCGCTTCCATAGCATCTTCTAAAATACAGTGATGAAATTGAAAGCAGCTAATTAACTTATAAATAAGTATTTATTAACTTACCCATAATTACAGAAGCAATTATATTCTTCTATTAAGTATACAAATTATTGCATGTTCACGGTTTCACTCTAATTTATATTTGTTTTGGACGATCCATTTCCTATGCAAATGAGAAAAAATATTTGATAAAAATTTTTAAAAACATACTTCTAAAAATAATATCGAAGTTTTTCTTACACGTAAATGACATAAATCAAATCTGTTATACCTACATGATACGCCCGCAAATACTTCACTGTATTATATACATTATATTATTATACACATGTATATGTATTTTCATTCTACAAAAAAAACTGTGATCATACTTTTGAAAGATCCAAAAATTTCTAAAACAAAAAAAAGGTTTAAACTTTGATCTTAATGGTGTTGGAGAGAACCGGTATTTTCACCACACGACTTTTAAGAATATTAAATATGTAATTCACTTTGTAGATTGTATTTAATCTACGGATTTGTTTAATTATAGTCCATCAAAAATGGTGATGATATTATTACAAATTCGTGACGTTACTAGAAATATGTGATACAGATTACTTCCCTAGTCTATAACTAGTTACAATCCCTGTCAGACGAAAGTATACCCCCTAGATGGCAAATTGTCCCATGTTAGCTTTGCCTGGCGACACGCATGCGCTCTTCGTTTCATCCCTAGCAATCCCTAGATTTATGATCGAGAATGTATGATTGACAACTGGTTGACAACAATCAACAACAATTGAAAGTGATTTCATACAACACCGTGCATTATATAAAATATATTGTAAAATGAAATAATTTAATCAAATGTTAAATAAATATTGTATCTATGATGACATACAGTTATAAGTTCTATCAAAATTATCAAAGATATTTATTGTAAAATTAAAAAATGAACAAATGTTTGATCCTTAGAGAACATACATAATTATTTCATAAACAGTTCATTCAATTTTAAACGAAATGGAAATTAATGAAACTAATAATCTTGCTTTAAAAAAAAGTGAATATAAATTATTTGGAATATCCTCTTCAACAACTAAAGAAGGTATTTACAATTCAATAAATTTATATATTGCACAACTTCAGATCATAGCAGTTAATATAATACCTTCACATTTATTTTTTTTCATTTGATTGCAATTTTTGTTACATAATTTTTATAGTAAGTATCTTCCAAATAAATATAAATTGAATGAAAACAAATGTTAGTGCTCACATATTGATTACATTATTCTTCTAATATTGATTAATTTAACCAATAATATAACAAAGAATGTGTTTCAGATTTATCAGAGATACTTCATAAATTTCAAGATTATAATCATTCAAAATTATCAATTGGAATGTTTTTTGAATTCATGAAAGTTGCATATCGAGTGAATGATAACTGTGAAAATATAAGTGCGATATTAAGTGTGCAGAACAAGCTAGATTGGAACAAGTTAGCAAAAGTTGATTTACATTTTGAGGTACCAAATTATAATGTGACAGATGAAAACTGTACTAATAGTAATGTCATGCAGGAAAATAAAAATTCTAATATAGTGGAAGAAATTTTGTTTGAGGCATATGATATCAATGTTAAAAACTCTATGCACTCTATCATATCTTCAAATATACAACTTCAAAATGAACAAGCATATACATGTAATCAAAATTCAACAGTCAGTTCTGAGAAATGTAATCAAACTGCACAAAATGTGCTGTGCATGGAAGACACAAAGACTGCAAGATCCATAGACATGACAGAAAATATTTTAATAGCACTAATGAAGACAAATTTAAGTGATGTTTTGCATGAAGGCTTATTAGATTCAGTATTACCATATATGATTCCAAAACCTGTTATATCACAGCCCATCATAAAAAAAGCTATTATAAATACAGAAGTGAGAAAAAGTAATTCGTTAGGTAATAACATTGAAGCAAGAGCAATTACAAATATATCACATAAGGAGAAAGAAAAAGATAAATGTAAACAGAATAAAAAATTAATAGAGTAAGTATTTCAGTAATTAATGACAATGTAAAATGCAATTAATATTTTTATTAACAATTATTTTTTATAGAATTAATAGTAATTTATTCTATGCAGAAATGAAGTGGAAATTCATGTTTGTGATGAGGAAAAAAATATTAAAAAGAATTTCCATTGTCCTCAAAAACTTCTTATTCAAAAAATGCGTTATTTTGCTGATGTGACAGCAGGTCAAAAATTAGAAGAAATAGATATATCTGTACATTGTGACATTACAATTTTCGACTGGTTAATGAGATGGGTTAAAAAAGACATCATAAAAAAATCAGAATGGCCAGTTTTGGAAACTGGTAATGTTATTCCAATAATGGTATCTGCATCATTTTTACAAATGGAACCACTTTTAGAGAATTGTTTACAATACTGCCATGATAACATGTCTGATGTATTAAAAACATCAATGGTTCTACCTAGTTTAGATGATAATCTACTAACAAGGTAATCTTAACATGTATACAGTTTTTTTTATATTTAATAAAAATCTATATAAATAATTTCTTTTAGATTAGTAGAACATTTTACAAATGAAGAGGTAGAGGGTTTAAGAGATAAAAAGGATAAAATTCAAAGTAAATTGTTTTGTAAATTGATTATATCTCTAGCTGAAGTAATGCCAGACAACAAAAAGGGACACTACAGTTCTTTAGCTACATTGTTTAAATGCATCAAATGCGGCAAATGTATTATTCAATCAGTTTCTAATTATGTGCCATGTATTCCAAACATGATGAAAATTGATAGCCATGGAAATATCTATAGTAATCATGTAAGGTATGATAATGATTTTTACATTTAGAATTGTAACATTTAGAAATATAATAAGATCTAAATTATTTAGAGACTTAACATGGACATTAAATGATTATATTGTTACTCTGCGGACGGAATTACGTTCTTGGCGTAAAGTTTATTGGAGACTATGGGGCGATTGTCACTTTTTGTTTTGTACACAATGTGATATATATTTTCCAATTCATCAGTTTGATTGGTGCTGTTATCATGCAGAACTTCCACAATTTTTTATCAATGAACAACAACGATCAATACCATTTCCTTTAGGCAGATATCCGTGTTGTAGTCAACGAGCATATAGATTTGAAGTATTACCGAGTTATGAAGGCTGTACGTACAGGGTATGTATTTGTAAGTATAATTATGTTTCTTATTTAAAAATAGGATTATTACAATATGTATTTAATTATTAAGTATTAGTAATATTTAAAATTGTTATTAGTAATTGCACTTGCTAAATTTTTGCTTATATTGGTTTTTTATTTAGGAACATATTCCAGATATCAGGACACAAAAGGATGTAAATGTATTAAACATCCTTACAGTACATAAAGAAGTAATAGCTGTGGAACCACCACAGTTATTTTTTCCAGAAAAAATTACTAGATTAGTTGCTCGTGATTTATCTCTTCAACCAGGAAAATTAATGTGTAAAGACCTAATGTGGTGGGTTGGCATAGAACTGACACCGCAGCGACCGAAACTCGGACTTTTAGGTAAATCAGTATTTAAAAGTATATTTTACTGTATTTATTTAAACAATTCATGATTTATTTCAAACTTCTTTGAATGAAATAATATTTATTTTTAATTAATCAATATATAGGAAAAATTTGGAGCGGTTCAGGATTTCGTCAAAAGCCGTTACAAAAAATTCGTCAACAGGTTTCTGTTACAACTGACACTTCATCTTCAATCACTGATAGCGAAGTAGATGATGGTATCACACCTTATGAAGATAGTAGTATCGATGAAGAATCATATTGCAGCGAAGAATCAGAAGCAGGGTCTTTCCCAAAATCCAAAGATATGATTAAAAAAAGGTTAAAGAACCAAAACGTGTGGAGGTAATAAACATGTAAGAAATTTATGTAATTTTACTGTCATATTATTAACATAGAAACAATTTTAGAAACAATAACCGATCTTGGAATAGTGATTTAAATATAAGACACAACCAAGACAACCAACGGGATTTTGAGGAAGGTGCAACTTCACAAATGATAGCATTGTTAACAAAAAGAGTATCTGCTGGTACTTCTGCTTTATTAAAATCATCTAATAAACATAATCGAATAAAAAGACAATTAAATGGTATGTTTTATAAATGTTATATTATAATAAATGTATATATTATTTATGTAATTAATACTGTAATAATAGGCGGAACTTACATGAGATTGGAAGCAGAGTTTCGTGATCAATTGAATCAATCTTATAAAAGTAAAAATATAACAGGAAAGTATTTTCTACGTATGAAATCAAGTAAATTATAAATACACAGCCTAGAATAATTTCTACTAAATGTCTTGTGTTGCACATTCTTTAAATGATGTCATATATATTAAATGAAAACGTTATTAAAATTTCTTATAATTGAAACTAAATTTTTAGATAGAATACCAAATGTTATCCCTTGTAAGATTTCTTTTAATACTTTAGAGTTATTTGCTTGTTCTATTTAATTTATTTCAGAGTTTTGAATAAAATCAATAGAATACAAAAAATATTTATATATAATGTCGTAGTACTTATTAGCTATGTTTTTGTTCAGAAAGAATGGTCCTATTTTCATAATAATTATATAAACTCCCAATAAATATTTATCACATAGAATACTTCTCAGTTGTTACTTACATTTATTTTATTATAAAATTAAATAAACTTTTATAATGATAGGACGAAAATACAAAAATAAATATATGATAATTTACTATGAATAGCTATAAAATTAACACAGAATACTTTTGTTCATATTATTTATAGAAAATTTCTCACCAGATCAAAAACAGTTCGAGAGCTGTTTACTTCCTGTATAATTCACTTCTGTCTAGTAATTTGTTAAGTTCTTCTTCCGTAAAAACTGTATTAAAAATCAATTATTTTAATTTAAAATAATACAAATTACTTTAGTTTTTATGACATACCTTCATTTTCGGATTTAACCACTTGTGTTTCTTTTGATTCCAAAAGCCTTTGTAACTCCATTAAGGTTTCTTTAGTGCCTAAGTTGACTGTATTAAGTTGTTTGGAAATTACCATTTTCTCTAAGAAACGCTTTGCTTCTGCACGGTGAATTATTGCTTCATCAATTGTTCCTTTAGTACACAATTTGTATATAACTACTGGTTTTGTTTGACCTATTCTGTGGCAACGTGCCATAGCTTGTATGTCCATTTGAGGATTCTAAAAATATATTCAAAATAAAAAACGTAATAATTGTTATAGTTTAAAATAATTGAAGTTTTTGAATAAAAAATAATACCCAGTCGCTGTCATATATAATAACAGTATCAGCTCCAACAAGATTTAATCCAACACCACCAGCTCTTGTAGTTATAAGAAATACAAATATATCAGGGTCGGAGTTAAAAGTTTGTATGTTCTCTTTTCTGTCTTCAAGATTAACACTACCATCTAGTCTTACAAACTTATAATCACGTAAATAAAGATAATCTTCTATTACATCTAACATTGTTGTCATAGTCGAGAATAACAATACTTTATGACCTTGAGCCTTTAATTTTGAAAACAATTTATCCAATATTAGAAGTTTGCCAGATGATCTGATTAAGTCCTCATCTATTTTTGGTGTACCATTAAAATTTAATGGACAATAAACTAAGTACGGATGATTCACAATTTTCTTATACATTGCCACTGAAACAACAAGAATAAATATAATAATAAAGTATTTGAATAACTCAATTTGTTTACAAAATAATAACTTACGTCTATTAAGATAAGTCAGTTTCAGTAAAAACTCTTGATTATGTGTTGTGACATCTGTAAATTGTTTCCACATTGATAAATCTTTTTCAGCTGTAGCAGGCTCTACCTTTTTATAATTATCACTGTCTACACTTTCATTACTCCCTCGAAGTGACGATTCTACTTTTTTTAAATTTGTAGGCATATTATTCACAGTTTTTAAAGCACATCTTCTCTTAGGCCGTGAACCATCTTCTGTATATATAATTTGAGGTTCATCGGGTTTACATAATTTATATATATCACGAGTTAAAACTGCTTTATACAAATCATGTTGTAGTTTTGTGAGAGGAGCATATACAATTATTTCTTTCTTTTGTGGGATATCTATGCAAACATCTGCTTTTTCGCGTCTCAACATAAATGGCTGTAATATCTCACGCAATGATGATAATACATGCTTTTCCCTTTCTAACTGCAAGAACTTTTTTGTTCCTTCATTACCTTGAAATTCTTTTGCATCGAACCATGATTCAAACACGGCTAAATCATCAAAAATTTCTGGTAACAAAAAATTTAATAGTGACCATAATTCTGCTAAGTTATTTTGTAACGGTGTACCTGTTAATAAAAGTCGATTCATAGATCTGCATCTTTTCAGAATCCTAAAATAAAATTAATTAAAGCACATAATGTATAATGGATAAAAGTTCCAAAATAATGTACAAATAAATAATTATATTTTACTGAACTTACTTTATAAGTAGACACTCGTAATTTTTTAATCTATGTCCTTCATCAACTATTATGTACCTCCAATTTTGAGACTGAATAAAATGTTTATCATATGTTGGTATTTCAAAACTGGTAAGCACAATTGGTTGAGTTTTAAAAGATTCTGTGACTTTGTGTTTTTGTTTTATATTTCTTGCTGCTATGGCTCTTTCATCTCGTGTTCCATGATACACTACAACAGGTAATTCTGGTGCAAATTTTTCAAATTCAATCTTCCAATTTGGTATAGTTGAAAGAGGAGCTACAATCAAATAGGGGCCAGCTTGTTGTTTTTCAATGAGATGACATAGCAAGGCTATTATTTGAACTGTTTTTCCAAGCCCCATTTCATCAGCTAAAATTCCATTTATACCATTTTCATAAAGAATTTTTAACCATTGAAAACCTTTTTTTTGATAGTCTCGTAATTCTCCATTAAAATATTGTGATATTTGTAGAGCATCATTATCAACATTTTCTACTTCATTTTCTATTTCAGCTTCAAAATTTTCTTTATTCAAATTCAGTTTATCTTTGTCCAAATTTATTTTTTTCTGAACCTATAACAATCTTGTGTAAAATAATAATAATGAACAATAATAAAAAATACAAAGCTCAAAATACTTTTAACTTACATCTTTAGAAATATAATTTCGTATATCATGACTATGAGATTTTTTTAACATTTTCTCTTGGGGTGACATATTTTCATCTGTAGATTCCATCCTCTTGGAACTTTTTTTATTAATTTTTTTATGAGTATCTTCTTTTGAATTATTGTTAATTTTCTCAACAATGTATGAAGCATAAAATTTACTTCTATTTAGTAAATGCATCAATCGTTTATATTGTTGTTCAAGTAATTCACGATTATATTCTTCTTCTGCTGATCTTTTGCTTTCAATTTGTTCCTCAGCTTGTCGCCTCCTTTTTCGTACCTTCTTTTCAGCATTATCATCCATAAGTTCATTTGTTGGCAATATTTCATTATTTGTAATACTTCCTGATTTGTCTTTTCATACAAAAACATAAACATAAAAAGAAAATTATAAAAACCATTTAAAACTTAAAAAAATATTCTATAAAGTCCAAAATACTTCAATATTTTTAATTACATTAAAATAAATTAATAACAAAATAAATATATAAGTATAATAAAAGCAATCTAAGTATCAAATTCTGTTTTTGAACAAAATTTTATTATAGTATAAAAAACGTAAGTTACATGCGTACAAATTAATACTATAAATAAATTTATTAACATGACTCTATATTAAATCTTATATTAGAAATTTATTATATTTTATAATGTCATAATGAAAATTTTCACCTGTAACTGAAATTGTATCTTTGAAAGTGTCTACTTTTATATCACAATTATTATTTTCCATGTTTAAGCAGAAAATAGAATGTTTAAATTTATACGACAGACAATAAATATCTTTATTCTGCTACTATTATATAGACTGCAAGTAAACGTAATTTTTTGATTAAAAGAAACGCAAAATTCACAAGAGCTAAGCGTGTATCACGTGTTGAGAAAATCCCGCCAAATGTTGGAAATAATATATAAAATGTGTATATGTATTCATACATAAAAGACAGCCAACTATATATAAAAAAATAACCAGAATATAACAGTATGATATTACAAAATCTATATTAGAATAAAAAAATATAATTAACAGAAATATTAAACAATTGTATAAATGTAATAATTTCTAATAACATTTTTATGTTTTTTTTAAGATTTAAAGTATGCACCGTATTGTTCATTTTGCGCCAAACGTTCCCTTTCTATACCTCTGCCAGTTATGTTCTAGTACATGGTTTACACACTTCGTTCTTATATGATTTAGAGAAAAATGATTGTGTATTGTTACTATTACTTGTAACCACTTGTAATGACTTATAGTAGTAGTATTCACAAGTGTCTATCACAATGGTGTGTACTGCTGATTACATAGCACTATTTTCTTTCGAGATGTAAACAATAGAAACTTATAGTATACATTAACAATTATATATCTTTCATGATTTAAACATATGTATATACGTAAATATATATGTATACGAATATAAATTCACGATGGACTGACTTATAATTATTAGTCAAGTCTAACTAAATGTCAAAAATTAAAGAATGGATGTTCCGGATAATAATGACGAAGGTTTAGACCCTCGTATACAGGTAACTATCTCTGATGTCTTTTTCTTATTACCAATTTATTAACGAACTTTCCAGTAGTCATTTATAATAGGTTAAATGAGTACAATTATGAAATGTGATCATGCCTAATACAACCTGGTACCGTGTCCCGCTTTGCTTTCACTTTATATTCTTTATAATTTCTCTCTGCAAGAAATGTCATTTATTGTGACAATAATAAATGAAACAATCTACGATTTTATCTGACATGATATATTTGTACTTTTTAATATTGTTTGTAGTTAATTAATATTTTTCAGGATAGTCATTTATATATCGCATTTTTACTAAGTGTCAATTTATACTAATTGAAGAAGAAAATTTTATGTTTGTTATTAAACAATGTACAATATTTTTGATCATCTTAAATTTATCATTTTTAGATTGAATTAGAGAATTTAAATGATGCAACTGATGATATAAACAAACTTGAATCTGAATTGGATGTAAGTAATTTGATTTTCTATAGTCTGGTTTATCATTAAGCTAATAGGATTCAGCAAAAATTACATTATTATGAAAAATATATTAATATAAAATGAAATATCATTTAGGAAGCGCACACTGCTTTTAGACAACTTTTATCTGAAACTACAAAAAGATTGAAAGAAATATTAAATAAAGTGGGAAGTAGTTATGTAGAAAGGGCCAGATGTTATTATGAAGCTCTTGAAATAGCACGTCAGGCTCAGGTGAGCTAATAATTCAAAGATTTATAAAATTTTAAGGAACGATTACATTAAATTTCTTACACAGATAAAATGCCAGCAACAAGCTCAGTTGTTTCAAAGAGCAAGCGAAATTCATGCTGCAGCAAAAGAAACTGTAGCCTTAGCCGAAAGTAGATTTATATCTCATCAACATGAGTGGAATTTTGATCAAGCATGGCAAGATATGTTAAATCATGCAACTCTGAAAGTAAGATATTTCTACAATAAAATGTATGTATACTTAAATGCATTCTAAGTTAATATAATTCATTGTAGGTAATGGATGCTGAAAATCAAAAAGCAGAATGTGGTCGAGAACATTACAGAAGAGCAGTATTATTTCATGATGCTGAAAAAAGATTGCTACAATTAGAAGAAAAACATCGTCGTGCTATAATAAAAGCAAGACCATATTTTGAAGTAAAAGCTCAATGTGATCAAATGTTAGCAACACAAAAGGAAAGAGTTGAATGTTTACAGAAAGCAATACAAGATGCAAAAACTAATTATGCTACAAGTCTGCGTCAATTAGAAGAAATTAGTAATCAGATACACCAACAACGCAAAGATTATGGTAATAATAATATATTTTGAAGTTTTTATTGATAGTTATTAATAATATATAATTTATATGTTTAGATTTTATAGCTAATGGACCTAGAGAACCTGGTGTAGGTGCAGAATTAGTTAGTCCACAAAAGACTTCAAATTATGATCTGGAATTTAATCAGTTAAATGATGATAGAATAAAAGACAACGCAAATGATCAACTTAATAAATTTAATAAAGTACAAGATTGTCATGTTAGTAAAATACTTTATAATTTTTGTTGAATTAGGAATTATTTGTTTTTATTCTTAATCATTAATTACATTACAGAATAATTATGATTTACAAGAAGATAGCGAACATCTTGGAAAAAGATCAGTTGATGGAAGTGAAGCGACATCTCAGTGGGAATTAGAACTAGAAAGTAATCTGGAAAATCTCAATAGTTTATCTTTGGAGGATTCTATAAATGATCCTGATAGTAGGAATGAAAATAAATTTAATTTACATTTTTATAATGAAAAATTTACAAAATCAAGTAACTTTTTACAAAAATTAAGTTACAGTTTTTTGAAAAGCAAAGAACATTCTGTATATAATTTAGATCAACTTAAAAAGTTGTCAAAGAATTTCCAAACTTTTAAAAATGCATCTGTAAGTAAATCTTTAAGGACGCATCTTGAAGAATTGAATACAGTACAGAATAAAATTTGTGATTCAAGTACAAAAGTACGTACTCTCAGTTCAAGTTCACAGTCTCCTGAGAAAGGAGAAAATCGAAGTATAATAAAATACGTGCCAAATACAGTTTTCAAGTTTGGCTTTAGTAATAAAAAATCTCAAAGCAATAGTGATATTAATTTACCTTCGAATTTTGATACTAATTCTACAGAAAAATATCAAAGTTTGGATAATATTGTAGCTGATAAGACTGATAATTTTGAATCTGATAAAAAACGTACAAACCTAAACCACACTATAATAAATGAAACTTGTAAAAATGGCCTAAACATACATTGTACGCGATTAAGTAATGATAACACGACAAACTCAGAATCGACAAGAAAATGGTTTAGGTCTAAATCTTCGCAATTTTTATTTTCTAATACTAGCACGTCACCAATAAAAGTAGAATATGTAGACAGATTATCCAGCGAAAACTCGCTGAATAAACAGATAGTTGATAATAGTTATAAAGCTTGCGCAGCTAAAAAATTAACAAACAGTTCATTGAATATCAGAGAGTTACCATTATTATCAGTGTTTGAGAAATCAAATATATTGCTAAACAGTAAAAACAAAAGCCATAGCATGATTAATTTAGGTGATAGTCAAAATTTTAAGTCGTTAGATGATTTGTACTTGTGTAATTTAAAAACTGCTAGTATAGAGAAAATGATAAATTTAAAAGATAATCATTTTCAAAGATTCCAAGGCAAGAAATAAATAGTTACAGTAAAATGAGACAATTTAATTGTGTTATAAGCATGATATGTTGCAAAAGATATTAAATAAATGGATTTTGATATTTGATTTTACAAATCGAAAATTGCGTAATTTTTTTAGTATGTATATAAAATTTAAATAGCATTAATTTGGTACATTTTTTCCGTCATATAGATATTAATTTTATACTGAACCGTACTATTGTATGTTATTAACATCTCAAAGTATATTATTCAATAGTTTCGTTATATTAACTTAAGGCATGTTATTGACACACAATTTAAAATTTTACAAATGTAACAATATAAATTTATATTTACAAAAATTTATGTAGAATAACTTTACATATTTATGTTTTGTAATATTTTATACTTGTTATCAGTTACTATGAATATTATTAAAAAAACAGAATGTAAATTAAATTATCTTCTTTTACGTTTATTTGTAGAGTACTTTTTTCATTTTCTACTGTATTCGTAAATTGTATCTACACGTTATTAAAATGTATACATAATATTACGAAATATGTTTTTATATTTATAAAATGTAATACTTTAATGATGCATATTATATTATTAAAGGTAATAGCACAATTGTCATACAAGGATATTATATCCATAAGAAGTTATATTGATTAATGTTACTGTAGTTTTATCAAAATTGAAATGTTTTATATACTTTCAAAGTGATTTTATATATTGTAACAAGAATATTTATAGAAAATTTATGTAGTTATTTTCCATACTACGAAAATTATTGTCTGTGATATCTGAAGGTATCAAAAAGTGACAAAAAAGTAGATATTAAAATGGTTCCTCAAATTTAATTGGCAAATCATCTTAGTTTATCACATCAGTGAATATAAAACGTTTTTAAATAATAAATTGCGGCAAGTCGAAAATACAATTATATTCGTTAATATATAATTACTTGAAAATATTATTGAAATATAGTGTGCTGAGAATAAGATATTTGTAAAGCTATTAAAATCAAAGAATTTACGAATTTTCCAAAAAAAATTTCCTTCAAATTTATTATATTTAAAAATCCTTTCAAGACTGGTAATCATGTAATATTTGCATTATTAATAATTATTATTGAAATAACAACGGGGATTTTCTACAGGGACCAAGAATGTAATTGAACAAAATAGGATAAAGTCTATTAAAAGGGTTATTAAGTTTGAGAATTTCAAAGAAGAAATGGAAAAAGAAATTGATCGAATTAACAGAGTAAATTGCAACTTGGTAAAAAGTTTAAACGACTTTCGCATGTGATTCAATATTCAAAGTAGATAAAATTAAAAATTAGTACTTTCCGGTAGAGGTATTCCTAAATAGGGCAAACGCGATTTATTGTCGGCTGACGCTTTTTTAATACAAAAACATACTTTGTAGACTACATTAGTTTAATAAAATATTTACAATAATAATAATAATTTTAGTTAACACCGTAATAAAGATCTCAGATGATCAGTAAATATTGTTAATGTTTCATAGTTCTCAATATTTATTGACAATATTGAATAATGAAATATATAATATTGATTACCCAAAGTTTGTATAATAGTATACATTAATTTGTTTAGCGTGTAGAACTAAAAGAATCTACCAATGAAAAGGAGTTACAACAAGATAAACAGTTTAAAGGAACAGAGATAAGGAAAAAAGAAATGAAAGGGGAAGGAGATAGAAGAGATGAAGAAGTCTCAACTCCTCGAACGAATGCGATGCTTGGACTTTGTGCTATATGTCATCTCACACTTGGAAATATCAATTCTAATCTCAATCACAATATACCCTGTTCCCAAAGACATGCCCTATGTCAACGTTGCATTCAACATTTTACAATTCAATTAGGTTAAAAATGGCCTATTTCAATATTAACTTTTGAATATGCAGTAAAATTCTATTTAACTTAATGTATTTTTACTGAATATCTAATTAATTATATATTACTCGAATTCCTAAATTTACAAACCCTTAAATTTTTTAATTTTTAAATTACAAAATTCTTTCATTTATAGCTTTTTACATATTTCAATTTCCAAACTTTCCAAATTTCATATAAATTAGAGTAAAATGAATTCTATTTGTACAATAATAAATGTGAGCTGTACAACAACATGAGTACTTAAAAATATTCTGGAGTATTTTAAAGATTCATAAATACAATTGCATATTGCAGATCCAGGCTGCATTCTTTGTCATGCACAATATCAACAGTCAAATATAAATTTATCGCAAGAAAGTAACATTAGTTTAAATTCAATGAAGTCGCATTCAAAAAGATCCCAAGCTATATGGTATCAATCAGAGTACCAGCCAAGACATCATCAACAAGTACAACAATATATACCTATTAATACTGAACAATCATATGCAAGCCCTTGGAATCAAAATTATTCATCAGCAGCAAGTAATATCGAAAAAAATTCATTGGAGCATTATAACAATGATTCTGAAACGAGTTTTGATTACGAGCGAAGCAAAGAGCAAAATAATGCTCAAAAAGAAAGAAACAAAGATGTTGCTAAACGGAATCAACAATATAGTCAATATAATTTATTTGAGAAAGGAAATGTAGATTCATATACTTCTGAAGCTAGAGTAAACGGACAGATCACTTTTGAATGTTCTCGTAGACCGATTCGTTGTCCACGAATTGATTGCGCCATAAACGTAGCCTTTTCAGCGTTAACGCATCACTTCATTTTTGATCATCCGGAAGTACCTATTTTAAGCGTAGAACCAGGAATTAAAAGTACACTTGTCGTCAGTTTCAGTGCTTTATCTCCTGATTCCAGCCGATGTTTAGCTCTTCTTTTAGTCTCTGGTAAACTCTCGTAAGTATAAGTAATTGTATCAAGATATTTTATAAATTATAAAAATCTAGCAATTAATTAACATTCGTGCGCTAAGAGATCCTGTTGCAAGACTGTTTAATGGTAATCAAATGAATCCAAAATTCCGAAATCGTCTGCCATTATCAGTATTAGCTGCTCGATTACACTGCAGAAATCAATGTACGTCTGTCGACAAAATTAATAAGGATTTTCATGAAAAAGATGTGATCATTGCTTGGGTTGCTGGCTTGGATATTGGAAATACAAAACAGAAACTTATATGCAGTATTCAGGTATATTGTATCATTAAAAAACGTACAGCTAAACAAATGATTAATACCTTTATGTACATGATATATGGTGATATTTTCGCAACAGGCTATAGATAAAATTGATACAGAAGGCTTACGTTCCCTGACATATACTGGTCCAATAAACTCGTTACGAACGGCACAATGTCCTGAAGATATCTTTTCAACAGGTGATTGCATAGTTCTGCACGAGGGTCTTCTCGGTCACATTACATCGGATTGTGCTACTCTCAATGTTAATGTTACTGTACATTGAATATATAAAAAAATATATGTAAATGTATAAAGTTAAATTCTAATACTTCCATTAGCAATATTAATAATACTTACAGAGCGAATATTAACTTTTGGATATCACTTAAAATGCAGTAGTATATAGAAGTATTTTATTATTTGAATATATTCATTAAATGCAAAATTATAATTTACATCACAAGCTGGTCATAGCAGGAGGTCGGGCATATGCTTTTGGAATGAATCCATATTTGCGAGTTTTAGGCGCGTATGCCCATAACCAACCATCTACCGTTTGATTTCCTAAATCTGCGTATATCCAATCAGCTCTCCTCACAGATAAATCATCCGGCGCCTGCGCCTTATAATCGTAAAGTACAACTAATTCCGTGCCGTTTGTTTCATCTCGAAAATCTCGTAAACCCTTTTGTTGCAGTGATTCATTTCCTGGCATACTGTTGCTTCCCTTTCCTTCGAATCAAATATTAATTTATGTAATTTTAGTTCTTGATTAATGTAGAATTTTACTAAGTTATTTTCACCTAAACTGTGTGTTTCTGTAGATGTTGTAGCTGCAGTAGTGGTAGCTGTTGTTGCATAAGAATGAAGAACATGTCCTGGGTATACAAATCCTGATGGCACAAATCCCTCGTTTCCATCACAGTGTCTAAGTACCCAAAACCAATCAGGATCATCTCGATTGAGCACAGTTACAAATTCACCCCTCTCTACACTAACATCATTCTCATCTCTAGCTACAAAAGTATAAAGTACAATGTATCTTCCAGCTGATGGATCCTATAATGAATATTAGAAAAATAATCTGTATAATTCTGCATTTAAATAATAAATAAGTAGAATAAAATATTTATATGTATACCTTAAAAAAGGGATGTACATCTGGCTGAGACGATATAGTTTGAATAGAATTTTGAGATTGTGTGATATTAGATCGATTAACATTTACATCAGCAGTAGTGACATTACGGGCATAACTCTCACAATCAGATGCTGACCCAGTGTCTGTTTGTTGCGCATCTGCTGTTTGTGAACGACCTGTACCAGCAAAATCACAATCAGTCTCATTAGATCTTGGTAATTTCTTTTTCACATTGTTCATAAGTGTGGCAAGCGTTAATTCAGCAAGCTGAGACGTGTAAGGTGCACAATATGAATGTGGTACAAAGCCTTCCATACGTGTATCAGCTGCTATTACATACACCCAGTCATTCTCTCTATACAAAACATTTACAACCTAAAACATGCAAAACATAAACAAAACAAATGCATTTTACAATCAACATCAAATGAAATGAAAAAAAACCTTTATACATAACATTTATGAAGAACATAAATAACATAAAGCACACACAGAAATTAAATTATTAATATTAGTACAAACCTGGCCTCGTTTTACTTGAAGTTCATCATCAACACAAGGTGTAAAATCATGAACAATAACCATTTTACTGTCAGGGGATAACCCATTTTCCTTTTCAATACCAACTCTAACTAAAGTCTCTATGCTAGCACTTCCTGTTATACGACCAGGGGGTAGTGGAACTTTAGTTCCTAAACCAAGACCTGTACCTCCTGCTCCACCACAATCCTTTTCCAAATTAAAATTATGTACACCAGCTGGATCAAAAATTAAAAATTTTTGTTATTTAATGTGTTTTCGATATTTACTTTTATATACAGTTTGAGCATAAATAATATTTTTCTTCATTTATATAAATTTCCACAACTAATAAATATCCTAAAGTTTCAATAAAAATCATGTTATCATTTTAACTCTTTGACTGTGATATGTTTTAAAATATAAGAAAAAAAATCATAAATATATTCAGAAAAATTTACTGGGCATGTACAAGATGATATGTAAGCAAATCAACAAACTTTAGCAGCTAATTCGAAATGATATACATAGGTTTTGTTTTTACAATATAGATATAACTCATAAATAATCAGCTACTTTTATATAAAAGTCTAATACAGCATGTCATCAACATCTTTTTTGAATACAATACTTGCAAGCCTCTCACTCAACATTTGATATTATATACTTAAAAATTGAAATACAATTTCCTAATATGATAACTCAACATATCAATTGAATCCACATGGACTATTTTAGTCCATGAAATGAAATATACCTAATCATTTTTTAAAACATCCTGTATATATGTAATGTATGTTAATTAATATACAAGAGCACATATATGAACCTTCTACAATCAAAGAATTAAAATACTTTGAAAAATCCTGGATTAGTATACACCATAAGGGCATAATTCCAAATACTTTACAGACAACTATAAACTGTAAAAAATGGTAAAATGGTTTAATGAACTTACATACGATAATTTAGATGCAAATAATAAGAATATACAACAGGATATTATATTGAAACAGATTATTTAAATTTTGAAAGGACATATCTTACTCACGTTTCTTCTTCTTTCCTCGCCGTATACGTACTGGACATAAAAAGGCCATTCTGCGTTTTTAAAGTTTACATAAAATCATATTTCTTGAACAGAACTCATTAGGTGTTAGAAAATCACTGAGGTAAGACATAATAAGAGTAAGCATAAATGGATCTGTAAAAGTTACAAGAATCTCTTAGACATAGTCGGTAGAAACATAAATTAGGTATTTAAAAACCTTTATATTTACAAATAGGAATACTCTAAGAACATAACGGTAAAATCTCGAATCACAAATCCAATTAGTCTTTCCTTCTTTCAAAGGATTTTGGACGAACTGGAATTTTATACACCTGTATGTATACTTTATGCAATGAGAGATCATACCCAATCTGCGCAATACAGCTAACTTTAGTAGGTTCCCCACCACATACCTGTTGTCCCACTACCATATCTTTTTTAATCCGTTAGTCATGTATATGGTGAACAAAAATATGTGAATAACAAGAACAGGTGGTGATGTAGAATATAGAAAGTTTACAAAATAAAAGATTACTGGGTATATACATTTGGCAGCACGAAAGTTACATTACAAAGCAGGGTTCGAGCCAGTAAGAACAAACATGCGTAGAACGAATGAAAACTTGGCGTATGATCAGTATGATTTTTCATTGAACAAAATATGGTTAAAAATGCAACAAGTAGACGCCGCTTCGACGATCTACTTGTGATAATCCTAGGAATATATTTCTAGATTCGTAGCACTCAAAGAGTAGGGATGTAGCAACTGTTACACACATATACGACCAATGAATCCCTAGATCTGGGGAAAAATAATCCCAGCGCACACGACATCTATAATGGCAACGCAATTATTTTCTGGCGCCAAAGAAAAGTTCTTATTTTGAATTAATATTTCATGGGAATGTTTCTAACCGCGAGGCCCAGGTAAAATGCTCCATTTGGCCTGCAAAAGGGACAACTCCGTAATAAAATATGAAAACCTCATTTAATCGAAACGTTGTTTATTATCTCAATTAATATAAATGACGATAATAGCCTTATCTATAACAGTTTCCCTTCATATACATTTAACAATGAGTATTTTCTTGGAAAATAGTTATATGTACATTTATTCTAAAATTATGCCAAAGATCAATCAGACTACTACTGGAGCTACTTAATATCTATTGTTATATAGCGATCCACAACGATATGGAATTCGTCGTTCGAATATAGAAATTCGATCATACAAAATTTAAGATAATAATTAAAGTGATTACAAAAATTGTATAATATTAAACCGTCCTAAATCACGTTTATTTTTGTCGTTGGATAATATTATTCGAAACCTCAACACTATTATAAGTACTTAATCAGGGACCATGGGGTCTTAAGACTCGTTCAAGATTTTTATGATAAAACATTTTCGAAGTTCTTACATTAAAATATCAAAAAAACTTATCCACGTAGTTTTTTTCTTGTCAGTTTTTGCTCTTTTTACTTTTTTTTTTGTAAAATATACAAAATTCAAACGAAAGATCGAGTTTTGTACTTTAATATTGCACTTGTTTTATACATATGTAATGACACGTCTCATTTCTTAAGAATACCTATTAATTATGCATCGTATGAAATACATTTATCTTCTAAATCTATTATTTTATCTATTGAAGTGCGTCAATTCAGAAAATAAACTATTGATATCCAAAACATCTGTACTGTTCTAAATACATATCAAAGACGTGCGGATATTCGAGATTTAAGCACTCGGGTTCGGAAAAATTCGAATGGAATTGGGCGAAATCGTACAAGAACTCAAAAATATTGTTCTACATATGAATTCTAAATCTACAGATTTCAAAAATTTCCAAATTTTCAAACTCCTAAATTCCGAAAATGTCAAATATTCAAATTCCTAAATTGTCAAATTTCGTAATTTTTAAATGTCTAAATTTAAAAATAGAATTTTTCGGCAATATAACGAGTTTAATGTGCCTAATTTCAATTTATTATATGTACCATCTGTTCATGATTCCATCCGAATTTTGCGAATCTGAATCGAAGTTCGAACGCGCATTAAACTGTCTGACATCTCTATGAAATATGTATATTCGTATGAATTATGTCTGCCCCTCCTCCCAGTTAAATACAAAACATTCTTATGTTGCTGCATGTCTTTTAAAATAATCAACAATGCCCGTTGATCGCTTGTCCTCTTCATAAGACAAACCGAGTCTTCGAGAGACTTTGAAATAAAACGTTCTAATATTATATTCAAGAAAGTGCACGCTACTTACATATTTTTCTCGAGAATGTAAACATGTTAGTTATTAATCCTAAGTTTACTCACAAAGCAACATTCTAAAGATACGCTATCTTATAATTATCATATATTAAATTCATCTAGCTCTACCAAGTAATTTACGTCGGATGCTCGTTTTTTTTTTTTATTGCGTGTGAATATTTAACATAATGAACGATTTATCTATCACTCAATAGTTTATTTTCTTGGATTTCAATTCATGGACATATAAAAAGACAAGAAAACAAGAACTGAAACTCGTTCGATTAGTATTTCATATTTCTAACTCGTTCTAACATGAGCACAGAATTATAATCTAGTAGTCTAACATAGTCTAACATTTGAAATGAAAATCGAACGAGCTCTTAGATTTCAATACATTTGTATACGCGTAATATAATGATAATTATACTAGCTATATACTGTTTGTGAGATTATCTGTTTAAAAGTTTGATGAACCAAATATCATAACAATTAACGACGTATCGTATTTACGAAACATTCGATAACATCATTTTTTATAAATTACCTCCGTATCAATAAGAACCGATTGGCAGATTGTTATTTATTCGAACGAACGAAATCCACATCAATACGTCGTGTACCGTGCGTAAATGTTTCAATAAAGTCAGGCGTCGCATATTATGTGTTTATTTGTAATTTCCCATTTGAACTTAAAATACATCACCCATTCAAAAAATGAAAATACATATTTTATGTAGTCATGGCAGTTACATGATTTATCGAAACTTTTATATACGCAGATCTCAAATATACTCAAAAATCGAGTTGTATGCAATTCATACAATGTACTATTTTTACCATACATATTCTACGTACCTATAGTAAACCGAGTATGTATGAAAATCATAAATTATTATATTTTTCACCTTAGGTGGGATGCTTATAGTATTATTACAACAATATGATGTAATGCACATATGTTATTATATATTGACCAAATGTTGTACGGAGTATAATAATAAATATATATTATCCTACGTAATCAATTGTATCGTACACCTTCATTAATTTCTTTGCTAACGGATTGCTTTGAAAAATTGATGCATTGATTTCATTTGAAAAGCAAATTTGATGGATGATGAAATTTAAGATTTCTTATGTATTGTGCTTCAATACGATACAAGAATTCCTGGCACTCTTGTTACGTTAGAAAAATCTATGTATATGATAAGAGATCTTCCAAGTAGTCTCGTAAATATTTATACGCGTATATTTCAAATACACAAATGTATAATTACTAACTGTTTTCTGCTATAGTGCGCAAATAGGTGTGTAAGATTTATATATTTCTAGTATGTATTCAATACAAAAAAGAAAAGCTTTTGAAGCTTATAAAACAACCTTTTTAATATACTTTTAATTTTTTAAATGTTTTATACATTTGGAATCTTTAATTAGTCTTTTAAAAACAAGATCATCTTTTTACAATTACAATTTAATAATGGTATACCGAGTTCCTAAAGTTTGCATTGAAATTCACATATTGCGAGATAAAACAAGCAAAACAATGAGAAAAATATTTAAGGAAATAAAGAAATACATGTACAAGAAAAATCAATAAAGTTACAAAAATGCGTGTTAAAGATATATACAAATATAAATATATATTACATAAATATTTATAATATTTATTATATCTTGACATTTCCGTATTCATGTTTTTTTTTCATTCTTAAACGTTTAATGCTTATCTAGGTATATCTCTAAGTCAGTATTAATTTTAAAAGTATGCTTGAAAAATTGTATTTTTTCCTATTATTGCGTGTACGTACATTTCAACAATAATGAGCAAAAAAACTTAATAGAAGTCAGAATTCTGTTTACAATTTTGTTTTAAAATTCTTTCTAAATACTGATCACAATTTTTATAAATCACATTTAAAACTTTAAAATTTCCAAGGTTGGATATTTTTCAAATTGCAAAGTATAACTAAAATGATATGTTAAATGTTTTAAATAAATATCAATAGCTGCTACAGCATTTCGCATACTTTAATACTCATATTAAAAACCAAGATCATCAATAAAATGGTTATTGGCAGGGGATATCATACAATGTAAGAAAAAAGAACCATATTTGCTTCACTAATCACAACATGATAAATCTATGTTTAAGGAATTTGTTACAAAATAATTAAGAAATTAATCAATGTATAAAAAATTATCAATTGTTTATATAAGTTAAATTTTCATGGTTTACACTAATATCACTTGAATAATAATAATTTTACAATATTCAAACATTTAAATAATTAACTTACTTTATTTATAAATAATCATTCAAATTGAGTTTGCCAGTGAAAAATAATATTTCACTTTCATTCAGCGCCATAAAGATAATAACTAAAATGTAATCAAGATCTTGACATTATGGTAGTACGAACTGTTGAAATACACCTAGATTTATGCTTAAAACATTTCTAATATAACAATATAGCACCTAAAGGTTTTTTGTACTTTAGCAATATTTTGCATGACAATATTATTAATATGATCATACATCTATGATACTTGACATATTTACATTATGCAATCATGACTATAAAAAGAAAGTAAATGAAAAGCAATTTTAATCTCTTATTTCCCGATCTTTGTTTAATTTTACAATTAAACAAACGATCATAAAAATCTTTGTGACATATGCATATTTAATATGCACGAGAAATTTATGCAATGACCATTAAATATAATCATTAAATGATGTGATAAATTTTGGTTAACTTAGTTTGCTTTTTTCATATATTACAATATCTACATTTGATTTTAATTAAAATCGACACAATGAAATACGATTACAATTAAAATTTTCAAATCAATCGTTACAACGTTAAAGGCTCTCTATATATCACATAACCTAAACAGTTTTTATTCATTTAGAATTTATCATTACCATAACTAGTACTAAATTTAATGCACGCTTATCTAGCCAAAAGATGAGCGTTGCAAAAATTGCTGAGCAGTTTTGTATTAAATAATTAAAAAAAATTCTAGTCATTGATTTTACTCTTTACTAACTGCTAGAACAATAGATTCAGACTCTTTATTACTTGATGGTACTATAGCTTCTGTTTCTTCGCTACCTTCTGTACTATCTGCTACGCTTGCATTTGCCGGTTCTTCCTTTTTATCATCACCATTAGATGATTGTATTTGCTGTATTTGCAATTGATTACGCAATCGAGATATTTCACGTGCATCTGAACGTCGATGACGTCGTAATTGTACATTCTCTGAAACTATACGTCGTGCCAATTCTAGAACATCTTGTGGTACCTCCAAAGCTAATAATCTTTCTTCCAAATCCATTGCTGCTGTTCCTTCTGAATCAGAATCACTTTCCAAAGAAGAAGTTCCAATTTCAGCTAAAGGTGGTTCAACATTTATTGTGGAAGATGTCACTGCAGCACTACTTTCTTCTTCCTCTCCAATATCCTGTTTACTTTTTTGAGGCAGTTCTTTCTTATCACCTTCATGTGTGTACGTAGGGAACGCAGAATAAGTGCCAATACCAGATCCAGAACTAGGAGATTTTTCAAGTTTGACACTATCTGACGAAACCTCTTTTTTTTCATTGGGATTTGATAAGTGATGATTGTAACGTTTATGTTCGTGATGGTGTCGCCGTTGATGATGAGCAGATGGTGGAAGTACTACAGGCACTGATGGTGCAGGTATAGGTGCTAAGGCTACATTTGGTTGGAAGTGTGGTTCAAAACGTTTACACTCGGAAAGAGGAACCACACGTTCTGGGTGTTGCAATATAGGTGGACCTCTACTAAGGTACGCAGGCACCAACGATGAACTATTCACAGAAAATGATACACTTGTTAGGAAATATTGCAATTTCTTTTTTGTTTTTTCTTCTTTTTAAAATTTTGTATTTGATTAATGTTTACCTATCTTTATGCTTGCAAGGATTCGTAGTATTCCAAGGTCTAAAAGCTGATGCTCCTCTAGCTGCTAATTCGAAAACTGCCCATTGCATTTGCAGATATGGATCAGTCGCATTAGCTACTTGAGATACAGGATGATACATGCCTAAGCCATTTCCATTATAAATTCCAGGACAGTCATCTCTTCCAACATCTTTTCTTATTCGCTTAGATAATTTTTCTGAATCATGCCGCAACTGGAAAAGAATTCTTTATTTTCTTTTTTCTGTCCTTCATTAGATAAATAACTTCATATATAATACAATATAAAAATACTACATTTTCATCTTATTTTAACAACTTTCAAACTTAGAATTATCTGCAAAGGTAAATGCTACAAATTATATTAAAATAAAGTGGAAATACAATACCTCTGATTTCCTTTTAGAACTCAATGTAAGATGTTTTTCCTTCAGTTCTCGAAACAAAGTAAGTGACTTGTTATAATGTTCTTGATCTCGTGAAAGTAACAAGTATGATCGCCAGTTTGCAGAATCAAAGCCCCAATGGCAAGTACGATTTTCAAGAGATCTATGAGCATGTCTCACAAAACGTTGTGGTGAAAATTGGCAACCACATTCAATACACTCTACACACACTGAATTATCAGACTCAAACAAACTTGCATCAAAAATGCCTTTACATTTCCCAAAACACTCATGGTACACTTTAAATTTGACAATAGATTCTTCATCGCTATCGTTTATACTCAACATCTTTTTCTCATTATCTTGATTCTGACTGATTCGAGGAGGATCACACGATTCTGTCCGTAAAAGTAAAGCACTGACAAGCCTTTCGGCATCTGTTTGAGTGATAAGGCCACAGGAAGGAGCGTTACGTGGTAAGATTCCCGAATGCTTCAGTTCTTCTAACTGATCTCGCGTACATCGTGAACAATAAATCTGCAGCTCGTCACAGACCTGGTTAATTTGTTGAAGAGAAAATTCTTGCAAAACTGTATTTAAGATCTGTGGTAAACATAACCTTCTTTCACCTCCAACAACAAAACAGGAGATTCTTTCACCTTCCAAAATTGTCTCACATCTTTCAGAACAACTTTGGTCAGGTGCAGTTAAGATAGGTATCTGAAATTCCAATTCTCTTTTTTCACAAATATTTTTTGATCGTTCCAGTTGGGGATCCTCATCAGAATCTTCAAGTGGCTGATCAGTTCTACGAACTTTACAGGGGATAACAGGTGTTACAGATGGATTGTTATTCTTTTCAATATCTTTGGCCTGCTCCGTTGCTGAATCAAGAACACAGTTGTTTGATCGAGTCGAAGGAGAATAACAAGATGTTTGTTCTTGTAATAAACTCTTGCAGTCCATACCAAGCAGGGCCGAACTAGGACCCTGTAAGCTTTTCACAGCAGACAGTTGATATGTCTTTAAGACCGTCTTTAGTTGTGGACTATACGATTGATTGTTCGTATTACCGGGCAATAACGTCTCCATTATTCGTGTCGCGCGTGCAAAGATTCAAATGTATAGCAGGTTTGACCGTTGCACGAAATATCTGAGACGACCTGTGACATACCACGCTATTTTATACGATTAATAACACAGGTGTATTAACACCCACGTGCACTCACTTCAACGTACTGTTCATTTAACCCAGAAGCAGAAAACAACGCTGTAAGCGAAGATAACAAGTATTCTTGTTGCTTCCTTTTTGGCACGCGAGACGAGTACAAACTTAACCTGTTCATGTGTTTTCCAAGTCTGTTTCCCTTACGCTCAATTGTCTATTATCCGCAATCTATTGTCCATCGCAACGTCGCTTCCATGCACATGATAATTTCGTTTTTGTTCGAAACAAGCGAAACGATGTATCACCACTAACGTTAACCAACCTATAATTGGGAGCTTTTTTCAATTTTCAATCTTGCACCCGTTACACTTGATTTATTTACCAGTTTTCTTGGTAAACACCCAAGTGACGGTTAATCACGATTCATTTTTCCCTTTCTATCTTTTATCGATCTCATCCGCATATTTTTCCATCTTTCGTGTTATTTTAATACGAAGTATTCTCTCAGCTGATGCATATCACTGCCGTTGTTTCTATCGTCACTGTCTTCGATATTATCGCTACTACCGTCGATATAGTCGCTATCACGATCACCACCGCGACCGCCATTCGACCGCCACCGCCACCGCTACAGATATTTCTATTATTCGTACAACAGGAGATCATACTCGATTCGCGCAACACGGCAAACTTCAGTATACTCCCCACTACTTAATCTGTCCCACTACCCTAAGTTTTGTATTTTCTCGATCATATATACGGTACACCGAAATATACGGAAAGCGAGGAGAAGTGAGAAAATGCAACAATGGGCAAACGAAGTGCTTGTCAAAGACCTCACGAACATGGTGCGTGCACAGTGTCTTCAGTGATGAGGTATACAAGAGAAAGAATTTTCCACTTCTATTTAGGTAATTACAGCGTTTACTAACTACTGTGATAAACGCTTGTTATATTGCCGATTGATTCATGGACTATTTTGCATGAATTTTTATCTATATTTTATCTATGATCAAATTTACAAGTCTCCAAATTTTATATAGAGAGATTTCTTTCTGAACAAAAATTGTCTGACACAACATGAATGATTTTCTCGTTACATTATCCATGATAATTCATGATAATGTAATAAGAGTTTAATGTACATATTTTTCGCTATCCGTAAGTGCCACCACATGGTTATTACTGCTAGTGGAGAGTATACTAAGTAAAGGATCACTGGGTATACACACTTAATGCCACGAAAATCGCAAATACACATGCGCGTTGCTCTTAGTTACGAAATGTATCCGAACCAATCAGAGCCAACATGCGCAGAATAAACGAAAACTCATCGGATGATGAGTACGATCTCCCGTTAAATGAATAATACCACCACTGTCGCTGTCGCCGCCGTCACATTCACCGCCACCGTCGTCGCCACTGTCACTACACTGACACCACTGTCGTTGTTACCGTCGTTCAACACGACGATAACAAAAGATGGATCTACTGACTTTACTATTTGTCACAATAATAAAATTGATGATACGTTCGATCGATGAATATTATCACCATCATAAGTAACATCGTAAAATAACGGATCGACTTAGCACATTGCGATAAAGTGACGTATTGATCGCGCACCAAACGAGAAACGAAGAACCACTCGGATAAATGCGCATTTTTTTTATGGCATTGCTCGATGTCGATTGCGAACAACGTGGAATCAATGCTGATTATCCACACCGCGGTCATCCGTAGTCGATACGTGATGCTAATATAATTAAATGCTAGCGCGTGTACTCGCGTTTCTCACAGCAAGACGTTTCGCTGCTTGTATTCTCTGTCCCTTCTTTCCTCCCTCCCACCCTCTTTTCTTTCCTTCAATATGTCTTTTTTGCGGTACAAATACTCCACCTTGCTGTTTTTTTTGCACACACATACGCGTATGTAAACACGAGGAGAAAGCACGGCGCCCTTAGCCTTAGAGGGCCTGCATATCATTGTATGTTTTCTGTAACCATACAGAACTTTGTATTTTCAATTTCGTGCAATTTCATGTATGTGTTTTGTTATGTCTAGGACACTCATGTTTTTCTAACGTCAAATTGTTATCGTAAACTCTACACAGTTTCGATACTAACAAGCATCACATCGTTAAACAAAGTTCACTATATATACCCCCTCGTTAACACCGCTTCTTCCACCAAGCCAGCGTAACGCTTGGCCTCCTACCGCGCTCCGTATTCTACCACGTTAGCAGTTTCGTTTCTATCGTACTCTGATATCTGTTAAGTTAGTGTGCGATACATGTATATATGTATACGCACGTCACAGATCTCGTTCAGACCGCGCTTGCTTCCGAGAGATATGGAACGGTTGAGTCTGCGTATCTACAGCTAGTGGCATAGTATCGGATGGTCGGACGACGACAGCAATACTGGCGGGCGACTAAGTATTTAATCACGTGATCTCCCCGTCAAAATAGTCTACATGTTCTACACCCACATGGATGAAAGTGCATCCGTTTATTTCGCGTTCAGTGTCAGGATCAGTAACGCTGTAGCGTGGGGCTGGCGGGGCACTTATTCTGGGAACCACGTGTAGAAACTTCAGAATTTTATAAAAATTAATTAAATCGTGTATAATAATTCAGATATCAAATTTTGTGACGGTATGATGTGTATGCGTTATGGAGCGTAACAATATAACGATAATGTATTATACATGTTTTCAATATCGACTTTTGCACCGGGTTCTACAAACTCTAATGGCTGTTATGGTCGGAATAGATATAACACCATGCGTGTTATGCAGATCACGGATGATCAATATATATTGTCAATATTTCAGAATTTTCATGATCAGTATGCATACATATATGTTGTTAATAAACACTGATCCCAAATCATTATACTTTAACATTTTCAAATTTATAAATTCATTCGCAATAGACGTTATCAATACAATACTGCCGATAAATTGTATTGAAAACCCTGAAATATTGACAATACATTAATATGTATTGTCTGTTTTCATTACGTTTTATATTTTAGACTTCGATAACACAAATGGGAAAGTTTTATTATTCTTTCAAAGGAAGATGTTTTAAAAATGCATTTATTTATTATATTATAAATTAACTACAGCTGTAGTTAACTAATAAAAAATGTAATGACTCATGAAATAAACTTGAAAATTGCAATTACTGTTTAAAGATATAGGAAATAATAATGTCTTTTAAGCTATAGATTATTCATAAAAATATGTTTATTTAAATTCAAAAATATTTTAAAAGTATTTTTTGTATATAGCTATACATCTTACTGAATATTTAAATGCTTTTTTAAATATGTATCAGGTAACCCAAAAAATTTAAATCGAACAATATTTTACAATTTATTTAATTGTAGTTTAATACTTTTTACATTTCTATTTTATTCTTGTTTTTTGTTTTTAAACGTGTTTGCATGTATATTTTGATAATTAAAAAACTTAGAAACAATAAGAATTTTCTTGAATATCTAATGTATTTGTATACAAACTTTTTAAATGTAAAAAATTGTACTGCCAGTAGAAGAAGAATATATTTATTGGTTATTATTTATACAATAAGTTTCATTTAGTTTTCTTTGCTTTATGTTTCTCTTTTTTCTTACGCTTTTTTTTATTTTCTTTCATACTTTGTTTTCTTTTTCGTTCCTTTTTTGTTTTCTTTTTTTCTTTTTTTGATTGTTCATCTGAAGATAAATCAGAATCATCTGAACTGGAACTACTGGTTGAGGATGAAGCGGAAGAGGATGATGATGATGAACTTGAACTGGAACTAGAAGAATCATCAGAATTCACAGCACTTTCAGTTTTTTGTTCCAGAGAAGGAATTATTGTAGATTTTGGATGAGATTTTAAGTGCTCTCTTAAGTCATCCGTAAGTCCACCCAAACCAATAGATGTAAAAAAATTTATAGCAAAACGTGTATTCTTTGGATCATCTCTGGGAAATAAACCTTCAAAAGCATGTTGTAATGTAACATCTTTGACTCGTTGATTGAGTTTAGATAATCCCATGTACTCTGAAAGTTCTTGAAATAGAATTTTAATAAATATTCTATTAGAACTTGTAGTATCTTCTTCAGTTAATTTTATACAAGACAACACTTCCCAAGATATTGAGTCAGTAAATAATAAGTGTGCAAAAAATTTGGAAACATTGCGTAATTTATTTGTATCTAAACGATGTATTGTGTGGTATGAGTCTCGAAAAATTTGCTCGAACGGTGTAACATATATTTTATTAATAGCACAAAATCTGCCAGCTAAAAGTCCAAAAAATTTTTCATATGTTCTCATTTCAGCACAACAATCTAAAAACATATGGCAAAGTTCAGTCTCTTGGCCAGGTTTTAGTTGCATTTTCATTAATTTATGTGCACATTCTTCAAAATCAAGCGATGAATGTATTGTTAAATATATTGTTCTTCTTAGAGCTGTTAAATTTGTTTCTGTGTTATCTACAATTACATCTTCTTTTCCTTCTGTTACAGCAGTACTACTATCTTCATCTGAAGTTTCTTCTTCATCATCCTCTTCGCTTTCCGAACCACTAACATCTGAACCTAAAATTTCTTTACTCAACTGTTTATATTTATCTTCATTATTTACATATTCTGCATCAAATTTGAAAACATTTAATATGTCTTGAGAATCAGTTGCCTCATCCAATGTTACTAGATGAGTAAATTGATTTTCTTCTTCCACAAGGTCAAGCTCATCTGGAACAGCTTCGTGATCTTTAAATCCATCTTTTCGAACTTGAAACATGACTTCAATCATGTATTGTACTCTTTTATCCAATTGTCCTTCATGTAATATATTTCTTAACATTTCAAATATAGCTTCTATACCTTTCCTTGAAACTTCAGTTAATTTCATACCACATTCTTTTAGAAATGCAATTGCCACTTCTACTGAATCATCTGTTGGTGTTTCTACTAATAAAGTTAAAATTTCTAGTGCTAAAATCTCATGTGCTACTCTTTGATTTACTAAATGTGCAATAAATGTTCCTGAAGATATACAAAGAGGTTTGTCATTTCTTCTAAAACCACGTTTAAATTGTATTACAAGACGTTTTAATATTAATTCTCCAATATTAGGAAACTTAGAATTGATAATTGCTGTAAGAGCAGCATAAACAGATGTAAAAGTTGGTGAAGCTGCTTGAGCTTGAATAATAGATCGAGCAAGCAAACCTCTACCTCTAACAATGTTTTCTTTCAAAAGTTCTCGTGTGATAAGTCCAATGTTACTGATATTAACTTTATTAATATGACCATGTATAGATTTTTTAAGAGCTTCCCATGCAATACGTTGGTATGCAGCTCCAGATTTATCAGTGATCTCAGCTTGCATCAAACGTAATTTTGCAGGTGGAATGTAAGCACCACCTGTTCTTGATGTCAATAACTCAACAGTTCGATTTTGCCGTTCTAATGCCTCATTGGAAGTATTTGTTTCTTGTTTCTTCCCCATATCTGTATCTATGCCTTTATCTTTCTCTTGTTTTCTTTTGTTCTCTTTCTCATAATCTTTTGATCTTTTTAAGTCTTGTCGTTTATATGATCGAATTTCTGTGTTTGATTCTTCAGAATCATGGTTTTTTCTCTGCTCATTTTTCCTACCATGTCTGTCATTGTAATATCTATCCCTATTTCTGTCTCTATCTTTATCTTTATCTTTACCTCTATCTCTATCTGTCTCATGATCTTTGTCTCGATTCCGTTCTCGATCTCTTTCATGATTTCGACCTCTTGAATGATGTCTGAGATGTTCGTAATCATCTCTATCTCGTCTAGAATGCGACCTCTTCATTATAAAGCTGAAATTTAAAAGTAACAGTTTTGAATATTTATTAGATGGGAAAGTACTAATTAACCCTTAAACAAGTATGCGCGACTATGTGTGCATGGTCAAATATATTACAACTATGGAAGAATACTTATTATTATGCAAGAATACTAATCTCTTATGCTTTCATTTATCAATATTATGTGTTTTAAATGTTATACTTTATTTTCTCTACTTATCAATTATTAGAAAAAAATAACATTTGTTAGAAGTGCTTATAAGACATGTGGTAGATACATCTTTCAGTTTTATGTTTGTTCAGATTTTTTAAAACATATATAAAATGAAATAAAAGTAAGTCTTTGTATAAATTTGAAATACATCATGCAATACAAAATTTTTAAAATATAAGCTTTAAATTACATCTATTAATTGTTTTTGGTATAACACATTTTACTTTTTTCCATTACATTATCATATGGTATATAATATTTACAGGTTATGCATTCGGTCGAAAAATAAATAAATAATTTTATTCAATAAATATCAAGTAAATAATATAGACATTTCTTGTCATTATACATATCAAATCAAAGATACATGTACAGAGAAGCTTATTCAAAAATCGTATGCATTTACAGAAACTACTCGTGGAAGGGTTAAGAAGATAGTAAGTAATATAATAAAATAGGTTTGTTTACCTTGAATATTATATGTTCTGATATTTTGATAAAACTTAACCTTTAATATACAATAACCTCAAAATCTTTAAAATGGCGTTCCGCGCCATTCCGCAAGTGTAACTGAGTTCAGCAGGTTCCCTACTATGCTTTGCTTGCTATTCCATCAGTCATATATACAGTGAACAAAATATCTGAACAATAAGAAGTGATTATTGATGTTGTAAATAGAAAACATGGGAAATAATGGGACCACTAAGTATGTATTGTTCGGTGTTAGGGGTACCGAAGAACGCTTGTGTGTTCCTCTTGATTACGAAGCGAGCTAAATCAATTGGAGTCAACATATGTGTAAAAGAAATGAAAACTTGTTCGACGATGATGTTTTCTTATGAATACTATGTATATATACGTGTTCGGCTACTGGTGGGCATAATTTTGGGGGGTGGTAGTTGGAGTGATTCTGAACAACTTTTTCCTTTACCAAAATGCTAGTTAAAGCTTAGTTTTTGAATTATTAATAAAAAACACTGACCAATGAGAACGCGAATATGACTGCCGATCGTCGTCGTGAACAAATGTATCGATACTGTCGGTATAACGTCGGTATAACGTCGGTATAACAGGAAGCTATTAGGTAAAAGTTAAATCAAATAATGAATTAACATGTTAAGAATAATATTAAATTCTTCGTAATTCGTGAATGAGAAATAAACCAATTAGTTGTTGTTTATAACAACCAGACGAAGTATATTGTATTTATTTTATGCCTTCAAAAAGGAAAAAGAATAAATTCACAAAAATTAATTTTGTCAACTATACTAATGAAGCAAACAAATAAATTCAAATTTCAAAACGAATGAGTACTTTGCCTATGAAATGAGATCGAACTGGAATAGAATATCTAATGCAGTACCTCATTGAAGTGAAATAAATCTATTGCTGCGTACGTTTAATTTTAAAAATACAGAAGTAACTTAAATAACACTTACTCATTGATTCATGGAAGAACTAGCTTCGATAAAAAATATTTGTGTCACCGGGTAGACCCACCGATCAGAACATCAGCAGCTGATGTCCTGGCAGGGTCAATGAACTCTCAATTTATTTCACTGTCTTTTTCTAATAATAATTGTACAACATAAGCACGACCGGTAAACGGACCGAATGAAAACGCGTGAACGATTATTCATAGATATGTATGTTTAACGATACACTATTCTCATTATAAGATATCTGAATTGAGGAATCGAAATTATATTATATTTTATAAGAAGACATTGTTAAAATTAGTGAAAAATGAGAAAGAAAAGTGATAATGAAAACTAATAATGAAAGATGAAAGTGATAGGTGACAATGAAGTTTCTTGAGAGTTTTTTGAGAGTTTCTGTATGGTGATTGATTTATATTAACAGTAAGGACCGGTGGATCGGACCGGTGACAGAGACGCATTTTTATTGTGATTATTTGCGGTTTAATGGGTGAGCTACATTTAAATTTGTTAATTACTCAATTCACATTTTTATTTGTTGAATAGAAAAGTTATTCAATTTTTTAAAAATGAGAATTTGTTCTTTTTCATCATTACAATATCTAACGAAAATAATTTTCCATATTTTAGCTATTATTTCTTAGCGATGACGAATAAACGTATTGAATAAATTCGATTTACTTTGATTACGTGAGTAGAGACTAATTTTGTTATTTCTTATTCATGAAAGAATGATAATTCAACAATAATCCAGATTTTTTTATTCATTATTCAATGTAACTTTCATCTAACAGCTTTCTGTTATACCGACGTTATTCCGACGTTATACCGACGTTATACCGACGTTATATCGACAGTATCGATACATTTGTTCACGACGACAATCGGCCGTCATATTCGAAGCTGTCGCTCACGCTGTCGCGCGACCGGTCTATACGCGTTCTCATTGGTCAGTGTTTTTCATTAATAATTCAAAAACTAAGGTTTAATCAGCATTTTGGTAAAGGAAAAAGTTGTTCAGAATCACTCCAGCTACCACCCCCTAAAATTATGCCCACCAGTAGCCGAACACCCTGTATACACTGCTCAAAAGAAATATGGCATAGAAAAATTTTAGGCAAAAATTGGCCAAATTTGACTGATGATAACTCCGTGAAATAAATAATTTAAACAAAACATTAATTTAAAACAGGTGCTAAGATTTAAAAAATTTGCATATTAAACATGAATTTTATAAATTTATAGTATTATAACATACAGTATCGGTATATGTGGTTGCCTCGAAATAAATTTTAAATACATATAATTTTCGTAAATGAGTTTACGAAAAAATTTAAATTTGTGTCTCAATAGTTTCATGTATGACCGTTAGATAGTGCTAGGGGTATTATTTTTAGAGAGCGCGCACAAAAATATAAATTTTGAAATATATGTAAGAATAAAGCTTTCAAAATGCTTTTAACTTTTTAATTTGGTTACGTTACAATAAACAATTGTCTTTCATATCTTTTTTACACGTTAAGTTGCAACTATATTTCCATTATAAATGTAAGTTTGAACGTAAAATTCAATAATAATTTATGTTGTAATATATTTCTAAAATTACCTTCCTGAAACATGAAGTGCGCAACAAAACAACTTGTTTTTAAAAGTAAGCATGTACTTGCGAAAATTTTATTATTTAGCGAATTTGAAAATGCCTGTTGCAAAACCGGTATAATGCGTGCCACCGCGTGGATAATAGATATGTGTGGCTAATCGAGACTTGTTGCCCTCGGCTGCCATTTTCCCCAGGGAAGCTAGGTTACATTTGAGTGTATAGTCTACACCATGCTATAATATCTACATGTATACATATTTATATTGTGTACTAATTAAAGGTTGATTTAGGTTAATTTGAATTTTGCAAAGCCTGAAGGTAGTTACAGAAATTTACCACGTGATGCGAATTTCCTACGAGTGTTATATTCAAAGTTAATGAAAGTATTACGGCAAGAATAAGTATTAACAAAGTATTAAGAAATGATTTATAATTAATAATTAAATAAAAGGTAACTTAGTGAAGCAAAAGTAGTATTTGAAAAGAATATTATTTGTATAACTTTATATAAATTGAACAATAAACATTTTTAAATGTAAAGTAATTATTATAGTAAAATAGAAAAGCTAACAGTTATTCTTTTATAGTTGTTAATCATATTGAATAATTTAAGAATTAAGAGTAATGCAAAAAAATGTATGGTTATGTTAGATTTGTTCAATTGAGTTCTTAAGTTCTAGATTTCCATTTAAGTCGTATAAATCACGTAGGTATGCGTCACTATAAGGAATGTAGTTGTAAGTAAATACATTACATGCATACATATATATGTACTTCTTATGAGCATGTACATCTAATAAACATGGCGACTGCCAAGTGACAACGCGTTTTAGTGTATAAAATATTCTTAATTTTATAATTGTTATATGCATATTTTTATTCAGTAATTTAAAGAAATTACTTCGCTTGTTTGTCACGGAAGCCTGACAAGTATACATTTTGCCCGAGGTACCAATTAAATTAATTAGGAAGTAGTAGTGCGGTGAATCAGAAATCGTACGAGCATCAAAATTTAGGTAGTTTCAAATAAGACTGAATTTCAAGTATAAAGATGATTTCGTGCCTTTTGGATTTAATAAAACATTGAATTTATGCATTTTGGTTTATCTGAGTATCTATTTTGTGAATTTATTAAGAAAAATATAATATTTTTTCTACAATCAATTTTATTATATTTTTGTTATATCAGTCATGTCACCTTTCTGTATTATTTTAATTGGTTAATTAAGTATTATTTTAATACTTTTAATTACTTTAATTAGTTGTTAACTTTCTTCATTATTTATTTAGTAAAGTTGTAATTTGATAAAATAATAAATTTATAATTACAAGTATAATTTGATGATAATTTAATAATGTGATTTATTTTCAGTGTAAGGAACAGTGTACACAATAGATAAAAATGCCTACACAAACAACGGACAATGATGATATTCGGGCAAAAATTGTTTATAACGGGTAATACATAAAACTTTTGTTTATTATGTTAAAAGTTTGTAGAGAAAAAATGTATTATTTTAGACCTTTAACGTAGAAGCCTATAATTCTAATTTAAAATGAAAAATATGGAAAAGATATATTGTAAGAGAAGAAAGTAGCTATCTAATAATATCTACTGATACATGATATAAACAAAATCACAGGGTGAGACATACTATGTCCAAGCCTTTTCCGCAAACCTTTCTTAGCATATTGTATAAATAAAAATAAGAGAAAAAATGTTATATAAACATTTGCTATATTAATAAGCTCCTACATACATTATTAAAAAGTTATAACAAAATATAAAATGATGCTAGACTGGTGTTTTGTCGATATAACATAAGAATATATTATTAATAGAATGAACTATATTACAATTAATGTAACTGGCCGTGAAAGCACCTAGTTATATATCTGTCCATTGCAGCATACATGTATCTAAGAGTAATCCATTTCAAGCTCCTAGTAACAAACAAGATTATTATAAGTGTAATAATAATTTAAACAGTGGAGACATAATATAAATAGCTGATAAAAATAATAAAATATGTATTTCTTTGCATCAGTTGCTACATATATTGTACGTTACAGTATTTTAATTTGAGTCATATAACTTATTTGTTATAGCATTTGTTCATTGTAACATCATTCATTGTAGCATGGTTCACTGTATTATTTGACATTCACACAAACTGTAATGTTTAATTGCTAAGGTTTTTGATTTGGTTATTTTCTTATATACAAATTCATAATATACATAATACTGTACAATTTTATATCAAGATGTTAATGAACAAGAAATTAGTAATGTAGTAGATTTTGTTTTTCACAGATATCAATCTTATATTCATAATAATAATGAACAATTTTTGAAATAAAATCATATTATGAACTGGTAATTTGTTTTTATATAGTAGTAAACAAAGAAGTAACTCATTGCTATGTCATATTTTTGTTATAACTCTTTAATGAAGCATTTAAGAATATATATTTATTTTATTAAAAATAAAATATGTTTTATTATATTAGCAATTGTTAAGGTAGGATTCTAATTATTTGTATTTCTAATAGGGAAGTGCAGATTATGTATATTACTACTGGAATTTCGTTAGATACATTACGAGAAGAGGTACGTTCAATATGTGAATTTGATATTGCGGGACCAGATCAATTTACTATGAAATGGGTTGATGATGAGGGTGACCCATGCAGGATTGCGTCTCAACAGGAACTGGATGAAGCATTACGCCTCTACGAACTAGAAAAAGACACAGAGATAATTATACATGGTAAGTGTTTATTGTAAATTTTTATCAGATTACAAAATAGATATATACAGGTCTTATTATCGAATTGGGATATGTTTTTTGTGTACATTGTTTTCTGGTTTAATGGAATTCAAACATTTTGAAACATAAAATATGTATTTAAAATTAGTTATCAAAATGGATAACTAGGCATTATAATTTTTATATATACTAGAAGTATATCAATACACAGAGATTTATGGAATAAATGAAAAGGATTGATTCAATTTTTATTTGATAATATTGACATACATTTACAAATATTTAAAAATAAAAAGTATAACTTTTTGATACATTGGTTTGTTTTGCAAATATTCTATGGTAAGGTGATATAATTTGTGTATATACAGTATATTACCATTTGAATGATTTGAAATTATTTAATGATTTTTAAGTTAATAATAAAATATCATATAAAAACACGATTTTATAAATAATTATTTACATGTGTACATGTATATAATATATTTACCACTATCCTTTGATCTAATCGAATGTAATTAGTAAACACTTAAAATTATTGATGAGCAATTAGAAAAGAATACAAGCGAAAAAGGTTTCATTAATCTATTAATTCATAACTGATGTGATGTGGTCATTTTATTACACAGACAGTATAGTGAGACTTATAGAACTTTGCAGAAATATTTCAAGAATTTCCAAGTGATTAAAAAAAATGGTATGGTAAGTTATGCTTATATTCTTATTTAAAATGCATATAAAGTACATTTTTTAAGAAAGTAAAATTTACTGGCATTTAATGGATCCTACTGTACCAGTCATGGGTTAAATTATTATTCAAAAACTTATTACAATCCATTTACTCGTGTTTTGAATTACTATTCTTAGCTAAAGAAGAAAAATTCATAATATAAATAAAAAGAACAACTCTAAATGAAACAAGAAAGACAAAAAGTAGAAAATAGCATAAGTAAAAAGATAAATAAAGTTGATAAATGGTAGATATAAAGGAAAAGATAACGGAGAAAGTGAACATGAAGGAGGCAACAATGCTGAAAGCTCTGAGAAAAGATTGAATGGAGAAGATGAAAAGTGAGAAACAGATGGGAGCTTAATGGGTATGGGGCGGTATAGAGTCAGGAAAGAAGGAGAAGGGGCGGGGGTGGTGGTACGTTTAAAGAGAAACCAGTCCTGCTTTTCACTGTGCCTTTATTCTAGCGTTTGCGCATTTCGTAGAAGTAAAGCGCGTCGGGCGGCGACGGTAGTTAACGGATCCCGCGGCAGCAGTCGATATTCTTACGTGAACTGATTAGCAGCCACCACACTAAATTTGCTCAGACCTCACGTACATAATAAAGTATCGTCGAGAAGATAACTGAAAGTAGCTGGTAGGCAAAAAAGGAAAGAAAAGCACGACTGATATTAACACTACTCAAAGAAGAGTCTCGTCACAGCAGCCGCGCGTTTTTCAATGATCCACGTAGAGAGCTCGTGACAGCGTACCTCTGACAATTGCCGTTGTCATTGAAGAGGTTGCAAAAGTGGCGATAAACCAGCATCGATCGAGCTGACTCGTCGCATTCTCAGCCGGGTTCCTGCAAGAGGTTGAGCTACAGTAAAAGAGGACAGAGAAGGAAGAAAGAGAGACAAGGAGAGACGACGCGGTGAAAAAGAGATAGACCGATAGAGCGTGCGCATACACCGTAGGGTGGGAGTTTGGAGGGTAATTGCGAGCAAAAGACGGGAGCCAGTGGCGTACGACCGTCGGTGGATGATACCAAGTAACCAAGATAGAAGAAGGTGAGATAAATACGGCTGAATTGGTGGCGAAATGGCGTGGGGTTACTGGAGCGCAACGTCAGTCAGTGATCGGGGTCGGTCACCCCGTCGCGAGAAGGACAAACAACAATACCAGAGCTTGCACCAGCAGCCGCAACAACATCATCACCAAACTGAAACAGGAGTATCGCAGGGGATGTACGGTGTTCAGCAAGTACAAGGTGAGCTCGTCAGCTCCTCCTCCGTCTCAACCGGGTCTGGCGTTGCCGCAGTGGAGGAACCACCCTGCAGTATGATGATACAGGGTGGTTCCTTCTATTCTTATTCCGCGGCTACGGCGGCTGCTGCGGCTGCGGCCGCTGTTGGGCGTAGGATACCTCCTGCCGTCGAAGGACCCTCCACTTCCTCAACGGGTATTCAAGTGCTACCAAGGGAGCGACCCATTAAGTCGAGTACCAGCACTTATCCACCTTCGCCTAGCAGCGATTCAGCCGAATATGAACAACCGATTGCTGGACTTCGAAGTGAATGCTCTCCTCGTAACAGTCCTCCTGACGATATATTCGTGCAAGCTGGCTCCTCGTCCAGGATAAAATTACTTTGCGACAAAGGAATCGACGACGCGTCCGAGGTTGACCTCGACGAGGTGGTGGCTACGGAAACGATGTACGCGACTGCCAATAGAGCTATAGGGACTACGTGTCGTGTGCATGGGCCATGTAATCCGCCACCGGATTCTACTGATTCCATTACATCCTTATTCGACAGATCTTCTCAGTTTTGGTTCAACGACATCGCCTGGGGTAGGTCTTGCTAAATTGGTCGAACGTTTTACAAGGAAGCACGATAGCGAACTACTTTTATTTTTATTCTATCTGCAGTTTTCTTGCTTTGATTTAGTATTATTGCACGTCTTTGGTACAGGTCAGTTTTCGTTGTTAGAATAGTTAATCTGCGAATGTTAGGATTATAGAGTTTGCTGAATATCGATCGCGAAGAATGATGGTTTTCGTACAGTGATGTGCCGATATGTGCGCTTATCTAATCTGTCATTTTTGGCTATTTTATATTTCATAGTTTTTAGAGTTTATCTTGATGTGTCCGTTTGAGATTGTTCTATCTTTTTTTTTATTAACCCTTCATTGTATGTTATTAAATATAAATAAACTGTGGATTACATTATTAATATTTCCGTATTTTGAATTGCAATTACTTATTTTACAATATCACGAAATATTAAATCATTATTCTGTAAATAAATGTATTTTTTTCATAATTTCTAAAAGTACAAAATTGCAAATAGCATATAACGAAGGGTTAAAAGTTTGATAATATAAATTATAGGCACAAATTTACATTTAACAGTTAATCTGTATTTTAATGTTTTGACTGCAATGTCACTCACATGTAAGTAATACTTGAATTTTCATAGAAATTAATTATTTGTATTATTAGGAATTCTTTTATTTACCTAATTAGAAGTATTCTTCCTAAATACTTGAAGTAATGAATAACAAATATATTGAAATGTGTTTCAACATGGCAGTCAATGCGTTAAAATTTGTTTTAATTCACGAACAAGAAATTTAAGTGACTATTAACCTGTAGTTAACCCTGTAGTGGTGACACATGGTTTTATAGGCAGACGAAGGATATGTTTGTCTTATGAAATATTTAGCAAAGATATAATTACTGACGTTCCTCAAGTTATTGGCTTCAATTGTTTATAGTTTTTGTATATTACACAATAAAATAAAGATTAGAATTCACTTGATTTATAGGTCAATGTCACTATTTGATGTGCTATAAATGTATGTCACCACTAGAGAGTTAATAGAAATAATTTAAGAATGGAAGGAATTTTTACAAAGCATTATAACTGAAAAATTGTATAATAACAGTACAAATTGACATATATTAATTATTACTGTTACTAGGTAAGAGATATTGATATTTCATAATTACATTAATTTATGATAAGTAATATGTATAGTAATGTCTGTTATACTAATATATTTGAGGAAGATTTTTTATGTATCAGAGCAAACAGTTTTAAATATGATCAAATAATTCAGATTTTCAACTTACAAATTTGAATTTTAAATATTTGAACACAAACAACACTTACAGTTCCTGGATAAACAAAAAAAATAAAAAATGAAATAGCCTCTGATAATTTATTTAATTCTGTTAGAAGCGATTGATTCAAGCGAAATGTAAAACGTATATTGAAAACAACATTGCACCTATACTTGTCTACCGACTTTTCTCCGATAAGCGATAACACGATCGCATCAATTGAATTCAATGTTATCCGTTATCGGTTGACGTTTTATGATCTGGTTACAGCATAAAAGTAACAGTACAGGATACACTTGTGACATGTGAACACTTTAAAAAATGATAATAATAATAGATTTTTATCTGTATCGTTTGTGGTAGACGTGAATACTGGACACAGGTTACAGTATCATCCTTTATCCATGCTGTGTTGAAAAGGAACCAACAACTATAATCAAAATTATGATGACATTACACATAATGCATGATTTCTGTTAGTACTTACATCATTTATTTATATATGTTATTTGAAACTAATATATCAGGCGCTTTAATTGAATATCAAGTATTTATGAAGAAATTTTATAAGGATGTAATGTATTTGTATAAATATAAATGTAAAGATTAATTTTATATGTATGAAGCTTGCTATGTGAATGTATTAACACTGGAACAGTGAATTGGGTATTCGTGTGAAAATAAGTCAATGTATGCATATGTATACGTTACGGTAAATGTGTTAATCTGTTGATCGTATATGCTTACTGGCCAATGTGTGCACACACTAATTTGATAAGTAAATGTATTCACAAGTGATGACATTTAAACTTCAACTACAAATGTATTCGTTAGCTGATAAATAAATGCGTTAACTAGTAAGCATGTACAATTATCAAAGTTTATGATACACATCACAATTAGGTATATTTAATGATTATGAAAGAATGTTGACCTAATTATTTATTGTAAATCCTGCAACTATATAATTTAAGATTATCCAATATGAAATATTTGAATATTTTTATAATTAACATTGAATGCTGTTTGAAATGTTTCAGTATATCTGTAACCTGTTTTATTGATAACTAAGTTTTGTTTTTACTTTTTACCCTTTTCTATTAATATATGATGCTGCTTTGAATGTTTTCTGAAATATATGTTCCTACTAAAGTAGCAATTATTTTGCAAATAAAGTAGGAATTGCATTAAAAATAGGAAATGCAGTTAAATTAACCATTTCAATGTACATTCATTAAAAAATAATAAATTATTATTTTGCATGATCGAACATTCATAATTCATCATTTAGATTGCACTATATTATATTAGAGATTCAAAGTCTAATTACACTTGATATTGTTATCAATTGTTTCTATTTTTATCAATACCTAGAATATGAATAATGCTTCTAGTTATAAGTCAGTTTATCATCTTCTAAAATACAGGTAATGTCTTAGTTGTACATGTTGCAATTATTGATAAAGAAGTAACACGATAAAATGAAAAATATTCATTTCTGTTTCAGTTTTTCCTAATGTGCCGCCTGCCCCAGGAATGCCCTGTAAAGGAGAAGACAGTGAGTTTCTCCAACAATTTTCAAAGCTATACACTATACTAGCCAGCGAGTTGTTCAATCAACAATACGTTTAAATATGAATAGTCTGGCTATGTTTAATTCATGTTCAGAAGATTACGATTACTTTCTTTGTTTCTTGATGCTTACGTTTTCATGAAACATCAGCGATTTTAATGCGCTTATTTTAATTTTCATCATTTATATTTTATGTATATGCTTATTGCATTTAAAAGTGAAAAAGAGAAGAAGTTGGAGACCAAGATTTCAAGATTAGTCATAAAACTTTGTCAGCATGAAGTCTTATTCTGTACCTTTGTTTATACATTTTCAAATGTTATGTAGAAACGTTATATTTTTTTAAAGAAACGTATAAATTTAAAGTCAAACGTACAAAGTAATAATAATAGATACAATTGTATGAAGATGGAATTTTCTATTTTGAATGTCGCGGGCATTCGAGATGTTTCATCGTGTTTACAAACTTTTTGTTTTGTCCTCGTCAAGATTATTCGGTAATATTACACAGTAGAAAATATGGAAGGACTTAGGCCGATCGCAGTTTTACTGCAAATTTTTCAGTGTGGTATTTCAGCAAAAATATAAAATTATAAAATCAAAATTAAGTGATAGTTTGAAATACAAGAGAGACTTTTATTATATTGAGTTTAATAGAATTATATAATATGTTCAGGAAAGATCATGCAAAATTTTAAGGGCTATAAAATACTCATTAAAATAAATGAAAAGTGTTTAATAAAAGTGAGTCCAGAATTAATTTGTTTTCAAGGTTGTGAAATTTTAACTTTCATTGTTAAACACTATCAAACTATAGTCATTTATTGTTGAGTATCCATACATATATATAAACATAGATGAAAGAGAATAATAGAATAGAATAAAATAAATAAAGTATTGTATTGTGTGTGATATGAAAGAAAAGGAGTGTCATTAAGTTTCAGGAACTTATTATTGCAGCAAAAGAGTTAAACCAAATTTCTTATGATCCAAAAACAAATGATTATTGGAAAAATGTTGAATAACTGCATTCTGTTTATTTTTATGAGTATTCCCTCGTAGTTTGGCATAATAGTTTTTGAACATTCTACATATTAGGGAAGAAGTAAAGACATCAGAACCAACTTCGAAGATCAATCTTCTTTTCACTCGTGATATTTATGTTTTTTCATTTTCCAAAGGAAGCATCTACAGACGCGGCGCACGTAGATGGAGGAAGCTGTACCGAGTGAATGGTCATATATTTCAAGCAAAGCGTTTCAATCGGGTAAGTATCATTTCATTCAATTACTGCTTTACTCGTTTTGCTCATCTTTTTAATATAATTTTACACATTCACGCATGGTACCATTTCCACCACACATCACAATTCCAAAAGTATTTCCAGGTTTGACAGGAACTTGCTGGCTAGTGAACTTGGATAAACATTTTATTCATTTATAAAATGTTACATTTAATACTGAATTTTCTTCCTTTGAATTCTTGCAAATGAAACTAAACTCAAAACAATTTTTCAACTAATCTTAACATTATATTATTTTCATTGGCAAGGATTCATTTGATACATGAAGTGCTCGTTTGTAGAGTTATATGGATACATATTTTCACAAGTTTTCTGTTTAATTTTCACAGCGAGCGTTTTGCGCATTCTGCCAGGATCGAATTTGGGGACTAGGTCGGCAGGGATTCAAGTGCATTCAGTGCAAACTACTGGTTCACAAGAAATGTCACAAACTGGTGCGCAAACCATGCTTGAGTGTACAACAACTGCAACAACAACAAATGCCAAGCACAGAATCACAAACGATCGACAGGAACGGCGATCAACAACAGCTTGATTCTGCACAATGTAGTCCAGTAGCTCATCTCGAGGATGAGATTTCAGAGTCGCCGATCATCGAGGAGCATTCACGCAATCGTAAGAATAGTTGGAAATTTATTTCAAGACGTTTCCTGGACTTAGGAAGATTATAAAAGTGAAAAACAATGTGGAATTCCATACAGTGTTTGATTATCTCAGCTTTGGTGTCAGCGAATAGCATCCAAATTCTTAAATACTAAACTTTCTAATTTGAGAATTTTTAAACTCGTAAACTTGTATATTAAACAATTTTTTAATTAGCAAACTTGAAAATTCTTAAGTTTCATGTAGTCATATAGCGGAACTTCACTGTATAATTAAATCTATTTTACACTAATGAGATTTTCTTTATTTGTAGGAACTGGAAGTGTAGAAAGTGAGGAATTGCCATTGGATACGTTAAACGATGCAGATAATTCTAATGATATGCAAAGGCAATACTCGCTAAACGATTTCGAACTGATTAGGGTAATCGGTCGTGGTTCCTACGCGAAAGTTTTGATGGTAGAATTGAAGCGTACAAAAAGGATTTACGCGATGAAAGTGATCAAGAAAGCTCTGGTGACGGACGACGAGGACATCGATTGGGTTCAAACGGAGAAGCACGTGTTCGAAACCGCTTCGAATCATCCTTTTCTCGTAGGACTTCACTCATGCTTTCAAACACCTTCTCGTCTGTTCTTCGTTATTGAATTTGTACGCGGCGGTGATCTTATGTTCCATATGCAAAGGCAACGCCGTCTTCCAGAGGAACATGCTCGATTTTATGCAGCAGAAATTAGCCTCGCCTTAAATTTTTTACATGAGAAAGGTAAGAAAAAATATTGAATTTAAAAATGCATAAATTGACTTATATATTTTTATGTAGGTATCATATACAGAGATTTAAAATTAGATAACGTGTTACTTGATCATGAAGGACATGTTAAACTGACTGATTATGGAATGTGCAAAGAAGGTGTTCGAGAGGGTGATACAACAGCCACATTTTGTGGCACACCAAATTATATTGCACCTGAAATATTGCGGGGTGAAGATTACAGTTTCTCTGTAGATTGGTGGGCACTTGGAGTACTTTTGTATGAAATGCTTGCAGGTCGCAGTCCGTTTGATATTGCGGGCGCGTTAGAAAATCCAGACCAGAACACTGAAGATTATCTATTTCAAGTTATTTTACAGAAAACAATTCGTATACCAAGATCGTTATCAGTTAAAGCAGCTTGTGTACTTAAAGGCTTCCTTTGTAAAGATCCTGCTGAAAGGTTGGGTTGCGGAAAAAGGCCAACAGCTTTTCTTGATATCGTTTCCCATCCTTTCTTCAAAGCGATAGATTGGGAAATGGTAATTATCATAGTGTTGCGTTTATTAGAGTTAATATAATGAGATCATACAAATTAGAGACAATGAGAAATAATAGTTGAACTTTTGTTACTTTTATATTGAAGTTTATAATTGAATTTTTAGTTGGAGCAAAAACAAGTAACACCACCTTACAAGCCACGCTTAGATTCTGATCGTGACTTGGCCAATTTCCCACCAGAATTTACAGATGAACCAGTACATCTAACACCAGATGATCCGTAAGTTTTATAAGAAATCAGAGTTGGCATGAACTGGATTTAGAATGTTTTGTGAAACCTTTACCAGGTTATACATATGCATACTATCATGGGTATATGGGTACTTTATAAATTTTACAAGTACACATTATTTTATAAGTACAGTTGACTTACCTTGTATAGCCATTTTTACATGAACTTAGTATTGCAAATGTTTATGCCGCTTTAAGAAAAACAATATACAACTTGTAGAAAAATGATAAACAAATTTAATGACGGTGATAATAAATATTTTACAGGAGGGTAATTAATAAAATCGATCAAAGTGAATTCGAGGGTTTTGAATACGTGAACCCGTTACTCATGTCTCTGGAAGACTGCGTGTGACAAGAACCGCTCGTTATTGTGCAACGATACAATCAAAGTGAACAACAACAGTTGCAGCCGTGCTACATGTACGAATTGCAGGACAAGCTTGCGAAGCTTCGAATCGATCCCCTATTGAACATCAGCTCAAGAAATCGAGGTTATCACAACAATGTTTTTTTAATGACATACTCCGAAGAGAATGAGAACGACAATAATTATAACGAGTATCGGTTATCACCACCTTTTCCATTCCGATACGAAAGTCCGATATGCTCCAGTTCTCTAAGTATCACAGATGTTACGTACGGCTCTAGCAATAACAATGAAATCATTAGTAACTATGATGAACAGAATTACGATGATGAGGAAGATGAGAGTCCTAAGAAAGGGCTCTTGAAGCAAATGTTTTGCCTTCCATTAAATTAAGCTAAATAAGGCTTGTTTAATATTACAACATTGCCTCTAATCAATAGCTAATACAAATTTTGTAGATTGCAAGAGATTTGAAATCTATAACGAAGTTAAAGTTTACAGAATCCTTGTATTAAGTATTGGAAAGAAATAAGTATTTAATTTGCGCTATATAATTATATACAATCGTGTTGATTCTTCTTTCACATGGTGCTGCAACTTAAGCGTATTAATGGGTATTATTTTCAGCTATTTTTAGAAAGAAAATGAATTCAAACGGAAAATGTACCTGACTGCTTCGATTAATCACTTAGATAATATGCCATTCCGTTGTGCAGTCGTTCTATTAATATTTATGAGCATTGTACGATCTATATTGCTTGCATGAACGTATTCACTAAAAAAGTAATAGCAACAAAATATTTCTAACAAACTAACACCTATTTAAGAAAACTGCTGTATATTATAGATTAATTACGTTTGAAAAGAAAATATAGCGAACGTAAGTATAATATTTCTAAAGAAACTAATTTTTTTTTCTATATTTTTCTTTTCTTTTTATATATATGTAAACACATATATATATATGAACATACATATTAGTATACACTTTTAAAAGACAAATGTTGATCATGATGTATATTAAAAAAAAATCTTAATCACATCACAATATTGCATTATAGATTTTGTTCATGAGTTATATGCTTGAAGGACGTGAAAGTTAAACAGTAAATGATTTTGGTATATGGCTTCTCTTATAAATAAATTTGCATTTATCTTTAGCGAGAAGTGTTACATTTGGTAGAATATATATATATATATGAAAGAAGAAGATTTAGAGATTATAAAACTTTATAAAGTTAATTTATCGAGAATTTTATATCTTAAAAAGCTAAAATTGCACAAAACGACGAATGTTTTTAATATCATTTCATTAGACGTAAATTAGGTAATATAAATTACTGCTTCCATGTTTTTAATACAAGTTGAACGTATTTAATTATTTTTATAATTCAGACATATTACTATGACGTAAAAGTCTTCCACTGCTATATCTTCTTACATCCATCATCAAATTTTAATCCTTTCAATTATATTAATGTTTTTACTAATGAATTACTTAAAACATTCCAAAGGTAAGAGTTAACAGAAACATCTAATTTTGTGCAATTTTACGACAGTGTATCATGTTTCATGTAAATTGTTTCTTAATCTGTATATTGTACCAAAATTGTTTACTACTAACAGTTGTTTGTTCCTGTGATTATTATCAATATAGAGAGACGTTAAAAATCTTAATAAAGAAACAAATGAATAGAGAATTATGAAGGTTTGACATAAAAATTAGAATAATCTGAAAGGAACGTAGAGTAAGGACACACACGAACATAAAATTGCCAAAACATATTATATAAATGGAAATTTTATACAGAATTAGTGATTTTCGTTCAATTGTTATTTACCAGACATGTATTATATACTACACAGAGTGAGACAAATTGATTTTTGCAAAAATTAAATTATGATTTTTTAATTGAATCAAAGGACTCAGAATAAACGTTTCGCGTCTAACACTGAAATATTGTACTTTCTTTCTAAAATAATATAACCTTATATTCTCTTTCAGTAATTTGTTAGGTAGATACGCAATTACGAGGATTTTTATATCGATCATTTTTATTGTTTATATTTATCATATACAGATATCAGAAATTACATATATATTTATTTATTAATCAGGACTGAATAAAGAAGGAGTAAAGAGAGAGAGAGATATTGATAAAAAGAAGGGGAATGTTTTAATTGAATTATAATGCGGTTTACCAAAATAGTATTAGAAAAACTCTTTGCGAGGTAGCTTGTATAATATTATTTAAAAAAAGCATTGGAAAATTAAGTTCATGAAGAAAATTCTAACAGAAGTTGTTTTTTATTTTTGTTTTTATTTGCCATTTCAATATTATTATCTATATTCATATAAATGTATTTCTGAATATGTACATAAAATCTTTTATGTTATTCTTAATTGATTTTTTCAACCTTGCACCATTGTAATATGTAACATATTTGTTTACGATGTAATATGTTTGTTTATTTATACTGTGCCAATAATCCTAATATAGGTTCAAACACTGTTGTTATGGAAGCCTTACCCCATATAAAGTTATAATGAGTGAAGGAGTCCATAAATATTTCTTTATGGAACACCACATTACCCAGTTTTTCCTTAAGAAGAACAGTATCCTGAAAATAAGAGTATTTTTCAATTATTGTTTGTTTAATAATTGTTACAGCCATTTTGAAACACTTGTATAAAACTGTACCTCTGGTGTCGCAAGCCGGTCACCGTCGCTACTGAAAAGTGCAACTGGCGCAATTACTTTGTTCAATTCGTATTCCGGGGGTATTGAGGAATTGTATATTCGTTTATTTTTCTGCTCATTGTCATAATCAAATTGTCTAAAATGATCTAAAATCATTTAAACGTTATACAATTTTTGTTGATTGACACTGATCTTTACAACATACTTGATACTGACTGGGATGTATGTATCCTTGACCAAAATGAACTACCTGTTTCCAAGAAGCACCCGCCGGAATATGGTTCATGATCATTGTTAAATTTGCCTAAATACGTAACAATTCAACAGTTAAATAAACAATCAATAAATTCAGAAGTTTCATGTTTTTCAAGTTATTAAAATCTTTTCAGCAAATAATATTTTCTAACGAATCGTAAAATTAATCGGACGTTTTACCGTGCTCAAATTTGTTTGACTTAAACCAGTCACTATAAATAAAAAGTTGTTGCAAAAGAATTGCGACGTTGCGTTCTGACATAGTGTATTTGATACGAATTTTTCCCAAACCGAACGTGACCGTACTTCCGGATAGCCGAACGCTTCACCAATCCACTAAAGAATAAATATGATACAATGTGATTGAAAAAGGTTTCAATTCGTTTCATTTAAAAATTTGCACAATTCATTAAAATTCTACTGTTCCTTACCACACCCATATAAGTTAATCTTGCAAGTTTTGTAATCGGCCCGCGTATATTACCGGTAAATGCTGCAGGTGCAAGTCCGACCATTAATTGAATTTTAGCGTTATAGGTAGGCTTTTGCGACATCATCACCCAAAATTGTGTCGTTCCTTGAGAATGACCGATATAGAAGAGTTTCTCCCGCTTTGTGCAATTTAATACATAATCAATCATTGCAGGAAGATCGTAAACACCGAGTTCATGGTAACTGCAAAGAAAAATGAAAAATACTGTAGTGGTTTGAGTAATTTTTTAGACAAACATCATACCTAAAATCCCAAAATCGTCGATTACTCGGCGCCATTGAAATATGATTTTTTGAATAGATATTTCCTCTATTATTTCCAAGCCATACGTCATATCCTGCGTCTGCTAATATGTACCCTAAAAACGAGAAAATAATGAATTTGTCTTTCATGATTTGGAGACAGAAAAATATTGCATTTATAGTAAATATGGCACTTTCTTTAGGCCCTACATTATAAGGGGACTAGCGTTCAGAACGTTTTGTATTTTATAAAAATTCAATAAATAGTATTTATATTATTTTTGTTCGCTTCATTCAGCGACAAATACAATAAAGGGCTGTATTAATAGAGTTTGTATAATATAACGCATCGCGGTACACAACGATTTCAAAATAAAGAAAGAACGCTACTGTATTTTACAAAACTTATAAATTCAGATTCTCAAATACCTAACGCCTCGTTCGGCCCCATAAGAATCCAATCGGCAGAGCTACTCGCTAATCCATGTTGAATTAAAATCGGAGATTTTGAAGTTGTCAAGTTCGATTTATAATTATTTTTTCCATGTGGAATTCTATGAATTTCCAAAATATATCCATCTTCAGTAATCACTTTATGAACCTCGATCGGGTAACCGTCTCTTTTTATCAATTCTGGCTGTTTAGTATAAATAAGACTTTTTTAATTTAAATTCCGATTAACCCTTAAAAGCTATCGGAGAAAACGGAAATATATGAAATTTATATAAAGCATATAAATTTTGTACTATCATTGAATATTAGATGAAATTATAAAAATTGTTTACAGTGGTTGCAAATATTTCGCGTGCGATTGAATTTCATCGTGATAGTATTTAAGGGTTCAAACAAGTTAGAAATAATAACTTACTGTTCCAAGTTTAATCTCTGGTTTACTGTCAAATTTTTTTTTTGCCAGAACAAACACATGGCACAAAATCAGTAACTGTAGTAGCAAAAAATTGTATAACAACGACATGACGTTACGTACGAAACAGATCGCTGAAATTAAAAACCGTCCATGTTTTATAGAAGGCGGCTGTATTAGAATGAGTGATAAAATGCTCATAATGCATGTCTCGTTTATTCTGCGTGTACTCGACCTTTAACGAACATTGCTTTAACATTGTACTGCTTAGGAAATGGAAAGTGATCTATTCGAGGATAATGTTCACAGGCAGATGTATCCTCTTGTTGGATGTACACCTGCGATTAAAAACCATATTCTGCTTACACAATTCTAAAATTTAAATTGCAACCTTCGGCAACCATTAAGCAATTGCAATTTGTATGTCCCTTAAGACCTCTGCGACATATGTCATATAAATAAACGTTGAATATTCGTATCTTCCTCGCGAGCATGCAAACAGAAAAGAGAACAGAATAAGCTTTACTTGATATTGTTTGATCATTTGTTTGGCATTGTTGATTTTGTTACGATTTACAAGTTATCTTGTACATAAATATAAAGCTTTACTGTGTCAAAGATTACGTTTTAACCTTCTGCAAATGTTGCGTAAAAGCAAGGTGCGAAACCAGGTTATTGTACATAAACCATCAGTTACAACATCCTTTTATTTATGTCTGTTTATCTACCGTGAACAATTATGCAATAATAAAAGAACGTAAAATTTAAGCAATTTAGTTTACGTTTAAATTAAAACTCTTTATCAAAATATTCTACTTGTCTTTTTTTGTTATAGTTTTACAATCACGTACAAAATATTCTCTCGAAATTTGAAATAAATCGATTCAGCAACTTTCGAGAAATCGCAACGACTAAATTTGAAAAAAATAATAATCCCTCATATTTTATTTCATGAGAGAATACAGCAATTAAATAAAAATAAATAGGTAAAAGGTTATCAGAGTTATGATTATAATGTATTAAAAAATGTGGTTTTATCATTTAATATAAGTTGTTTATTTATATAAACAATTTTTTTTTTAAACGCAAAAATAAACATTTTACTTATTTATCAATGGCTGAATATTAATGAGTTTTAGAACACCTGCAATAAAACGAACACCTTTTTTGTTAGTTTTTGGATTATAGTTTGTAATTTCTGATGGCGGTGTTGACGTCTTGTGTTTTTCAAACTGTAGTTGAGGACCAGTTTTACAAACCCGAAATTTAAAACTTAATATTTATTGTCAAACAGCTAGAATCAAGATAAAGAATGATTTCAACCCGTGTTCTATACGTTCCAATTATAACTGCATTTTTCTATTGGAATAATCTTTTATGGTGCTATGTTTTCTGTGTTCTAACTGTATCCTGTTTCTTTATGGGATGTTTAATTGTTATGTTTATAAACATTGCACTTTCTCCAAAGCACCAAACTGGTACAGGCACTATAAAAACAGTTGCAGAAATGGATGCCTTTCATAATTTATTAATGGTTAGTTTCATTGTTCCTCTTGGATAGATAAGATAAAAGAAGTTGAAAAAAACAATGCTTTGTGTCATCAATGTATGTTTTATAAAACTTATTATTTGACTAATTAACGATTATGCCATTTATTCAATTTGTTATTTCAGAAAGGATACATGGTTAAAACTTCAAACAATAAAAAACATATGCGTTATCCATTGGTGTTTACTCGCATGGTAGATGGAGCATTGCAAAACTTGTTGGATTTAGTTTTTCAGGATTTTGTCGGTTTATGGCTAAGTGAATTGGCTTTCAACTCGGAACAAATAATAGATAATATGAAACAAGATGTATGGGGAGCAATTCAAAGTCTTCATGATCGTTTATCAAAAGTAGATCACACAAAACTAGTCGCTTGTAATATAGTGAATAAAATTACTTTTCATTTTGAAAAAATTAGAATTGCTCAAACTGCTTCGTAAGTTTGATTAATAATTTTTGTGTTTAAATTCCTTATGAATGATCTGAAAAATATTGGGTTATTTAATAAGTATATGTGGTTTCTTTAAAGAATGACTTTAAGATAATGAAATTGATTATAGCTACCACTTGTTTGTTTGGCACATATGTTATTATAAACAGAAACAATCAAACTACATTGCTTATGGGATTGTTATGAAATTATGAAAAATTATAATTTTTATATGTACACAGGTCAGAAGGCGAAGATCCAGTATTTATATTATCAGCGCATTTAATGTCACCTACGTCTGAATTAGATTATTTAAGAAAAGTTAGCGAGTCATATATTTTATTTTTATTACCACACTGTTATTCACTCGCACCGATTAAGTATTTATTAAGAGAAATTCTTGCATGTAAAAGTAAGTTTAATCACATTATGGATCTGTGTGTACATTATATACATCAATTCATGTTTTGTATACTTTTAGTATTGAAACCAGCAATAGACTTAATAACAGATCCTGATTATATTAATCAAAAGATTTTAATGTATATTGATCAACAACAGCTAGCAGAAGCAATGCATAGAAAGACATATGAATATGCGGAATCATTTGAAGATTTCATTCGCATGATTAAAAGTTCCAAAGATTTAGAAGTACTTAAACATATCAGATACAATATTGTTACGGAGATTATGCAAGCTACAACAATACAAAATATTAAAAGAGCACAAGGTTTAGATCCAGACAATAATGCATTTGGAAAATCTGATGTTATCCAAGCTAGAAAATTGAAGAGGTATATCAGCCAACTAACATATGCTAAAAATATGTGTGAATGTCATATGCAATCATTAGGATGGAATGGATATCCAGTTCAGGTTATAGAAATATTTTAATTCAACCAATAATGATGATAACTATATCTGACAACAGTTTTTTATAGGCTAGTGATGTTACTGATTCAGCAATGATTACGGAAGAAAGAATTTTACCACTTCAGTATATTTTAGATAATGTAATAGGTCGACGATATCTTTCACAATTTCTTGAACAAGTTGCTAGTCAAGATTTAATTGGATATTGGGCAGCTGTGCAAGAGCTGCGCAACGCAGATAAATCTAATTGGCATCAATTAGGAACAGAAATCTTTTATACATACATTACATCACCTACTGCTGAAATAAAAGTTGACAGAGTTATTCGCAAAAAAATGGAAAGTTTTTTGTTGGGTGACATAGGACCTCAAGTGTTCTATGAAGTTCAGGATGACGTTGTTAAAACTTTGGAAGAAAAATATTATCCATCATTTGTTGTTAGCGAACAGTACAAAAATATGCAGGAAGCATTACTCAATGAAAGAACAGACGGTAAGAAGAATCTTAATTTTAATAATTAAGTGGTAAATATGTATCAATAAATACTGATGTAAATATATTTAGATCTAACAGAAGATCATCGTATAATAAATGGAAATTTATCTGAAAATATATCTTTGCTGGTTGGAGAACATTCAAATTATGCTCGCAGTAAATTGGATCAACTACAAGAAAAATTAAACAACAAGATGCAAGCCTTGCAAGCACTTAAATCTTCGTTAAAACCAGCAAGTAAGGTTTTAAATTTTTTGGCCAAAGAAGTTGAATGGTTACAAAGTGAGAAAAGACAGCTTGAAGCGCATTTAACACATACAGAAATGTGGGCAGAGCATTTGGGTCATTGGAGAGCAGAAGTACAAAGCGCAGAAGTAAATGACTTTTACATTATCATGTTTTTGTTTATCTTGTATTTTTTTTATTAAAACAAATGAATCTAATTTAGAAAAAATTGTTAAAAGATGCCAGATAATGGAGATTGCCCACATTTTGTTTTGGTTGTTCATATGGCAGAAGATGAAGATAATACCGAAAGTATATGTAGTGGTTGGGTAGTGTTACGAAAATTACAAGACTTTCAGGATCTTCACAGAAAACTTCGTCAACTTTGTCCTACCGTAAAAGCTTTAGAATTACCATCACAACCTTTAAAATTTTTTGGAAAGTCTGACAAAAATACTTTGGACAAAGCCAAAATACAAATACAGAAATATTTAAATGTAAATTTGTTTTAATATCATATCAATGTAATATCAATGTTATTAGCTTAAATTTTTCAACTATTATATTCAATATTTTTAGTTTATTTTAGAGGATGAGAAACTTAATCAAAGTGAGGCTTTATATACGTTTCTTAGTCCAAGTTCTGAACATCTGAAGTATGCTCCACCTTCTCCAAAAAAATCTCGGTTTTCGTTATCTACATTATTTAAAACGTATGTATACGATACTTCGTTGTATTTAATCATACATTTATAAAAATGTAATACAAAATATTTGTTTTAGATCTAGCAATGAACTTCGTGATAAAGAAGAAGAAGAAGATTACTCGTTATTACTAGACGATACTGATAGTGGTCGATCAGCTACAGATGGATTGATGAATATTAATAAGGATGCAATAGCAGAACCGCTTTATACGCTGCTGGGTGAAATTTTCGATTTACGAGGAGTGTTCCGATGGCTTCGACGATCATTGATTACATTTGTTCAAATTACTTATGGCCGGACCATAAATAGGTATAATATTCGACAATTTTTATATTTCATTAAAATACAGCAAGAAACGTAATTTTTTAGACAAATCAGAGATACGATTGCATGGGTATTCTCAGAACCAATGTTACATTATTATATACAATTATTCACAAAATCTTGGTGGCCAAATGGTCGCTTAATGTCTGAAACAGTTACTCGATCAGATGAAGAGAAATTAAAAACTCGAGGTGAAGCTCGAAGACAGTTTCTCAATAACATACCTGAAGTTTTAACAAATTTGGTTGGAGCTCAAAGTGCTCAGCGTGGTGCCATTAAAATCTTTGATTCTCTACAAAACACGAATTTAAATAAACAATTATTTTATGTAAGTTGCTTTTAAAGAATTTTTAAATCAAATTTTGCTTATCAAATAACTAATTCTTTTATTTCAGGATATTTTTGAAGTTGTGATGTATGAAGTATTTCCAGAAATACAACGTAAACAATAAAACTTCATTTCCAATACATAACTGTCTTAAATGATTATTCCATGCATTTGATATAAATGTACAAAAATTGATTTATATTGAGTAAGTTTTATGTTTATTTTTCGTATAGGAATTATAATAAACTCATGTTTATAGATAACAATATATTAATTATTTTATACATCTTTATTTCAGTATGTCTTAAATATTTTCATAGAATGTATACATAATATAAACAACTTTTTATATATGTTATTCTTTTTCATGCATTTAAAAAATCAGAAAATAGATTTATGAAACGTGACTGATCTTTTGAAACAAGGAAAAAAAATAATTTATATAATTAACAAACGTGTAAGATATCAACAATTAACAAATACCTTAATTTACATACTTTTTTAATTTGAGTGTAATAATGACATGACTTAACATTTAATTAGGTAACGAGATAATTTTATAATTATTCAAAACACAATTCAAAGATTATAGATTCCTTAAATGTAATTGAAGAGACTAGTTTTTATCTTACTTAATATTGTTTGTGTTATACGAGAATATTAGTCATCCTCTTTCCATTAATTATAAATTTGCATATTTTTTGTATAAAGCACGTAATAATTATTGTTATTTATTATTATTTTCATTTAGAACTTACGTTAATAAAGAGATAAAGATACGAGAAATACGTTTTTTGTGAATTTTCATACATAAATAAAAACATAAAGATAAAAGAAACTATGTAAAAAAAAATTAACATTTAACTTAAATAGTTTAGAAGCACATTTCTTTTTATCAAACCTTATACGTAGTATGGAAGATAAAAATAATTGTAACATAATGGTATAAAAATAATAGTATATCATAGCGTAAATTATTTTGCAAGAACGGAAATTGTTGACATATTACAAATATATAAATATGCGATGTCTAGCATTTAGACATGTAATATAAATACTGTTATATCTCTTTAATGGTATCGACTAGAATTGTTTACGAGATATTAAAAGTTACAAGGATGATCATTACTCGCAGAAAACCAATGGAAAGAAAGTAACTTTAGATCTAGAATTATTCAGATCTAGATTATGATGATATTTTATAAAATCTCTGTTAAGTGTCGTTAACGGAATACCTAAATTTGATGCGTACAGAAAATCGCGAGTAGATTCATGAATACTTCATGTACAATGAACATGTCTTAATTTTACATGAAATTAAAGATATAGAAGTTTAAAATGATGTGTGATATTGTTGACTAGTTGGATCCCTTTTTCTATTGCAAAAGTATACATATTACAAGAATGTATATCTGTTTGTATTTACTTGGCAGTGAACTCGGGCCAATAGTTTACATAATAACGATGTGTTAAACCTTCAAATAATCTATCCAACCACATAGGTAAACCATCCAGAAGATTGTCCTGATATAAAACATTATTTCCACTCTAAAAAGGAAATAATTTAAATAATTCTAACAGTTCTAATTTTTATAAAATATCTAAATTTATAGTACCTCATCTTCAGAAAGATCAGATTCATTAGAACTGTCAAATCCAATAAATGCACCAGCTTCTGCATCATCTGTCCTTCGAGTTAATTGTTTTGTCATTCGTTCTATCCTCTAGTTGCAGATTTAATCATTAAAAAGTGTTATTTGTAACATGATAATTATATATAATTAGTAAACTAATTTATTAATGCATACCTTTGAACCCTTGCCTTTAGTACATTCTGGATGTTTAGCGTGGTACATACAAAAATATTTACGATGCCCGTTCAAAGATAATACAGTTCCCACACAATTCTTTGCATTAATATTTAGTTCTTTTTGTTCTGGTAATGTGAGGGATAAGAGCTTTTTATACCAATCTAACCCTCTTTCAAGAGACATGTGCCCAAACATAAGGGTTTTATTTTTCCTACAATCAAATGAAATGTTAAATTATAAATTAACAAATAAGTAATAAAAAAACTTACCTATAAGGCCACACAGCTTTATGAAAAGCTGGCAATAGTTTTAGCCTACTTTGAACATCAACTAATAGTATAATAGTTCTACAGCCTGGTTTTAATAATCGAACCAAACCATTGTATTTCTCTGCTCGCAATTCGTGTAATCGTAATTGTGGTTGAGACGGTGTCGATTTACTGTTATCTTTACATTGAGCACGTTCAGCTTGAACACTCGCTTCTTCTAATTTACTGAAAATGTAAATAAAAAAAAAATTAATTCCATACCTTAATACATCTTTTTTGTACCAAATTACTTACACTAAATATGACATTCCATATCCTGCAGCACCAATTAACATTAAAGTAGCTATTACCGATACCAAAGGTAATATCTGCTCTTTAGTAAGACTATCCGAAATATAATCTACAGCTAACAATGCCTTGCCTATAAGTTTATCTACGGTACCCTTTATGAAAATATAAATTAATGTTAGTAACAGCATGACGACAAAATGGAAACCTAATTTTTAGAAATTAAAATACATTTATACCTGTGCATGTTCATCTGCCAATTCTCCTACAACTGCAGCATAGGGCAAAGCTTCAGATACACGCAATAATCTTTGTATAGTTTGTTCTAAATTTTGACGTGTTTCATTCCATTGAGTTTCATCTTGAGCAGCTTCAATCCAATCAGTAGGTAACCATTCATATTTTAAATGATTCGCGTCTCTTCTCCAAATAATAACAATATGTAATAAAGGTTCTAAAGGACTGCCTTCGCCCGTTGACAATGCTGATACAAATTCAGGTTGTGTGTCTTTAAATACGTACGTGTATCTAACACGTTCCGTGCTATAAATTGAATTTTATATGAATTGCTGAAATAAAAATGAATATAAACTCGAAATAATATTACCTGTAAGACGATTCTAAAGCTGCTTGTCTAAATTTATGTCTAGCTAAATCATGAAGAGGACTGTTCTGTTGTGATATTAAAACAGCACATAATCGTTTTTGAGGTCTCAGCCATTCAGGAGGGCAAACAGAATCTAACATTGCTTGATTTGAAAGTCTTGGTAAAGCAAGGAATTTGTTATTTGAAATTACATTATGCATTGTATCGCTAGATATATCCTTCATACTAACAGATGCCATAGGTTTTTCAGAATTTTCATTAAATAATAATAGAGTATCTAAATCCATTGAAATTTTATATTTAGCTGCAATAGCTTCTGTTTCTGGTTTGTCCATCTATAAAAGTTAAATTATAGTGTAAATAGTTGCAGAAATTTCATATTAAAAATAAGGGAAGTATTTACCTGAACGAAACCAAATGCAACACGATCTCTATAATAAAATGCAATAAATAAATATCGTAACCGTACAGATTCTTTCTTATCAAATATTAAAGCTCGAATTCGATTATCTATCCATCCTGAGAGGAAGTTGTCTACGTTATTTGTATTTATACTAGGTATTAATTTATATGGAAATTTGTTTCGTAAAAAGTCTGAAAGAAAAGAATTATTTCATTCTTACTATTCTACATAATAAAAATATATAGTTATTGATACATACCAACAATCTTTTGAATACTAAAGAGTGATTCCTTATAGACGCTACTACGGCCATCTATTATAACAACAAGACATGGTAAAGAATGAATACCAAGTCTCCTTGCTAAAGCAGATTCTTTCTCTGCATGAGCAGTTGCTAAACCAAGACCCAATGGCTCTAATTCATCAATTAGTCGACGCCATGTTGGTTCTACTTGCAAACAAGCAAAACACCAATCCGAATAAAATAATATCATATAAGGTGTGCGATAAGTTTTTGGTACGATTACATTTTCAAATGACCTGCAAAAACCATATCTGTATAAGTTAAAATAATATATACAAATATATATACACAGAGCTACATTTATACTTTTGAAAATCTTAGGCACAACACCATTATAGGCCTCAAAAAAACAAATTCATTTTGATTAAATTGATTCATGTACATTCTTGTGTCTATGTTTATTGGAAATAAAAGTCTACATTTCCACAGTTATAGTAAACGCATATATTCAAGATAACACATACCGATATGTAATACTCATCTTATAGAAAAGTGAAATATCTCGATTTTGGTAATGAAACTTGAAGTTTCCAGCAAACAATTCTTCCAAAGGATCAAGAACATTATTAAAGTGACTATTATCTCTACGTTGTCTAGAGATACTTTCTTCTGTAATGCCATGATTATCAAATTTCTTTCTTCTTTCTGGATCAGTTAAGATCTAAAAATATTAATTTTAAATTAAAAAGTAACAATTTACAGTTTGTAGATTTTATTACAATATTAGTTTTACCTCATACGCTTTAGTAATTTCTACAAACTTATTTTCTGCGCCAGGGTGATCAGTTTTATCTGGATGCCTGAAAAAGTGATACATGGTTTTAATATACTAACAAAATAAGTATCAAAATAAAAGAATAATAGTAATAATATTTGTTGGAATTCTCACCATTCTTTGACAAGATTTTTATATGCCTTTCGAATTTCTTGTAAGGTGGCACGTTTGTGAACACCTAATATTTTATACGGGTTTCCCAATGATTCACTCCCGCTAGCCGGCGATAATAATTTGGTTGTTATTATGAAAACCACAATAAGAAATGAGAACCTCATTAATAATTTTATATTGTTCACTCTCCTATTAATGTTATTTGATCGTTTGCTTACTGACTCAGAGGTACTTAAAAAATTAATCGATAACATTGTGGTAGCACTTCTTACATTCGTCGCCAGAGGGATCGGCCGGAATATCAATTCTCAAAAGTCTTCGTCAAACTACCTATATAATTTGAACATATATTTTCTCTGAGAAAAAACTACCTCTTTTTTTCTGTATAATATACATCTGCCAGGTAACATTACTGACGAGTCCACGAATAAGCCCAAGATGAAACGTGTACTTGCATTCCTTCCTTCTTTCTCTATCCTACCACTCCAACAGCTCAACTACCCTACCAAATTTATACACTTTAATATGAAGTCAACATCAACTAAAATTATCTGTTTTTTACTTTACAGTATTTAATTGACATATTCCCCCAAAATTTTTATTTATTTTTACTCCAACAACTCTATCATTACAATTTTATCTTGTTTCTGGATAGTCGTATTGTCAAATAGAACATATACACTGACTCTTGGAATATTCAAATACAATAAAATCGATTATGAAAGTATATTAAAATAGAATTGCATTTTTTCTATATATTTTAAATAATATTTCTTAAAATTAAAAAAATTTCTGCATAAAAAGTCATTTTTAGAATATATTTATGTGTAATTATACATGAAAAATATTTGCATATAATTCATTTAACGAGTAATATGTGAAAATAACTGTTTATATTATATTTTCGAGGTAAAATTTCTAAGAGTGTAATGAAACGCGGAAGTGTTATGAAAACCACAAGTAAATTTGCAAATGCCAAAATTCTGAAATCTTCAAATTTCTAAATTCCAGAATTCCCAAATTCCTAAATTTTCATCCATAATAATACAAAATTTTATTTTTAGTGTGTGTGGCGACAATGCATATAATTTTTTTGATTGATGTCCTAAATATTATTTATTTGTCCGTCTTAACAATAAAATAAACAAAAATTATATTACTCTTTCGCAGGCTAAAATCAATACATTACATTTCAAATTGAAGACACATGTTTATTCAAATTTTTATTTTTTTTAAATATTTACTCTAAATATTCAAATTTCCCGTGAAAGTAGTGTCCCAGTGATTTAATTTTTTAACCACACCTAATACTGCGGACACTCGTGGCGCCACGGAAGAGATAGGAAACCTGTAAAAATAAACCAAACGACAAAACAGATTGAAATTAACAAATTTATAAGACAAATTAATACATGTATATACTATCCTAAATAAATACAGTATATTACGACAAAATATTCCATGGATATTTTGTTGTAATATCAATATGTAAAAGCATTTTATAATTTTACATATTTTCTTGTCCAAATAAAATGGGAACTCCGTACTTAATTATATTGCATTGCACGTATATTATTGAAAGAAATATTATTAATTAAAAAAATATCGAAGTTCTATCAATATCACATTTAGAAATAATCGTCTTTTTAAAAACGTTTTGTAAGGCGGTCATGGACTGACGTATGACATAACAGCGAATATTATAGATCCACTTTAACATAGAAAAATGGCTACTTGGACTGAAGATGAAATTGGAAGAAAGTGGGATCGATGTTTTACGGATGCTCTTTTGAAATTTGGTAAATATTACGCAAATATTTGTAATTGTTAACGGACTTTTGAAACTATTCATTTTCTTATTGAAATAATAATGTCATTTCTGCAGGAGGAGGAATTCTTCTTGGAGGAGTATTTTCGCTATTCTTTTTCAAACGTAAGCATTAATTTATTTAATACATATTTAAAATAATAAAATTTTATACGGATTTGTAGCATTACAAATTTTTATTTAATATAGTCATAACCTTATTTGTATGTTATTACATTAATGTATGAAGTATGTAACTTTGATAAGTTAAAAAAACGAATTTTTAACTGAAAACTGTGAATATAATTATATTTTTCATATTGTTGTACTTAATTTTACAGTTTTGTATTCATAGTTTTCTTATCTTCAGACTTTATTGTTAAAAATTATCTTAACATGTATGTGGGATGATAGGTTAAGTATAATTTCTTATTTCTATTATGAATGTAAAATAATTTATAATAATTTTAATTATTCTATATTGTTCATATAATAAATCAGTAAAAGATATCAGTTGTATAATCATTGATCACTATGTTAGTTACAAACATAATAGTGGTGTCTTAATAACATCTTTATTATTGTGTATAGACTTATATTAATATAAATATAATTTTTTCTAGGAAGAAAATGGCCGATTTTAACTGGAGCAGGTTTTGGGTTAGGTATGGCATATTCTAATTGTCAAGAAGATTTGAATTCCTCGGTAAGAGTTACCCAGAAGAAAAAAGAATGTAAGATACCAGGCGCACCAGAGAAAAAAAATTCTTAGCAAAGTTTCTACTGAATAAAATTATGATGTTATAAAATAACATGCAATATACCAATAAACTAGTTGAACTTGTATTATAGTGTCATATGAAATAAACTGTTTCTTAATAAAATTGTTATAATTAATATAAAAGTATAAATGTGAAATATATATATTTATTACTTGTGTTATTATTCATATAATTTGAAAATAAATAAATGTAAATTACATTTATTTTACATATTTTATTTGCCTAAATATTTAAAATATTAAAATAATGAAATTGTTCTACTTGTTACCTAATTTTTTAAAGGGTAAATATATAATTATAAAATGATCCATTTTATATACATAAAATATTTTGCTTCAAATTTTCAAATTTGGAGTCAGTGATTACTATAAATTTAACCTTAAAATATGTTTGATACATTTTATCAATTTATAATTTTTTTTCTGTTAATAGTTCGATTATTATCTTTGGAAATATTAAAATTTTAATAATATATTTATACATACTAAAGATAAAAATATGATACTACAAATCGAACTATGTCATTTCAAATTATGATTCGATACATCTCGATATATGAAACGAGAATTTCTCTCGAGTGTTACACAGCTGTCTCAGATCTAAACGGATCTAAGTAACATGGAAATGTGTTGATGCTTAGTAGAAATATTTGATCCTAAAAAATTTAAAAAAAGTTGCGCACTATAGTGAAATCTGCATAACTAAAGCAGAAACGAAAGTTAATTTGTTTTAACGAAAAACAAGAAAAATGTTAACTGCTGCTGCAAATTCATTATCGAATAACGGAGGATCGTACAGCAATGACAGACCGTCAAATACAGCAGATTCAGAACTCGCAACTGATCCTGCTTCGGGTGGATTTTTTCATTCTGATTACAAAAAGTAAATATACTGATTGTTCAGTTTTTTGTTAAAAATGTCTTAACATAATTTAAAATATTTTCTTGAATATAATCCAATCATTGGGTCTTTTCAAATAAGAAAGTCACCATGTCTTTTTTATTATAGAGCTTTCTATATTAATCGAATTCCAAATACTTTCTTATATTTTAATTGTATGTTACAAATTTGATGTTTTATAAGTTATGTTCTGAAGTATAAATAAAAAATTTAATTTTACACAAAATAATACTTAGTACATAATTATTTATTATAAGGATATATTTATTATTATTGTTTTAGGCATGAAGATTTAAAACAGATGCTAGATAGTAATAAAGATGGGCTTAAATTGGAAGCTATGAAACGTATAATTGGAGTAATAAACCTTACATTTACAACATAATTTTATAGTTTAGCTTCTTATTGAAATTATTATAAATTATTTTTTCAGATGATAGCAAAAGGAAGAGATGCATCAGAATTATTTCCAGCTGTGGTGAAAAATGTTGTATCGAAAAATATTGAAGTAAAGAAGTTAGTTTATGTTTATTTGGTTCGTTATGCGGAAGATCAACAAGATCTTGCACTATTATCTATTTCCACATTCCAACGAGCATTGAAAGATCCTAATCAATTAATAAGAGCTAGTGCTTTGAGAGTACTTTCAAGTATACGAGTTTCTATGATAGTGCCTATAGTAATGCTTGCTATTAAAGATTCAGCCAGTGACATGTCACCATATGTTAGGAAAACTGCTGCGCACGCTATTCCTAAACTTTACTCGTTAGACTCTGAACAAAAAGAAGAGCTAATAAGTGTTTTGGAAAAATTATTATCAGATAAAACAACTCTTGTTGTGGGTTCAGCAGTAATGGCCTTCGAAGAAGTTTGCCCTGAAAGAATAGATTTGATACATAAAAATTACAGAAAACTTTGTAACTTGTTAGTAGATGTTGATGAATGGGGCCAAGTTGTTATAGTCAACATGCTTACAAGATATGCAAGAACACAGTTTATTAATCCTAATGTAGATGTATGTATAATTTTTCAGCATAACTGATATTTTGATATATTTTAAATTAAAATTTTTTTTAATAATATAATTTTTATAGAACATAAATGATGACGAGAATTGCCTATTTTACGATTCCGATTCTGATTCATCTAATACAAAGAAACCAAAATTAACATTGGATCCAGATCATCGATTGTTATTGCGAAACACAAAACCCCTTTTACAAAGCAGAAATGCTTCCGTGGTAATGGCCGTGGCTCAATTATATCACCATACTGCACCGCAAAGCGAAGTAATTATTGCTGCTAAAGCATTAATAAGATTATTAAGAGGGCATAGAGAAGTTCAAAGCATAGTTCTTCATTGCATTGCTAGTATATCAATTACCAGAAAGGTAATGTAAGTACTAATATACTAATAACATAAGTTATTGTGAATTTACAGGAAACTAGTAAAGTAAGATATCTAAAAACCAGGAACTTTATATGCTATATAATCTTTATTATTTTCATGTAGGGAATGTTCGAACCTTTTCTTAAATCATTCTTTGTGAGAACTTCAGATCCGACACATATAAAGCTATTAAAGTTAGATATCTTAACCAATTTAGCTACTGAAACTAGTATCGGAGTTATATTAAGAGAATTCCAAACATACATTTCTAGTAGTGACAAAGAATTTGTTGGAGCAAGTATTCAAGCGATTGGGCGATGTGCAAGTAATATAAAAGAAGTGACTGATACATGCTTAAATGGACTAGTTTCGTTATTGAGTAACAGGGATGGTAAGTCTTTATTACATATACTTTATTACATATACATATGCTTTTCATATAAAATATTATGTAACTATTATTTTATGGAATGTTCCATTCAGAGGCTGTGGTAGCAGAAAGTGTGGTTGTTATAAAGAAGCTTTTACAAACTCAGCCAAATGAACATAAAAATATTATAGCTCACATGGCAAAATTAATGGATTTCATAACAATACCACAAGCAAGAGCATCAATTTTATGGCTGTTAGGAGAATATTCAGATAGAGTACCTAAAATAGCCCCAGATGTACTCAGGAAAATGGCCAAAAATTTTGTAAATGAACAAGATATAGTGAAATTGCAAATTTTAAATTTAGCGGTGAAGCTATGTCTGAATAATCCAATTCAATCCAAACCATTTTGTCAATACGTCTTCCAGCTTGCAAAATATGATCAGAATTATGACATCAGAGATCGTGCACGATTTTTAAGATGTTTTATTTTTGAAGAGGATGAAAATAAAATGAAACTCCCGCAACTTGCGAAAAGAATATTTCTAGCTCCAAAACCTGCGCCTACATTAACATCCAGATTTAAAAACTCTGAGTATCAATTAGGTACATTATCACACTATTTAGATATGCCATGTGCTGGTTACCGTCCTTTGCCACCCTTCCCTGACACTGCTCCTGATACATCTGTAAGGGATGTTCCAGTACAATCACTAAAAGATATGCGGGAGACTGAATATTATAAAAGAAATAGAAAAGATAGAAAAGGAAGGGGAAAAGATAAACCATTTTATAGCGACGATAAAAATGTTCAAGCAGAGGGTAAGTTTTAAAATTATAGAAATTATAATCTAACGTTTTTTTAAATGGAAATATTGTTAACTTTCAGAACTGGATAAGGAGAATGAACCTTCGGATACTTCAACGAGTGATTCTTCAGATGAAGACAGTGATTCATCTGAGTATACATCAGAGTCTGGCAAATCAGAAAATAATAGTGAGAAAAAGAAATCTGTGAAAACTTCAGACAATTCTGAAAGCGAATCAGAAAGCGAAGAAACAGATTCTGAAGAAACTTCTGAAGACTCACAAGAAAGCGAAGAGCAGAATCATACAGTTCCAAATCAGGAAACAAAAGAAAAACCAAAAAGTAACATTGATCTCTTGCTAGGTTTAGATGACGGTAAGTTATATTAGACAAAAAATAGAATATAAATGAAAACGATATCTAAATTTTATTTTAATTACAGTGATTCCAATGACACCCATTATGCCATTGAGTACAGGAGGTCTTCTTACACCTGTAAATTCAAATATTATAAACGATGTAAGAGAAGTATCAGCGTCGTTTGTTCCAATAGAAAAGTCTGAATTGTTAAATAGTATTATGGGTCATGGTTTAAAAATTGAATACAGGTTTACCAGATCACAGCATTTAGTAAGCGCTTATTTAGTTACTATTGAATTAACATTTTCAAATGAAGGCACTGAATCTATTAAAGACATACAAACAGGAACAAAGGTATATATTCTCGTTTTGAAAAATTTCGTAATTAAAAAATACTTCCATAGTTTATTTCTTATTTCAGAATTTACCGAAAGGTATGGTTATTCAAGATTTCACACCAATACCACTTTTGGAAGTAAATTCCAATTTATCTTCTACACTGGGTATCAATTTTAATGACTCTACGCAACCTGCAACTTTTAACGTTGATTTTGTGATTGGTGAAGAATCATATTCTTGTGGAGTAACTATTACAACTCCTATTGGAGAAATAATTAGAGCTGTGCTATTGCCAGAGAGTATGTTTACCACTGAAAGAAATAAGTTGAAGGGTATGAATGAACATGTTGCAAAAGTGGAATATTCAGGCAATACGAAAACTCTTCCAAAAAAAGTTTTTGAGATTGCAAACGTTGCAATGGTATCTAACAGTGATGAAGAAATCCGGTTAGTAATGAAGTATAAAAATAGAAGAATGTTGAAATTATTTATATTCTTATTTCATAATTTGAAATCTTGCTTGTAGGTTTGCTGCTCATACTTTAGCATCAAAATCTTTGGTACTAGTGACAATAAAAATAATGGGTAATAACATGTTGGAAGTTTGTGTAAATTGTGAAAAGATGGTAATAGGTGCTATCTTGCTGAATGAGCTAAAAAGTCATTTGAAGATGAATTAAATATTTTACATTTATAAATACGAATTAAATATAAGCTAAATATATTTACAAAACTTGTATAAAGTAAATATATAGTTTTTAATGTTAATAAATGTATACACTAACAAATCTAAAGAACATAACAAATATATATATCTAAAAAGAAAAATTGAAATACAATGTTTTTTATATAATAGAATTACTGTTTGTAATAATTTGAAATTATTACTCATTAAACCAATAAACATATTTTATTATACTATTTAAGTAAATATCTATCATCATATATATTTTTAAGACGATAGACATTACTCTTATAAGAATATTTTTTATTATTTAATTATTTTAATATTCTATTCAAAACAAAAGTATTGCAGTCGCCCACTACGTCGTGAGTCAAATATTCGAATAGTAAATATTAATATCAAATATTAATCTTGTATTTTTAAATTCAATACTTTCATATTCATTCAACATTTTCAGTTAAAATCCTATTGTATTTAATAAATTTTATCGTTTATTCGAAACAAACAATTTAATAATTTGTAATAAAAAGTAATGTTTATAATTTATCCCTTTACTTTATACATTATTTTTTAGTTGATACCTTCTTATTTATTGATAAAATTATCATAATAACGTTATTAATCTTACAGTATTTTAATCAAAAATATATAGGTAAATATTTTCTGTTTTTAAATGACAATAATTCTCGAATATAATCGATATAAGTGCAACATACATATCGATATATAATCGCTTCAGAGCGCGGCCAATAGGAGGAAGTGGACTAGAGGCTCTTTTAGCCGCACGATTTACGGTAAGGTGGAATGAGATCAACGAGCCTTATATTATCAAAGCAATCTCCCATTATGAAAATAAAATAATTATATTTTTCATTACATTTCATATATTTTACGCATTTGTTTGTAAAGTAGCATGATATTTTTATTGTAACATAATTATTTGTTCAGTTTTCAGAAATTAAATTTTACGAGGTTAATGTTTGACATTTTACCAGTTTTATTAGTAGATATACTACATTTTATTCGATTTTAAATCATAATGCTGTGTAGAATGTTGTGAATTAATTATTTAATTATTTTTTGTCAATAATATAAATTTAAACTTACAGAAACGTGACATAACCTTCATAAAACAAAGTAAATTCTTCATTAGGAGGTTACTTTCAAACACTAATTTAAATAATATAAATATTATTTAATATAATTAGACATATGAATAGTTCTGTATGCTTGTTTATATTTCAGATGGCTGATACAACAGAAGCAAGTGCAAAGTCTCCAGAAAAGACAAATGCTCCTTCTGATAAAAAGGGAGGAAGGAAAGGTCCAATTAGACCAAGAAATTATGATTTAGGAAATGGTGTTTATAGATTTAGTCGTACTCGTATGTACCACAAAAAAGCCATTTATAAATTCATTGGCAAGAAAACTCCAAAAGTTGTATGTTATATATTTTGTTTCTTGTTATTTAGTTTTAAATTTAATTTATATATTTACATGAATGTTTGCTAATAGGTTAAGCCTAAAAAGCCAGTAACTATTGAAAAGCAGATCAGAGGTGACAAAAATGGAGAAACACGTACCGTATTATTGAAGAAAAGGCGTGCAAATTATCCTACTGCAGATCCAGTAACTGTACATCATGCTAAGAAATGTTTCCGTGATCATCGTCGCTATTTAAGATCCTCTTTGAGACCTGGAACAGTTTGTATTTTACTTGCTGGAGCTCATAAAGGAAAAAGGGTTGTTTTCTTGAAACAACTTAAGAGTGGTTTACTCTTAATTACAGGTAAATTGAATTTGTTGATAGTATAAAAATAAATTATTAAAATGAAACTAAATTTAATAAAACTTTTTCAAATTAGGTCCTTTCTTGATCAATGCTTGCCCACTTCGAAGAGTTAGCCAAAACTATGTAATTGCTACATCTACACGTATCAGTCTTTCTGGTTTAAAGATTCCAAAGCATATTAATGATGATTATTTCAAAAGAAAACGTGAAAAACGTGCAAAGAAGGAAGAAGGTGACATTTTCACTAAGAAAAAGGATGAATACAAACCAAGTGATCAAAGAAAAGCTGATCAAAAAGTGGTTGACAAATTTATTATTTCTGCTATTAAGAAAAATAAAGAGAAGAAAATGTTATTTACATATTTGTCAGCAATGTTTGGGTTAAGGAGCAGCCAATACCCACACAGATTAAAGTTCTAATCTTTTTTGATTTGAATTTAAATACATAATAAATACAAAAATAATAAATAAAATTTCTTTTTATTTCCTTCATTATACAATATATATAAACTTATATTTAGTTGTGTAATTGAAATAATATATTTTATTTTCCTATTCTACTTAAACAAAATATCTGCCTATTTGTGTATTTTCTTAGAAGAACATGCGTATTATTTTAATATTTTGCTGTTCTAATGTAAAACATTGTTATTATTGTCATTATATAATGTAAACTTATTTTGCCTTGTTTTAATTGTAAGAAAGATCAACTTTGTAAACTTGAAAATTTTCAAATTCTCAAAATTACAAATCTCTAATGTTCTTCGTTTTAGAAAGATAGAAGTTTAAAAAAGTGATGGAACCTTTTATCTTGCATTACTATAGAACTATACTAAGCCTGCGACTATAGTAGTGTATATACATGTACATTCGAATCAGCTGAACTTATTCTTTACGAATACGCATGCGCCTTATGAATTGGAACGTCAAATGAGAAGATTGAATAACATTACTCGGTATCATCATACTATAATATGTAAAATATCTTCCATCCAAAACTATGCATATATCTTCGCGTATTGTTTGCAGTCTAATCCAGACAGTACTCAACTCCTGAGTAGTGACATCACTGTATTGGATTAGACAACCTGTCGTAAATAAGTGTTTGTTAACACAAATGTGTTGCTTATTGAATACATGTGACATGTGACACGCTGTTCGCAAATGTCTTCTCCTATATCCATTAAACCTGTCGAATATTCCACTAATTATCAACGTTTCAGCGATGATGCCAACATCTCACTTGAACCAGATATTACGCACCGATCATGTCCAAGTGAGCTGAATTTATTTTAATATCAATATTTAGATTTATTTTGCTTCTAAATAATTTATTATGAAGTGTGTCAGTTTTTCTAAATTTCTTATTTTATAACAAACTAAATTACGTATAGATATTTATTTTGATATGCTAGAAATATTTATTTGTTGTGTTATTCTTATTTTAGGATATGGATCTATATTATCATGTTCTTCCACAGAAAATCATATAAACTCTCCTATGGAGAGTACAAGAACACCAGAACAGTTTATCCAAAAATTTGAAACAGACGAGGCAGAGAGAGAAAACATGTCTGAAAATGCAGTTCTTCCATCACATGATTCTCTTTCGGATCATGATTTACATTGGGAAATGAATTATCACGAAGCCGCAATATTTTTAGAGGTATTTCTCTTTAGCAACAGTACTTATCACATTACACATATATATCTATATAACATATCACTTTACATATATAACTGTGAAATATGTACATTAGTATATATTGATAATTGTTTTAATATTATTTCATAGGAAGGCAGGAACAATGAAAAGTTTGACTCTCATCCGAAACATCCAGAAGATTTACCAGCATATCTTTTAGTTCATAACAATTGGTATTATGGATTAGATTTGTTGACCTCTCTCATACTTTTGGCTTTAGCTTTTGTGGAAGAACCAGCTGTACCTTTGTTTGGTGTAAGTTATTTGTAAACAAATAATTTCATTTTAATACATCAGTCTTTAATTTATGTATACCTTGTTTTAGATGCCAGTTTGGGCACATGGATCAATAGAACTTTTTGCTTTAATAATCATAGGTATAGAATTAGCTTTAAAATTAAGATGGATTGGTTGGTTAACAATGTTGAAACATAAACGAACAATGTTGAAGGTAAAAAATAATTTTCTTGCTACAAATAATTTCATGGTTCATGTCATAGAAATTTGTTTTTACATAGCTCCTATATATCCATATTTTTATGTCTTGTAATTGCCAATAGACAAAATTTTATTATGCATCTGTAATTTATCTATTTACAATTCTCTTTGACATTATTATGAGTCTGGCTGAGGATAACATATAATATAATGGTTGTCTTTCATAATACTAATAAAAAAAAAGGATGAGAATATTAATGAGAAGATAAGAAACCTCACAACTGCAAGCAATGTTAGATTACATTTTTAATAAAAGAGAACGTGATAATTGTATTATTTGTTTTTCTTTGGTGTATTATGTATGCTAACATAAAACACACTTATTTAATTTATAAAGTAAGACTGTCAATGACTTATTATTATTATTTATGCTATGCATTCATTCATATTCATATCTATTATACAATGGCTTAAAAGTATTAAATATTGGAAATTTTTCCTTTTCTTTTTACAGTGTGTTACATTAGTCATCATGTTTATAGAAGCTATGGCAGTTTTAGTGCGGCAGTCATCGCATTTTCGTGTAACACGTGCACTAAGGCCTATATTTTTGGTAGACACAAAATGCTTTGGAGGAGTAAGAAGATTTATAAGACAAATACTTTTAACGTTACCACCGATTTTAGATATGTTAGGACTACTTTTATTTTTCATAACACTTTACACTGTATTGGGTTATTACATGTTCAGTGAAATGAACAGAAATTTTTCTACGCTGCAAGACAGTTTTGTTAGTCTCTTTGTTCTACTCACTACTGCTAAGTAGGTATTATTGATTGCTAAGAAATTTGTGTAGTTTAAAACAATCTATATCTAAAGTAAATATTTTACTGTTTTAAAACTTTCAGTTTTCCAGATGTAATGATGCCGTCATATTCAAAAAACAAGTGGTATGCAATATATTTTGTATCTTACTTATCCACAATGTTATATGTGATGATGAATTTAATGTTGGCAGTAGTTAATGAAACGTTTACAGCAGCTGAGCGTGATAAATTTAAAAAATTGTATTTACATAAAAGAAAAGCGTGTCAGCATGCTTTTAAGTTATTAGTTTCTAAACAGAATCCAGACAAAATGCGATTTCGTCAATTTGAAGGATTAATGCGATATTATGCTCCGAACAAAAGTATGTTATATTTATGTAAAAGTACATCAGTGGTTTTAATAAATGAATAAGCTTTTTATAGGTATAAGAGATATTGTATTAATGTTTCGACATTTGAATACTTCTGGAAGTGGATCCTTAAGTGCTGAAGAATTTTTAAATATTTATGATACTATAATGCTTCAATGGGAACCACAATACTCTGCTGTGCCTTGGTATCACAGTAGATCACAACCATTACAAATTTTATGTACTGGAGCTCATGCTGCTATTAGATGGACATATTTTGAAGTTTTAATGTGTAAGTTCCAAAAACTCGAGTGCATTTGTTTAAAAATAATCTTGAATGTATCATGAATTATTTAGATGTAACAATTGCTGCAAATGGTATTGCTATGATAATACGGATATTAGAGCCAAATGACAATGTACATGGTACTCTTCTATTTGCTGCATCTTGGGATACTTTCCTTTTTGGAGGAAGTAAGTAATTAATACTTATGATAACATTGTGTAACGCTAAAATATTTTAATATTATTTTTTATTACAGTATTTGTTACTGAAGCATTAATAAAAGTCTTAGGTCTTGGAACAAGGCGATACCTTAGTTCTGGATGGAATCTTTTTGATTTGGGCACGTCAATAATGACACTTGTTGCAGCTTGTATTTTATGTTTATTTCCTACAGCAACATTCTTCGTGTTATTCAGACCACTTAGACTGTTAAGATTATTTAAAATGAAGAAAAGATATAGAGATGTGTTTGGTACCCTGGTTATTTTAACTCCTTTAATGTCTTCTACTGCAGTAGTTATGCTTGTTTTATATTACTTCTTTGCAATTATTGGAATGGAATTATTCGCCGGATATAATATGCGAAATTGTTGCAAGTAAGAACAAACAGAATATTTTTGTGAATTTTAGATTTAAGATGTACATTATATAATAGAACTGTTTGACAGAAATACAACAGTTGAAGATTTTTATAAATATTCTGTCAATGAAAGCACTACGCTAGGATATTATTATCTTAATACTTTTGACAATCTCATAGCCAGTGGTATGACTCTTTTTGAGTTAACAGTTGTTAATAACTGGTTTATTTTAATGAATGCATATGCATTTACTGTTGGCATGTACACAAGAATATATTTTATGATATTTTATCTGGTGACAATGATTGTGTTAACAATCGTGGTATCTAGTTTTTTGGAAGCATTTCGATTTAGGATACATTATAAGAAGTCAACATCTAAGCGCGATGGTGATTATACTTTAATATTTCATTATAATAATCATGAACTTATGACATATATGTCTGAATTAAGGTATAAAAATATTTATATTTTTCTTTTTTTGTTTTACAGAAGAAAAAATGCTTCATGAAGAAGTAGAATTGAAATGGGATGAATTACAATGTATGATAGAAGATTTTCAAATTCTAGAAAAATTGCGGCCTTTACTCATAGTTGGTGTAAGTTTATACAACAGCTTAAAGTATATTTATTATTTTATAATTATGAAAATGTTACAGGGGACAACTATTTTTATTGGTTCACGGCCTCGAACACGAGAAGTATTGCAAAGAAAAATGTATACAAATGAAATAAACGAATGGATTGCAGAAGCAATACAAACAGAAAGACAGTGTTTATTAAATACTCATAACCCGGATGCAGATTGTACAGATGACATAATTTCTGAATCAAATCATCTAGGAATGACAGAAAATTTGTGACACATACATCGCAATGTATCTAATGTTGTATAGTTATAATAATAAATTAAATGTATTTAACAGTTGTATATCTATACAACATGCTGGATTAAGAAGGTTGTAACCTAAACCAAGTAGTACAACAAGTAAAATTTTTACTAAATTTATGAAATAAATGTGCAGCAATATATTTAATGAAATATGAAAAATAAAACCTTTCTATTTCAGATTATATGGTGATTCAAAAAATTTAACATCCAGAATACGAATGATTATTACCTCAGGTACAAAATATAATTTTCCTATTTTTTCAGGAGGGAATGAATATGCAGTAGCATTATCAGTTTAAAATAATTATACAGAATTTTCCCTTCAGAGCGGTGTATTTTTTATTTTTCTTTTTTTTTTTTTATAAATATAACAGTGTCTTATACAAAATTGGTAATTTTAGATGTTCATTTTGCATATAATTCAGATATTTTTATTTTCTGTATTATTTAATAGTATACAATGTTTTTAGTTTTCCGTTTTACGATTGCATTTAATATTTGAAATTAAAATAATTAAATAGTAAATGCTATATGTATGTATAATGTTAATAAACAACTTACATTCAATAAAATCCCAAATGTTTTTAAAGAGCGATACTATTAACATTGTGAATAATTATGAACAGAATATACATTATATTAAAACAGAAGCAAATTTATAAAATACTATTTATGAATTTGGACTCCTGGAACCCCTAAGGTTGTCAATATAACAGTAAATCCGTCAGCTATTAATTTTCTTGAAATACTAGAAATTGTTTCTGGCTGAGTATCTGGTAATAATAAAATATATGCATGTCCACCACCACCAGCACCAGTAAGTTTAGCTGCTAAAGCATAATTTTGTGCTTCTGCACAAATTCTATCTAAAGAGGGATGTGAAACTTGACACGTGGCTAATAATCCTTGATTCATGTTAATAAGTGTCTGTAATAATATGATAAACAGTTAAAAATGTAATAATCAGTTTTTACAACTAATAATAATATTTTAAAACCTAATAAGTACTCACCATTAGTTGTCTATATCCTTCAAAATGAGATTCATTATCAGTAGCTGAGAAATGTTTAAGTTTCTGTATAATTTGAATTGCTTCTTTTGAAATATTGTCAATGGATTCCATAATAAGATCAATAATAACAGGATATTTATGTTTCAGTTCTAAAAATCTTTCAGCCAATGTTTTTGTGCTTCTATTAACCCTTGTGTCTACTAATAAAATTTTCATGGCTTGTACATTATTTATCGGTCTCATACAGTGATTCTTTTTAAATTCAATCATTGATCCATAAGTACATATGGAATTATCTATTCCAGATGGAGTGCCATGCATAATTCGCTCACAATTTAAAGCATATTTCGAAATCATTTCTAAATCAGACATATCAAGTTCTTTGCAAATATTTTTCTTTAAATACGACCAATATAAGAAACAAGCAGCAAGACAAACTGCGAATGAAGCAGAACTGCCAAGTCCAGAACCAATTGCAAATTCATTATTTAATTGAATTTGAAAAGGCTTTATATTTATTCCTTCTTTACACGTAATATAAATAAGAAGATAGAAAAATCCTTCTAAACTTAATTTTTGTTGCAGATTTGTATAACCGATATTGCAAACAAATTCTTTTATTTTATTATAAAATATCTCATAATTCTCTATAAAATCTATGCTATTAGTAACAAAGAAATTCTGTATTTGTTGAAGAGGTACACTAATAAATAAATTTACTTTAGGAAAATATATTTTGATAACTTGTTCTGCTTCAGGTAACTCAGTGAAATCTATTGTTGTATGTAAAGCTATACTAGCTGCAACAGCTGTTTTTCCATATACTACAGCATGTTCTCCAAACAAAATAACTTTTCCTGGGGCAGATACTTTGAAATGAATCATATTTAATCCTTTTGCTTCTATTTATATGGCTGTTAATAACAAAATTGATTTTGTATTAATGTAAGTAAAATAATTATTGACAATTTTTCATTTTTTAAACAGTCATGATTCATAATATAATAATATTATACCTTTTATAACAGGACATTAATATTTTGCTTTACAGATTATAAAATGCATTAGCTTTTTTGTTTTTCCCACTGTTCAGGAGTCAATGTCTTTTGTGAAAATGCATGTATTGTTTTAAGTTCTTCTTCTAAGATTTCATTCACTAATCTACAAAGTCAGTAAATAAAATTTACAAATATAATAAAATATTTATACGTAAAATATATATTTATATCTAAAAATATAAAAACGTAATACCTATGACGTTGCAATAAGGGTTTTCCATTAAACACTTCAGAAACAATCACTACAGAAAATTTAGCACCACAACCATCAGATTGATCTACCACTTCCTGTAACATTTAAAAAATATAAAAGTTATTTATTACGTATTCTCACATATTAAAAGTTATAACACAGATAATATTACTTAAGGTCAATAAAATTTCATTATCCTTTTATAAAGTTTTATGCAATTTATAAAACTGTTTACTTAGAAAGAGTTGATTCTTTGCTGATCTATGAATTTTGTATTCTATTATTATGACAGCAACACGTTTGGATGTACCGCCATAAAGAGTTCAACATGTATGCATAATTTTGTTGTTATGCTAATTTGGTAAAGTAATATTTAATAGTAGAGCAAAGTTCAGTTCTCTATAGAGGATTACATAATTAAAAAAAAATGTATTTATCTAATATTTATTAGAGATAAAACCAATAGTAACATAATGTAAAATACATTTTATTATTTAGTTAAATTGGAAATATATAAAATAAACTTAGTCATCAATTTATATGACACAATAGTGTTTTATTACTGTTATATCAATTTTAAGTTTTTTACAATATGGTATTAATGTATTAGATTAATTTACTTTATAATGTTTTTTTGATATAACTAATTGTTTATAATTAAAGTATAAATAAAACATAATAAAATGTGCACAAGAATATATGGAAACTAACAACGCAAATAAATCTGGGTATTTACTTGGTGGTTTTAAAAATCCACTGACAATAGATAATATTATAATGCCAAAAATTGAGGTGTAAAACAATGTTATTTTCCAAGAATATAAATCATAACCTAATAAACCATTTTTAAAGTAATGTAGTATATTCCTTTGTAGCTTTATAAAAACTGATTCATATTTGCTTTTCTTACGTTTTGTTTTAATTTGCTCTTGATTAGTTATATATGTATCAGTTTTTAAATCAGTTCTATTAGATGATTTAATACTGTTAAACATATTGGGATATCCCCAAAAAACTGAAAAGAAATAAAAAGTCAATGTAGCACAGTATGCTAAATACAAATCATCTTTTATAAATAAGGGTAACATGCTAAAATGTGAAATTATTAAAAACCAGAAACAAGAGAGTGGATCATGCTGAAAATATAATAGAACTGGAACAGCAACAAGCAGGATGGTTTTCTCATGAACTTGAAATGAAAAAAGAAAGAATGCTAATGCACAATTAATAAGGGAAATTATAAATTTTTCTTTCATAGGTTTTAGATATAGATCTATACAACTTGGTAAAACTGCAAGTACTGTTACAATTAAACAAAATTTAGCTAGTTCTTGATTTGTAAAGGCATTATGCAGTTTGTAAAGAATATTTATAGCACACCAAACATTAGCAACTTTATCTTCAAATATACCTCTGGAAACTGGGAACAAACGAAATACAACACTTTTAAATGTTTCCAAATTCTTAAGAAAAGGTAACCATATAATGAAAAATGTTCCAATCACTGTGAATGATATCCATAATAACATTTTGAAGTTGGATACTCTAATTTTTTGTTTCATGGGTAAATGCTTCCCAAGTATATAGAAAAAAATTGGTAGTGCATGATAAAGTTCCATCTGTTTGTAATTCAATGCTGTTACAAATAAAATTGACCCAATAATAAATGAATTTTGAAGTATAATTGTAACAGCTCCAATAAATAAACCTAACGATACACAGTTATATTGGAAATGCCCATTATCTATTAGTATCAAGCCTGGATAAATTAACATTGTTAGAAGAATAATATGTTGCTTTGTGAAACCAAATATATTTGATTCCCTCTTCTCAAAGCCTTTTGATATTTTATTAGTTACTACATAATATATCATTGATGGAATATAAATGAGAATGTCCATACAAAACACGCTAAGTCTCATAAAATATTTGTGATCTTCAGATGAGAAACCTCTTGATTCATGTAATTTTACATATGAAGAATTAATCATATTAGCTATGTAGCCTAAGACAAAACTATGATAAGCTGTTAAAGGGGGATAATCTAATCCCCAATATAACAAGTCATTGTCAGTTGTATTCCTGTACCATTTTTCAGTTGGAAGATTTAATGTTATTTCTTGCCAATGCCGCTGTGCTTCATAGTCTCCAAACATTGGAGGTTTGTCTTGACCACTATATGAATGATACGTAACGCACCATCTTAACAGCAGGGCAAGAAGAGAAATTAATACAATTTGCATATTCTCTTGCATTTTTTATCATGCGTGATGACAATCTTCGATAACTTATGTTTCAAATATATCCTCAATTGCAATTAATAAAACTATTTTAAAAACAACGTTTAGTTACCTAGGTTTTTGATGGAAAATTTAAGGTTAAAATACAGATAGGTAAAAAATTATAACAGATAAAATAAAACATGTAAAATACGTACCACGTGAGAAGCATTTAATTTCTCAATTAATTTATTTTTAATGTGACTTTCAGTATATGGCATATTTAATTGTTAACTTTTATATCTTGACTTTCAATTCCGTTATTTCTTTAAATATGTAAGTATGTTACACAGAGAGAATATTAACGTTTCGCGCAGCTCGAATGAGCTTTGAAAACCTTTCCACCAATTACGTTGAATCTTTCATGACAATTTATGAATTACTTTCCACGTTATCGCTGATATATACATATACAGTGCGCAAATATGTATGAATGAAGAAAAGAAACAATAATGTAGAGGATACTAAACAAAGGATCACTAGGTGTATACTTTAATCTCCAGTTCATTAACGGGCGCATGCCCGTTATTTTTGATTACAAAGCGTACTAAACCAAAGCTAGCATGTGCAAAATGAACGAAAATTCGTCACTTGACGATAACATTCTTTCATGAATTCGATTATTAATACTTATCTGTTATTATTTGTAAAAAATTAGTATATATAAATATATTATTTAAAATTATAGGAATTATAGATACAGGAAGATAAAATGTTCGATTTTTATAATTTAAATAGTTTTTCCATTTATCTTTTACGTCAAAGATGAACTTGACATTTGAATTCGATATTATAATTGATCAAGTATTCGCAATCGATTTCCAAATTTCGATTAATCGAATTATTTAAATGTTTTTAAAATTAAATTTGTTATTTTGATGCGCTTTTGTTGGTCCTTTACGTTTGAAGATAATTTAGTTAGCGTTACCTGTAAATGCGGACGTGAAACTTCTCCATAAGGCGTTTCTTTTTTTATATAAAAGTAAGTTCAAAGTTTACATACGCAATCATTTACATACACAGTATTTAGTATTTATTACGGGAGAGTAAGATGGCGCCGGAGTGAGTGCACGTGTTTTTTTGTTTAGTTAGTAAGGCTGTTTAGTTATTAGTTTGAATATTTTTAATTTGTGAAGGGGATATATTAAAATCAAGGAAGTAGAAAGCAGTTAAAAGCAGTAGTTTATGAAAATTAAGAACTCCCTCGTATAAGGAAAGGAAAGGTGCTGTGATTGTATTAAGCGGATATATATTTGTATATCTTATATTTATAGTTATAGTTTTTGTATGGATACATTTTATAAAAGCGTTTTTTGTTATATTTTTATATTCTGATATTTTTGTAATAATGATATATATAATAGTTCCTAAGAGTGGCAATGAGTACAAATGTATGGAGAGTGTGAATCTGGTAGGAGCAGCGTTGGCCAGTATTGAGCAGGTATTGATAACAATTGTAATTATATTTTAAAAATAAGTTTATTTTCTCTATATTCTAAGAGTACAATAAATACTGTTTACTATATTATTTTATTTATTGTTTACAGAGAAAGCAATATGGCCAGTTGTAAAAAAAAAAGATGAAATAGAAAAAATGTGTAAGGAAGCCTTTCCTGATTTTACTGAAGATGAGCTGCTCAAGATATGTGTATGTAAAACTATGGAAGAATTGTTAAAGAGATTTAGTAAGATAGTAAAATATCCAGCAGCAACAAAATCACAAAGGTTTTATGCTGGTTAAATAAAAACACTTAGTCACTATCGCTGTTTGCAAACAGTCAAATTATCTTCGACTGTAAAGGGTTAATAGAAGAAAATAGAAGAACAAGTGATATGTAACTATTTTTTTAATAAATGGTATTGTACAACACGGCACAATAGTATTGTCTAATACCTGATTGCAGGTACAACAACGATTATTATTATTATCATTAAAGCAACATTGAATTATGTAGAGCCTTATTAATTTGTTATATGGTTTGTTCCTATTAAGGCAGATATGAGAATTATTACCTTGGAAGTACTTGTTCTAGGAATTAGTGATTTGTAATCATTATATGTATGTAATGTGTATCTATAAGAAAATGGCAAGAAGGGGAAAATAGGCCAAGGGGATTACTTTTTTCCATCACTCATTCCCACACATTGTTGTGTGATCTTATTTATTGCATGATGCTTTTGGTTAATGCACATTATTTTTTTTTACTGCATTCAGTCTGCAGAAATAATTGATCTGCATTTCTTTGCATTGCCATCTTTTTACAAATGCACTATATTTGCATCGCCAATAAATGAAGTATTTTGATAATTAATTTTCATGTTAAAATAAATGAATTGTTTCAAAGATTGCATTTCTTATTTCAATACTAACGAAAACTATAACTAATGGAAAATGATGAATTAATAATGTAAGTTGTGATTGATAGTGATCATGTTTATAATAAACAACCTCAGTACTTCAATATTGTACAGTTTGTCCAAGTTCTATTGCACTAATGCCTATAAGGAAGATCAATTTTCATTTAACGTCAGTGCTAAATAACAAAGACAATTCAACTTATAACAATATTATAAAATATTATTTGTCCATGATCAATCCATGATCCAGTTATGCATTTGCATTTCAAAATTTCAAAAAAGTACTATCTTTTATGTCAGTAATTACTTTAAAAATTTTTTCATTTGTTTTGTTTGATGTTGCATACTGTACTGAGCATTTTCAGCTTTTGTAATAAGAGAATCCAGCTTATCCAAATGAGATCCCATTTTTTCATTGATATCAATCTTTTTTGGTACTGTTGTATTAGTTTCTGTTTTATCCATTTTATTATTTCCTAGTTCTACTGTCAGATTTTCTTCATCCATAGATGTTTCAGCATGAACATTTTTTATTTCATTGTCTTTTTGCTCAATGTGTTTATGATCCGGTGTATTGTTTCGAGAACCCACTTTTACCTTCAATAAAGTACTTAAACTGCCGCACACATTCTGTAAAATACTTTTCTTCTATAAACTAATACTTTAAATTATTGTACAATAAAATATATTTCATTTAATAATGATTCTTAATGTATATATTTATATTTTATAGAAGTTATAGCGAAACAAAATAAATAGCAAATGTGGAAGCAATGATATTTAAAAGAGTCATCAACAGTTGTGCAACCTTAAATCTATTAATTTTTTTCTGCGTTGCATTGAGAATACTGTTTAATTCATCTAGTCCACCTCCGATTCGTTGAGCAGCTTCGTCTGAAGAATCCAAGTTCTATAAAGTATACCAGGATTTCTGTCCTCACATTTTTTAAGTTATTATTAAAATATTAACAATACTTTTTTTTGAGATAATTTGCAAGGTCTAATTGGCATAATTTGTAAGAAAATATAAAAAACTATTTTTTGCTACATATACGTTTATGTTTTGGGATAATAGTATAATTACTTGAATCACTTCGTCGTCGTCATTATCATTAACATGACTATTCGTTTCTGCTTGAGTTTCTTTCCACTCCTCCTCACTTGGAATCGGTAATCCTAATAATTCTGCCCTCTCGCACGCGTGAATATAAGCCTGAGACATTTTATTAAAGATTAACTAGTTTATAATAAACGACAATGTACAACAACAAAATCTATATCTATTTTATCTTTTTTCGTTTTAAAGATTTTACTAATAATTAAATAGTAAGACCACTAAACATTTGAGAATCCATGTTCACACCAGTTCGGACAAATTGTGCGCACACTCCGATAAAAAATAAAATTGAAACCAATTGATAACGAAATATTGCAACTAGAACGTTTTAATAAATAAAATTATTATTTCCGAAGGGAAGTGTAAAAAGTGATGATTGTATTTCACAATTACTTTTCTTTATTTTCATATTTTACTTTCAAATGTTTTATTATTCAACTATTTCATGATTTCGCTATTTTGCTAGTTTATTATACTACAATTATATTTTATAGATATTATTTTTATTTTATTGTACTGTACAGATGTATAACTGGTCAGTTCAAATTAATTGATTAATTGAATATCAATACTTCTATTATATACTACTACCAAAGAGTAGGTTATAAAGAGCAATCATTTCGGTATATTCTTTTCTTTTTCAACTTGTCAACGGCGTAAAATTGTTAAAAGACAACATTAGTAATATATAGAAAACTTATTACAAATATATTCCAAATTATTAGAGATTGAAATGGAAGTAGATTTGCTCGATTTAAATTTCCCACACGTTTGTACAACCAATTTAAAGAGATAACGTTTTCATACATACATACAATTACTACTTTACCATTCTTATTAGTTTACTTGTTTAATACTAACAATAAAATTTCAAAAGTTCCATTGCTAAACGATAAAGTGCTATCTGTTTATTAAATAAAAACTTAATGACAAATTAATTTTGCAATAGTTATGATATGAACGATCTGAGAATGTAATCAGAATGTTGCACGTGTTTTCATATTACTTCTCACGTGAAAGCTTACACGTGCAAATAGTAATTGCATTTCATCATTACAGGCAATTGTATTTTGTTTATGTATGTGTACGAATCATTCGTTGCTCGTTAGACGATGTTCCTTTTTTACTGTTATTTACTGCCACGTGGAATTCTCTGTATAGGGGAAGGATTTGTGAAGCAGAAAATTGAGATGAATTATGAGTATAATGATAAGTGGACGCACGTGTGTGTAATCTAAAATAAAGTCCTTCATATTCAGATGTTTTTCCGCTGTCAGTATGTTATTGTAGTTATACTAATTTACTATTATTTATACATTTTATTATCAATTTTAAACTATCCTCAAAATGTAGAAGCAATTTTACTGAAAATATGTTAGCAGCAGTTTATGGCAACTATTATATAAAGTGTAAACGTTGAACACTGTTGAAAAAACCGCTAAAGGGATTTTGCGGTACCATCTAACTGTGAAATGTTCTAACTGTATTAGTGGAAAGTCGGTCGATAATCCGGCGAGATCTCGGTAGATAAATATGCAAAATTTCCGTAACTAATCATTTTCATTCAGTAACTAACTGCTAGATGGTTCAGCAGTACAAACGTATTTTTTTACCGCGCATAGATGTAGAATTAAAAAGTATAAAAAGATAACTTGAAGAATATTTTCAGTTTATTAAGTTATTCTTTTTTAATACTATATGAATTAAATTGTAAATACAGTACATCGAATGAGAATATCAAACACAATGATAAGGAATGATCAAGTCTAAAACCGAACAAAAAAAACTACATTGCAGCGTAATTTTATACATGTCGGTGACATTATTAGCTTCAAAACTAATAATTACACAAAAATGTGCGAACGATGTAAAATGCGGTTATATTTATGACTAATTATATTTTCTGTCAATTTTTTTTTCTCTGAAACTGAACGAGAAGGAAAAATTTTATTTACTGTAGAAAATAAAAAATTGATGAGTATATATATTGATTTATAATGTTCAAAAATTAAAGTATTTATATTTATATTATTTAATAATTTTACTTAGTAATAATTACATTTTTCGTAAATCGTGCGTTTTGACTTATATTTTTATACAACTAATTTGTCAGAAGTAACAGTATATATGTATAAGCAATGCTCAATAGTTGTATCAATTCTCTTAAAGACGTATAAGATATATTTTATTGGACAATGCAGGAATTTTCCACTTTTGAAAAACATCAAGAAAACATAAAGAACCGCTAAATGGAACAGTAGTATAGTAGTATAATAGCATAATAACAGTGGACTAGTTACATAGTAGAATAGTAAGATAGCAGTATTGTAGAATTTTATAATAGTGGTATATTAGTATACTGAAATAGTAGGATATCAGTATTGTACTAATAATATTTAAAACTGGTAGGCAATGTATACCATGACAAACATCACGACTTTCATTATTATCTACAGTAAGGATTGGGTAATAAAGAAGAGTTTGTTGCTCCTGAAACATCATCCTTCAGGAAAACTATCATAGAAATATAATCGAGCTTCACACGGCATCGTGTCGTGGTTTGAACGAAAAGAGAAAGAGACAGGATTCCGTCCAGTTGACCAGAGGGAAATGGGCCAATCAGAGCTCAGAGTGACTTGCGTTCGAATCGGGAGAGTTCGGGCTGGGACGAGGTAAGCACGATTTGTGCTTCGTTCGTGAATCTTGCAATTCGCTTCAATTCAGCCAGTTGAGAAGGAACGCTTCTGGTGGAATGTCGTGTTTTAACGCTGCAGTTTATATCTATCGTATATAGGCAGCATTAATTAACTCTACCATAAAAACGGTACTTTCCATTTCCAACATACATTGATCGGTATATACAGTTCGTACAGTGATTTGTATTGTGATGCGTTAAAATTTTCACTCGAATTTGCATATACACGACGGTGCCATTTGACAGTTTACCGCTTCGTCCTATAGTTTGGGTCGATGCAATTGTTGAAAGGATTAACCAAAACATCCCCGATCTAAATGGAGTGATTCTTCCTCTGGGTCAAGAAGCTTTGTTTGGTGAGTGTTCAGTTATTTTCTTCTCTTTGCACGAGAAAGAACTCGATGTTTCTTTGGTACGCGTGATTTTGTGTTCTTCATTCTATCAATATTGACAGGAAAGATTATACGATGAATGAGGAAACATGGTATTTAGTTTTTTTGTATGTTGCATTTACTGTCAATTGTAAAGATTCATAGGAACGTTAGTTATTTAATTTTGTTATTATAAGGTGTATGGAAATATTGGAAAAAGCGTGGAGTGAAAACACTAGTTATGACGTACCCTTCCCCATTTGTTCATTGAATTTGTGATTCGTTAGTTGCGACCAGAAATAGATTTTTTCAGTTAATGTATCCTCAACATTAGAAACAACCTGCATTCTTTATTATGACGTCTTTTTTGCGCACAATGACTTTCATTCTATTGCTTTCCATACGCAATAAGACAACTTCAAGAGTACGTACCATAAACATATCTATTTTCTCAAAAAAGAATATCATGTGTACTTACGTTTACGTAGGTTACTACACACTCTTACGTTTAGAAAGTACAACGTATGCGTATACACATACCTTTGCTTGCTTGCGCAATTCATTTTCGGGCATGTTGTCGACCTTTGATTCTGTTTGATTATACGTATCGTTGTACACCATAGTAAATAACGTTACAAAAAATTGTATATACAATTTGAGCGCTTTTTATTATTACTGTACAGTTCAGTACATATATTTTAGAATCTCTTTTAGGAATGTGTCAACTGTTTGGAACGTGAGTCGAATCGAACATAGCAATCAATTGTTCGAATAGTTAAAGGAAATTCGGTGTTTAAATATGCTGCGTAATATCAATAAATTTAATTTTATCATTTACATTATTTGAAAATTGACTGCTGAAATATTTTGAACAAATTCAACATGTTCAAATATTCCGCGTAATTTGAATTTATTTTTGTCATGTTTGTTATGTAAAAGATTAGAATTACAGAAATGATCGAAATCGAGTGGAATGCAGTAATCGATTGTTCCAATAAGTCGAACAAATTTGATGTTATTTTAATCGTTTGAATCGAAATCGATTTGATCGTATTAATTGATTATTTAAATATCTCGAAAAAATTCTCCTTGATTCTTTCTTGATCATTGAAAAGCTTAAAATTTTAGATATAATATAAATTAATTCGATCGTGTTAATCGATCTACTTGGACTAATTCGAAAAATTATTTGTTCAAATAACCCGCATAAGTTGAATAAATTTAAACCGTAGATTAGAGGCTATAAGTACAGAAAAAAAACTTTGTTTTTCCTTTTCTTAGTTTACAACCACGTGCTTTTGAGACGAGGAAAACAATTATCACCGTTCACTGGCAAATTTAACAAGTTTCCTCGTGACTGACGATTCACATCCTCTTGTAACTTTGTTTGCGTTATGTATTTAAAATAACAAATTGGTTAAAACTGCATATCGTGCTTGTTTTTCGCGCATTAAAAGAGCAAACTTCTGTGGAAACATTGATTTTGGAGCGCACAGTTCAATTTTTAAAAATAACTTTGTACAGAATTTAAATATAAATATGTTGTGCTTAACGAACACGTGAAAAATATATATAATATCATTAAAATATAATAACTGCTGGAAAAATACCACCCCGGTGTTTCATCGCGTGATAATGTGGAAAAGTTTATGCCGTTTTTTCGCGAGTAGTGCACTTAGTATTTATACTTGATAAAAATCTAACCCGGTCACCAGTGTATCTCATTCGTCTGAATTTTAAATTTAAACTCTAAATTCTTTCGCACTTTGTCCACGTACGTGAAAGTTTTAATATCAACCACAAAAATTACGTTTATCAATGTTAATATCGTTCTTTATATAGGATCAAAATAGATTAAAGTTAAAAATATTTCACAAAAATGTAATGAGTCTTATGATTTGACAAAGATAGGATTATGATTTAGTTAAAGTAGGTCAAACTTATTTCTTCTACCTGTTATCAAGACTTTAATGCAAATTGCTTCAGTTCAAATCTTTTAAATAATATTTGTATGGTTTCATTTAAGAAAACGAAGGTCATTATGAAATCATACGACCTTGAGATAACCTTCACTTTCATAGCCTAATTTTCCTTCTGAAGTATAACTTTCTCTGTGAACATTTTTTCGTATCTTTACATATAAGAAACTGATCGGGGATGATATAGTTAAGTGGGTCACCCTGTATAATTTTGCTAATTGTTAACCAATTATCCATCAATATCGATAGTATTTATACCATTATGTAATATCAATTAATATGTCACATTGGTAGGAAGTATGAGGTCATCTGACTCTGTCTACTTTTTATAGCAGACAGGCATAATAAGATTAAAACTCGTTACAATCAGTCTGCGTGTAAAATTATCATTCAACACTATACTCTCTGTCTGCCGCTTCTATATCTGTCGATAAAAAAAGACTTTCTTATATTCTAAGTTTTTTGCGTAATGAAAGGTCATTATTCGTTCATTTATTTGTTCAAGAAGTGAAAGACGCACTTTGGAACCAACTTCTAAGAAAATAGTTTTAAAAATTTCCACTGAAATTGTGTATCTATATTAAAAATGAAAATATCTTTGCTTTTACGATTTGGCTAAGCGAGAAATGTATTCTTCACAGAATTGAATAGCTTCGTTGTCGAACACTTTTTTGATTGTTTCTTAATGTATTCAAGTACCTGTTTATAAAATTCTGTTTTACAATTAATTCATATTATTAGATTAATGAATTCATTTGCAAAATTTAATTTTGTACTATATATTATTTTCATTTTCATTTTTTAACGATGCAACGTAGAACAATATAACGCGTAGGCGATATAAGGCGAGGATGATATACTGCATAGGCAACGTAACGCTTAAACTAACATTACATATATAATATGATGCACAGTGGATGTAACTCGTGGCGATATAACGTGTAGGCGATATAAGGCGAGGATGATATACTGCATAGGCAACGTAACGCTTAAACTAACATTACATATGTAATATGATCCATAGTGGATGTAACTCGTGGCGATATAACGTGTAGGCGATATAAGGCGAGGATGATATACTGCATAGGCAACGTAACGCTTAAACTAACATTACATATGTAATATGATCCATAGTGGATGTAACTCGTGGCGATATAACGTGTAGGCGATATAAGGCGAGGATGATATACTGCATAGGCAACGTAACGCTTAAACTAACATTACATATATAATATGATGCACAGTGGATGTAACTCGTGGCGATATAACGTGTAGGCGATATAAGGCGAGGATGATATACTGCATAGGCAACGTAACGCTTAAACTAACATTACATATGTAATATGATCCATAGTGGATGTAACTCGTGGCGATATAACGTGTAGGCGATATAAGGCGAGGATGATATATCGTATAGGCGCTATAACGTTAAAGTTAATATTACATAGGCAATATGATGCATAGTGAATATAATTCGTGACGATGTAACGCAAAGGCGATATAACGCGAGGATGATATACCACATAGGTTATATGAATATAGGCAGTATAACGCATAGCGTATATAATTCCTGTCAATTTAAGACGCATGCGACATAATGTGAAAATGATATATCGCATAGGTGATATACCGCACAGGCGATATAATGCGAGGTCGATGTAATTCGTGACGGACTAGCGAGATATTAGCTAATATAACTCATAGAAATGTCAGGCGCAGGTGATATGATGCGTGGCCATACAATGTGTGGTTATATAACGCGAGTCGATTTAACTTGGGGTAAATACGATAATATAATATTAAATAGTAAGATTTTCTAGTATGAAACCCTTTTAAAACTGATACGTCTAATTAAAATCGAAGTTCGCTATGGAAAGCTTTATTTCCCTCGTTAATTACTGACTTTACAAATGTAATATTTGATATTTGAGAGAAAAAAGATTGACGTACACATTGGATTTTTGGTCCAGTACGAATAATAATAGAACAATTATTATTAGTGGATTATTGCGGTAATAACAGTAAAACATTTATATACGTATATGAAGGATCGATAATTTTAGTATCGAATCTTGGAAAAAATGTTTATCAATCATATCGATGGGCGGTGCAAAACAGTTTAAAAAAGATCCGAGTAAGATAAATATTTGTTAACGCGTCATCTTAAATCTTTTATTTATTGAATTTAAAAGAAATTTCTTTTTAGAAATGAAAATTAACAAGACGTTATTCTTTCTTCTACTTTCTTCAGTGATTTTAACGCTACTTTGTATGATTTACGTATCTTCGATTCTAAACGATTAAGTGAAAAATTTTTCAATAAATTTCAACGTATTTTATTCTGCTACTTATTTGTTACCGCAATAATAACATTTTAGATCAAATAATTTTTCTTTAGCTTTTTCTCATATTATAGGAAAGCAAATGTATTTGTATTATGATGTTATTTAAAAATCTCTAAGAAAAGATATGTTATAATTAAATACAATAAATTTTTCATTAATATTAACAAATTTTTTTTAGCATTTTCTTGTTACAATAAATTTTTCATTGATATTAAAGCTTCTTACTAACCATTTTCTTGTTACTAAATTGAAATTGGTTGAAATAAAAAAAATTTGAAAATTAATTGGTAAAAATAGATCGATGTTTTGTTTATTTGTCGATATTATTATTTAGGTCGATACTGTGCTGACTATCTGTCCCTCGCGATTGATATCGAATTAAAATTAGCAACTCTGGCCGAATGATTAATAATTCATGCCCCCCTATGTCATTCGACAGAAAGAAAGGAACTTTGAAACCGCACGTGTATGATGATGAGTTGGCAAGCCTGGTATTCTAGTTAGTTACAATATAGTTTTAATTTCTGATTTATTTCATTCCTGCTTTATTATCATTTTTAGCGATTCGATATATCAATTCTGAAAGATTAAAATATCTTTGAAGCTTCATGTAATATTAACATAATTTTCGGCAAAAAGAGAACATTCTCTAAATTGTTTT